TTGTCATTCAGAATTTAGTGTGCACATAAGGTTTGTTGGGCCCGTCATTGGCTTCTGGCATAGTTGTTGGAATTTCATTAGAAACGAAAAACAACTTGTATAGGTACCAGTCTACCAGACATCATGTTGTTATCTCGATAAAAAAAACAAGTAACCAAATTACTATTGTATAGTGTTCCATCATAAGGGGTGGTCATTTGTAATTGACCAAAGTTTGGAGAAGTTTTATGTCATTAAGGTACTAATTAATTAACTTACTACAATTGAACCCAAATCAATCGTTGTTCAACCTACTTTGATCCATTTTAAACGAGTTGAACCCGGTGTTTACAAATTTATGCTTTAATCATTGATTAACTTATGATAATTAAATCTAAATTTAACCCAAATCAATGGGTGTTTGACCAACTTCGACTCGGTTTAAAGGAGGTTCTAATTAGCTAACTTATGACAATTGTTTATCAATGGGTGTTTGACCAACTTCGACCCAGTGTTTACAAATTTGTGCTTTAATCATTGGTCAACTCATTGATTACACATTTGCACACTTAATTCATTGAAGCTTGAAGGAGATTCTAATTAGTTAACTTAAGACAATTGAATCAATGGGTATTTGACCTACTTCGATCCGGTTAAAGCAAGTTGAACCCGTTGTTGGCGAATTTTGGCTCAACTAGTTTTGTGCGCTTAGTTTAATCGAATTCAACTTTATGCTTACGAGTTTTGCCTCAACAACGAGTTTTTGCTTTAATCATTGAAGTTTGGAGGAGTTTTTGTGCCAATAAAGTTCTAATTGATTAACTTATGACAATTAAATCCAAATTGAAACCAAATCAATGGGTGTTCGACCTACTTCGACTCGGTGGAAGTAGTTGAACCTGGTGTTGACGAATTTTGGCTAAACAACGAGTTTTGCACGCTTAAATGATTGAAGCTTGAAGGAGTTTTGTGCCATAGAGGTTCTTGGCTTATGATAATCGAATCAATGGGTATTCGACCTACTTCGATCCGGTTAAAGCAAGTTGAACCAGTTGTTGCCGAATTTTGGCTCAACAACGAGTTTTGCACGCTTAAATCATTGAAACTTGGAGGAGTTTTTGTGCCAAGGTTCTAATTAATTAACTTTTGACAATTGAACCTAAATCAATGGGTATTCAACCTACTTCGACCCGATTAAATCGAGTTGAACCCGTTGTTGATGAATTTTGCCTCAACAAAGAGTTTTGCAGTTGAAGCATTGAAACTTGGAGGAGTTTTTGTGTTTTTAAGATTTTAATCAATTAATTTATGACAATTAATTCCAAATTGAACCCAAATTAATGAGTGTTCGACCTACTTCGACCCGGGTTAAGCAAGTTGACCCCGGTGTTGACATATTTTGCCTCAACAACGAGTTTTAAACGCTAAAATTATTGAAGTTTGGAAGAGTTTTTTTGCCAAAGAGATTCTAATTAGTTAACTTATGACAATTGAACCCAAATCAAAAAGTAATCGACCTTCTTCGATTCGGTTTAAGCGAGTTGAACCCGTTGTTTGCGAATTTTGACTCAATAACGAGTATTGCACTTAAATCATTGGGTATTTGACCTAATGTCGACCCGATAAGATAGGCACTATTTTTTGTGTCACGTCAACTATGATTTTAAAAGTATTTAAATTTGTTACCGATTAATCTAAGTCTTTTGGTCAACTGTTCTAACTGGTTAACGACGCGTTTTGCACACTTAAATCATTGGGTATTTGACCTATTGTCGACCTGGTAAGATGGGGCACTATTTCTTAGTGTCCCGTCAACTATGATTTTAAAATTATTTAAAATTGTTACTGATTAATCTAGGTCTTTTGGTCAACCGTTCTAACTAATTCTTTCTGTGCCAATTGGCCAATTTGAACTCGAATCAATGGGTATTTTATCTAATTTGACCCGGTGTTGGCAAATTTTGGGTCTAGGACCAGTTTTGTACGCTTTTCTAATTGATGGGTCGGGTCGATGTGAACATAAGTTTTGGTTCATTTTTGGTCATTTCCTAAATAGTTTGACCTATGATCATCGATCGTCCTTGGTCTGTAAGAATGAACATAAGTTTGAATTACTAACATAAAGGTGTACTGCGACGTCGATCAAAATATGGTGTATGGATGAACTTATTTATAGAAAAGTTATGTTTCAAATGCCTTATTAATTACCTGCGAATCATTTATGTTACAATTTGATCGTATCACAATGATACACTATCGGTCGTTCAATGATAGCATTTCTTATCATTGAAATACTTTACTAGTGTGAAACATGTACTTAGAACTTAAAAAAACACTTTGTTACAAATAATCAAAACCCTCCCGCGAAGCACTGGCTTCCATTCTAGTGCTTATTAATAAGACAAGTGACATGATATTCTAGCATGCATATCGTTCTCTATTTAGAATGGAAAGCCACCTTTCACCAGCATATAATTCGTAACCATTTGCATGTACCGTTTGCAAATAATATATTGCAGGGTGCCGTAAATTTGAGGACGGTCCAGAGTTCCATTCTGCCATAATATACGCCGGTCAGAATTAGTATGTACGTAAGGTTAGTTGGGCCGGTCATTGACTTAATTTGTATATGCACTAGATTGGAAGAGAGGTATGTGATAGCGTATTAGATCCTGTCACGAATAACGGTTCGCTACGGATCGAAAAATTGGAGAATTCGATAAAACAAAACATAACGAAAATAAGAAAGAAAACGACACATGAATTTACGTGGTCACAATGCATGTGTGTTAGCTAGTCAACCGACAGGAGATGTAGTTTCACTATACTTCGAAAAGATACAAATTACAGAAGAGCATGAGAAGTATTTGTAGTACTTCTCCATGTAGTCTTAACCATAATCCAATATGGTACAGAAAAATAATTATATCGAAAGATATCATGTGCTTATCAATGGAGGGCATAAGAATTTGAATAAAAGGTCTATCAATTACAGAAGACTCTAACATCATATCAATTAGTCGCAATAATTCGAATTGTTGATAGAAATTCTACAGTACCAACAGCCAATAACGAGCGTGCAAACTCCTTGGCCCGCAAGAGTGTTTTCTGCCTTTCGAGTTGCGACCTCCGTTGACAATTGGACTTACATGCAAGTGGAACGTATAAATAAGTAAAAATAAAATACCATTTGTATATAGCAAACGCAAAAATAAAATTAAATACCTATGCATCCTCGTCCACTCTATACTTGAGGTAGCAACAAATATATATGATTTTACTAGAAGAATTTATAGTGTCTCCAAGTGGGAGGAATGTGTATATATATGATTTTGTAGAGTAGTGTCTCCAAGTGGGAAGAATCTTGGTGTAATAATTTTTTTATTTTATTATAAAGTATCTCATCAAGCAGCATCATATTTTGGTAGAGCGAGAATCAAGGTTGTTAACTTGATTTAGCCCGTTAACCTGGTCAAGTTATTAGGTTGTGAGTAACTGGTTGAATTGGGGATCAACCAGATTGACCCGATGGACCAAAATATCAATTAAATTAAGGTACCATGTAGTAATTTTCCATTAAATTCACACCCTTCCTCTATTCACATTCCAAGTGCCTCTCTCCATTCTCTCTCAATTTTCCATTTTCGATAAGCTAAGCTTCTCTTAAAGCAAACAGTGATGGCAATTTGAACCCACCCTGAGAGTATTACCTGACCTGACCCGTGATTGGACGGGTATTACCCGACCCGCAGTAGCGTGGGGCGCGGTATGAGTATCTATTTCCAACCCGACCTGCCCCATTCTTGACTCATTTTTATCTATATCATTTTTATGATATTTTGACTTTTCTTCACCTAGGTAGAGTCAATCTTTCAACTTGTTAGACTCAATTTCCCATTCTACTATCACCATTTTTCATTCATAAAGTGTTTTCCCCTTTATTTTGTCGCAAAAAGTAAAATTTGCATGCATTTTTTCCACTAACATGTAAGAGTGTGTCGACCCTCCCGCCATATACCCGTGCGGGTTTTACCCTATGTCACAACCGGGAATTAGCCATTTTGAGAGGCTTCAAACACGACACTCCCAGCCTCCTCTTGGGCTCCAAACCACTCAACCTTGTATAGCAACTTCCCAGATTCCAAACAAGCCTCGTTTTGCCCATTTTCATTGAGCCAATAAAAAGTTGCACACGTATAACGTAGAGCACCTGAAACACGGAGAACACTTGGGCAAAATTCAAGGTTCTTGTTAGTGATGAATGTTGCTTCACGATCAAGCAATTCAAGCTTGTAAATTGACCCGAATTGGATCATATCACAATTAATATAAGTTCTTAATTCCCAAAATTGCAATTAATACACAAAATTCTCAATACCCAAAATACCATTGGTGTAGAGGGGTTGTCAAAATCACAACTCCTCAAATGATTCTAACCATATCTCATCACTACTTAAGAGATTCCAACTTGAGACAAAAATACCGTTTCTATTTTCACTTTTTTTTTCTTCGTTGAATCGCATCCTTCCATTTTATTGCGGGTCATCCAAATTACAACGAAGAGCCTCCCCAGAGTCGTGTAGCCCCTGAAACCTACTCCAACTACACAACAGCAACTATACACATCAGCAACTATAGATCAGCCTATCTATAACAGTCCAATGCTTTGAAAATCAAATCTTAGATGATCCTTGTAGACCATCAACCAAGTAAGAGATGATCTGTCTGATCTCCTGAAACTATGTCTTCAGCTGATTTAGGCGTTGCACCATGACTCCTACATCTCTCATACCATATATTTTTCACTCTCATTGAATGACATATGAAATAGAACAAACCAAAGTCTTAAAAATGTATTATAAATAGTCTAGATAGATCTAGATTATCCATGAGATCATAATTAAGCTTATTTTATCACATGTACAGACATATATAAGGCATTGTGTTTATACTAGTTACTAACACCAACAATAACAAACAACAAAAACAAGTTAAGAAGGGATCGACTACATGACTCGGGCTTATTTCCTGGAGAGCTCAACGTAATAGCCATCTCCAAATTGCAGTGTTGGAGCTCTATAAACTTCTCCTCCTTTAATGGTCTTCCACCTATAAGTTTCACATCACACCCAAAAAAAAAAAACAATATCACTTCAAATTTACAAAAAAAAAAAAAACAACCACTAACTTACTCATAATATGAAATAACAGAAGAACATTGATTAATTGCCAAAATTGGGCAATTTACATATTAAATTGAATATTAACGAGTGCTAAAATATTTATATATTTGCAAAGAAAGCACACCTGTATTTGGTGACAAGAACGTGCACAAAGACTGCCATGAGAGCTCTACTGTAATCAGCTCCAACACATGTTCTCATTCCTCCTCCAAACGGTATGAAGTTTTTTGAGCTTGCATTGGTCCCCTATAAATTTTTGTGAAAATTAACTAATTAATCTCGTCACTAACTTTAGATGATTATCAGAAAAAATAAAACACGTATATATCATAAAGATAATAATGAATGTCCGTCATAAATCGATAGACGATTTTTATCGGTAGTATACAGTTGAACTATGATTAAACCACGATTTTTTTTTTTTGATAATGGTGAAGCTTTATTAGAAAAGGGAACAGCTGTACACAAGGAAACAGGATCAAGAGAGATGATCCTGAGCAGTTCAGAGAGAAAGTAAACAAGTCAACAGAAAAAAAAAAAAAAAAAAAAAACAACGCAACAAGAAATTCCCAGCAAAAGACAGCCCCCACAACGGACACTCAAATCGCCTCCCGTCCATCCTTAAGCTCACCCCCTAAACACCTCAGCCCGCGAAAACAAAATACTTTCCCCCACCGCATCAAGCAGTAACGACAGCAAAGATTCCGCGCAGCCACAGGAAACAGATAAGAACAAGCAAATCCCCCGCGCAGCCACCGGAAACAGCATCGAACCAACTCACCGCCGGGAAAAACCCAATAAGAAAAATCTTTATCGCTAACTATCTCGGTACGGTTTGACTATCCTTGTTAATAATAACATGTAAGATTAATCATAGTTTTGCGAACGAAAACTTAACCTACTTAAACCTAGGGATTATATATTCGAATCGTTTTAATAGCAACTAATTATATATAAAAAAAAATAAAGTAGTTACCTTCCATCTCCATGGATTAAAAGAAAGAGGGTCTTCATAAGAATCCGAATTCATGTGAACGGCCGTTGGCATGACGGCAATCGTCCATCCTTTTGGAATCACATACCCTATAGACCAATTTCACAAACCAAATTAATTGAACCTCCTTTAACTAATAATTCGATTCATAAAGGAACTAGATTATTAGATGAAGCTTAATATTTGGACCAACCATTTACGTGAATGTCATCGATTGCTCTTCTTATGATCCCTAATGAACCATTTAGTCGAAGTATTTCATTGATAACCTGGAAAAATAAAAAAAAATAAAAACACGTCCAAACCCAAGAAACTGTAGTTAGATTGGTTAAACATAATTAATTTAACGACTTTAATAACTCAAATAATTTGAATTATATATTATATTTATGGGCTGGCTCGCTTACATTCATGGTGAAGTTCATGGATTTATATTCCTTCCAAGTCACCTCGCCCTCTTTGCTTTCTCTTGCCCGAAGAATCTCTTCGTTCTCTTTCTGCACAACCAACATTTGTAAACCTTTCTGCCTTGCATAATGCACATATATATATATATAACTAAACCCAGTTGGTATATGATATTAATATTGTTTTTTTTTTCTTAACGTACCACAAGTTCTTCCATAGCAAGCGGATTCTCGTGCAACAGCTTCATCACCAGCGTCAAAACGGCGGGAATCGTCTCGGCGTTGGCGAAGAGAAGAGCGAACATCACGTAACCGATGCCTCTGTCGCTCACGGAGGTCTGTAATTTCTCGTCGTCGATGAGACGATCCAACATGTCGTAATTAGCTCCCGTTGTTGGTGTTTCTGCAGTACTTGATGACGATGAATCGTGTCGCTGATCTCGTTTCGACTTCATTGTATTCGTAATCATCGTAATAATTTTCTTCTGATTCTGGAGATCGATCATGTATTTAATTAATATCATGCATGTAATTAACAAATCACACACGCCGTAGATATGAGAGTAGTGTGACGGCGTCGTACTTGCAAGCAGGAATGAAGAACGGTGCCGGGCAACTTGAGTGGGAAGGAGAGTAGGCCACGTCTGAATTCGGTGAACATCTTGCTGAGATTTGGGTCGGTGGTTAAGGGGTCGTAACCTAACATTATACTTAAGCTCAAATCCATCGTCATCTGCATATTTAATCAATGTACATTAGTATCAGACTAAATTTCGGTTAAATAATAGAGTGAGAGTGTCTTCGAAGAATGTTGAATATATTTTGTTTTTGTTTTTGTTTTTATATTATAAAGCGATCTACATCATGGCCGGCCCAGGCCCGCAGCCAATGGCCATGTGCCGCCCAGTTGGCTTACGGCAGCATAGTAATGCCAACCTGAGGCCTGCAATTTTATGCACTAAATCTGGCAATTTCTGTTATGCCCACCGCAGCATCTGGGAATGAGGGGGCATTAAATAGATGGTAAAAATATTCGTAATCGTGAATATCCGTTTGAATTCGATTTAATTGGGTAGGGTAAAACTCGAACTCGAAGGACTTTTAGTGAGTATGGGTAAAACCCTAACCCGAATATTGCGAGCAATGGGTGTGCATGGTTTTCTCACTATCCAATCCGAACCCGCTCGATTATACAAATGCATATGTATTTTGTCTAGAAGTAATCAATATTTTGCTCTAACATATTTTATATTTAGCTTATAAATATAATATTTTCATGAAATTTTGTTGTTTTAATTGATTTTCTTCATTCTAGTGAATTATTGTTGTATTTTTCCTCTTATGTAATGTGTGGATACCCAAAACCCCGAACGGGTATGGACATGGTTTTGATTTTCTACCCATTTCTTATGTGGGTATAGATACCCGAACTACTTTGAATAAGGTAATGGATATGCAATATCCGCCTCAGGCCTGATTATTTTTCATCCCTATCCAGGACCTCACGGGACGACCTACCTTGTGGCGGCACCACTATACTTTTTATTATTATTGACAGGTGATACTCCAAAAATAATCGTTGCCGTCGGGGCTTGAATTCAGGACCTTACCTAAGACGATGCACCAACTAGGCTAGCCTCGTTTCGCCAATATTTTTTTTTTTTTTTTAGCTAATGTTTTCATTTGAAATTTTTAAGAATATGTGATCATTATGGTGTAAAAATTTCATTATAATTTGAACGTTGAGCAATACAATTAAGATGAATTTTTTTTTATTTTCAGTTTCATCATAAATAAAAACCTTTCTTTTCGATTTGAAAATTTTAAAACAGCTGTGTATATTTTTTTTTTAAAAAAAAGATTATTTACATGTTCAACCAAAACACTTGAAGTTCAAGTCATACTTAGCATTAAATAATAAAAATATACAGTGCTATAGCTACCTTGGCGGTGGCAGATCTGACTTCCACGCGTCCCGTCGTCCACGAGTCCAGAGTCCGATTCACGACCCGATCCATGAAGCCCAACAGGTCTCCCTTCAAGCTCTCGATGCCAATGTGCTCCTGAATGAGCTTCTTCAGGTTCTTGTGCAGGCTCCCGGCGGTGGCGACTTCCTTCAGCGGGCCGCGCTGGCCGACGAGCTCGGCGAAGGAATCCATGTACCACAGCTCCACCAGCTTGCCTTCCTGTTGGAGTATGAAGTGGTTGAAATCCGGGTCCGCCGACATCACCACCGCCCTCCCCGCCACGCTCGTCTTGAATATCTTCCCGTACCTTGTATATATACGATTCATAATTAACTTTCTCTCAACAACTCAACTTAACGAGGTCAATTAGTTCATGACATCAGATCTGATCAAATTGGGGTATGGCCGAACCTCCATGACGCCAATATTAACAATTTATCTAAGCATAATGTCTGTTGGACATATACAAACTTCACAATCCCGGCCCAACACATAAGTTCATAGATTAGGTTCAGTGACATCCAGAGGTGACAAATGAATTGAATCTATGGATTGGATTGATCTACTGAATCCAAATGACATTCAAGTCTTGAACTAATATGTAAATTTTGAAAAATTTGGTACTAAAATGTCATAATAAAAAACTTTAGGTACCAAAAACTACTCGCTTGAAGTTTGCACGTAGTGATGTAGCCACGTTAATCTCATGGAAGGCTATAGCTCCTCTCAACTTTCAAACGTAGATAAATTCAAATATAAAATTTCTAACAAATTTGGAAAATAGTATAGTCGTTAAGACTCTAGCTAGCCCCATCCGTAATGACCACGGTTCAAATCTCTCAAGCATAGATTTATTGGGGGTCGACTGTTTGCACAGCTCCGAATAGCATATACTTCACAAACGAATTAAAACCGACTAATCCCAATAACTCGATTCGTCGTTGAACGGAAGAGGTGAATGTATTCAACAGACTCTGCATATATACTCACTTTTGGATTCTTGAGCTGAGGAAAAGTGGGACGTCCAACGACCTGCTGGGGCTGAAGAACTGAAACGTCTCCCCGATGAAGGGCAGCCCCATGGAACCAGGAGGCAGAGTGCCCTTATCGCATTTCGGGTTCCTCCATCTGTACACCCACTGCCCTACAGCTACGACCACCAGCCCTAGCACCAAAGACACTACTACTTCAGTTGCCCACATCTTTCCTTAACCCTCTTCCCACACTTTGTGTTGTTTGAAATGAGACGAGAGCGATCGAGATGATAATATTCTTGCATATTATGTCTCTATTTATAAAAGAAACAGGATACTTTTTAAGTTCAACAGTCGGCCGTATACGTAGGTTCATCATCAGCAGATACTTCATAAATCACAACCGTTTGCAGATGCCATGACTTTGGGGACAGTCGAGATTTAATTCTGGCATAATGTACGCCGGTCAGAAATTAGTGGTGTACGTAATTAAAGGTTGGTTGGGCAAGTCATTATCTTGATTTGTGTGTGAGAATGACGCGACCTGTTGTTATGGTGAATACTATGTATTTGTTGTTATTCCTTCCTTGCGATTTCCGTTGACCATTGGACATATATGCAAGTGGATATATCATATAAGTGAGAATGATTTGATGTATCTTGTTTTAGGGGTGGCTATACGGTCCGGTTAAATTGGCCCGAATTGATCCGGTTCTAGTTTGGTTTTTTCGGGAATATAAGGACCAAAGTTTGGATTGGATACGTTCCGGTCTTGACCCGGTCCAGTCCCAATTCGGTCTTGATTTTGGATTGAACTTGTGGGGATTTGAGTGGCCTGATGACTCAAAGAGTGAGGAGTTGGTTAAGTTTTGGGTGTTGAGCTCTCTTATCAGGTCTTTATCCGGTTTTTTATCTGGTCCCAAACGATTTTTTACCTCAAATCTAAGCTCGAAAATTATATTGAATTGTTTGCTATCCGGTTCCGATCCGATTTCGGTCCGGATTATACAGACCGGTTTCGAATAAAACCAAATAGCCACGCTAGATTTCAAGTAAGCAACAATGATCGATTGATAGTTTATTCCCACCAATGGCTGTGTCTCGCCTGCATGGGAACAAGTACGCAACACGAAGGCCAATCTGTATGGCTAATCACATTACATAAACTCCATTATTTGCGGACCAGTCCAAAAAGCTTGTAAGGAAGTGGTTAAGCACCACATACGGACCTGTATAAGATCCAGCATAACTTTTTCCCAACAACTCGAGTTATTGGGACCAACTGGTTAATGACATGGTATCAGAGCTGGTTTGTCCATGAGGTCACGTGTTCAAGTCCTCACGACCCCCAATATTAATCATTGTCTTTCAAGCACATGGTATGGCGGGCCTGTGCAAACTTCAAGCCCATGAGTCGGCTTTCGTTTGAGGGGGCGTGTATGGAAGTGGTTAAGCACCACACACGGACCTGTATAAGATCCAGCATAACCTTCTCCCAACAACTCGAGTTATTGGGACCAACTTGTTAATGACAAAGCTTGCAAAAGCAGAACTAGAGAAGTCCGGCAAATTGGACGGGTTTTGGTGAATGTTGTGGATTTGATTTAGCTCGTTGGCTCGATTGTGTATATCGTACAAACGAAAACAAATTTAACGTGTTTTACTGACATAATGTGTGCTAACTAATCAATAGATTAGAAGAAAACAAATTTCACTGATTTTGAAGAGAGTACAGATGAGAAACCAAATTTCGGAACAGACCAAACAAACGAATTAACCTGACTGACCTAACTATATATTAGGGTGATAAAGAGTATGCATAGAACTTTTCTCCTAATCCCAAACAGAAAATCAAACACATTTTTTCCCAAACCTACAAAGAAAAGACCAAAACAAATCTCAAACACAAACCCAAACCCAAACAGAACAGGCCCAAAACACAAAACAAAAAAATTAAACCCAAATTAAATTCAAGTTCTATTCTAATAAATATCCACCTTGACTTGAATTCTTTCTCAAATACCAAATGTACCAGTCGCAATCGGAACCAAAGTTATCAAATGCACCCAGATGCAATCAATATCACCAAGCTCAAATGATATGCAAATCACTGAACTCATATGCAATAAAACTTGCCATGACATAACAACTCTCCAAATCTACAGATGTGCAAAAATCTCCCAGTCTCCAAATGCGGAACCAGCTTGCTTTATAGTACAAATTGTAATCGAAATTTTTTTTTAACACATTTCATAACATAAAGGTATATATTCTTGATATAAATTAAATTTATACATTTATTTTATGGTGCAAACTGTACTTTTTTATGGTTATATCAAAATTGAATTAAACACTAGGGTTGCAAACTGCAAACCCCTTCTCCAAGTACAAACCGTGCAGATAACACCAACTACTCAGTGAACAAAACTGCTAAGAAACAAGACAATATAACCTATCTATGCATCATTACATCATAAAAGTACAAATTGTACTTAATACTTATACAATAACATAAAAATACAAATTATTTTATAATACAAACTAAACTCGCACATTCGACATTATGATATAAGTTCAACTTATACATCGAAAACAACAATGTCTGAGAGCATAGTAAGAAAACTCATTCAAAAAAACTCATTCAAAACTTGGGGGCAAAAAATGAAACGCCAAACCAAACCAAATACGGGGAAGGAAAACGAGAGGTTCATCCACATCCTTCTTACAAAACCACCTCCCGGTCAAAAATCCAACTAAACTCCACGGCTTCCTTCTTCATCTTCTTCGCCCTCTCATCAGCCCGCTCTTGCAACCTCCTGATCCTCTGCGCGAGCCCACACACATACTCCTGCGCCATCCTCCCTTCACCGTCCAACCCACATCCCAACTTCTCCAGCCCCCACCGTCCGACCAAGAACTCCAGTATGTCCGCGTAGTCCCCCGCCGTGTAAACCCCGAGCCGCTGCGCCACCGCCGAGTAATGCTGGAACAGCTGCGGGTCCCTGCCGTCGTACATCAGATGCGCAGGCATCGTGATGCTCCTCCGCATCATGTCCGCCACCGCCAAAACGGCGCCGTTGGGGTCCAGCTCGAGCAGCTTCTCGACGATGCGGGTGTAGGCCAGCTCGTGGCGCTTCTCGTCGGCTGCAATGACGCCGCATATCCGAGCCAGCACCGGATCGCCGCCTTCCTTCGCGAGCCGGGCCGTGTTGCCGTGTGATATGAACGTGGCTCGCTCCTGGAATGAGGTGTAAACGAACCCCAAGTACGGGTTGTTCTCCAATCCCGGGTCCTGTAACATCATGATATAACTGTGATATGATGTCATCCAATAATAATTTTTTGAAATGTAAGACTTCATACCAACATTATATTGCTATCATATGATGATATTATCACTATACGACAATAATATAATGTACATATTATTTTTTTTTCAAACATAAGATTTCATATCAACATCATATCACTATCATATCGACATAGTACTGCTATCGATGGTAATATTGTAACATCGCACAGTGATAAAATGACCATAAAAATTTTTGTTTGCAGAAATTTCGAAATGGATTTCCCGTAGAGCACAAAAATATGATAGTTCTACACAAAAGAAAAAAAATTAAATCCGATGTGGTACGAATGAGCTATGATCTGTTGACTTTTCGTAGGAGATTTGAAAAATTTTCGTAGGAGATTTGAAAAATGTTTACACAGAACACAGCTGAACATCCACGTCAACTTAAAAAAAAATCGATAAACTCTCCACAAACTCTTACTTTCCTTCCTTACTGCTCTTCAAAGATGACCATTAGATCACAACTTCTATATCAATCTGCAATCATCCATTACAATTTTGTATTCTAACCCAAACCTATACATTGGTCTCAGTTATTAATGAATTACTATAAAAAGCAAACCACTTGCAGTATCAAAACATTCTTTACACAAAGTTTACCTAAAAAGGGAGAAAAAGATACTACTCTTATTTTCCGAACAAAGAAGGAAAAGAAATATTATCTATGAATCCAAATATCCCCCCTTGTGGCAAACACAGCAGTAAATTGAATACTATGCGCTCCCTTTGTAATTAATAAGGAAATAAATTTTTTTGAAAATTTCTGACTCGAGCAAGCGTCGCATCGAATCGGCCAGTAAATCATGCATTTTTATCTCAGTTTTTACAGCCAAATCTCGCAAACAGTAAAAAAGTTTGCGGAGATAAAAAGAAGAAATCAACTAACCATGCCGGATCCAATGAGATACTGGACAGTCCGCTCCACCATCCGCATGTCGACCCGACCCGACAAGTACAAGAAAGTCCGGAGCAGATCCCCGTGTCGATTCTCCTCCGCGGTCCAGGCCCGGTTCCACACGGCCCATGGGCTCGGGCTCGCCCCGGTCTCGTCCCTGACCCCATCGAACGTGTTAATCATTGTCTCGTAGGTCGGGAGCGCGTCCTCCGTCACCATGTCCCCCACCAGCACCACGAAGTACTCGTCGCTGAGCTCCGCCGTCCGCTCCCTCAGCAGCCGCACCTCCTCCGCGAACTCGGCCGCCGGCAGACGAGGGTCGGGCAGGAAGTCCTGAGGCTGCCAGCATTTCTCCACCGGCTTCAGCAGCGGCAGCACGTTGTCGGCCGCCCAACCTTCCAGCGACTTGAACATTTCGATCCGCTCCGCCGCCGCCAGCGACGTGCGCGTGGTGTTTCGGTAGTGGCCGGCGGCGGATGTGATTGTGTGTCGGCCACGAGGGATCTGGACAAGGCGCTGGGCGCGGGCGGTGACATTGCAAGAGGCTTGCATTTTTTTTTTTTCGTTTTTTTTTTCTTTTTGATTGGGGTTGGGGAGTGATGGAAGTAAAGAGTGATATGGAGTATGGACCACGTTCAGCGGAAAGTGTGTATTTATAGTATATGCGTGTTTTGTTTGTGTTAAAAATAATGAAAGAAATATATGTAACTTGTAAGTAATCTTCCATAAAAAGTAGGTTTGGGTGGATGAGGGAATGTATTGGCGCCAGAAGTCAATGATTAAGTGTAGCGGTGTCGATCGGGTGGGTCTTGGCAGTTTTAGGTTGGATTCAATTGGGTTGTGGGTTAATTGGATTTCGAGTTAGTTGAGTTGGAGGTTGATTGGGTGCGGGTTGCGGGTTATTTGGATTTTCGGTCAATCGGATTATCAGTTGATAGGGTTGCAGGTCGGGCAGGTTGTGGACGGATCGGGTTGCGGGTTGTTTGGGTCAGGGCATCAAGTTGTTCACTCGTTAGTACAATTTGCACATTTTATTACACTCATTTAAAATATTTTTCCACAATTTTAATCAATTTCTTTCTACATCGCATATGTACTTAATTATAAAAGTTAAAGAAACTTGTCAAAGTGTTCGAATTAATTTGTTTGACTTGCAAACTTGTCATATAATTAATTGCAATTGGTATTAAAAAAAAACTCTAGCTAATAGTTACAATAATATAAACATTTTCAAGATTTCATCCAATATCCTAATACAACCACAAATTAAAGAGTGGATTGAAAAAACATGTAAGTAAAAAATCACAATGAAAATTGAGAATAACTAACTACAAGTCTTCAAGAAACCTTCGGGATGGGATTAGGTGCTAACCCTTATAGAGGTTAGCACCGTGATAACTAGCAAAAATCACTACGGATTATTATAAAATCAATACAACATCTAAGCTAAATCACTACTAATTCAAACTAGTAGTAGTTTTTCCTTTGGTTAGAACGGTGCTAACTATTGTACAATTAGCACCGTAACCCCTCCCGAAACATTCAAGTGATGGACTTAAGTGGTGTCTAGTACATAATTTGCAAACACAATCTTTTAACTTACTGGATCTTCAAGTCTTCAATACGTTATATACAATACTGAGAATTGAAACAGGAAACTCCTATTTAATTTTGGTGGGAAAAACGACACTCGCTATATAAAATATGGTAAGTATAATCTTGTATTTTTAAAACAAAAATGTATCGTTTGCAAAGAAGCACTTTACAGCTTTTTAAAAAATCAAGCTTCTAGAGGTGTTCGCCCGATTTGAACCTTTGAAGAATCAATACAATTCTAAAAACTGGGCCAAACATAAGCTATACATATAGTCAAGGCATGCTCACGTTTAGTGTATATACATCACATATCGATATTTCAATGTACTTCGACGAATCTGAATCGTCTATTTTTTTAATTGAATTGATATTAAGATTTGAGTTTGGAGATTAGAAATGTGAAGTCACTCATTCAGTATTAGGGTATAGTACCATATACCCAAAATACATTTTGTTAATGTCTAATTAGCGTCATCTCATTAGGCATACGTACGGTATATGCATGCTGCAATAAGCGTATGAACTTGGATGGTATACATATACGTGGTGAATTATATGGTACCTCTGTCAATTTGGGATACCAAATGTCCTTTCTAAGATAACAGTACCTCATGAGTTAAGCAGAATTTTTAGTAGTCTTAATAGTTAATACACGTGCTTAGCCATAACTTTGCACGTTGTGACAATAATAGTAACATTTTAAAAAATACACAGATATAGCTAAAATTAAAAAAAAAATTAAAACTAATTTGAAAAATATAGCCATTTCCGTTAAAAAAATTCAACATTGTTAGCTCTTTGTTGATGTGGACGTACACGTAATCTACAAGTCAAATATGAGTCATCTATTCCAAGCCACGTGTCAGCCACCTCATTTTTTTTAGTGAAATAAAGAAAGATTACCGGGATCCGGAGACAGGCTCCCCCTCACTGCCATTCGACATCCCTTCCATCCAGCCATCGCAGCCCGCCACTCCAATAAAGAACCCAGTTTCCCCATAAAATCCTGAACCGACGACATGAGAATCTCAACAAACAAAGAATCGATACTGGTGGGAATGTTTAGCAACCCAAAAGTCCAAAACCCACCAAGCTTCACGTTGTTAGAGAGTAGTATAAGATCCAACATAATCTTCTCCCAACAAGTCGAGTTATTGGGACCAACTGGTTTATGACATGGTATCAGAGCCTGGTTTGACCAAGTGATCGTGTGTTCGAATCTCCACGACCCCCAATATTAACAGTTAATTAAAGCACAAGGTATGGTGGGCCTGTGCAAACTTCAAGTCTGTGGGCTGGCTTTCGTTTTAGAGGGCGTGTTAGATAGTGTTATAAGATCCTGCATAATCTTTTTCCAACAACTGGAGTTATTGGGACCAACTGGTTTATTACACATGCAACGCAATTTGAAATCCAAAAACTCAAACCTTACATCTCCATCTCTTCCAGCCTCTGTGTCGTCATTCCCAAAATCCTTATGTAACCCAGAAATCGCAATGAGGAGAGAAGGAAGAAGTGGAGAAAGAGCAGGGAAACCTATAAATCCCAAAATAAAAAACTCAAACCCTCCATCTCCTACAGCCAGCAATTTCAATTTCTTGTAGGCTATTGGCAGCGAGATTTGATGACTCTGTCTAATATGGCGCCATAGACAAATTTGACTTCTTCCTCTCTCTCTGTAAAATGGAGTTCTCCTGTCATCTTGGCCAGATTGAAGCAACTTAGTCCCCGCCGTCCTGATCCTTTTCGTCCCAAAACCCAGTCATCTGAGTACTTTGCCGCAGATATAAATTATCAATCTTCGGTCGGGAAGAAGAGGCGACTAGCGGAAGAGAATGGTAAAGGTATATGCGACTAGAAAAATCCATGAGTCGATACGGTACTCGCTCCTCGACAATGGGATTCGGGTGAGGCCGGTGCTTTGTTTTTTCTTGAAGGTCAAGTCTATTAGAAGGCATCTTGAAATTTCCTCATTGCACTCAAAATTGTCGATGTTGTCTTCTCTAATTGCAACAAGTATTTTTGAACTGTGGATGCGGCTTTAACTGCTTCCTTTCGCGTGACCGATTTCGAAGGTGTTGAATCATCATCTTCTTCATCCTCAACTGAATTCTCACTAACGTCGGCCACTATTTCTTCCATACTTGTGCCTCAATACATTCATCACTTTCACCTGGATACTCCAACAACTTACTTCATTGATGAATTTTCAAAAATTACTAATAACTACTATAAATTTTAATTTTCACGGTCCCTACTATATTAATTTATAGAAGTTTTACTTTACATCCATTGAAAATTCATTCATAGCTTCATTACTCATTTGACACTTAAGTTTGAGGTACTTCGTAGTGAAAAATGTTCTTTCAAAGCTTCTATTAATTAATAGTAACAACACTAATTTCACGTGTTGATATGCCAATGAAAAACGTAAATGAACCTATACATTAGAAAACTAGCTGTGATTAATTATCATGTGAGTAATATCATAATAATAAAAATATGTTATAGTCGCAACCTTCCTTCACCAGAGAGCCATGTTTCCCTGTAACACGTCCTATAATGACATGAATTGCAATGTCATATCGTATCGTTTGATCCAACCATTAATATCTACAAAGTTGCTTAGCTGATAAAATAGAGTCGAATTGGAATTGGACTGTCGGCGACAATCCTATCAATTTTGGTCACACATGCACATTTATTCAAAAACACGATTATTATACATACATTTGTCTCAATTATTAATATTTTTAACTGCTAGTGCGTTTCATCATTTGTCGATGCCCCTCTGAAATGTAAAGGGTGTCGGGGTAAGATTTTGGTGCACGTTTTTAGCATATTTTGCCGCTGGTAGGGTTGAGTTCTTGAAAAGCATATGCCAAAGGAGTCAGTCATATCATAATTATATGGAGTAGGACTGTAGAAATATATACTATTACACATGATACTAGCAGTAATTATGATAAACCTAACTTTGGTCACACATGCACAATTAACACATGCATGAGACTATCTTTGTTTGTCGACGCAAATTATTTTTGTCTCGATTAGTAACCCACTCAAAATTCTAAATCCAAAAAGAGATTAAATACATTTTTAAAATTACATAATCACTACAATCTCCCATTCAATCATTACAATTTTACAATCTCATCGACATAACCAGGCACATATATACCACACATTTCGATTGCCACTCTGCGATGGTTTTGCAGCCACCTCTGGAGGGGAGCGGATCTCATTAGTAAATTTGTGGTGCACAACCATACATAATATGTCACACCAACATTATCTCGTCATTTATGGAAGGTTTTAATTTTTCCTCACCAAACATATAATTTACCCTATATTAGCTATACTCTTTTTTCCTCTATTAACTTCCAAACACTATTAGCAACTCCCTAGTTGGCATTATAATAGAATAATAATTACGCTCACAACTAAAATTCGATGATCCACTTTCATTGACAAATGCACTAAGCAACTTAATTTATCGGTACTAAGGTGCAACTTCTTTTGTTGTTAAATTAAGGATAAATACTATAATAGCCAAACCTTTCATTTTAAACAAAATAATAATCAAAACTTTTCGAAAACAATATGATCCCAAAACGGTCGCCCCCAATTCCCAAAATGCTTGATTGCCCAAAACAGTCGCACTACACCTAAATTAAGTAAACGGAGAATACAAAATCAATGTAGCACTTTGCCAATTTTTTAACTTTTATTATATAAATTTAGTATAAATAGGTTGTCTAAAAATTAAAAATATATATATATATTATTAGTGTAATAAATAAAGAGTTAGTTGTGAGGAGTAAAAGAGTAATTAAGTAATATAATGTGCTGACCCAAACAACTCGCAATCTGATCCACTCACAACCCATCTGACCCGTAACCCGGTGAATCCATAACCCGAACCTGATGAACTGGTAACCTGATCAATCCATTATCCGAATAATCCATAACTCGATAAATTCAAACCCAAAATTCAACTAACCTGTAACCCGACTGAATCTAACCCGAACCTGCCGATTGACACCAGATCCACTTTATTGACCGTGGGAATCACCCAAAGACCCAATTGTTCCATGCTTTCAGAAACGACGGCCACTTCATTCTAGCACGAGCTTGAATCTACTATATTCTCCGAGAAAATGACAATTGGGAGGATAGAGATTAGCCCGGCGATGCTCTCTGTTTTGATTTTCTTGCCGAAGAGAGCTTCCTCGAGCTGGCTAGTAAAACCATCGTTGGTCTCGGAACCTATGAAGTACACAAAAACAGCACACTCCGACTTTCTACTATGAGAAAAAGAAGAAGGAAAGCACTCAAGTCTCAAGCTTTGGAAGAGGAGGAAGACATTAGAGTGGAGGTTACTATTCCGATTTCTTTCTCGTAAGCTTCGCAAACGCACAAGCGCGATTCTATCTATAATCATTTACTATTTAAGTGATCTTGAAGTGTAAAATCGTAAATTTTTAAACTTTAAAACGTAGATTTTGATTTTTGACTACAATTGTAAGTGAAAAACGTTAGGTACCACCAACAGCGGGAACATGCTAAAGTATTCAATCACATGCCAATACATCCAAATATATACCAAAATTAGGGGGGAAAAGATTGAAGATTAACATACAGATCATAGGCATGACTCAAATTCTCTGGGCTGATCAGCAGTTCGACATGGACTGGAAATCAGTATTGAGGTATCCAATCCCAACCTGCACTGATGACAATCTACATAAAGCAACTTTATAAGTCAAATTGCCAAAAATGAACTTTCATAACCAGCTTGCATAAATCTGTGAAATCCTGGAGAAATGTTTTAAAGCCCAAGGAAGCAAATGAACTATTTCTGTCCGAATTGTCTAAATGAATCAAGTGAACGATTCTGATACAAATACACAGAAGATATCGTCGCAATGAACAACAATTGGTTGTCCATTTTCTTCATTTCCATAGACCCTCAAACTAGCTACTAGCAATTAGTACAACAGAGAGATGCCCATCCTTTTGATTTTGATGCTCTTCAATTTCTCAGGATCTACTCCCTTGCCTGGTTGAATGGAAAATCTGAAGGAACCAATGAGCCCAGCATATCTATCATACCAAGGTTCTGCTTCATCTCGTATTACTTCCTTGGTCTTGCCTAACAAGTTCTTCTCATACCATATATATACGATATCCGATTTGATCCCACCGAAACCAAAATTATAAAGAGAACTCCGAGATGTCAAGACAGTGGTGTCGATGTTGCAATCGCAAGTTATAGACATTGGCACGTACCATATGTCAGAAGAAAAAACAACTCCATATGCAATCCCCTTTATCAGTCGCTTAGTACTGGAGTTAGGGGGAGGCAATTGCACAATCATACATGAATCATTCTTATAATTCAGGCTTTTGCAGGCAAACCATTCTGGAATCTCACTTCCCGAATACTGAAGAACACCCTATAAACACCAACAAAGATAGTCTCGTTAAAAAAAACATCTTTAGGTTTTCAGCAATCAGGTGCACGCCCATAAATTAGTGTCTATCATGTACCCACCTATAACAGTAGGTTTGATCAGTAAAATTAAAATTTAATTTATAGCATCACTTATACAATGATGTAAGCTAGAATTGCAACTGAAGAATTTATCCATTTAAGAATCACTAATTAATGAATTTATGGGTTTACCTGGAAATACTAGAAATGCTGAAAAAGTACAAGTAGTTCGCAAATGATTTTTTCCCCAAAGAAACATACATTCTTGGTCATCATTATACAATTGAAGATTGTGATAGTTACGAAATCTAATAATGGAATATGACAACAATAAGAATAGTGCAGTGAGTGCACCGAAAGTGTATATATTATATGCATAACAAACACAGTTATAGTACTGAAATATTGATATACCTGACAATGTCGATACGAGGTTGCATGATTAAGGAAATTATGCACCATTTCTCTAGGTAGTTTCATGTCTAATTGCGGGCAATCTTCAAAATACAGTTCCTTCCATCTCAGCCTGCATATGTTGCTTGGTAAGGCTTTTAACGACTTGCAACCGCTTACATACAAAATGAGAAGATTGGGTGGGAGTTCAGGCAAATATTGAATCCCCGAACAGCCTATCAAGCACAAGTTGGATAACTTGACGAGTTTATGGATGTTGTTCGGGATGAATTCTAGGCTTTCATTGAAAGACAAATCCAAAAGTGAGAGCTGGTCAAGCTCCAAGATACAAGCAGGCAGGGACTTCACATCCGTGTCTTTGAAATAGAGTAGCTGCAAAGATTTCAGATTGTTGATACCAGTTGGAAGACTCTTCAGGTTCTGACATCGACTTATTCTAAGCTGAGTTAAACCAGTCATAGGCAGTGAGATTTCAGGCAGAGTTTCAATCGCAGGGCAATCCTGGAGAATGAGTGTTTGACAGACCATCTTCCAAATATTCCTTGACAAACTCCTGAGTTGGGGGTTGTGAACCAAGTCCAATCGAACAAATCTTGGCAAAGAACCCTGCCGGTCATCACAATCATCATCAAAACAATCCATATCTTTTATTGTGGTATGGCACAACCAAAACTGTTTCAAGCTCCCTGAAATCTTAGGGAAGTTGGTGATGTGTTTGCCGCAGAGACCTAGTTTGCCACCCTGCTTGATATTGTAAATTGCAGCCGACAAGAGTACAACCGGAGTCTCCATTAAATCCAAAACCTCCAAGTCTCCAGAATTAATCTCAGGACAACGAGTGACCTTGGGACACTTGGACAACCGAACATACTTGAGGAACTTTGAGTTGAGTTTTGCAGGAACACTCCGCAGATTTGTACAATCACGGAGGTCTAGTACTACCAGCTTGTCCAGATCTTGAATGTGAGATGGTAGCTCAACTAGTCTTTTGCATCCCCGGAGAAAGAGGTACTCCAGATTGGGAGACCCCCACAAGTCTGGAATTGCAACTAAATTTATGCAATGGGAGAGGTTAAGCAAAACTAGATTCACAAGTTTTGGCTGCACAACAACAACAAGAATTATATAAGCATTATAGTCGCTCGAGTATATGAATGATAATGCACTACTGAAACCCGCTCCAACAATTAAATAAAAATCATTTGTTAGACAGACAACCAAAAGAACTGGGGATGAGTTCGGATACGTAAAAGCATAACAAATTCATGCACTTATTTACAAAGCAACTCTCTCTCCGTTAAAGGAGAGTGTTTGAGTATCGTCTTTAAGGTTTGATTTACATAGAATAACTTTACAGACTGATCTTTTTAACGAGTTAACAGAGTTATTTACAGACTTATTTGCAAAGTAACTACAAAGTAACTCTCCCATCAGCCAACCAGAATGCATCACTTGATGCACTCTTTCATTTCAACGGCATTAACAAATTTCAATTTTTCACATAGAATAATCAAAGTTTATGAAATCAAAAATTAATATCCATTTCAACTTTTAACCCAAGGACATGCCTGATGCTCATTTGTTCCACTTTTATCACGGGTTAAAGACCTATGGCTGCCAAGTGGTAGACATTTCACCATCACTGCAAAGGGCAGTCTCTTTGGCATGTCGATGGGAGGCCTAAACTAAGTTTACTTCAAAATGTATCAGAGTGATTACCAGTTCTTGAGTGAGATTGGGAGATTCAAGGGTCCAAAAGTTTGAACTCATCCCCAACAGAATAGTTTTTAACATACCTGAACTTTCCAGCATCTTTCCATTATTGAGCTCCCACGTAAAGAAAGCACGAGCAGGTTTTCGGGAGAAAAACTTGATGGTAGAGATTTTGAAGGAAACTCATCCCACCGCAACCACCTTAGACTGTTAGGAAGGGTATCAAGACCACCACATGGTACATGAACTTTGGAAGCTCCATAGTCATTTCTTGAATCGAAGCGGAGATATCTAAGAGAAGTCATCCCTTCAAAGGCGTTGGCTTCCAGACGCATATCCTTGACTTCGGAAAGGTTCAAACAAATGCCTTCAGTTGCTCTACTTCCATCAAAGGCACTCTGGTGCTTCTCTTTCACTTTCAAAATGTTCAAACAATTGAATCTTCTTGATGTTTTGACCTTTCCAACTTCTAATAACTTGTGAATGTCATCTGAATTCTTCAATCTACTGCACTTTTCAAGTTTTGATTCCTCGCTAACTATGCTCCAAGCCATTTCTCTTAGCAAATCATGAACCTTGATAGCCTCTACATCAATGTCTTCATGGAAGAGATCGATAAGCAAGGACTTATCAATTAAATCTTCGATGTAACTAGTGGAGAAATATTTAATCAGAATGGATTTCGGAACACTTTGAAAAAAACAAGCAATATCCAAAAACACTCCCTTCTGAAGAGTTTCCAGCACATCATAACTTCTCCTAAGCACATCATGAATTTCTGGTTTTGGAATGTTTCCCAATTCACACAAGAAACTCTTCCAATAACTCTTGTCTTTACGGAACAATGCACCTCCTAGGACTTTAATGGCTAAAGGGCTGCCCTTGCAGTATTTTACAGCATCATTTGATAATTTCAACCAATCCTCGGGTGGAAAGGGCTGTCTAAAAGCATGTATCCTAAACAGTTGAAGCGATTCATCACGACACAAACTCTTCACTTCATATATACAAGCCTCCGCATAATCAAGCACTCTTCGGTTTCTAGTTGTCAGAATAATTATGCTTCCCGGAGCAAAGAGATTCGTAGAATTCAGAACATCTCCCAGCAACAACTGTTCTAACTGCCATAATGTTTCTACACTATCAAGAACAAGGAACACCCTCGAGCTGGTAAGTCGTTCTCTTCTGTAACTGATATCCAGGTTTTGGCAGGTTAAGTTATCCTCTGACAATAATATTGAATAGAGTTCTTGTACCATTCCTTCAATCCCAGATTTCTTTTCAAGCTTCTCATTGATGTTCGGAACAAAGTGATGCTTGATTTGTCTTCCAGAGGATACAAATGATTGATAGCAAGCTTTAGCTAGAGTGGTCTTTCCAACACCACCCATCCCCCAAAGCCCAATGATGCGGAACTCATCTTTGTTCATAGCTAATAGTTGTTCAACCTCGGAAACACGAGCATCCATGCCTATCAAGTTATCAAACTTCACTCTGCGTGACATGTGAACGAGTGTTTTCCAAACATCATCAACTATGGCCTCAACTAGTTCAGATTCAATCCTAAGAACCCAAAAGGGAAATAAAGAAAAAACCAAATCATGAGTAGGGAGTCATGTTGGGAGAAGCAATTATTTACTTATGAGTAAGAAGGCAGGTCTTAACTAGGATTAAGCAATACTTACTTGATTGCCTGTGAAGTATGGCCCGCACAATTAGAGACAGCTCTCAGAGCATCCATCCATCTCTTCCTTTCCTTGGGAGATCTGCCACCACCATGACTCTGCGCAATGGCAGCAGAATAACTTCCAGAATGCTCTGATACATCCGATGGATCGATTTTGTAGAAAACTGGAAGCACCTGGTGTCCAAACTCTACCATGCTTTGAGAAATGGTGGCCACTTCATCCAAGCACCAGCTTGAATCTGCGAAATTCTCTGAGAAAATTACAATTGAGAGTGCAGATCTTTGGAGGACAGAAATTAACTCATCGATGCTCTCAGTTTTGTTGAGCATGTCGTCGATGAAGGCTCTGATTTTCTCTCGGGAAAGAGCAGCCATGAGGTGGCTGGTAAAACCATGGCGGGTGTCAGCACCTCTGAAACACAAGAAGACGTCGTATTCCCATTTTCCACTATACATGACAGTGTGAGACGAAGAAGAAGAAGAAGAAGAAGAAGAAGAAGAAGAAGAAGAAGAAGAAGAAGAAGGCATTAAAGCTTTGGTAAGAGGAAGCTATTAGAGTGAGGGATCTTGATCTGTGTTCTTTCTAATTAGCTTGATAGATGTACAGTCCTTCAGCTTAACTAATAATAATTGAGACTAACTGAGCTATTGCTGCAGCATGACTTGTGGTCATCGTTTATTGATTCGCTTCCTCACCTTCTCCAATCTTTTTCATCATCACCCCAGACAAAAACCATCCAAATTATACTAGTCAAACTAGCTACCAAACAAGCACAACAAGCAGTAGGGACATGTATCGGAGTTCATGCACATGGCTATGCTTCAGATAAATATACGCAAAAGAACAAAAATGTAGCAAGGATAGAAGAGAGCCCCACCATATTCATTCAGCCCAGGCTTCTACTTCAGTATCATTGTCTTTGAAACTGCAAAATGTGTCATTATCAGACACTACAGAAATGCACCGCCATTCGCCTTCAGATTCGATGAAGCAGTCGATCGAATATATTCCGGTGGAGCCGCAGCCCGCAGCCAAATGATGGTGACCCAGTTCCATCTCTCGTATGGCAGCAGTGTACATGGTGCAAATGGGCCGATTTGTGCTCTTGAAGTGAAATCAAACATGTTACCGAAATCCGCCATGAGTGACCTTGGAGATTGCATTCGCGTTCGGCGACACATTGATGATATCGGAAGCTGGAACATGGCCTCTCTCTCCAGATTGGAATAGTCGCGGAAAGCTCCTTGTAGATCTAGTCCACGAAGCTGCTGCGGGTGTCTTGGCGTCGTAAACTGAGGACGAGGAGCAATCCGGTAGTGGTAGATCGAAGGCGGTAGCGGCGATTCAATCGGGGTAATTGAAGCAAGAAACTGCCGTTTTTTATTTCAAGACAGTAGGCTACTTTACCGAGCCCATTTCAAGTTGGGCTTCGTAATAGCTTTCCCAAATCTGGCCCAATTCGCGGGCCTTCCCATACGAAAATTGTCCAAACTTGCAACTGGAGCAAGTGGAGAGAAATGGGCCGATTTCCTCTCTCTGTTTTATTTCACTGCACATAACTTTCACACTAACCAAAACATCCTATGTAAAATGGGCAATCTTTGATTAGGATTATGGTATTGACTAATAGATCTTAGTTTTCTGAATTGAATTGCGGGTCTTTGACTACGACACCTTCTGGTGTGCTTTATTAACTTCCAAATTTGTGGTCAATTTAAGTAGTAGTGAGGAACAATAAAGATTAGGTTTACCGTAGTGTTCAACGCTTGTGGTGTGCTTTCTTTACTTTCTCACCTACTTCATTAATCTTGTGGTGTGCTTACAACGTATTTCTGGTCTAGTTAAACAGGTTACTAATTTGTCACTTCATTAAGTGTTCACCAATTGTGGCTTGTTTAAATACTCTTGTGGTTTGCTTAATTAATTTTACTGTATGCATTATCTACCGTTTCATTTCATCAGTGTTCACCAATTAACCAGTGTCCATGAAATCGTACCGTACCGTACCAGCGGTTCAACCACGAAATACCAGTATCGGAGACTAAACCAATAGGCGTTATTTACCATCATAACGGTTGAACTACGACTAAACCACAGTTTTAGCATAAAATACCCTACCGGTGACTTTCCCGGTACGGTCTCCAGTACGGTTTCATGGACCATGCAATTTACCCATTCATGTAACCAAGACATTTTACCACGTGCATCCAAATGTCAAACCCACATTGAAGATAGAAAATTTACAAAACTAAAAGGCAATTAAACGGTAGGCCGTACAGGACCTTAATTGCATATATGTTTACCCCCAAGTACGTACGTGTACTCTTTTTTACAGAACCATCTCCCGGTCAAAAATCCAGCTAAACTTGACGGCTTCAGCCTCCGTCTTCTTCGCCTTCTCATCAGCTCGCTCTTGAAGCCTCCTGATCCTCTGCGCGAGCCCACACACGAACTCCTGCGCCTTCCTCCCTTCACCGTCCAACCCATCCTCCAACTTGTCCAGCCCCCACCGTCCGACCAAGAACTCCAGTATATCCGCGTAGTCCTCCGCCGTGTAAACCCCGAGCCGCTGCGCCACCGCGGTGAAGTGCTTGAACAGCTTGGGATCCCTCCCGTCGTACATCAGATGCGCCGGCATCGTGATCCTCTTCCGCATCATCTCCGCCACCGCCAGAACGGCGCCGTTCGGGTCCAGCTCGAGAAGCTTCTCGACGATGCGGGTGTAGGCCAGCTCGTGGCGCTTCTCGTCGGCTGCAATGACGCCGCATATCCGCGCCAGCACCGGATCCCCGCCTTCCTTCGCCAGCCGAGCCGTGTTGGCGTGCGACACGAACGTGGCTCGCTCCTGGAATGACGTGTACACGGAGCCCAAGTACGGGTCGTTCTCCGTCCCCGGGTCCTGATTAATAGCCGATCAAAGTAGTTTAGATCCGACCCGAGAAAGTTCATCAACTATGGTTACTACCGTCGTCTCGGTTACCACAATTTAGGTGTAATTGTGGAAATCGATACGACGTTAGCATTTGTATATCAGTTTCAATCCCAAAATTATTTTGGTGTCTCAATCACAATTCCTAATATTTTGTCTTCTTCTTTGCCAAAAGTTCTCCAAACCATTCCGAAAATATATAAAAGCAAATAATGGTGCATGCAAAACGAATAAACAAATCTCTCATAGTAACGACAAGCTAGAGAAATCTAGTGCTTAAGACGGTACATTAACGAACTAAAGCAACAAATTAAAACATGGAACGACCATAAACATACTACAATTAGTAATGAAATGAGCTTAGTCTAAGTGGTTACCAAGATAATGGACTATGCCTAGTTAAGCAGTCATTTTGGCGGTCGAGATAGCAGTGAATAAGGGAAGATAGTTGAGAAGGGTAAATTACTCCGCCAAGTTATATTTCGATATTAATCGATATTTCATATCTCTATTTCTACATGCACCGACGGACACAAGAAGCATGAGACCCGACCCGTAAAATGTAGATTAATGTTGTTCAAAAGCATGCAACAACGAGGGATTAATTAGGGCCAAACGAAGCAGAGAAGGGAGGGGAGAATGTCGTAATTTACCATGCCAGCTCCAATGAGGTACTGAACAGTGCGCTCGACCATGACCATGTCGACCCGACCCGAAAGGTAGAGAAAAGTGCGGAGCAGATCGCCGTGGCGGTTCTCCTCGGCGGTCCAGGCCCGATTCCACACGGCCCATGGGCTTGGGCTGGATCCGGTCTCATCCCGTATGCCGTCGGTCCTGTTGAGCATGGTCTCGTAGGTCGGGAGCGCGTCCTCCGTGATCATGTCCCCGACCAGCACCACGAAGTACTCGTCGGGAAGCTCCGCCGTCCGCTCCCTCAGCAGCCGGACCTCCTCGGCGAACTCCGCCGCCGGGAGGGTCGGGTCCGGCAGGAAGTCCTGCGGCTGCCAGCATTTCTCCACGGGCTTCAGCAAAGGAAGGAGGTTGTCCGCCGCCCACCCTTCCAGCGACCTGAAGATCTCCGCCTTCGCCGGCGGCATCGAGTGCTTCGGAGGAGCGGCGATGGCGGAAGGAACTGTGACGCGTCGCTGCAGATGCGGGGACCGGGCGGCGGCTGCGGAGGAGCGGTGGCCGCCGCCAGTACTTGAGATCCATGCAGGACGGTTGATGGTGACTTGGGGGCCGGCGAGCATTTTTCTTCGTTAGTGTGTTTGTTTTCTCAGTTGGACTCGGTATATATAATGGAGTGGGTGAAAATATACCCTTTGTTCATCCTTTATTTATCGTAATGCCACCTTCATTCTTTCCCTATCAATCGATAAACATGTATATAATGGGCTGTATCTATGTGGTTTTAAGTAATACTTTATTTCACAGAAATCAGATTGACTCTGTTGTTCAAAATGATATCAACTTTAATATTTATTTTTTAACAAAAACTGTGAGACATTTATTATTAATGCTTATTATGGTGGTAATGCTTGGTAGTACTAGTACATAATATTATATTATGTGATATGAAAATGTACTAATGATGGTAATTCAGTGGCGAAGAGAAGTGTCAAGGAGAGGGGTTCTAGGACCCCACTTGGACAAAAATTGGGTAACAAAATCCTATAGATACATAAGGTTTTGTACGATTATTCAAATTTAGGACCCCATAATCTCGTCGATCTTAGCTCACATAAAGACCCCAATCAACTCAAAGTTCATTATATTAGATACACAAGCGTTTTTTAGATAAGGGTGATTTGTTGTCATTAAGGTACCGCTTAAGGGATTTAAACCTGGGACCTCCGGGTTCTAGACTAATGGTATTACCACTAGGCCAAACCCTTGTTCGTAGATACACAAGCGTTAGTATTAGTAAATTTTTAAGGAACCCAATAACCACAAAGTCTGGCTACGCCACTGGGTGGTATGAATATACCACTGATCTAATAGATCACGATTAACTCGTTTCTTTTGGGCAATTTTTTTCTCCAAATTTGAGTGAAAAACGAAGTTGATACTAGGATGGTATCGAGTAGTATAGATGATGTAGACATTTTTATCTCCAAATGTATTTTTGTCTCCAAATATATATCAGTTTGACAATTACAATGAGTTGTTCCATTTGTACGGGGGAAATAAATTCAAATCAACACGAAGAAGATAAAAACCGATTCAAAAGTAAGAATAAGAAAAAAAACATTTAGTCTCACCCACTCAGATCTAATCGCACTTAAAACCAAGAATCCATTCTGATTACTAACTGTTTGACCGCATCAAATAGAGAGAGGACAGGCCAGGAAGGGAATTAGGAGAGAAAGGGTGGGTGGCCTGGAGAAGAAGGGAAGGAAGCAGTGTTTTATTTTTGACTAAAAATGAATTGAGTGAGTGTGGACAATACAGAGTTGGGTTTAGGGCAAGAATCAAGTTTCTTGTCACGTTAGGTGACAAGAACACCTAATTCACGCATTTTTTCATTTATTCACGCCATATTTTCGTTATTCACGCCATATTGACATTGTTCACGTAAGAGTGTTGCTAATTCACGCAACCGATATTGTTTAGTCACGCAACCTGGTGTCAATTCACGCATATTGTTATTTATTCACGCCATTTTAAAATTAAATTTTAGACGTTAAAATATATCAAAATGGATGTCATTGTGTAGATTATGATCAATGCAACATATTTTTACAGACTAATTGAGAATCCAAATTTAATTACATAAAATATAGCCAAATGGTGGCCTACCAAAGTACCAAACCCTTTTGCACTATCATGTCACTTTCAGATCACCCAATTTTATGACTGAGGCCACTTTGCCACCAGTCACCACCACTATCTCTCCCTCCAATGGCTCCAGCCCAAAATTTTGAGTCACCCCCCAGCCCCAAATTCATCTCTCTCTCTCTGCTTACATCTTACCATATTCATGTAAGTTCACAAGAGGGTCACTGGAAATGTGGGGTGGACATGTGTCATGGAGCAGCTGGGAGAGGAGAAGAGAGGAAGAATCAAACAAAAGAATGGTCTAACAGACAGATGTATACACTGCAAAATAACAGCAGCAGTAATGGAAAATGGCATGGAGGGAATGGCAAGTATCAACACTTCTGCACCCTCTTGAGTCTTGAATATGGCCAACTCTTTTCTATAGTTTCAAAAATTCGCTGAGCAGTGTGCTTTTTTTTTCCTGTTCAGTGTCATCTCAACTCTTCAAGACATGTAGTTTACCTGACTTTCAAAATCCAAGTATAGGGTTCTTGCCCTTTGCTGCGAGCAACTCCGGTTCATATATTAGAAGAAAACGTTCATATGGGGTTGATTAGATTTTAGAATTTTACACATTCACTAAGATCCAATGACATCCAATACTTACATTCAACATGCTAGCTAAATTCATTAGGAGCCTAGAACACATAATGGTCCAATTTTGTGTGGATATGGCAGGGTAAACTGATGGTTTTTTTTTTTTTTTTTGTGTCTAGATATGACAGTGTCTGCCCGACTGCCTTAGACTGACACAGAGAGATGGCCAAGGCAATAATGCTTTGGATTGGACGTGGCCATGGCAACCTGAAAATCTCTACATATAGTTGTAGGTACTTACTGTATTTGACCTCTACTATGGTGGTTGGGACTTGAGATTTGGATGGGTGTGCACATAGGAATGAAGGGAATGGAGTTTTAGAAAAACTCTGGAATATCACATAAGTGAAATGTGAGAAAGGGAAGTGGGGGATCGGTTAGTGCTAAACCCTTTTTAAGGGTTGGAAAAATTACACACCTATTAATATTATAGTTATTTTTTTTATTAAATTCTTGTTGCATTTAATAATTTTTGGAAATTAAAAACTCATATTAATTGCATTTTTTTAACTGTCACTGCACTGATACAACTACCATTGCGCATGTATACTAACAAGTCCACCTAGGGAATTGGAAAGAATCTTGAGAGAAGACATAATTGGTGTTAGCTTCCCGAGAAGGGTGCTTCAGAGCGGGGATTAGTATGCTTGTTGGATCAGGGGTATTTTGCTTCTGTTTGTCAGTTTGTCGAGGTCTGATTTCCTGCTGTTTGAGGTTTTCCGCCTCCCTGGTCCTGCAGTTTTGTTGTAGAGACAGCTTGGGAGGTGCTTGCTCTGTTTTTTCACCTGTGGCTTTTGCCTCCCTTCAATAAAAAAAATGTATACTGAACTCATATTAATTACGTTCCTTTTTTGGAACTACCGTTGTCCTGATACATCTACCATTGCACTAATACAACTACCAGTGCACTGAAAAAAGGAGAGTAATTAATATGTGTTTTTAATTCATACAAATTATTAAATGCAACACAAATTAATTACCTTAAAAATCTATAATTAATAGGGGTGTAATTTTTCAAACCCTTTTAAGGATAGACATGCTATCTCATCCTAGGGAAATGGTGTTGTAAATAGGAAAGTCTATTAAGCCCCTACAATGGCTTAATGTCGTTTTATTGATTGTTACTGAAACATTTACAGAGAGTGGTTTGGACAATTTATTGACTGTTGGGAATGAAGGACACTAAATAGGGATGGGATGGGAGGCTAACCAAGTTAGCACCGTAATAACCAAATGCATCTCCGTTTTTTCATTTTCCATAAATCTAAGGGTTGATTTATTATAAGGGCATTTTGGGTATGTGAACACGTGATCCCAGCCTTGCGGTATTTGGGGAGCAATCAAACCGCCTTTCCATTTCAGCTAGGGGTGGCAGTCGGTCGGTTTCGGTTTAACCAAAAACCCGTTTATCGGTTAAACCGAGCCACCCCCTGTAGATACCGACCACCGACCGAAGAGAGCTCACGGTTAGCCGGCCAACCGACCGGTCGGTTCCGGTTTAAGGCTCGGTTAGCCGGCCAACCGAAAATTTTTTTTTAATAAAACAAAAAATCTCCACCACTCCTTCCTTATCTCCTCCTCTCTCCTTCCTTCCTCTCCACCAGACCTCTTCTCTCTCCTTCCTTCTTCTTCTCTCACCTTTCTCCATGGAAACAGATCTGGAGCCTGGAGGGGTCGCGGCGACGGGAGGCGAGGCGACGGGCGCGAGGATCCTGGCCTCCATGCAGAGGAAGACGCGGCCCAAATTTCCGGCGCCGAGGAGGAGAGGTGAGGGTCGGATTTGCTGTGGAAGGAGTTGTAGGAAGAAAGAGAGAAGAAGAGTCGAAGGAGTTAGGAAGAAAGAGAGAAGCTGGAGTGGAGGGGTCACCTCCTCTTTTTTATATTTTCGGTTGTGGGTCGGTCGGCCGGTTAACCGCGGTTAACTGGCTTCGGTTACTCGGCTAACCGGACCCCTGATTTCCTCTACCGCCAACCGACCGCCCTCTTTGGAATCGGTTTTTCGGCTAGCCGAAAACCGGTCGGTTTGGTTGAAACCGACCGGTTAGCCGCTAACCGGAAAACCGTCCGCTAGCCCTAATTTCAGCCATTTTTTCTCCTCTTTTCTCTCGAATCGTTTCTCTCTTTCACTGGCAACATGACCCATAAGAACAGTAAAAGGCCTTGCCATCGTCGCCGTTTTTTGCCCTCGCCATACCCGCCCTCCTCGTCGTCCTAGTCGTCATTGCCTGCGTCGTCGTCATTTGCTTCAACCTCTCCTGCGTCGCATCGTCTGCATCGGCGCGCCCTTCACCTCCGCGCCCAAGTCATCCTTGCTAGAGTTTCCCCAATCGAATTTGTCCTCGGCTTAGATCTTGTCGATTTCGCAGTCGTCCTCCTTCTTTCGGCCTAGATTTCGTCTGGCCCGTCGCCACAGTTGAACCTTCTAGGAATAATGTGGTTTTAGTGTTTTCCTTCTCAGTGACTACCCATTCCGAATCACTTGATATATGAGCACTTCTACTATGCTATATAGTATTGGTGCTTTAATGTACAATTTAAAGTTGTACCATAACATTAAATGTATAAGTTTAGGTTGTACCATAAAGCAATTTGTACCATTATGTTATGGTACAACTTTACAACTTGAAGTTGTACCATCACATAAAAGTACAAGTTCAAGTTGTACCATAAAAGAATTTGTACAAAAAGTATAGGTACAATCTGAAGTTGTACCATAAAGTAAATGTACAATTTTAAGTTGTACCATAAAGGCAAAATCCTATAGCACCAATACTATATAGCATTGTAAAATGTCTAGTTGATATATATTTAGTTAGACAGTAAACCGCTAACCCACTATATATTCAATTATCGGTTAACTAACTAACATAAACGACACTATTAACGATAAAAACACATATTGATTAACAATTAACCAATAACTGCATTATCACCGAACCGAATAACAGCCCTACGAGCAACACATGGTGGGGAGATACGGTTCATTTTTAGCGGATAAACCCTTAATCACCAAAAGTCACTTTTTTTACAAAACCACCTCCCGGTCAAAAATCCAGCTAAACTTGACGGCTTCCGGCTCAAACTTCTTCGCCTTCTCATCGGCTCGCTCTTGCAGCCTCCTGATCCTCTGCGCGAGACCACACACGAACTCCTGCGCCCTCCTCCCTTCACCGTCCAACCCATCCTCCAACTTCTCCAGCCCCCACCGTCCGACCAAGAACTCCAGTATATCCGCGTAGTCCTCCGCCGTGTAAACCCCGAGCCTCTGCGCCACCGCGGCGAAGTGCTTGAACAGCTTGGGGTCCCTCCCGTCGTACATTAGGTGCGCCGGCATCGTGATCCTCTTCCTCATCATGTCCGCCACCGCCAAAACGGCGCAGTTCGGGTCCAGCTCCAGCAGCTTTTCCACGATTCTAGTGTAGGCTTGCTCGTGGCGCTTCTCGTCGGCTGCGATGACGCCGCATATACGCGCCAGCACTGGATCCCCGCCTTCCTTCGCCAGCCGGGCCGTGTTGGCGTGCGACACGAACGTGGCTCGCTCCTGGAATGACGTGTATACGAACCCCAAGTACGGGTTGTTCTCCGTCCCCGGATCCTGATTAATGGTCAATCAAAGTAGTTTAGAAATGTTTTAAGTATTGATTGGACCACGGTTGAAACATGATCTCTGTAACAAAAATACTAGTAGTCAACTAAACCAAACTCAACCCTGATCCTGTCACTACCCTAAAAGACCCGACTGACGATCATATAGGATCAAGCATCCAACTTGACCCGCTCCGGCCCGACCCTATTTTTCTTTGAGGCTAAGAGTAGGATCAGACCCAGACAAACTAGTGGGTCCGCCCACATCAACACTTACCGTACCAAAAGATGACCCAATCCTAAACTGACCAGACCACCCAACCGAATCCTCAGGGTCAATTGATATTTAGGGTCGGACTTACAGCCCTACAAAATACCCTACTTGACTTTTTCCGATATGAACTCGGTAGGTACGATTTCACATGAATCCAACTTGATTCGAGAATGTTTATCAACTATTATTACCAGTGTAGATTGCTCAACGCATGCATGTTGATGTGTTACCTTTGAATCACATAGCCATCTTTGAAAATTGGCCAAACAACGAGAAATATGTAGGAAAGGGTCAGGGAAGAAAGGGAGAGTGTTGTAATTTACCATGCCAGCTCCGATGAGGTACTGAACGGTGCGCTCGACCATGACCATGTCGACCCGACCCGACAGGTAGAGAAAAGTTCGGAGCAGATCGCCGTGGCGATTCTCCTCGGCGGTCCAGGCCCGCGTCCACACGGCCCATGGGCTTGGGCTGGCCCCGGTCTCGTCCTTCACGCCGTCGGCCGTGTTGAGCATCGTCTCGTAGGTCGGGAGCGCGTCCTCGGTGATCATGTCGCCGGCCAGCACGACGAAGTACTCGTCGGGGAGATCCGCCGTCCGCTCCCTCAGCAGGCGGACCTCCTCGGCGAACTCCGCCGCCGGGAGGGTCGGGTCCGGCAGGAAGTCCTGCGGCTGCCAGCACTTCTCCACGGGCTTCAGCAGCGGCAGCACGTTGTCCGCCGCCCATCCGTCCAGCGACCTGAAAAGCTCCACCTTCGCCGGCGGCATCGAGTGCTGCTTCCTGTTTTGGTGCTTCGGAGGCGGAGTAGGAGCGGCGATGGCGGAGGGAGTAACCGGTCGCTGGAGGTGTGGGGACCGGGCGGCTGCGGAGGAGCGGTGGCCGCCACGTGAGATACATGCAGGACGGTGGATAGTGATTTGGCGGCAGGCTAGCATTTTTCTTTGTTTTTTTTTTTTTTTTGGTTCTTTCGTTGGGCTCTGTTTCTGCCTTATGGTAAAAAGAGTGACAAAGAAAAGAGTTGGATATATATAGCGAAGTAGGGGTGGATATTTTGTAGGGATATTTGGTACCGGATTGTTTGGTTTTACTCGAAACCGGACTGTATAATTTGGACTGGGATCGGACTGGGATCGGATAGCAAACAATGCAATCTCATATTCGGGCTTAGATTTGAGGTAAAAAACCGGATAAGAGACCCCCAACACCTAAAATCAAGATAAAATTGGGACCGGACCGGGTCAAGACCGGACCGGATCAAGACCGGATTGTATCCAATCCAATTTTGGTCCTTATATTCCCGAAAAGACCGGACAGGGACCAGATCAATTTGGTCCAATTTAACCGGACCGGACCGTATAGCCACCCCTACTATTTTGTCCTGCCTTTTTGTTTTACTCAAAACCGAACAGTACAATCTGGACCAAAATCGGATCAGATAGCTAACAATTCAATCTCATCTTTGAGTTTATATTTAAGGTAAAAATCGTTCGGGGCGGGATCGAAAACTAGATAAAGACTGGATAAGAGAACCCAATACCCAAAACTTAACCAACTCCTCACCCTTTCAGGCCTCAGGTCACTCAAATCCCCACAAGGTAAATCTAAAATCAAGACCGAATTGGGACCGGACCGGGTCAAGACCAGACCGGATCAAGACCGGACTGTATCCAATCCAATCTTTGGTCCTTATATTCCCGAAATGACCGAACTGGGTGCAGATCAATTCAGGCCAATTTAACCGGACCAGACCGTATAGCCACCCCTATAGCGAAGTTGTGGTTTGGTGTGATTTAGGGAAGTACTATATCTCGTATGTTTCAATGAGCTTGTGGTCCGTTTAAAAAAATATGTACTTAGCATTGAGTTTCTAGTATGTTTTATAATTTTTTTGGTTTTATGGAATTCGTCCGTTTCAATGAGCTTGTGGAGCCTTTTTAGAGGAGATCGTGCATTATTTCGCGATTCATAGTGGACTTAGTGAACGATTTTGTAGGTCGGCGTAGTAATAGGGGTAGCCCTCTTAGTGGCTAGAAAGTCCCTTCAATTGTACTCGACTGCGCGTCTCTTCCTTGATTTTATGGTCGGGTTGAATTTCAAGATGTAATTATTATTTTTTCTGATGAATATGATTATCTTTTATATAAAAAATTAAAAGGTCCACCATCAATAGTGATGACAATTGAACATGAATCTATGGGTAGTCAATTAAATATAACTTCGATTGAAACTGATAAAATCCAGTGTTGACATGTTTTGTGTAGAGTGCAAGTTTTATCCACCTTTGAACTTAGCAGGTTGAGTTTGCATGATTTTTTTGCCAAAAATCAACTCACTTTCCACCCTATCCAAACCCAAATCGTAAAATGATATCGTTTTGTTTCTAACACTAATAATATGAGTAATTTGTGGATGTTATTAGTTTTATGGGAATATCTCCCTAATAATATGAATGTTATTAGTGTTTGATGTGGAAATATTTGTAGAATTGTTTTCCATAATATTACGAGGTAGATATTACGATAAATTATCTGCGATTACGAAACGACTGTGAATCATTGATATCCATACATCAATGGGTGGTACATTAAATTGAATTGCAGAGAATGTTACGGCTACAATCCGCATAAATTGAATTTGAGTTTAGAAAAACTCTATCTAACTCGATCCTGCCATCCCTAACCACCAGTCTTAGTTGTTCACCTACATTAACAACTTAATTTGCTTCGTTCTCTCCCATTCCCTTTCAATGGAAAATTGTAAAGAAAGAGGAAAACCCCCAGGATCAATTTGATAAAATGGGGGAAAAATGGCTCACTCGCGGTCACTTAAATATTATAGGTCTCTCAAAATTTTCTCCAATTGAAGATGGGAGCCGTGAGGTACTCCGTCATTTCTGGGTTCTACTCTCCGACACTAGGCGCAGAACAAGCCTATGTGTGATAATAGTTTCTGGCTTTCTGCCCCTTTTCCTCTAAATCATTTCTCTCCAGGTAAGCTACTAGTCAACCAAGTCAAGGCGGGATTGCTGCCTTCATCGGCCGCAAATTGATTCTCCCAAAATGAGATCAACCGGAGTAGCCGGCGGAGCATCTGCCGGAGTTGGCGGAGGAGGAACCGGCGGCGCCACTTCCCCTGGTTCCGTCGAGCCCAGACACCGTCTCTCTTCTTCCTTGTCAATGTAACTCTCTTCCTTCCTTTTTCCCTCTCTCGCTCTCGTTTCCCCATTTCTGCGTATCTCTCGGTCTTTGCGATGCCGTCGTGATTGGATCGGCATTGTTTACTACGCAAAATTCTTCCTTGTTTCTCGATTTGCTCAATCCATTGACCTACAGTTGGGTTTGTAAAATTGGGTTTTGACTTCCCATCAAGTTTCCCGCTGCTGAGATCTGATTCCAATTTCCTTGTGTTGAGGTGGCCGTCATGATTTAGAATTTGGGTTTCTTCCCTAATTCTCGCTGTGGGCTGAAGTTTTTTTTTTTTTTTTTTTCCCGTTGCCTTTTGATGCAGGGGAGAAGACAGCCCGAGAAGAAGGTTCTTGAGGGGCAGAAATTTCAGAGATGTAGAGAAGGCCTTCCATGTTCCTGCACAGTACCGGAACCTCACCTGCAAGACATCTACCCTCAAATTTGTGCTGCTGATTATCGCTTTGGGCACATTGGTCACTCTCTACCGTTCTCCTCCAGTTCATGTTGCTGATTACCCTTCCCATTTGGTTCAGCAGTACGTTGTCCTGTTCTTGATGCTATCTCTTTTATCGAACTGTTCATGGTGGTTTAAGTATTGGGTTAGGGTGCTTTGCTGTATTCTTTTTGTTTTTATGTGTTTCTACTGAGTTGAACTGGTAGCCTGAATTGCCAATTGAGGTTATTCTTCATGTTTCTTGACTGCCCCTAGTTGATTGATGGATATGGTACTGTAGCTTGTTCCTCTTGTAACAATCAGAGAAATTGCTTTGATAGGTCTCCATTTGTGGTTTAGAAGTCTAGCTGGGGCAGCTCTCAGTTCCTTTAAGACACTGAAACCCGAGTTTATTCCATGCAGATCGAATATAGTTCAGCATTGGATTGAAGAGGATGCAGCTGTAGATTCTCGTTACATCTCGACTGCAGAAGTTGACTGGGACCACATCTCAAACATTTTCGACAAGCTAAATGATACAAACCAGTACCAGGGAATTGGTTTGTTGAACTTCAACACCAGTGAGGTCAAAACTTGGAAGCACTTTTTACCAGATGTTGACCATGTGGTTCTTCACCTGGACCATGTTGACAAGGACCTAACTTGGGAATCCCTCTATCCTGAGTGGATAGATGAAGAAGAGGACTTCAAAGTTCCAACTTGCCCTAATATACCCAAAATCAAATTCCCAGGGAAACCACGTCTCGATATTGTTGCTGTGAAGCTTCCTTGCAACAAGTCAGGTGGATGGTCGAGAGACGTCGCTAGTTTGCATTTGCAGCTTGCTGCAGCAAGTCTTGCTGCTTCGGGCAAAAGTTACCATCCTGTGCGCGTGATCTTGGTTACTGACTGCTTGCCCGTTCCAAATTTGTTCACTTGCAAGGATCTGAGTCTCCGCGAGGGCAATGCATGGCTCTATGAACCCAACCCACATCTCTTAAGACAAAAGACACAACTGCCGGTGGGTTCGTGTGAACTTTCTGTTCCTCTCAATGCTAAAGGTCAGTTTTAGCTCAGATTTGGTTACTTTTGCTTTACTAATCTGTTAACTAGTTTAGGTTGTGCAAAACTTACTTGGTTACTTTCAGCTTCACTAGTTTGTTAACTCCTAAGATTGTGCAAATTTGTCCCTTCTACTAGCTAAATGTAGTGTCTGACTAACTTTATTTCAACAGAAAATTTACACTCTGAAAGACCACATCGAGAAGCGTATGCAACAATTTTGCACTCTGCACAGTTCTATGTGTGTGGAGCCATTGTTGCAGCTCAGAGCATTCGCAGGGCAGGCTCAACGAGAGATCTTGTGATACTTGTTGATGAAACAATTAGCGACTACCATAGGGGAGGACTAGAAGCTGCAGGGTGGAAAGTCCATACAATCAAAAGAATAAGAAACCCAAAAGCTGAACCAGAAGCCTACAACGAATGGAACTACAGTAAATTCCGACTCTGGCAGTTGACTGATTATGACAAGATCATCTTCATTGATGCCGACATGCTTATACTAAGAAACATCGACTTCCTGTTCGAGATGCCGGAGATCACCGCCACAGGGAACAATGGCACCCTGTTCAACTCCGGTGTGATGGTGATAGAACCATCCAACTGTACATTCCAGCTGCTAATGGATCATATAAACGAGATCGTGTCCTACAATGGGGGAGACCAGGGGTACCTCAATGAGATCTTCACATGGTGGCACAGGATCCCAAAGCACATGAACTTCTTGAAGCACTTTTGGGAAGGCGACGAGCAGGAAATCAAGCAGAAGAAAGTCCGCCTCTTCGGAGCTGACCCTCCGATCCTCTACGTTCTTCATTACCTCGGCACGAAGCCATGGCTGTGCTTTAGGGACTATGACTGCAACTGGAATGTGGACATCTTGCAGGAGTTTGCCAGTGATGTTGCACACAGGACTTGGTGGAAGGTTCACGACGACATGCCGGATAACTTGCAGAAGTACTGCCTGCTGAGGTCGAAGCAGAAGGCGGCATTGGAATGGGATCGAAGGCAAGCCGAGAAGGGTAATTACACAGATGGTCATTGGCAGATCAAGATAAAAGACGAGAGGTTGACGACTTGCTTCGAAGATTTCTGTTTCTGGGAAAGCATGTTGTGGCACTGGGGTGAGAAGAACTGGACGGACAATGCAACAACGACTACTCCTCCAGCAGTGCCTGCTACCATTGCTACCAAATCTCTGTCTTCTCTGTGATTTTTGGGTTCTATTTGTTGGTTCATTATTATACTAGAGAGAGATATGTTTACTTGTAGATGAAGAAACATAACCTTGGAAGTTCATTATATAGGAGTTGAGGTGCCAGTAATAGCAGATAACAATTTTCTCTGAAGTCATTTTGTCAGTCTGAGGGCCTCTATTCCTTTTAAATTTCAGTTGGAAGGGAAGGACCCATTTGCTAATCTTTACAAAGTTTAGCTGCCAAAACGCAATTGACCTCTTCGGCATATATATATTATATATTATTTGAATAACAAATAAATTTCCACGTCGGCTCTCCCGCTTCCAGAACTATCACTCTTTCTCAGTTCTCCATCCAGTTCCGCTCCATTCCCGGAATCGAGTGAAAAGAAATCTGTTCGCAGTCACCAGGGGATAATTGAACGGAGAAATCCGAATTTTCCGGCGGAGAGATGGAATTGATTTCACTTCACAATGTGCGAGTCTCATCGGCAATCTCAATCCCGCCGATCACTCTGTCGAACCGCAACTTCTCGTTCCCGTTTTCGACTTGGGCATGTCCTTCGCGTGGAAATCGAAGGAAGCTCTGCGCGGTAGTTACGGCCAAGAAGAGCAGAAAGCTGCCGCCACAGCAGGAACCAGTCCCCAAGCCAACCATAGCCGAAACCGAAGAGGTGCCCTCAGCTGACAACGACGACGAGGAAGAAGATCAGCTACTCTTCGACGAGTATGAGCTCGACGACGGTAACTCACCGTCAAAGTTTCGCTCTAATTTTTCTCAAAATTCAGCTCGCATTGCTCAATTTTGTTTGGAATTCGTTGATTTCGTAGAGGCGTTGCTAGAGGACGTTGAGGATGAAGGTGATTTCGAAGATGAGTATGTAGAAGAAGAAGAAGCGCTACTCCAAGTAAGTTAGTTCGAATTGGTTCATGTTTGGACTCTGTTGAGGGAAATTGAAAGGAAATTGTGTACTAAATTATAATCGTGTTTGGCTGTTCTGGGGAAGGTTGGGGATGGGGCTGGTGGGGGTGGAATAGCCCTAGCTGGGACGTGGTGGGACAAGGAAGCATTAGCAATAGCTGAGCAGGTTTGTCTGTCGTTTGAAGGGGAATTGGGGATGTATGCTTTCAGGACACTACCAAATTCCACCATCCAAGTCCGAATCGAGAGGCTTACTAACAAGTGAGCCAACACATCTCCTTACTCATGTTGACTGTTACTCGATCTGCTCCTACATGAGCTTTGTTTGATGCTGAAATTCCATAATAAATGAGATCGGTGTAGGCTTTCCTCAAGTTGTGATATCATAGTTCAGGGGTTCATCGCTGCAGCACATGTTCAATGGCACAAGATCAGAAGTAACAGGCTCATTGGAACATAATAGAGCTCTTAAAACGTCTCTAGTGACGAGGGAAGATTGGCCTAGAAGTGGGCTGAGAATCGTATAGAAAGGATGCCTGATGGCGGTTTCAGAACTCAATTTTATTCTAAGCTCTTGTTTTATATGCATCTTCAGATCCTTCCATGTCGTCTAGTATTCAATGCATTGACAGTGATTTATTACAGGTCTGGTTCCCCCAAAATGGAAGATGTTGAAGCATTCTGTAAAACCTATAGAGCACGACTAGATGAAGCAGAACTTGCTAAGGCCATACCAGAAAATACTGCTCTTGAGGTGACAAAAACCTGATTTTCCTTTTTTTTCCTTTTTAATACGTGCTTCTTCATTCCTTTACGGTACAGTGACTTACCGATTACAAGTTTAGTTTTCTATGTAGGAGCAGTATTGTTGAGCTTTTTACTAGCATGTACTATAGGACCTTAAATTGGCCTGAGGGGTCAAAAAGTGTTCACAATTTCCAGGCTTCCGAATCTCATGGCACTGGGTTTCCTCAGGTATCATCTCCTGGTGTTGAAAGAGTGGTTCGGATACCTGAAGACCTTGATCGATTCAAGGACCGACCTATGTATGTAAAGTATGTCAGTCAGGCAGTAGAAACAGATGATGCTTCAGAAAGCGATGGCATCTTCAAGCTTGTTTCATTTGACGTGGAAATGAAAAGTTGCACCTGGGGTGTGGCAGATGTAAGGATAAATAGAGAAAAGGCAGGGAAGGGAAGACCACTTAACAAGAAGCAAAGAGAATGGCGCCTAATTACACCTTTTGAGTCGTTACGCCTTGTACGCGTGTATTCTGATATATGAATGTTTCCTTCTGTTCCTTCCATCTTCTCTCCCACCCAAGAATAATGGATAGTTCCATAGTCGGTTTTGTTGTTGGTCAGAAAATGAGTCCATGCACAAGGCTTTAGTTCTCCTATAAGCTGACTTCACACTACATGTACTGTAGATTTGAAAAACAAGAATTTTTGTTTACAAAAAATATATTGATTCTTCTTATGTGTTAAAGAAAGGGGACAGATTGACAGCATGGGAAATACTGAAGTGCAGTGGGTATCTGATGCAATTCCGAGTGTACATTTGAGCTCGGAAGAAACATGCCATGATTTGAAGACATAAACAGGAGTGTCTTCATTTTGTCTGTACTCCTGTGGGTTTGCAAATTATTAGGCAGTTGCTGTTTACCTTGGTATCAAATGTTTTCATGTGCAGGCCGCTATTTTGTTAGGCAGTTGCTGCTTCGGTGATCAATGAATGAACAGTTTGCTTCTATCGGATGGAAGCTTAGACTTCACAAGTAAGTTTACTGCATCGTGATTGCTTCTGATGATATCCCAGGTCTGCAATTTTCCCTTTCTGTGCTCGCTTTCACTTTGGTCTGTGGACCTTTTCATTTCCTTTCACTTTGCTTCTTCATCCATCTTCCATTGCTTTACATTCTCAATGCAACTAGAAACTGTTTACTTCACTTATTATAATTTATCGCGGGACATATATGTTTTCACTTACCTTGGTTCTATTTACTGGAAGCATACTCTTTTGAAGCCAATTCATCAAAAGCTTTTTTCAGAAAGGAAAACTTTAAACGAACACACTCGATAGTCATGAGCACAAGAACTTATCTGCATCATGAGAAGGTTGCTAAATTAGGATTGTAGGGACCAAAGAGCACCACCTGCTTTTATATTATTATTGACCTTTTCACAGAATTTGAACTTACTACTCTTTTTCCTCGTGCACAGAAGGAATGATTTGGATTCTTTGCTCATGCATTATACTTTATCTGTATGACCACAATACTTAAATTAGAAGTTAGTTTTATGGAGTGGTCTATCGCATGACCAATAAAGTCACAGGTCCCACAAAATATAGTGATTGGCAATTTGGCATCATGGCTTCAGAATTCTTTCCATTCAGTTGCAGCACTTTAGTGAGAAAAGAGACATAGTACATAGGCATACGCATAGCCATTTTGGCTGGTTCCTGGATATGGTTTTTCTTTTCGTCATCAACTTCTTCACAGCAGTTAGTCTATACTGGGGAAAACATCTGATAGCTGAACTGTCTGCCACACTTTTGGCAATTTCTCTTCGCCCATAACCATGTTCTGTTTGCCAGTGAAAGAATTGGGCTATGTTCGTATTTGTAAATTTGGAACTTCTTACTTGCTACCAACTAAAGAAAAGGTAAACGATGGAAAGAATGCATTCATTCATAAGCCTGGTGAGCATGAGATGACAACATCCGATCCACCCACTTCTATCTAACGGTTTAAGAGGCTGCGATCGGATGGTACCAGCCTTTGCTTCCAGCCGCTGGGTACGCATAGTAACCAAACCCGTTTCTGGCGGGAAAAGTTTTGGCTACTGATTATTTTTAAAGTTCAATCTACCCTCTTTGTATTCCGTTGGCTTAGTTTCTTTTCTTTTCCCACTTTGGCTTACTTTCCTCCTGACATCCAGGTTTGCTTTGCTGTGAGGAGGATCTTTTTGCGCCTTTTGGAATATGAAGAAAAGGCAGAGAAAGGTGAGGCAGCCAGCAGATCTAGGACTCCCTAACCAACTAGATCATCAGCTGTTCGTTATTTTCTTATCCCTGTTCCTGTGATACTTTCGGCTAGGGAGGTTAGATGATTGAATCTATAGGTACTGGAATTGAACATCAGCTTATTTAAACATTTTAAAGTAGAGATAGTGGTCAGCAGTATCTTATTAAAAACTGTGTCGGCAGCCAATGTGGGATTGTTATTAATGTTGTTCAATTACTGAGCGTTATTTACGGCTAGCTGATCTAAATATCTAATGCTGAAGTCGCTGCTTTTTTGGAATATCTAGGAATTCTCAATCTCAAAGCTCTGCTGCCTGCGGGTCCAAGTTGTTCAACTAATTGGACTAAAAGCAAGCAACTAGCCTGTCCCAGCAAAGCAATAAGTAACGAGAGAGTATTTCCTTTCCTTCCTCAATCCTCACTCTCTCTCCCTCTCTATTGTCACTCTTGTCTTATATGATACTCCATCTGCCGCATGTCTTGGCTTTAGCTGAATTTGGAAAAAAAGTGCAAACCAACAAAATCCGAAGAATCTTAATGTTGAATATGTAACCAACCAATAACAAGAAGAACTGTTACAGAACTAATTACATAATAGACATATTATTGGGAGCACATACTTAATTATCTCTTACTGAATCAAATAAATCACCAAAGATAAAAATAAAACACAGTTCTAAAGTAATGCACTTAAGTTTCCCAATTATTATTCATTATTTGGGTTAGTACAGTGTACAAGTTTATAGCACTTATTTTATATAATTATTAAGGTCTATTGGAGAAGAATGGGAGGGATTGTTGAAAGCATCTTTAACTCATAACTCTCGCACAGAAACGAAAAGAAACCGACTAAGAGAGGAACTGTACACGACATATTTCATTACACACAAATATGTTGAAAAGCTAGCAAACAAGACGAAAGAACATGAACTGTTTAGCGACAATATTTTTCCTCTTGCATGCATATAATACTCATTATTACTCCCACTACCACCTTAATGCGTATATGTACTCAACCATTGATTAGCCATTTGTTGGAAGAATCCCATGTTACTTTTATGTCCTAGGTATATCTCCTTGACTCTATCGGCCACAACAAGAGATTCTCGGCCGGCACTATTTTCTTTAGAATTATTTATCAAGTGTCTTCCATTGTATTTCTTGTTTGAAATGCTTACAAGATTCCCAAGATAGTTGTTTTTCTTTCTTTCTTATCACTGTATAGATGAATAGACAGATGCATCCATATTCCTTACTCGGGCAGTACACAGCCACTCCTAGCTAGCTACAGCAGTCACCTGGTAGCCTTTCCTGCCACCCATCCATGCAGCTTCAGTTTCGTCATAGAATTTTTCGCCTAGCTCTTCTTTCTTGAATTCAATCATACATCTAAATTCCATTTGATAATTTCTAGGGGGAAAGTACATAAAAAGTTCTGAACTTGGCCAGTAAATGGTCAGTTTTTTTTTTTTTACAGTTAATAAATGCCCATTTGTGTATATAATATAACGACCTTTCCATTTGATGATGATGATGTGGTCAAGCAAGTGAAGCCTGCTCGTCAGCCAGCCATCCAGCCAACCCTCGGATTCACGTGCCCTGGTGACTGGTGAGTAACTCAGTAACAGAATACGTTTGATAAAGAAAGAAAAAATTAGGAAAAAAGATCAGATAAGGAAGAATGATAATATATATAGAATTAGAGATAGAAGAGGAAACCAACAGGCAAGGTACAATCATTATAAGGATTCCCTTTTCTCTCTTTCTCTGGCTGCTTGCTACTTTTTCGGCTTCTTTTCCATAATTACCAGAAGATATACTCTTTCATTTCACATGGCTTATCTCATTTTTTCGTTTTGAAAGTTATCTCGCTTCACCATTTTCACTATTTAAATATATGTGCACATAATCTGGTGAATGAAACCCACATTTATTGTTCATTGGTAGGTGGGTGTCTTAAGGACTGTGGCAAGGATCAAGTTGGGAGAAAGAGAGATGGGTAGGTCTTGGTTTGTTGGAGGGGCTCTGAATCCTTTCATTCTCGCTGCTGCTGTGTTTTTGGTGGTGCTTTTGAGCAATGTGGAAGCCTACCCGGTTGAGGATCTGGTTGTGAACTTGCCCGGCCAGCCTAAAGTTGGGTTCAGGCAATTTGCTGGTTATATTGATATTGACGTCAAGACTGGGAAGAGCCTGTTCTATTACTTTGTTGAGGCCGATTCCACTCCTCTAAGCAAGCCACTAAGTCTCTGGCTCAATGGAGGTTGGTTTTAGTTCCCCTTCTTCCCTACAGAATTCCTTTGTTGTTCTCTATGAACTGTTCGCTGTCTGCTTAATGGGGGGATTATTATTCTGGTTCAGTCTTTTCTCCCTTCTTTTTCATTTGTTTTTGTTTTTGTCTCCTTGAACTGTGTTCTTCGTGCGTTGTTTTGTTTTTGTGCGTCTTTTCCCCAAAGATTCTCTCTTTCTCAACATTAGAGATCTGGGATCTAAAATATCTTTGGCTTAGTGATCTTTAGCTACAATTCTTTTGCTGTTCAGGACCAGGATGCTCCTCAATTGGCGGAGGTGCGTTCACAGAATTGGGTCCCTTTTATCCAAGGGGTGATGCCCGCAGCCTTAGAATAAACAGAATGTCATGGAACAGAGGTAAAAAAAAAAAAAAAAACAGAGTTACCTCTTGTTCATTATTCATTTCTTTGCAATGTTATTTTACTGAATCAGAAGTTTGAATTTCTTTTTGGCAGCATCAAATCTACTCTTTGTTGAATCCCCTGCGGGAGTAGGATGGTCTTACTCAAACACCAGTTCTGATTACAAGACTGGAGATGCTGCCACTGGTAATATAAACCATGCCCAACTTAAGTTTGATAACAGAATATAGTTTTGCTAATTTGAACACTGCAAAACTTGTTTTCTGTGCAGCAATGGATATGCGCATATTCTTGTTGAATTGGTTGGCAAAGTTCCCAGAGTACAAGTCCTTGCCATTTTTTCTAACGGGAGAAAGCTATGCAGGTTTAGTTTCTAACTTATTCTCTGTTCAATTACCCCCAATGTTAGTATGTTTCTTTCCCAGTAAATTTTGCTGATTTTTCTTTACTTGCTGTCACTTCAGGACATTATATCCCTCAATTGGCTGACCTCCTTCTTGAACACAATGCACACTCCAAGGGATTCAAGTTCAACCTCAAGGGAGTTGCAGTAAGAAAAAGAAAATATCCCTCCAGCCAAATTGATCTTCATGATTTTTGGTTTTCTTCATTCGCCAAACTAATTTTCTTCAAATTATCATCCTGCCAAATTACTAGATTGGGAACCCACTCCTGAACCTGGACCAGGACGCTGGGTCTCCATACGAGTTCCTCTGGTCGCATGGCATGATGTCTGACGAGCTTCACCAGACAATCACCAAGGAATGCGACTTCGACGACTACACTTTTGAGAATCCCCACAATGAATCTGATAGCTGCAACGATGCCTTGTCGACGGCGATGGACATCGTTGGCAACTACGTGAACAACTATGATGTTCTCCTCGATGTCTGCTATCCATCCATATTCGAGCAAGAACTGAGACTCAAGAAACTGGTATGAACTTCTCTTCGGTATTATTAGTATAATCATGGGAAAGGCCTAATCTTTTGTCTAATTCCAAAATTTGGGTTGGATGACTACAGGCGACCAAGATTAGCCTCGGGATTGACGTGTGCATGTCCAGCGAAAGGAAAATGTACTTCAACCTTCCTGAAGTACAGAAGGCTCTTCATGCTAACAGAACCGGCCTTCCTTACCCGTGGTCCATGTGCAGCTCGTAAGTCCTTCATTTAACGCTCCTTACAAGGAACTCGCATTCGCAGAAGAGTGTTGCTTACTTATTAAGCCACTGTTTCTTCTATTTTGTTGCGGCATTGACAGGGAATTAGAGTACCAAGATACTGATGGTAACATCGACATTCTCCCAGTACTCAAAAAGATCATTCAAAACGGTATCCCAGTCTGGATTTTCAGGTATAGAACCTGAAACCTTGTTTGTTCATCTACTTTGGAAACCGACGAATTCGAGCTATATATTGAATGAAAAAAATATGCTTGTGAACAGTGGGGATCAAGATTCTGTTGTCCCGTTGATGGGCTCGCGAACCCTGGTTCGCCAGCTGGCCGATGATCTCAAGTTCAAGGTTACAGTTCCATACTCTACTTGGTTCCACAAAAACCAGGTTGCTGGTTGGGTGACAGAGTACGGGAATCTGTTGACATTTGCAACGGTGAGGGGAGCAGCCCATATGGTTCCGTATGCACAGCCATCAAGAGCTCTGCATCTCTTCAGCGCCTTCCTTCGCGGGAAAAGGCTCCCTGATCATCCCAAAATCTCCGAGTAAGCAAAGCCCAGGCCCGGAAATTGGAGGGCTGAAGTGGGGCCCAGATAAACTGCAAGGCCCAAATTCTTGAAAGGAAAGTAGGAGGAAAAAGGAAATTGGGAAAAGAGCAGCGAAAATAAGAGGGGGTTGAAGTATTTGTAGTTAGGTTGTCGGTCTAGATTTTCTTTAAAGAGAAAAAACAAACAAAAAGAAATTTGATTTTATTTGAGAAAGATAGGAAGGTATTAGACTATTAGTGGGAGCCAAAGGGGAATTTATGGTTTGATTGATGATGAAGCAATTGGAAGGGGAAGAAAATCAAGACCTTACATTGTTGTTCGTTTTTTTTTTTAAAATACAATTTAATATCCAAACATTTCATTTTAAACAATATAATAGTCAAATCTTTTCGAAAACAAACTAATATCCAAATCGTCAACTTTGTCCGTTTTACAGTTGTTTGACACTTCAAAAAAGCTTTGTTTAGGGGAAATTGTCACAATACAACTTTGTTTTCTTGTTTTGGCATTGCAGATGACTGAATATTTAGATATTTTATACCATCATGGTGGAGTCATGGACTTCTCGGGTTTGGAACCACGATATGTTGGTGGTTTTTCAGAGAAGATATCGATGGATATTGATGAAGCGTCGTACTTCGAACTTTTTTGAAGTGTCAACTAACGGTCAAACGAACGAAAAGTTGACGATTTGGATATTCGATTGTTTTCGAAAATGTTTTGCTATTATATTGTTTAAAATGAAAGGTTTGGATATTAAATTGTATTTATTTTTTTTATCCCTTTTCTATCAAGAGAGAAACATCAAACAAAAGGAGAAAGGGAGAGAAAAAAAAACCCCACTAAACACCCTTACAAAGCAACACACGCAATCCTAACAAAACCATCCTAAATCTATATCAACAATCAACGAGCATATGGTCAAGTTCTTGGATAGATATTTGAGCAGCAAGGGAACGAGCATATGGTCAAGTTAACTAAAAACACTCTATTTCAAACTATTCAAATTTTCCATAACAAGTAGATATATTGGAGGTTTAGGAGTGCTATGAAAGCAAAATGAGATGCCACAAAAAACTAAAAGATAGGCGGGTCTAAGTATACTAATAATCTAATAGTAATAGACACATTGTTGTTTGCTAGTTTTATTACATTGACTTGGCCGTTATTTTTTTTTATAACTCAAGAAAAGCCAATTCTTCGAAAGAGAAAAGTGAGTCGTTGTTCATCTTGAGTGTCATCTCACTTATATCGGATTAGAGTTGATTTTCCATTTTCGTTGCCTCTTTCATGAGAGGCAGGTGAGTCGGGTCCGAAAGAAAAGATAAGATCCCATTTGAAACACTATCACGAAAAGAGTATTTTGTATTTTTGATATTGATTGTTACAATTGCGGGGATTGAATTTTGTAGTTTGGTCCACACTCATTCTCACGCTACGCTCGAAACTTGCCTCTAGCACAAGTAATTTTGTTTGGAGAATTACTCACTTTCGAAACATATAAGAGTGTGTATTAACAATACAATCACATATCTTGTATTACAGTATTTATAAGTTGAGTAAATTTTAGACCGTGGATCAACTTATTGAAAACTGCAATCCCGAATCAGTAGTTATGAATTATTTGTGAATGAAAAGTCTTGAAATTTGTAATTCTAAGATAATTTATGTGTTTGGTTTAAAACCATACCAACTTGGCAACTTGGCAAAACACATAAAGAAGACGGGCTACGAAAATGATGCCACCACCAGACCATAATAATAGTCGCCAAATGCCGCAACCTCTTAACTGCATAACCACTCTTCGACTACCAATACCATCATCACTTCACCGACACAGGTCACAACTTCAAACTTTTTCAGTTTTCATTCACTTTTTCCTTCCTTCCTTCCCTAACAACCTCCATTTTCGCTTAGATTACAGATCACATCTTGGTAGTAAAGTAGTAATAGTACTCTCCCCCATTTACCAAAACGCCCCACTCCCTGCAAACAGAAAAGGAATACCTCCCGTACTGGCGACTCAAACCAGCATTCCACTTGCCAAATCTATAAGCTTCCATCTTCGTTCAATCATTCTTTACATCTCAACTCTGTTTACTGGTCACCCGCTTCCTTAGTCTCCTGCAGTTCTAGCCCGCCGTTCAAAATTCTGTGTAAAGTTTCTATCTTTGCCTCTTCGGGTTGCTATCTCCTCTCACTCCTTTGCCGCCCTTGCTTCTTCTTTTTGACTGTCAGTTGGGGTTTCCGTGATCGTCACTTTCAATTTCTTGTGAACTCAAATTGGCTCACAAATGGAGAAGAGGGTTTAGTTTGCTGATTTGAGATGGCTCATGGTCTGAGCCCCAGTTCTTCATTTGACCAAGTGTTTGCCTTGTGCAAAAGGGTCTTCTTTTGGTGGAAGGGCATTGTGAAGACGCATCTTGGGTTGAAAGCGTTTCAGCCATTCAATGGAGCTTTAGCTGTTGGCTCATCCTTGTCTTTCCTATTAGCCCTGGCTTGTGCCTACTCGTTTCTCTCTCCTAGGGTTCAGCAGCAGGCTGATGTGGCTGCTAGCTACGGGCCTCCCGTACCCAATTCATCAGTAGTTACAGACTGCAATCTGTTTGAAGGAAGCTGGATCCAGGATCAGGGTTACATCCCTTTATATAATTCCTCCGTCTGCCCTTTTGCAGAGCGAGGGTTTAATTGCTTGGCAAATGGGAGGAGAGATCAGGGTTATTTGAGATGGAGGTGGAAGCCTAAGGGTTGTACCATCCCCAGCTTCAATGCTCGCAAAGTGCTAGAGAAATTGAGAGGCAAGAGGATTGTATTCGTGGGGGATTCGCTGAGTAGAACACAGTGGGAGTCTTTGGTATGCATGCTCATGACTGGTGTGGATGATAAAAGGAATGTTTATGAAGTCAATGGGAACAAGATTACTAAAAGAATTAGATTTCTGGGTGTAAGGTTCAGCTCATACAATCTGAGAGTTGATTTCTATCGATCTGTTTTCTTGGTCCAGACTGGTTCTGTGCCTAAAAGGGCACCAAAGAGGGTTAAGTCGACTCTGAAGCTTGATAAGATGGATGATATCAGCAATGAGTGGATTGATTCAGATTTTCTGATCTTTAACTCAGGCCACTGGTGGACTCCTAGTAAGCTTTTCGAAATGTGAGTTTCCCTTTCTCCTCTGCCCATTATCTGCTTTCTGTATTGAATGAATTCAATGAAATATGATACTGTTGTAGTTATATGACAATAGGCTTAAGAACCTGAAAGGTAGTTGCTTTTACTGTACTGAGATTGATGACGTATGCTGGCGATATGCATCTGCAATCTTATGAACTGCTTGTTGACTGATGCTCTCTCTTCTTTCATGAATTGAAGTGCCCTCAACTTGGATTTGCTGAATCTAGGCATCAGATTGCTCTTGAATTTTGGTTTCCTGAGCCAAGTGTTATCAGTCATTCACTTTTACAGTTGGATCAGCCATGAGTATTTTTATTCTAAATGTGTTGGTGCATTGTTGGAATGAGATGCTGATTATTGGAATTGTTCAATGTCGTGTTTTTCCTTTCGATCTTTCATCAATGACTGGGTTTCTGTTGTTTGTACAAACAAGCATGTCCCTAACGCGTATGTTTCAGACAGGGGCTGTTATTATCAAGTAGGTGGATCTTTGAAGCTTGGAATGCCTATAAACACCGGATTCAAAATGGCATTGGAGACTTGGGCATCCTGGGCTGCAAGTAATCTCAACACCAAAAGAACAACCGTATTCTTTCGGACTTTCGAATCTTCACATTGGAGGTCTGTTTTTTTTACATATTATTAACTCTGTCATCACTGATATGTATTCCTAACTCTATAAATTGACAAACAGCAGTCTTTCTCTATATTAGTGGCAAGAACTTCGCTTCCTGCAAGGTGACTCGGAACCCTTTGACGAAAACAAAAGGGAAGGAGAGGAACGCATTGTCGAACATCATATTGAAGGTCGTGAAGAAAGTGGCGCCGGTTCCTGTAACCGTACTGCACGTAACACCCATGTGTGCATCTCGTAGCGATGCTCATGTGGGCACTTGGAGCGATAACCCTTCCGTACCTGATTGCAGCCACTGGTGCCTGCCTGGAGTGCCTGATACCTGGAATGAAATTCTCTCGTCCTACATTTTGAACGACAATCACTGATGGTATCTTGATTAACAGGCACAATGAGTTCATTACACGCTTAACTAACGAATACACCAAGATCGATGTGTGGCTCCAGAAGATCTGGTGATAGAATCAGCTTGATTCCTATTCATTTATATTTGTATAGCTCCCTTGTCTGTAACATGAAACAGCTTCTGATGAAAGATACTATGCCCCCAACAAGTTTTGGCATGTGATGGAAATTTGTGTATTTTGGTTCTATCTATCTTCTCGTCTTATCTTTGGTTGGTCGATGCAGTCCAATTCAAGGGATGGATTTGAAGTCAAGGTTGCTACTTCCAGTTTATGTCTATATTTGCTTGAAAGTACAGGAAGACAGATAGTGATTGAGGGTAATATGTATTTGGTTGAAAAACTAACAGAATAACTATCATTACCTTGATGTATCGTCATCAGTAACATTAATTCTCTCCCGATTTTACACTCTGCTTTTGGAAACGTGAGTGAACCTGCAAACAATTGTGAACTGGCCTTCTGCTGAGGTTCTGTATGCATTAACAATTTCATTCCTTATCCTATACAATCAAAAGCAAACTAGTATGAGAGAGAGAACAATGATGAATTCACTATCTATCAAGTATTAACGCATTTGTGCCATTATATAGAATCAAAAGCAAAATATAGTAGGATAGAGAGAATAACAATGGGATTCACTTGGTGATGAACTTGGAGGCTTCATCATCAAATTGGGTTACGATAACACCAAGGTTGTCAAACTGCTTTATTTCATTGTGTCGGTTTAGCAAGTGGTATATGCCGGTTTTAAAGCATTAACAACAAATAAATGGTTCATTTACATAATCTATATTTAAGACAGTCTACCTATAATCTCCATCTACAGTTAAATAAACACTATATTACAAAGTAAAGGACAATATTTCAGTTCTCACCCCATGAAGACGTATCGACTGATTTCTTTGTCCATATCGCTAATTATCTCATTTGGATTTTTCACGTGTTAATAGTACCAATATGATCCCAAATATGATACTTTGAGAATGAAAGTTTGTTTGCTTGCAAGACGTTTTAATTTATCTGAAAGTACATGTAATCTATTATTACCTCATTCACTCGAAACCATTGTTATAACTATCGAATTGGATTGCCAGTGAGATCAATAGAACCACCACACCAGTTGTAATAGCGGTTCAGTTTGTTAGCTTGGCAGTTAGGGATAAATCGAATAATGTTTAATGGTTTGACATGAAACCAGATGAATTAGTCCGCTTTGATGGTCCACCGGTTTATGTTAATGACAAAAAAAATTACTAATTTTATTTATGCTTTTTTTTTCCTTTATTTCTCATCCTCCTTGTCGGCCTTATATGCTCCACTACGAATTGTCGCGCGTATTTACTATCTTGAATTTAAATAAAAAGAAATAGATTTATTTTGTGAGATAGTTTGAATTGTTAGAACTTTTGATTATAGATGATATGAATTTGAAAATGTTGATGGTTAATGATAAATTCAGTCCAAAACTAATGTATTACATATGTCTTTTATGTTATCACGCATGAACAGTTCTATCAACGGCTAACCAACGTACCTATAACATTTAACCGTTGAACCGTAAATCACTAATTTCTCCGATTCAACATCCGGTCCGATTATGAAATCATAACTCAAAACCCTTGACAATTGGTAAGAAAAACAGGGGAGAAGAGAAGACACAGAAGAAGATTGAGAGAAGTAGTGTAGGCAAACTTTGAAGTGTTTTGGAATGCAAACAATACATGACACATCCCTTCCCCTCTCCTCCCCTCCACAAATCTTAGAATGAGGATTAAGTCACTTATTAGCAATATATTAAAAAAATCAAAATCTCCCCACTACAAATACCCCATCCTAATTCCCACCATTTTCATTACCAACCAAACACATAAATAAGAAGAAGGAGAAGAAGAAGAAGAATACAAATATACGAAATTATAATATCATTTTGTAAAACCATCCCAATATGGCCGCTCCAACCGTGATCATCATCGTGGTTTTTATCTCGTTCGGCGGCCTCCTCTGCCTCGCGGGGCTCGCCGCCGTGGTGCTCTGCTGCTTGAAGAAGCTGAAGAAGAAGCCGACGGCGAAGCACGAGGTGGATTTGATCCACGTGGACGAGCACGCGAGGGTGAAGGAAGCCGTCGTCCCCGGGAGTGCGGTGGTGCTGGAGATCGAAGAGGACTTGCACGTCGACGAGGTTGTGAGGAAAGATGATGAGGTCGCGGCCGCCGGACATCATCATCATCTTCATGGTTTGCATGGGAAGCCGGCGGCGGGGGTCGGTGCTAGCTCGGAGGTTGCGGCGGTGGCTTCGTCCGGCGGTGCTGCTCGGGAGGTTAATTAATGAAGGGAAGTCGTCGTGTATTGTAATTAATTATTGGGTGACTGAGGTTTCTCAATGTTAATTAAGCTGATGCACTAATTCGTTGTTTGATTCACTTTAAATAAACACAAGTTGATTGCAAGTTGTAACTGAAATTGATTTGATCTAATCGGAAAGTATGTAAAAAAATCTAATTCAGACATTGTAAGAAACAACGAACGAGTCTTTTTAACCACTAAATGATTATATATGTATAAACCTGTATGCAAACTCACAGTGTAATAACTAATATAATCTTTATTTTATTTTGATTAAATTATATGTAAAAGTTAACTCACAATTATTGTTTTTATTAATTTTTTCTTAGGAAGCGAAACTTACAATTATTTTTAAATCTTTTAAAATCAGAAATGGCACTAGGCTAGTGAGTAAAAAACTAAAAATCACTCTCTGTGTAATTAACCCAAATGGGCCGAAATGTCAAAGTGGGCCCGCAGCCAGCATTTACCGAGACGCAGTTTTTTGGGCTCGTTGTCTCGCGTTCGCCTCTTCTTTCCTTCTCGTACTGTAATTTTCTCATCTCGGCAGAGCAGATCTAAAGCTTACCGGCTCATTTCGATCGTCAATTTGTAAGAACCCGCGAACTTGGCTGCCTTCTTTCTCGTCGTCGGGAGATAAATTTCAGTCGACGATCAAGGGAGCCGGGTCAATTCTGAATCCGCAGAAATGGTTGTGGTATCCGCTGCCCGGGATTACATCAACCGCATGCTGCAGGATATCTCCGGCATGAAGGTTCTAATTCTGGATTCCCAAACGGTAATTAAGAACAATTCTCGATTCCATTTCTTTCCGTTTTCCTCTTTGATTATTGTTTTCGCCGTCTCCCGAACCGGATTCCATGCGATTGTGGCGATTTATGGATTCATGTGATCTTACTTCTTAGAGCTGTAAGGCTGACCAATATGGTTATAGCTTGTTAGAGCTGGCATGTTCTTTTCTTTTTCATTTGATTGACGGGTGCTTTTTCCTCTGCCATGAACTTGGTGTGTGTATTTTCTAGACAGTGGTTAAGCAGAATCATACCACAAAGAGTAATTCAGGTTTTTGTTTGAGTTTCAGGTCAGTATCGTAAGTGTTGCCTATTCACAATCTGAACTGCTTCAGAAAGAAGTATTTTTGGTTGAAATGGTAGATACAATATCCAAGTCTAAAGAATCTGCGACACATTTGAAAGCGGTTTGCTTCCTTCGTCCTACATCGGAGAATATCCAGTTTTTGCGACGCCAGCTAGCTAATCCTAGATTTGGGGAGTATCACCTGTGTAAGCTATTAAAGAAGAGCTTTGGCACCAACCCCTTCTTTCATCTGGTATTGCTTCCTGGTACTGATCTATCTTCCTTCATCTTTTACAGTTTTCTCCAACATGTTGAAAGATACCCAGATTCATTTGTTAGCGGACTCAGATGATCAAGAAGTTGTGCAACAAGTACAGGTAACGAATTTGCTTGTTCTTATTAGATTAGTATATCTGGTTTGGTGAACCCTGAATCGTTTGTTTGGATAAGTAGTTTCAGACATAGTACAGTTCATGCTTGATCTAACATACTGAGAAGTAGGCTCACCGACTCACCGTGCTCCTTGTTGCATCTGGCTGGTATATCCAATTAGGAAAAACTAGATGGGGGAACTTTTTTTCAAGTTGTCTAGCTTTTATATTTCAGGTCTGAGATTTTCTGAAAGTTAATCGTAATCTATGTGTTTTCTTTTTGGAAGGAAGTTAGTGTTATGACCACTCGAGAGAGGGCGAGAGGTTGGTTTTAAATAAGGGTACAATTCATTAGATATGGAGCTTTCGGCTGCCGAAACTGAAATAATGTGCAAAACCCATAGATTTTGGCCCTTTTGAAACCTTAGTAATTTGTGTAAGTGCTTTAGTGATAAGAAACTACACGTAAATAAACTAACTACAGCAGCAACACCTGCATTCTTATTTTTGGAGTACATGCTTGGGCATTCTCATTCCACAGCCTTCCACTTGCTGTCCATGGGTTGGCATGTAGTTAAGCTGCCTTGCTGAAGCTGCAATCTAGCAACTGTAATATTCAAAACTTGGATGCTGGAGCCGGGTTTATATGAGTGCAGTTCACATACTCCTTGATTATGAGCAGGAAATGAGTTGCTAGTCTGTCCTGGTTTCTTTGGTTTCCATGGATCTTTGCCTCTAGTAGATTCTTAACTATATGATTACATGTTCGTGAGACTATTTGATCTGATGAAAGTCAGTCACTCTATTCGAAGTCAAAACTAATATGAGATTCAGAAAGTATAGACTCGTATATAGATTATGTTTGATAGATGTGATGTATTGGTGTTGTTTATATTGAGATAAATCGAATGCTTGGAATTTAAGGATTTTTACATGGATCACTTCGAAATGTTGTAGTGAATCCTTTTGTTCTTCTTACTCTTTTATCAGCTTGACCTTGACATAGTTGTTCTACTTACTTTTCAGGAGTTTTATGCCGACTTCGTTGCACTTGATCCTTACCATTTCTCCTTGAATGTTCCTTCAAATCATATGTATATGCTTCCAGCAGTCATCGATCCTTCTGGGTTGCAACACTTATGTGACCGAGTAGTTGACGGGATTGCAGCACTTTTCTTGGCTCTGAAACGAAGGCCTGCTATTAGATACCAAAGGACCTCAGATGTTGCCAAAAGGATAGCCCATGAATCAGCAGTGAGTGTGCTTTGATCCCAAAATTTATTTTGCTACTTGTATAAGCTCAGCAACAGATTTTTTTAATATTCTGAGAGCATCTATTGACAAATCTGATAGAGCAAACGTGAGGATACTACCAGATTTCATTGCTAGCATCATCTAGTATAGATGTGCACACATTGCACTTATAATCTCTGTTTATCCAGCAACTGATCAGGTTCTGGATTGAATATGCATCCGCTTTTTCATCAATACTTAAGAAAAGGCTAGCCCATTTAGCAAGCTGAATTATCTATTCTGTGTCCTTTTTCCACCCTTAGTTGGACAATTTTATGGATGGACAAATTTTGATATATTGTTATACATTCTTCTCCGATGTTGCAGAAGCTGATGTATCAGAAGGAAAGTGGGCTTTTTGATTTCAGAAGGGGCGAGCTTTCTCCTTTGTTGCTAATAATAGATCGAAGAGATGATCCTGTAACCCCTTTGTTGAATCAATGGACCTATCAGGTACTGCAATGTGTGCATGTGTGTGTGTTTCTTGAGATGCTCATTTTTCTTGGATATTCAGGCATGATGCTTTCCATTTTATTTATGTTGGTGCCACTGGATCTGACCTTTTTCCCCTGGTAATTTTGCTTGTTTTATAGGCTATGGTTCATGAATTAATTGGCATCCAGGATAATAAAGTGGATCTCAGAGGCATTGCTAAAGCATCAAAAGACCAGCAGGTTAGCTCCTTGTGGCTCCAATGTAAGGAAAAGGATAAAAATGAAATGTGTTGTTATGTTTCAGCATTGTCAAGTTATTATCTTTTTCATGCTTTGCAGGAAGTGGTGCTATCGTCAGAGCAAGATGCATTCTTCAAGCTCAACATGCATGAGAACTTTGGAGATATTGGGATGAATATCAAGCGGATGGTGGACGACTTTCAGCAGGTTGCAAAGAGTAACCAAAACATTCAGACAATAGGTTCGACGTTCGTATTGACAATCAAGAAGCTGGTAACAGCTTATTTCTGTTCATGCATCTAGGTACGACTAAGACAGTAATTTTGAAATTTTGCAGAGGACATGGCCAAGTTTGTTGAGAATTATCCCGAATATCGGAAAATGCATGGCAATGTCTCAAAGCATGTGACACTGGTGACTGAAATGAGCAAGTTAGTTGAGGAGAGAAAGCTCATGTTAGTTTCACAAACCGAACAGGAGTTAGCTTGCAATGGTGGGCAAGTGGCAGCTTTTGAGGTAGTGCACTATCTTACCTTTTACAGGCCCAAATGCTCATTAAGAAAAATTGGTCATCCAATCAAGCCCTCGGTGCAAGTTGGTCGTCTAAAGGATTCCCGTGAGATTTCACAATTTAGCTTTTACTGGATTCTAGAATCTAACACCACTACAATCCATCGCCAATTCTGTCCAGCCAAACATTTGGCTCTTCAATATTTCAGCAGCTAATAGAATTGTAAATAGAAATCGATGGTCATAATCCATCATGCAAATAAACTTTAAATAAAAATATGATCCCCTGCAGCTTTAGTTCTACATTTAGAGCAAGTTTTCTGGAATAAAAACTATCATCGTTACTGAAGTGAAAAGATGTAGGAACTTTAACTGATTCTGGCTGTATGATATGAGACTTTCCTGCAATATGTTCCCCGGTACCTTTATGGGGGTAGTACGAGAAATAAGCCGCAATGCCCATATTCATGTGAAATCCTTCTCAGTATGTGGTATTGATTGAGTAATTTTAATATTTTAACTTCCTCTCCCTGTGTGCTGCTGTGCAGGCAGTGACCAATCTTCTTTACAATGAAAGTGTATCAGATATCGACCGCCTGCGCCTAGTGATGTTATATGCTTTACGCTATGAGAAGGAGAGTCCTGTTCAATTAATGCAGCTATTCAATAAGCTTTCATCTCGAACTGCAAAGTACAAGCCCGGGGTAATGTGTCGCTATCTTTTATCTTTTGTGAATCAGGTGCCCGTGATATAAATGTAATTGACTAATTGAGTCATACAATTGAGATATAAAAGAGGTTCCTGTACGATTGTTGTTGATGCTGCATTAAATGAAGGTTAGGTTGAAGGATGTTGTTTGCTAGCAGTGGTTGAGTATGTGTACAAATTTATATTTGTATCCACCCTGGGACTTGCAGCTTGTGCAATTCCTACTGAAACAAGCTGGTGTGGATAAACGGACTGGTGACCTGTTTGGGAACCGGGACTTCTTGAATATAGCTCGTAACATGGCTCGTGGCCTGAAGGTAACAGAGCAGAGGCATAATCCTCTTTTTGGATTCTCTTTGTTAATGACATCTGTGGGCTTATAGTTTTCTTTCTTCTGCGTTTTGCTTCAGGGAGTTGAAAATGTGTACACCCAGCATCAGCCTCTTCTGTTCCAAACAATGGAAAACATAATCAAGGGACGGCTGAGGGATGTAGACTACCCATTTGTTGGTAATCATTTCCAACAAGGGAGGTTCGTTTCTCAGTTCCTTTCCTTCTGATATGAAACGCCGTGCTGAAGTCTGAAACTTTATATTGCATAGAACACAAGATAGCTAGATTAGCCATCCAATCTCTTGCTAATCCACTGCTTTAAGTTGCTAAAAGCTGAGAGATGATCACATTCCTTTGTTTGGTAGTCTAGATTAGAGTGGTGGTTCAAACCTTAACTATCACCTATAAAGGAAAGAGTCTAATGTATGCTAGTACGTCCTGTTCCCTTCAGATGGACAATTCTACCAAGCCCATTTCTCTTGTAGGTTCACATATTTTTCTCATTTGTGTCTGATGAAGGCAAGGTTTGGAATTAATGTTACAAAAGAGTTTTTTTTTCTTCTTCAAATACTCAAGATAAGATTTATTTGTGCAGGCCACAGGATGTGATTATTTTCATTGTTGGTGGGACGACGTATGAAGAGTCACGTTCTGTAGCTCTGCAAAATGCTGTGCATACTGGGGTTCGTTTTACACTTGGTGGTTCTGTAGTTCTCAATTCCAAAAGGTACGATTTAGTTTTAAAGTACGATGGATCTGTGCTTTATACTCAGCTAGTAAGAAATAGAGAGAGAGATACACAGATGAGTTATTTCCCCCGTCTTGATCAGATACTGTCATTTGCTTATCAGTATGTCTTACTATTTATGGTGTGGGGGAATGCAGGTTTATAAGGGACCTGGAAGAAGCACAGAGAATAGCTAAATCGAGCACGAATGTGGTTTGAAAAGTTCTACTCCCACCCTCAACTGTAGTTTTTTTTTCCGAGTCATGTAAATAGCCGAGAAGAGGAGTTGAGGTGGGTTCTGCACGGGAGGGTGGGTTCTTGTTGTTAAGCTTGGAAGAGGGTAGTAAACAACGTTTGGCATTAATGTCATGTAACCAGTTTGATTAGAAGAATCAAAGGACAGGAACGCAACCCCCTTTGCTCCAGTATCCTTGGAACTCTCCCACACGACGTGATCCGAGTCTGCGAACTATATACTGAGTCTGAGAATCTAGCTAGCTGACATATCATAGGAGAAAAACAAACGTTGTAGATTTGTGATGTGTATTACTATCGTGGTATCAAGTACAGTTACTGCAGCTTCTTTTATCTGGACAGTTTGATCTGGAAATGTATCTCTGTAGAGGGATTCTGATTTCTGATTACGTTTTACTTCAGCGTTGAAATATACAGCAAGGCCAACCCAACGATTAGAGAAGACCAACTATGTTACATTGTTACTCAAACAGTTACTGATACAATCACAAGTGTACACTCAGCTGCATTGCCGCTGGTCCATGCATGCATGCATAATATTATTTCACCAGAACCACAGTACGTACTGATGAACAAAAACCATTACTTTCTACAACACCAAATGATGAACAAACAATCCCAAAAAAAAAGCATTCAAATCATTCACCATCAACTCCACAACCAAGTTCACGATTCGACATCACACCGAAAAAGAAAAAAAAAACAGAACATCCACAACACACTAGATTCAAACCTAGCCCAACAACACCAACGGAAAACGGAAAAAAAAAACTAAAACGAAACCAAACCAAACCAAACATCCACACGAAACACCACAACTACTTGAGAGGGATGAACCTTGAAGAGTGGGTAGCACCCAAACCAGGCCTGCCATGGCTGACCGGCTTGTAAGTAATCGAAAACTCGGCCAAGTAGTGACCAATCATCTCCGGCTTGATCTCGATCTGGTTGAACGTCTTCCCATTGTAGACGCCGATCACGCTCCCAATCATCTCCGGGACGATGATCTTGTCCCTGAGGTGTGTCCTCACCGGCTGCGGCTTCTCACCGGCGGGAGCCTCCCTCTTGGCCTTCCTCAGCTTCTTGACCAGCGCCATCGGCTTCCTCGTCAGCCCGCGGTTGACCCTCCTCCGGGCCCGGGCGGGGAAGAGGGTGACGAGGTCGTCGGTGGACATGTCGAGGAGTGCGTCGAGATCCACGCCGCGGTAGCTGAACTTCTTGAACGTCCTGTTCTTCTTCCCCGCTGTCGCCGCCGCCATCTCCGTTGTTTCCACGTCCGCCGGCAAAAAGGGTTACGTAAGATATTAATTACGTGTGCCGAACGGCCGGCAATGGGGGGTGGATTAGGGTTACGGATGAAGTTTATCTCACCATGATTGTAGAGATCTTTGAAACCCTAATCGGCTGGTGTGTTTTTAGGGTTTTTTTTTTTTTTGCTAGGTTTTATAATGGTTTGCGATTCTAGATTTATGGTGTGACTATATATATAGGAGATAGGTCATGGGCTCGACTCAGTCGTAAAGCACGGTTCGGCTCGGCTCGGCTCATTAACAGCCCTATCTGCGATCAAGGAGATGTTAACATCAATGATGGTACCTTCCTTCTCCTCTATGCAGCTAGTCGAAATTGATTGTATTTGAATGTGGTTTTGTTTATTATTATGTGAATGAATGCCATGAATTCATATCATGATGCCTAAGATAATCAATGATGCTATATTGTTTAATTTTGTATGCTTATAATGGTCAGTGATGTTTCTGTAGTATGAATACTTTTAACACCATCGATGCTTATGATTCTATTGTATGCTACTATACGCATTGTACTTAGTATTATCTAGATTGTCAAGAAATTACCTTATAGGGATACCCATTGACGCTAGACGAGTATGAGATGATTAATCACCCATCTATGCTTCGAGTAGTATCAATGCTTGATTATTAGATCATCGATGCTATAGAATATTGTTATGGTTCGTAGAAGCCCACAATTAAGTATATGTTATCCTAACTTCCTTGTTCTTCATTAGGTAATGACATGAAACAAAAACATGCATTTGCTAGTTAAATCTCTATCTCAAGAGGTGCATGCACTGATACACAAGTAGATAGTATCCTTAGAGGAAGGGATAGGGTGTCACAATAGATGAACCACTGATACATGATATGAATGAGCCCAAGTTTACATGGTCATCTTCAAGTTCACTACCTTTTACAATAACGTACCTTTCCTTTTATGAAGCTATAAATCGAAAATCCCTAAACAACTTTACTCTTCTTGCATTGTTTGTCTCCTAATGAAAACCCATAAATGTCCTTATGATTTCGTGTATGTGTTGATGGTTAATTAGTGTGAGTAGTTATGCATTAGAAGACCTCAAGGAGTACGACCATATGCACATCTAGGATATGATTATCACTTGTATGAATTCCACAATAGAGCTCATGATAGATTCCACGGTCAAGGCCAGTTGCTTCCTCTCCAACGACATAGAAGGAGACATTGAGTGGTTCTGAATAAGAGGAAGGAGAAGAAGTAGATGATTTTGATATTGTTGCCATTGCACGCGACAACGAAAGATTGTACGACTGGATTAGGGTTTGCTATTGGAAAGGAGAAGAGAGTTGGGCCTAAATTTGTAATTTTTAACCCAAAATGGCTCCTTAATTCGAATGTCTTATATCAAAGTTCTTGTTTTTTGAAATAAGACATTTGGACCCAAATGTCTCATTGAAGAAAAGTCTCGCCAAATAAAAATAACCCCTTGGCATCTCCTTCCAAGCTAATATAAAACCTCAATCACATAAATAAAACCATAATGAAAAATGTAATTATGCCTCTTCTAAAGAAATTATAAAATGACATAAGGAATACTTGGATACTTATCCATAATATTCACAACTTCTTGGATAATTATCCTTTTTTATATGAATTTCATAGTTGACATGGTTATTTATTCGAACTAAAATGAATTTCACTTGTATTTTTATTCTAATTTGTTTTTCAAGATAAACCAAGAAGGTTGGAAATGGTAGGACCATATTACAAGAAAAATAAGAATCACACACGATGGTTCGTGTTCATTTAAACTACCAATGAAAGATTTTTTTGCCACTAAATGGAAATTTCGGTTAAATCTCAAAGGAGAATGGACACAAAACAAGCGAAAAAAAATACATAGAGTAGACTAACTTCCTCCTAAAAAGCTCCCACTAAAGAGTGAGTAGCTTCACTCGACAAAACATGCTGATTACTAGTTGGAATCGCCACAAAATGCAACAAACAAAACTAGTAGTGAGAAAACCATGTCATAACATCACAAAAGGGAAGTAATTCAACAACAAAAACATCCAAAATCCCACCACAAATTTACCAAAAGCAAACAAAATCCACCCATCACTTGAGAATCCAAAAAAAAAAACCGGCTGATCACTTGAGAGGGATGAACCTGGAAGAGCGAGTAGCACTGATTCCAGGCCTCCCATGCTTCACAGGCTTATAAGAGATGGAAAACTCGGCCAAGTAGTGACCGATCATCTCCGGCTTGATCTCCATCTGGATGAACGTCTTGCCATTGTAGACGGCGATCACGCTCCCGATCATCTCCGGGACGATGATCATGTCCCTGAGGTGTGTCCTCACCGGCTGTGGCTTCTCACCGGCTGGCGCCTCCCTCTTCGCCTTCCTCAGCTTCTTGATCAGCGCCATGGGCTTCCTCGTCAGCCCACGCTGGAACCTCCTCCGGGCCCGGGCGGTGAAGAGTCCGACGAGGTCGTCGGTGGACATGTCGAGGAGGGCGTCCAGATCCACGCCGCGGAAGCTGAACTTCTTGAACGTCCTGTTCTTCTTCCCCGCCGCCTCAGCTGTCGCCGCCGCCATCTCCGTTGTTTCCACCTCCGCCTGCAAAAAGGGTTACGTAAGATATCAATCACGTGTGCCGAACGGCCTGCAATGGGGGGTGGATTAGGGTTACGGATGAGGATTATCTCACCATGATTGTAGAGATCTTTAAAACCCTAATCGGCGGGTGTGTTTTTAGGGTTTTTTAGGCTAGGTTTTATAATGGTTTGCGATTCTAGATTTATGGTGTGACTATATATATAGGAGATAGTTCGTGGGCTCATGCCCTAGTGTCCATATCAGCCTATCGGGGGTGAAGGGCTAATTGGGAGACGTACGATGATTGTGCTTATTTTTTTTAACTTTTTTTCCCATTAAATTAAACAGACTATATCTCTTTTATTTTGGATGTTTTTGTTAAATGAGTTTGTTGCTTTATATATTTATTGATAAATGATTTTTTTACCCAAATAACATGTGAAAATGACATTCACTTTTATATATTTGGGAACGAAAAATTTCGAGGTGTTTATTAACGATATATATCATGGTGGTAATGTTTGATAATATATAAGATTATAGATGGTGGTGTCCTATAGGAAGGCTCCTCCCCTGAACTTTCGGATGGGGAATTGATTCTCCACTTTGTTTTGTTTTGTTTTTTCTGAAATCTTTTCATTTCTTAGAAACAGTCCTTGTTTTAACAACTTTGACGGTTGTATAAATATTGTAATTTCAGTAATAAGAAATACAGACTTTGGCATTCACTTCAGTATGTAAAGTATAATGTTAGTATGAACATGTTATAGTGTAGATCAATTGTACGTATATATTATAATAAAAGTATATTAACCATCATGTATCACTTTTTTACCACGATCTATCACCATTTACAACATATATTAGGATGGTATGATTGGTGGTATATTTGGTCCGAAATATTTTTTTTCCTAAACTTATAAATCAAAATAGATCACTATGAACTTTGTTATTTTGTGCAATTTTGTTTTCTTCTGTCTTTGATTAAAATGAAGGTGATACAGAGTGGTGCCAGGATGGTACCAGGATGGTAACGAGTGAAACAAACAATTTTTTCTCGAAATATATAATTATTTTGTAGCCTCGTTCCATCTATGCATAAAAAATTCAACTAATACAAAGAAGATATACAATCTAATTTCATGATCAAGAAGCCCAAATCATGAAGAATCAGAGCGGCGGGCCCAACCGACTTACTACCGTCACCTTACCTTTCCCTTGTTGACGAATTTCTCTAAACCTACTAGAATTAGGAGGCTTTTACTAGTTGGCATCTGTTGTTTTAGACAAGATTCTCCCCTATAAATAGAGGGCATGACTCCATTGTGAAAGTAAGGCCGCACAAACACATAAATCTCTGTAACACTCTACAAGAGTGCATAGTCTAGTCGAAGTAAGGGGGTCTGCGGGCTGCGGCCAAGAAGATGTTGTTAACATCAATGATGGTACCTTCCTTCTCCTCTATGTAGCTAGTCGAAATTGATTGTATTTGAATGTGATCTTGTTTATTATTATTATGTAAATGAATGCCATGATTTCATATCATGCTTGTGTTTGTCTATGAATTTCGATGCTTAGGATAATAAATGATGCTATATTGTTTAATCTTTTTTTGCTTATGATGGTCAGTGATGTTTCTATAGTATGAATACTCTTCACATCAGCGATGCTTATGATTCTATTGTATGCTACTATATGCATTGTACTTAGTATTATCTAGATTGTCAAGAAATTACCTTATAGGGATACCCATTGACGCTAGACGAGTATGGAATGATTGATCACCCATCTATGCTTCGAGTAGTATCAATGCTTGATTATTATATCATTGATGCTATAGAATATTGTTATGGTTCGTAGAAGCCCACAATTAACTACATGTTATCCTAACTTCCTTGTTCTTCATTAGGTAATGACATGAAACAAAAACATGCATTTGCTAGTTAAATCTCTATCTCAAGAGGTGCATGCACTGATACACAAGTAGATAGTATCCTTAGAGGAAGGGATAGGGTGTCACAATAGATGAACCACTGATACATGATATGAATGAGCCCAAGTTTACATGGTCATCTTCAAGTTCACTACCTATTACAATAACGTACCTTTCCTTTATGAAGCTATAAATCGAAAATCCCTAAACAACTTTACTCTTCTTGCATTGTTTGTCGCCTAATGAAAACCCATAAATGTCCTTATGATTTCGTGTATGTGTTGATGGTTAATTAGTGTGAGTAGTTATGCATTAGAAGACCTCGAGGAGTACGACCATATGCACATCTAGGATATGATTATCACTTGTATGAATTCCACAATAGAGCTCGCGATAGATTCCACGATCAAGGCCAGTTGCTTCCTCTCGAACGACGTAGAAGGAGACATTGAGTGGTTCTGAATAAGAGGAAGGAGAAGAAGTAGATGGTTTTGATATTGTTGCCATTGCACGCGACAGCGAAAGATTGTGCGACTTGATTAGGGTTTGCAACTGGAAAGGAGAAGAGAGTTGGGCCTAAATTTGTAATTTTTAACCCAAAATGGCTCCTTAATTCGAATGACTTATATCAAAGTTCTTGTTTTTTTAAATAAGACATTTGGACCCAAATGTCTCATTGAAGAAAAGTCTCGCCAAATAAAAATAACCCCTTGGCATCTCCTTCCAATTTAAAATAAAACCTCAATCACATAAATAAAACCATAATGAAAAATGTAATTATGCCTCTTCTAAAGAAATTATAAAATGAGACAAGAAAGACTTGATACTTATCCATAATATTCACAACTTCTTGGATAATTATCCTTTTTTATATGAATTTCATAGTTGACATTGTTATTTATTCGAACTAATATGAATTTCTCTTGTTTTTTTATTCTATTTTTTTTTTCAAGATAAACCAAGAAGGTTGGAAATGTTAGGACCAGATTACAAGAAAAATAAGAATCAACACGATGGTTCGTGTTCATTTAAACTACCAATGAAATCTTTTTTTTTTTGCCACTAAATGAGAATTTCGGTTAAATCTCAAAGGAGAATGGACATAAAACAAGGGAAAAAATACTTAAGAGTAGACTAACTTCCTCCTAAAAAGCTCCCACTAAAGAGTGAGTAGCTTCACTCGACAAAACATGCCTGATCTACTAGTTGGAATCGCCACAAAATGCAACAAACAAAAACTATTGGTGAGAAAACCATATCATAACATCACAAAGGGGAAGTAATTCATCAACAAAAGCATCCAAAATCCCACCACGAATTTACCAAAAGCAAACAAAATCCAGGAGTAAAACAATAAATGGCTTTGCATCAGCCTTTTCCATATTCTTCAACACAGCAAAATCTCATAAACTATATCTGTCTTAGAAACTTGCGAGGAAATGAACGTAATAATAGGACCATGCATGGATGATCACTTGAGAGGGATGAACCTGGAAGAGCGAGTAGCACTGATTCCAGGCCTCCCATGCTTCACAGGCTTATAAGAGATGGAAAACTCGGCCAAGTAGTGACCGATCATCTCCGGCTTGATCTCCATCTGGATGAACGTCTTGCCATTGTAGACGGCGATCACGCTCCCGATCATCTCCGGGACGATGATCATGTCCCTGAGGTGTGTCCTCACCGGCTGTGGCTTCTCACCGGCTGGCGCCTCCCTCTTCGCCTTCCTCAGCTTCTTGATCAGCGCCATGGGCTTCCTCGTCAGCCCACGCTGGAACCTCCTCCGGGCCCGGGCGGTGAAGAGTCCGACGAGGTCGTCGGTGGACATGTCGAGGAGGGCGTCCAGATCCACGCCGCGGAAGCTGAACTTCTTGAACGTCCTGTTCTTCTTCCCCGCCGCCGCAGCCATCTCCGTCGTCTCCACGTCCGCCTGCAAAAGGGTACGTAAAACGTTAGTCATGTAGGCGGGCTGGCCGGCGATGCGGGTGGATATGTGGGTAGAGTTCTCTCACCATGATTGCAGATCTCGGAAACCCTAATCGGCTGTTGTGGTGTTTTTTTTTTTAGGGTTTTTTGCCTGGTGTTTAATGTTTTGCGATAATTGGGTAGTAGTGATATATATAGGAGAGAGTTCATGGGCTCATGTCCATATCGGGTGTAGGGGATTAGGGTTGGGAGACGATGGATTGTTGTGACTATTTTTTTTTTTCAATTAAATTAAACAGGCTATATCTCTTTTATTTTTTGTGATTTTGCTACATGAGTTTGGTAATTTATATCTCTTTTATTTATTTTAAATTAAAATTCAATTTTAGAAGAAAAAAAATTAATTGTGCTCTTAAAAATGACATTCACTTTGATATATTTTGAAATCAAATGCTTACCAAAAAATATTTTGAAATCAAATTTTTTGAGTCATATATTACCACTTTATATCATGGTGCTAATGGTTGATATCGTATAAGATTATACATGGTGGTATGTGATAGGAAGGTTCCTCAACTGGACTTTCAAATGTGGAATCAGTTCACTCCAGTTTGTTTATCCATTCCTTCTTTTCACTTGTTAGTTGCCAGAAATAGTCTCTGTTGTAACAGCTTCAGCTGTTGTATAAATATTATAATTTCAGTAATAAGAAATACAAAATTTAGCATTCAATTCATGATATGAGAGCCTCAAATACTCTAACGAGTCTCATTCTCCTTCTCTCGTCCTCTTTTTCTTCAATTTGTTTTTCCTCTATTTTGGTCTCCTTTCGCAAGCTGATCATTGAACTCAGTCTCCACCCCGTCTGACTCTCCCTTCCAATCCACAATTGATGGTGGAGCTAACTCCGACGAACTACCTCATCTTGAAGGCTCAGTTGCAACACCACTCCTTCGTTGTCATGGACTCATCGACCATGTCGACGATTCATCTCCTGATCCGCTAGAAACGATTGATGCTCAGTGGAATCATGCATATGCTGATTGGTGCGAACGTGATCAATTGGTTTTAACATGGATTAATCTTTCTTTATCTTAAGCAGTTATGACCCATATAATCAACAAGTCGACGACAAAAGCTACATGGGAGACGTTGGCTCGTGTTTATGCCTCAGGATCTTCAATGATAATCGGACAACTACAACGGTCCCTCAATCATATCAACTGCAACAATGGCTCGACACATACTTACTTGTAACAGGCGAAGGGCATTTTTTATCAATTAGCATCGCTGGGTGCCCCGATTACAGAGGTGGAGCTGGGTACCGATGTTCTTACTAATCCCTAGTTTAGCCCATCCAATTCATTTACCCAAGCCTTTTTCTTACTCCACCCAAAATGACTTTCCGACCCACTACCAATCCCACTCGCCCTCCCCTCTATTTCTTCTATGGGTCCGACTTCTATCGGCCTCATCCCACTTTCATCCACATCTTTGATTCCCCCCCCTCCACACTCAAGCCATTACCTTATGTACCACCCATGACCCAATGTGACAATTTGGGAGCTACTTATTTTGCTCATAATCTTGTATTCGATTCTCGCTCCAAGCATCTGGAAATCGTATTCTACTTTGTCCGTGATGGGGTGAACAAGAATTAGTTGCATGTTCATTATTTCCCTGTGACTTATCAATCTAGATTGAATCAAGCATTGGAGAACTCTGAAAGATGGAATGAGCTATCAAGATAAGTTTATGGATCTTTCGCGAGAGATGAGTGGTCCGATGATGGAGAAGTCAACTAAAAGTTGCGAGATTATGTCAAGACGAGTCCATAGGAGGAAGAATCGGTCCATTATGATGTTAGAAGGAGAGGCAGTCCAAGCAACGGGCCCAACTGTCGCTACCCAAAGTTGCAGCCCAAATCGTCTAAATTTGAAGTCAATTGAGCAAGAAGCCCAAATCACGAAGAACCAGAGTGACGACACAACTGACGTACCGCTGCCGCCATACCTTTGCCTTGTTGACGAATTTTCCTAAGTCTGCTAGGTTTAGGAGACTCTTTCCTAGTCGATTTAGGTTATTTTAGGTCGGATGCATCCCTATAAATAGCGGGCATGACTCCATTATAAAAGTAAGGTTGCACAAACACACAATTATCTGTAACACTCTACAAGAGTGCATAATCTAGTCGATGTAGAGGGTTTGCAGCCAAGAAGATGTTGTCATCATCAATGGATACCTTCCTTCTCCTCTATGTATCTAGTCAAAACTAATTGTATTAGAATGTGATATTGTTTATTTTTATGTGAATGAATGCCATGATTTCATCTCATGCTTGTGTTTGTCTATTAATTTTGATGTCTATTATGATAATTGATGTTTATTGTTTTTTATGCTTATGATGGTCATTGATATTTCTATAATATGAATACTCTTAATACCATCGATGCTTATGATTCTATTGTATGCTACTATATGCATTGTGTTTAGTATCGTCTAGATTGTCAAGAAATTACCTTCTAGGGATACCCTATTGATGCTACACGAGTATGGAAGGATTGATCACTCATCTATGCTTCGAATAGTATCAATGATTGATTGTTAGATCATCGATACTATAAATTATAGTTATTGTTCGTTGAATCTCACAATTAACTATATGCTATCCTAACTAACTTCCTCGATCACCCATCACAGGTCCTTCCTCGAAATGTGACCGTTATATACTGACGGGCCCTACTTTGGGACCCATCAGAAATCTTGATCTTTCTTTGCTTCCGTGATGGGAAACCTGCGGGTTTGGTTTTTGACAGTAACGGCAGCGTTTCACCGCTACTTTTTCTCAACTCGAAAAAAGAGACAAAAATGAAATTGAGGACTCTAGTTTTCTGGTTTTTGCCCACCGCCGAAGCAAACTTTTTTACTTTCCCATTCTCCCAAGTGCCTCATCTCCTCCGTCTCTCTGGAAACTGGAAAATTCTTTTGCCCTCCCAACAATCCGCGTATATTTCCCCCGAGATTATCAGAGGCTGGTTGACGACGAACAGGTGCGTTCCGCTCTCTGAATTCCTCCTTGCCCCCACTTCGAAGCTTTCTGTTCTTTGCCCGTTCTTGTTTCTGCGATGCGGTGTTTTCTTTCGGGCGTGAGTATACCGGAAGAAATTGATGTCGCTCAAACACTAAAGACTAGGGTTTTCGAGTGGCGATCAGTTCGGACTGTGATCATTGATTAGGGTTTCGCCGTGCATGTCGATTGATTCTTGTGTTGGAGGCTTTCTCTGATTCTGTTGTGCGTTTTGGAAGAGCTGGGAGCCGGGGAGTTAACGAGTGGTTGGGTTGGGAGAGCGACTGGGTCTGGGTGTGTAGCAGTTTTTACTTGATGGTTCCGTAGTTGCAGGACCTTACTAGCTTTTTCTTATTTTCTTCTTTGGTATCTGAGGAATTGTGAATGGATAACCGATCGATTGGCGATTCTTCTATTCTGATCATAGTATTCAGTGTCATAAATGTTAGCCGAATTAGTTAAAATGGGACGGGAGTATGGCTTGAAGGGTTCTATTTGCTCCAGTGATTAGTTCTCTCATATCTGCTGATGATTTCTTGATTTCATATATGTTCGTGATCTGAATTATATTCTTCTTGTGATGGCAACAGATCTTCATTTGCTAGGAGGATCAAGCTGATTATCCTGCGGTGTTTCATTTCTGCGTGGGATTCATATAGGTGGTAGGAATTTTGCAATTTGGTATTGACTTGAGGGTTTGAGAAGACGGGTTTCGCCCTGTCTGGAAATGTTGAGTCAAAATTATAATTCAAGCAATGCTGGTGATGCCTGACCGAAAGCCATTGATGGAATAGCATTGCTCCTTGGACTGAGTTAGACTTGATTTTCTCTGTGAGGCAATAGTTACAGTACCCTTCGCAATGGGGTGGATTGGAATTGCTTATTTTTTGTTTTCACTGTTCACCCTGGTTGAGTCAACAAGTCGGTCAGGAAAGATTTGGGCATTGAATTTGGTCTCCGAGAATGTCACACACATGACCTGGCCAATCTTCAGTGCAAGTGTCTTCGTGCTAGTAGCTCTTGTCCTCTCCATGTACCTTATCTTTGAGCACCTAGCCTCATACAACAAGCCAGAGGTTCGTCCTTTGTAATTATATCTGTTCCACTTCCGGTTTTCTGAACTTTTTCCCCACTTCTCCTTCTCCTCCTTCTCCTTCTCCATTCCATTACTGCTTCACTTGTCGGTGACCTTCTCCATCCACTGCTTAACCTTAAATTTTATGATTTCAGGAGCAGAAGTTTCTGGTTGGACTCATTCTAATGGTTCCTGTTTATTCTCTTGAATCGGTATGAAAAAGCAACTTTTCTATTGAAAATTTTATCTTTTCCTGTTCTTTCCCAGTAATGCTCCTCTTGCATGGCCTTGTAGGTTGATGTTATTTGTTCATTCCTTGTAGTATAGGGAGAGCTTTCCACCTATCGACATTCATCTGTTAGTTTGCTGCTTATCCCTGAGCCAATGACCGCAGTGCATTGCGACCATTTCATTTCTTATTCGAAGTTGTAACTGTTGTAGTTGCTGGACTATATATATGATTCACTGGTTGTGAGTATGGGTTCCTTATTAGAACTGAATCACAAATACTTATACAGAAGATCAGTATTATGGGAAACATTCACATGTGATTTGCACTCGTTTTGGGCACTTTTTCATGGTAGGCTTTAATGCTTTGCCTTTGAACAATTGCAAATAATTGAGATTACTGAGCGAGTTTATGGGGCGTTGGTATATGTGGCTTAGCTTTTTTTTTAATAAGAAAAAAAAGTGTCTCTTAGATTAAGCTGGGGGCTTGACGAGTTTCTTTTTCAAAATTTTATTGGTTACCTTGGTTAGGTTCTGCAAATAATTTGACCTTTGATATCCTCGGTTCTTGTGAGCTTTGATTAACATTGTCAAGTTTTGTACAGAACCTTACTGCCTTACCAGTTAGTTGTTTACACTTCTGACATGCTACCTTGAAATACCTTGCTGCCACCAAGATGCTTTGATTATGTGCTGATTTTGAGTCGTGGATCTACTTTCTGTGCAGTTCTTATCGTTGTATGATTCAAGTGCTGCTTTCAACTGGGAAGCTCTTCGAGACTGCTATGAAGCTTTTGCAATGTATTGCTTTGAGAGATATCTGATAGCGTGCTTAGGTAGTTTTTCTCTCTATGACTTGCTCAAATTAATGAATTATCTGGTGGCTTTGATCCCTGATACTTCTATCACTCCTTTGTCATTTTTGGGCTCAATTTGGCAATATTAAGGTGGTGAAGATAGCACCATCGAATTCATGGAGACTCAGACTGATGGTGTTTCCAGCATGCCTCTTTTGGATGAAGCATATGCTTATGGGGTTGTTGAGCACCCTTTTCCGCTAAATTGCTGTCTGAGGCCTTGGAACCTGGGTCGTGACTTCTATTATGCTGTGAAAGTTGGAATTGTTCAATATGTATGGCCTTTGATCTCTTACTTCGATCTATAAATGAAATATGTTGTCTTTTTTTACTCACTCAAAGTTCTTTGTCTAGATGATTGTCAAGATGATATGTGCACTTCTAGCGATTATTCTTGAAGCTTTCGGAGTGTATGGAGAAGGGAAATTTGAGTGGTCATACGGGTAAGCTGTTATAACCACAATTGAGTTTGCTTGTTTCTACGCCAGTTATAAACCACAATTGACTTTGCAAACTGTGAGTCTGGAATGGGTTCTGTGATCTTCCCGAGTATTTCTAGTTCCTAAGATATGCTATGATTGTGATCTCTTATCTGACGTGGTTCCCATAATCACGAGTTTTCCGCTCGACTCTAGTGAAAGTTGATGATGATGTTCACTGATGATTTGTTTTCTAAGCTGATTGGGATTGGTTTGTTGCAGGTACCCCTACCTGGCTGTTGTTCTAAATTTCAGTCAAAGCTGGGCATTGTATTGCCTTGTGCAGTTCTATTCTGTCACAAAAGACAAGTTGGCGCCTATTAAGCCATTGGCCAAGTTTCTTACCTTCAAGTCAATCATTTTCCTGACTTGGTGGCAAGGTATTGCTGTTGCTTTCCTTTTCTCAACTGGAGTCTTTAAGGGCTCTTTGGCTCAAGAGCTGAAGACGCGTATACAAGACTACATAATCTGTATCGAGGTGTGTAATTATTATGCTATCCAGTTTTATTATTCCTCGTGCAGATATTTGTTTCATTTTCCATGGCTTATCTGTTAGTGTTGGGATGAATCTGAGAACTAATGATGCTGGTTATATAGCACATAGGCTTCTAAGTGAGTGTGGGACCTGTGACTTGCGCAAGTTATATTGTAGAGGTGGCAGATGGGGTTGGTTTAAATGTGTTTCCGGGTTGCTGCCATTTACTTAAAGACGTGATACTGTCGTGACTGAGATGTGATGTATACAAGAGTTTAAACTGATTTATGTTATCTGGTGTTTCGTCTTGTCAACTCAGATGGGTGTTGCAGCCGTTGTGCATCTCTATGTCTTCCCAGCCGTGCCTTACAAGCGTGGGGAGAGATGTGTCCGTAATGTTGCTGTGATGACCGACTACGCAGCTCTGGGAACTCCAGCTGATCCAGAGGAGGTTCAGGATTCGGAAAGATACACTCGGATACGCTTGGCTCGACATGATGAAAAACAAAAGACCATGAACTTCCCCCAGAGTGTTCGTGATGTGGTCCTGGGTAGCGGTGAAATCGTGAGAGCTCTCTTTGCCCCTTCAATATTAGTGCTGAACATCCTAGCTTTCTACATTATGTGTGGTGTTCTAACACGATTTTGTGGATTGTTATTATCTTTTGTCAGATCGTTGACGACATGAAGTACACCGTTTCGCACGTCGTGGAGCCAGTCGAGAGAGGGATAGCGAAGATCAACAAGACGATCCATCAAATATCCGAAAACGTTAAGCGCCAGGAGGAGGAGCGGAAGAGGAACTCCAAGGACGACAACTTCCTCGTACCTTTGAATTCGTGGACTAAAGAGTTCTCTGATGCACATGAAAACCTAGGGGAAGGGAGTGTCAGTGACAGTGGGTTGCTGAACGTAAAGAAGCAGTCATCACAATCGAGAACCACGGGATCAAGACTGAAAAGAGGCAGATAACGAAGTGTAGCTCTCTGTTTGGAGCTCCGAGTACTTGCTTCTTTTACAATGGGTAGAGAGAAGTATCATTTGTGCAGCGGGAACTTTTAACCGTGGATGCAACTTGTACAGGGGGAGTTTGACACGTGAACTGATCCTTGATATAACAGATTTACACAAGAGGGTAGCAAAACATGGCATCTCAAATATGGGAAATGTGATGCTTACAGGAGAACTTACGTTAAAGTTTGTACATTGCCAAGGGAAATTAATGCATTGGATGGTAGTCAATCAATAATTAAACAGTGAGCGATCGATTCTCAGTAGTCAAATTTAGTCAGTAACCAACGTTGAACGCTCGGTAATTGTTGATGGGTCTTATTCTTGTCTTTTTTTTAATTATTAAATTGGGCAGTAGAATGGTGTTATTATGCACTTGTGTTGGATTGAGTTGATTATGAATTGATATCTACGTTAAATTATTTTTATTCAATGATAAAACGTTAAAAAAACACATACTTATGAAGGAAAAAAATCTATAATGCACAGTTTAAGAAAAAAGGAGGACGTCTTTTGTTAGCTAAGTTACCATCCGATTATTTTGATATAACCTTGTCGAGTCACTAGTTTATCAATCATCTGAGACATCGAGTCACTAGTTTATCAATCATCTGATTAATCGACAAAATAACTGATAACCAACTACGCGGTTACAATTTATTAACTAATATACAAGATGCCGTTAACCGATAACCCACTTCATGATTACAGGTATAACCGGATTAAACCGAACTGACTAACAGGCATATACTTTGTCTCGTCTTTGAGTAATTTTTGCTCTAGGCTTAACACGTGTGGTCTGCCTGCCCTCCCTGTGGCTGTGGGAAACTAGTAAAATTGGATGGGCTTTGGGCCGAGTTTGGAGCTGCCAGGCCCGTCACTCCCTAGCTTGAAGGGAACGAAAATACAGGAAAAGGGGCCGCCGGCCTGTAAGCAATCCATCGGGGGGTTAGGGTTTATGTATGCGCCTATATATTGAAACTTCCATCTCTTCTTCTGAATCAGGAATCCATATCACATCTATTTTCGTCCGTTCTGAATTCGATGTCGCCGATTACAAATTCTTCTGTATCATAGTTTGTTTATCCCTGTTTTTGCATCCTCAACAATGGTGGATCTTTCAGTTCTTTTCTTTCTCCAATTCATCTATGTTCATACGAATTAGTTGTAGGGAAGGCGGGGAAGCGATGAGGATATTCGTGAGAAAGTCATGCACCACTCTGATTTTTATGTGCTGAGTTACTTCTCTTACCCATACAACATCTGAGCTTCCCCTTCCTTTCCTCCTTTTGCTTTTAAACTAGTTCGAATTAATGGCGGATTTCACTGAATTGAGAATTGGAGGTGAAAACTATGTGATGCGGGACGGTTAAAACCCGGCCCGAACCATGATGCGGACCGTACAGCAGCTTCAATGCTGCTGCTGGGGATTCTTTTTTAGGTTTCTGATGGTTTTCATCTCCAAATCCCTTTTCATGATTTCTGAATTTTTGTAGTTGTGGTTTTTAAATTAGTGTTTCGTTGAGGATTTATGGATGTGATGATACTTTCCCCAGATGATCGAAGCTGATTATACTGTGCGAAATTTATCTCCCATGGAGGTATTCAAGCCTATGTTCTGATCCATTAATTCCTCGCCATTCTCAATAAAAAAAGTAAGCTTTTTTTTATCTAGATAAAAGCTGTGTCTTTAGTGTTTCAGTTTGGTGGAAGGCTGGAAGCTTAAACGGAACTGGGTTGTTCTTCATTTCCCTCTTTAATCCCATATCGGCCGCACTTGCTCAATATTAAGATTGAAAGGCTTGATTTTTCCATTGCTGTAACGTGAAAGCTTTGTACTGTTTACATTTATAATTGTTTGAATGATGTTGAATTGAGGTGGAGGATCACAGGTTGGGCGGCTGAATCAGACAAGAGAAATTATGGTAAATGGTAATGGTGATTCATTTACAGAGATTAACCTGGTTTTCCACCTTCAATTGTTAAGCGAGGACAGGATTGGGGTAACTTCTTAGCTTGGTTTAATGGAGTTTGAGATCCCAAGTAGACGTATTCTTTCAGGCTGGTTGAGATATATACAGGAACCACTCCGTTTGTTGGAAGTTAATTGCATTGATTGTGAATATATATGCTATTTGCCATTTGGAATGATCTTTCTTGTTACCTTACAGTTTATACAAGAATTGTATTGGGTTCCACTATCTGGTAATCAATGGTAATAAAGATTCCATCTTTGTATGCCCATGATAGGAAAATTGCGTTTAAAGTACAAAGGCACTTCCACATCTCATTCATGTAAACCACCTTTACTGAAATTGTGGTTAAAGGGTTTTTGTCCTGATATCGATTTTCGATTTTGTGAACGCTTGTTGGAACACTAGGTATCCTATCTGTCGACCATTGATTAGTATGTCATGTTGAAACGGTGGCTTCCTATTGCTCGTAACAGACAAAAAAAATAAGAAGCAAAACTTGAATTGCTTGCTGTGCTGTGCTGTAGTTGAGATCGCGGAATAAAACACGAATGGCTGTTGCTTTCACCACCTAACCTTCGTCGAGCACCTATTCTCCTTGTCACTTTTCCATACATCATCCTAACAACCTCCTTCCAACGATGCAAATACTTTGACATTTGTGTTCTCTGTGTTCTAGCAATTTTTTAGGAATAAAACTGGCATTATGGACTGAAGAAAAGTGACAGACTTAATGACATTGATGTTTGTACATTGATGCCTGTCCTAGGACTAGAAGATACCCAACAGTAAATGTGAGAAGGTTGTTTACTAACAATAACTTTACATTGTTGACAGAAGAAGTTGTTCTATCTTGATAACTCGAGTTAACTGCAAATTTGGTTATCAATACGCGTCGCAACTAGATGAGTTCTAGATGGTGTCTAATCCTATACACAGCCCAATGAGTGTTCAACAAACAAGTCAAAGGACAATAATTAGAATATTATTATCCAAATGTAATTTCTCTTGCTCAGAAAACCAGAAGCACAGAACCTGGTCAAACTTTGCTAGTGTGTAGTTGTCCAAAACTCTATCAGAATTCAGACAACTCCTTGGTTCTTTTTCAGCTATATATATCAGCACAAAGTTCCTCCCCATCTCTACCAACAACATAATTAAGCTTCTTGTTACTGAGTTCAGAGAAAAATATGGGAGATTCAGAGGGAGGAGACAAGTACAGAAGCCACTTGACAGGGGAGGCAGAGAAGAACACCAAGTGGAGGGATGGTGCCCCTCCGAACTACGACGCTGTCAACAAGCTCTTCGAAGAAGGAAGGACCAAGGCAAGATTATAATACCAAATCCCTAACCTGATTGATTCATTCTCATCAGCTGTCTTAGTATTCTGATGAAACATTTCAGGAAAATTCATGATCCTGTTGTTGTTTCATTCTGCAGGTATGGCCTCCAGGGTCCCTGGAAGAGCAAGTCCAGAACCTGTTGAAGACCTGGGAAATGGAAATGTTCCACAAGACATGTTTTGCTGACAACAAGACCCTAGTCGATCACAACACCTACACCAAAAGCCTCAATGGTAACTTGACCAAGATCTCTCTTACACCCAAAAAAAAAAAAACTTCAGATCATAAAACTTTTTCTGTTGACCAAACCGAGAAAATAAAACTACCCTAGTTGGATTTAGAGGTTTCATGCTCAAATCTACATGATCCTCGAATCTACTAATCGAGTTAACTACATAGTATTACTGGAATGCGAGTGGTGTTATGCATATCACTTAATAGTTTGAGTTTCATTGTTACTTGTTCGAGAAGTTAGGTATTTCGTTATGTTCGTGAGTTGACTTCTTAAGAAGAAATATGAAGGAATGATACAATTCTTCTTTAGGTAGGAAGCCAATAACCCTGGAAGAGACTCGGAAGATAGGAGGCGGCTACAATTCTTTTCTGCAGACATCTTTACCGAAAGAGCTAAGAGGCTATGACCCCGATGTGGAGACAGTTGAATCAGCTCATCTGGCCTTCACAACGACGTTTCCTCGTGGTTTTGCAGTGGAAGTGCTCCAAGTTTACTCGGGCCCGCCGGTGATTCCCTACAAGTTCAGGCACTGGGGATACATGGAGGGTCCTTTCAAAGGGTGCCCTCCAACGGGAGAGCTGGTGGAGTTCTTTGGGATTGGTATCTTTCATGTGGATGAGAAGATGAAGGTTGAGAAAGTGGAGTTCTTTTTCGACCGTGGAGAGTTGCTGGGAGGGCTTATGAGAGGTGCCAAAGGGTCTGATGGTTCTACTTCTGCTACTGAAGCTCCAATTAGCTGCCCTTTCTTGGCATCGAAATGAAATTGTTAAGGGATGTAATAAACAGACAACTTGTCTATGCCACATGAACATGAAGGGAAAAGGGCACCCCTACTAAATGAAAGATCGAAAAAATTTGATTCTACGAAATAAGGAGTTGTTAAATAGGTGTTCTGAAAACACAACCAATCAATGGAGTTGTAACTCAACAAATTGAATTTGGAACCGAGAAAAACCTGTTAGGAATCGGACAGCATAATTTATACACCAAAGGCTCAAGATTCCAATCTGCAAGGAACAAACTCGTTGCGCGCATCTACCGATCATGGCTTCAAGCTTTTATGGAGGCCAGAAACAGCTAATCATCTACTACAACAAACTCAATTGCAGGGGATGCTCTCGCTTTGAACTCCAACGCGCAACTTCTGGCTTCCTCAACTTGGTTCTTGTCTTTGAGGTTAAGATGTAGAACTATTCTCTCCATCCCCAAGAAAACATTCCAGCACATAATCAATGAATTCGCATTCAATTGGGAAACCATTAAACCCAATAATCTCCACTGTTTTGATGCTCTCGCGACCAACTCTAGCAACATCTGGTGTTGGACACTCTTCCATTTCGCTGGCGGGGAACGTGTACATCTGTAAACCATTAAAAAAAATATATAGCGAGCAGAAATAATGAATTGGGGCCAAAGTGTGCTGGAAATGGAAGCAAGAAAGAAGTCATCAACAAAAGCAGTTAAGCTCTATTGACCACCAAACGAATTAATACCTTCAGCCGCAGTGTGTGTATGCGAGGACAAGCATTTATCAAGGTAACCAAGCGAATGATTTTGCTGTTGGAATTTCCAATTGTTTCGATAGTCAGCTGCTCAAGGTGGGTAAACTCAGGCACATTCGAGAACCGGAAGTTATTCTGTGCCAAGAACAACAAACATGTATCAGCAGAAAGAAAATGAAGCGCAGTTGAACGACTAACTACTTGGAGTCTGATATGCAGCAGAAAGCTAGCGGTGTTTCTTTCATCTCTTCTTGTTCTACTCACCTGGCAGATTTTCACAGTTAGGGCAGCCAACAGACGAGCATAGCAGGAGATCGAGTCGAATGCGAAGCTGGGTGTGCAAAAATCTGACCCCAAGTTCACATTCACAAGACTAACACAATTCTCTAGACGCAGTTCCGCTAACTCACCACCCTGATATGTGAAGTGGGTGAGGCATGGGGCATTATCAATCTCCAGCGTTTTCAGTTTCCTGCATCTTACCACTTTCAAGCGCTTCAACGCAAGCGACGATGACGACGACGAACCTGCAGCAGCAGCAACCCTGAGCTTCACTATCAATTCTGACTTTCGCACAGCTAACTCCTCTAGATAGGGGCAGTGAGAGATGAAGTGCTCAATTGTCTCGGCCTCGACCGCCACATAACTCAAGCGCAAGGTTCTGATGGACCTTATATCAGACAACCCGGCTGGAGTTTTGATGTGATCGAAACAATCCTCCGGGAAAACATACTTCCTGCCATCACTTTCAGGAGTCAATATGTAAGTGACCAAGGGCAGCTCAATAAACTCGACCCTTTTCGATAATGCAAACTTCAGCCATTTGTCGATCTCCCCCTTGGAATTGCACTGATTGGTCAATGTGAATGACACTCTGAACTTGGTTATCTGTCCCGGGGAGGAGGCATCCATCAGCTGCCTCACAACCCTATTCACCCAATTTTTGAACTTTATCCTTCTCGCTGGTATCAGACCCGACTGGGCATACTGAATTTCTGGGGCATCAAAGTCCAGCTCCTTCACCGCTGATTTCCACAAATTTACCCACCCACCAGAAAGTAATGAGGTCTTGACCGCATCCTTGAGTGACAAGAGGGACAGAATGCTCAAAAGGATTCCCTCAGGCAATTCACTAATCCGATCCACAGCACCGCTACATTCATCTTCTCCTTTCTAGCAAAATTGGATGAAAGAAAAGAACAATCAACCGAAGTTTGCAACTTGTTCACTCTCAACTGGCGAGAGTTAACTTAAGAGACAAAACAAACTTACCTCATCTACAGAAGAAACAGAGCCAGAGGACATTGTTGATTTGTTTCCGGGCCGGCTTTTCTTCGTCTTTCCTCTTCTTCTTCCGGAAGAGAAGGTAGAAGATAACAGATGAACAAATAAATCAATAAAAACTCTGCCCGAAGCCAAAGTATCAAACTTTTCTAAGACAATCACTAAAATAAAACAACGAACAAGAAGAAAGACGCTTGCTTACCCGCTGTTCTCTGAAGCCGGCCTCGAAAGCCATTACTGTAGTTTTCTTCTACGACTGGCAAACCTGTGACTGTGAGGAGAAGCAGTTTCCTTCTCCTAATCCAAAATTAAATAGGATTACTAGAATGTGAGTAGTATTATGTTACAAGATGGAGTACTCGGCGTGTCAATATATTCTATTATAAAAAGATCACTTAGCCACTTACTATTGGTTTTGCCGTAATTAACCCAACTAGATTATGGCCCGGCTTCTTGGTCGGGAGAGTTTGATTCTCATGTTGTCATGTATAAGTGTATGCATATATTTTTGTTATGGTTCATGTTGTTGGGGTTTGAAGTAACTATTTAGTTTGGTAAGTTCTTCATTAATAATATAGAAAAGTATTTGATGTATTTGACTAACGAAGTTTTAAAAATGACGAACAACGTCTAACTACGCTAACATAAATACATATTTTCAAACGAAGTCGTATTGATATAAAAACGTCTAAGAAGAACAATGGTAAGAGTTGTTTTACATCATACATGCATAATCAATATTCAGTATACGATAAAATGTTTAGACTTTTCCACTGACTTTAGTGTATTCAATGATATAATGGAACAAAGTATATGTTTAGAGTGTCCTTAATAAGAAACAAACTAAATCACACACTCATGTTTCGAGTGGCATTTCATATAGAAGTCATTGTGACATTAATGTAGTCGAAGCATGCAGATCTCCAACTGGCAAGTTCAACTAATAGAGCAACACATAAAAAGCTAAATCAAACTGAAAAGAATGCGAAAACTAAAAGCAACATACCTAATATTTTGGGGAAATTCGACAACAATAAAAGTCATTGTAGCTCGTACTCAAGTGAGAAAGACTTTGATTTAACAGTAGGTAAACAATGATATGTAGTGCTTAAGCTTTAAGAGAGAAGATGACACCTTACATTCTTTATTAATATGCATCTTAGTTTCATGTTTCTCAAAAAAATGCATCTTAGTTATAAACTTCAAAACAAAAAGGTAGTAATTCAATAATCAATATAAGAATCAATATGAACACAATATCTAATCAAGAGAAGAGAAAGCGAAAAAACACAAATTGTTGTGTATAGATTTTGCTCACGATATTTCATATCATAAAAATTATTAACTGATAAAAGGAAAAGATAAAGGGGAAAATGCATCAATTTGATCCTAAAATGAGAGGAACTAATATCCTACACCATCATACAATAATGATATATTATATCCCAAAAAATCATTAAAATCTATTCTAAACGAAAAAGTATACTAAATTGAATCCAATGTAAAAGTAACGATGAAGATATATATTATATATACCTAAGAAATAATAAAGTAAGTCATGTTGCTTAGAGACCTCTCTCGATAGAACCACTCTATGATAAAAACCATTTCGTCAAACAATTGTATCATATGAGTTTTAACTTAAAAATTTAAGTGCTAATAATTAGCTATATATTTCAACTCATAAATGAATTAATTATACCATTTTGTATAAAAAAATTATTAACTTGAGAGTTATTTTGCTTGTTGTTAAATCATTTGAACTTAAGTATGAAAGTGCTTCAGAATTGTTACTTCATTCATCATTATTAAAAATTACTATTTTATTGCAACGTCTAGGCGTGTAAAAGGCAATATTTGTGAAAATACCTTACCGACAAATAATTTTTAGCGGGTTGAAACGATTGGACCGTAATTTGTGTACAACATACCCTACTACTAACTTTTTCGGTACAACCTGCTATACCATTTCGCAAATCTCTCCAATATATTTTTCCTTACATAAAATAATAATAATAATAATAATAATCAATTTACCTATTTAGCAAAATAAAATAATTAATCCTTACCCTAATCAAATGACAAATTTGCACAAAAGGACACACCTCCCCTACAATCAGGCCAGGGGACCTTCACCAACCAAGGAGAGAACCAAAAGAATTTCCCCTCTTTAAGTTCTCCATATATCCTCCTATGATGATCCATTCAAATCACCAACCACAGTCAAATTCAATATTCATTAAAGATTCCCCAAAAAGGACACGAGTCATTAGAATATTGGGTCTGGTCACATCTATGGAAATGTTCATCCTCCCTCCTCCAGTGACGTTGAATAGTAAACAGCTTCCTTCTTAGATTGCTATATAAACTCCCTCCTTGCAAATCCAAAGACCATAACGAGCAGAAGAAGAAAGACGGGAGAAAGATGGCAGTTTCGGAGTACAGAAGCGACAAGTACAGAGATTTCTTGTATGGTGAAGGCGAGAAGAACACTGTGTGGAGGTTTGGTGCCCCTCCAAGCTTCGAAGTCGTCGACAAGCTCTTCGAAGATGGCAGAACTCAGGTAAGGAAACACACGAGGCTAGTTCGTTCTAAGAGAGTAACCATGTGTTCGTTACACGTTGCGATTCTGTTTACTTCCAATAACTCAAAAGTCGTTAATGTTCGGGGTGGAAGTCATGAGAATTCAAACACGAGACTAGTTCGTTCGAATTGATCGAAATTGTTTGGAAAGCGCTTTGAATCTACATCTTATACCGTTATTTCGTTTCTTGGACCAAATCTGTGCAGGTATGGCCAGCAGGATCCCTGGAAGAGAAGGTGCAGAACCTGGTGAAGACGTACGAAATGGAGATCATGCACAAGGTCAATCCAGCCGATTACAAGTCGATGAACGCCGAGAGGATCACTCTGAGCGTGAACGGTAGGAAAGCGACCAACCTGGAAGAAACGGGGAAGCTTCAAGGCAGCTACAATTTCTTCCTCCAGACGTCATTACCAGAAAAACTACGGGTTTACAACCCTGCTGAGGAGACTGCGGAGACATCTCACTCGACGTTCACGACCGTGTTCCCTCGCGGGTTCGCTCTGGAGATTCTCCAGGTGTACTCGGGCCCTCCGGTGATCGCGTTCCAGTTCAGGCACTGGGGCTACATGGAGGGTCCTTTCAAAGGCCACCCTCCGACCGGGGAAAAGATTGAGGTCTTTGGAATTGGGGTGTTTGAGGTTGATGAGAACATGAAGATTGTGAAGATTGAGTTCTTCATGGATCGTGGGGAGTTGCTCGCCGGCGTTCTCAAAGGCGGTGGGGAGGCTGCGATGGCGGTGCTGGCTGAGGGTTCTGGTTCTGGGTGCCCTGTTATGAAGGGCACTGGATAGTGGGCAAAAATATAGACTCTTGATTTGCCAATTGTTGTACCATTTTCTTTGATAATCCTTTACTGTACCATTTCTTGTTCAATTACTAAGGCTTTTTATCATTTTCTTTCACTGCATTTTGAAGAATAAACTGATTCTTTTGCATCACTATTTTGCTATTATTCCTTAAGGAAATGGTCCTGCACTAAAATAAAACAGAGGGGTCTCCCTGAATTTGAACTCTTTTGTAGAAGTTCATCCATAGACCAACCCCATATTAGCAGCCATTGCAAAGCTCAAACCATAAGCCAAAATGGGACTTTCATTTCATTAAGATGAATGCTAGCTGTTAAATTTGCAGTACTTCAGCCAAACACAGTAACATAAGGTAATTGTTACTACAAGAATCCCGATGATAGTTCATAATTGCTACAAGAAAGGCAGAGAACGAATTTGGACTTATTTTTCTCTCTATAGAATATGTGGTGAGATGATGATATATTATCAACACTATGAAGGATGGGGCAGCAGAGAATGAGCTAAGTGTATATTATCTACTGAAATCATGTGCCGTTTTAAAAGCTTTAGCTTAAACCCTCTATATGAATAATAAAGACCACATTTTTCCTGGTTAATCCCAAGGAAGAGAACCTGGATAGAGAGTTTGTCCACAGTATCTGAATAAGCCATCGATTTCTGGGCAGCCATTTGGGTACGGGATAGACCGATGGAAGGGATCACGACCGAGCTTCTTACGCCACAGTGAACCTCGACATCCGTATGGATCTTCTAGAAACTGTGACCTTACTAATGCCTCGCCTTTTGCAGCTGCTTCTTTGGCTGCCGGCGAGGCTGGGGTGCCAGAGTAGAAGAAATTTGACTCTGGGAACCGAATTGCTGAACGATGAAGTTGAGCAAATCTCTCCTCCTTGAAGTCATAACTTACTACCTGCATCAATAAAGTAACAAAAGGTTACATATGGCACAAGCTAGGGATACGGGCAACCTTTTCTGTTCCTACAACCAAGAAACACTACTGAAATGATCCCAATTTCCTTTTTCTAGTAGTCCACTTCCCTTATGGTTCGCAGCCCAAACTGCACTGAAACAGTGCAAGTTTCAGTATGGTCAAGCTGCCAAATGGACTTACAGAGTGTCCCCCCCTGCGAAATATAGCTTGTCTTGCAGTTTGGATTTCTGCAATCAGACGCAGTTTGAACTGAACTGACTCCATGCCCACCCTTAGCACGAGCACATGCAACGAACTACTTGTCTCTATTGTTTTGTTTCTAAAGCTACAGCATTCCAAATACACTGCCAGCAGGCATCTTGCCATTTGGTCTTGTTCTACCTCAGAAAGAAAGTTGTAAGCTTTTTTAGTGGCAAAAGCAGAAGAGTTAAGTGCGATGCACATACCGTTATATTTTGAGGATAAGTTCCAGTAAGCTCTCTGAAACGGCATACACTGAAGAGAAGGTTTTCAAAGCTGTCTCTTGCATGTTCTTCAGTCAGTGTCCTCCATTTCACACTGGCTTCATTACCTGTGACCATCAAAGGGTTCAGATCAAGATCTTGGATACTTTAAACCAATCCATTTCGATCACAACACTAAGAAAAGTGGGCAGAGCATGTTAGGTGCTTGGTTAATGCAAAATTCAATAACAGTTAAGTCAGTGCAGTATATCTTGATTATAACAGGCCAGGGCCAGCCTACATAGTAAAGCAGCTTAGCACAAACCCTGCTGCTTGGAAAAACTACTAAAGCCTCTTGAGCTATCAGGAAGAAGTTCATCAATTGAGAATCATAAAGCATAATATAGACTGATTCTGGAAAGTATCAGAGAACCTGAAGACACATGAAAAAGCTGCTAGTGTAACATATGATCAAGTACCGGTAGGCTGTCTTTAACATGAAAGGGAAGGTATCACACTCATTGAACATTTGTGATTATGAACTAGCACATATACCAACTGTTGGGAGAAACTTGCAAAGTACAATTTCAATAATAGTGTCATATTCAATCCAAAAAGAGTTGACAAAAAATGAAGGTTTCCTACGAGTCAGGAGTCAGAGATCCTCAGCACCAGAAAGAAGTTCACAACTAAATTCTCGAAGGCAATCTATTTGGATGGAATGGAGAAACCATTGACAGTGCATGAATATATATAGACTGCTAAACAATGATTAGGACATAAAAGCTGAATAAAAGAAGGGTCCCTTGGCACTAATTACTTCTTACTAGAATATCGAAATGGCCATCAGCCATAGTCAACTGGGGAGTTCATATAAGTTGGGGAGTGCATATAAACAATATCTTGGAAATCAGATTCAAAACAATGTTAATGAAGTGCAAGAACTCACCAAACCATCCTTTCGATTCCGCAACAGCCCAGTAACTCTGTGCTTCACTCCTTGGACCGGCATTTTTCCTCGTTTCACCACCACTGAACAAAAGCAAAGCGTTTTTATCCTTCGCCACATTCTCAACCCCTACTTGTATGTGAGCCAGGAAGGTAGCAGCTTGACCTGGATGCTTCTGGTAAGGCTCCAAAAACCAAGACTCCTCCTTATCAGCACCACCACAACTACTACTCGTATAAATAGAATGCCCCGCAACCATTACAAGATTCTTCAGATCGGCATATGGATAATCATTTGGTTCTATATCCAAACTCTGATAATAACTCATTGATCTGAAGTGGCTCTCGTAAACGGACAAAATGATGAGAACCGATACCCCAAACGACAGGGAAATGAAGAGCACCCGCAAGGGATGCAGTTTGTAATAGTGCTGCAGACGATTTCCTAAAGATTTGAACATCCTGAAAGGGAGAAGAGAGGAAGAACTCTTGGACTTGCGGGGCCTTTTCACTGCGGCTGATTCTAGATCAACAAAATCGCCCCTTGGATATGCATTGAAAGACTTGGGGCTGTTGGCATAAATGTTCATGATAATGGTAATCCAGCTCTCGAGCTGCAATACTGGCCGAGATCAAGCATTACCCAGATGCGAGTGATTGAGCAATGCACAATGAAAGAAGAAGCAATGGGATCATGAGGCTAAGAGCACGAGAATCTCGATACCGATTCAAACCATCAAAAGGTCGAAACTTTCGAATTGACGGAGCGATTCTCAATCTGACCCAGATCAGAAATCCGAAAAATTCGCAGCTAAATCCACTGGGAATCGGAACTGGAGTGAAGTAGAGTTCAAGGTTGAATAAGGGGGAAATGGGGAAGAGCGATCAGGAGGAGGGAGACGAAGGTCAGTGAGAGAGAGTAATAGAAAAACTCACCCCCAGAAAAGAAGAAAGTTTCCTGCTTTCAGCGATTGCGATGGATTTATGCTTTGAAATTGGCTTCTGAAAAATAAGATGCTAGATACAGAAGAACGAGAATTAAGATTTCAGATTGTTAAAATTTGTTCCCTTTCCTTTTCTCCTTCTCTCTGGATTGATTTATTTAGATTTCCTTGATTTTTTAAATCATTGACCGAAGACGATCCGCTGGTTATCTGGCTTTGAGGCCTCAGAGGCCCAACTATGATTGGATCTTCAGGCCCAACCCATGCAGACTCAACCCACCAAACTCTAATAGCCACCTCATTCAAGGGAGGTCCATTAAAAATATCATCATAAATAACTTTTTAACAATGACACATTATGGATTTAATATTTCATATTGTGAAAATATTATAAAATTACATTGATTTTTTGAACTATCAAAATGTCTCTTTTGATGTCTCTATGAAAATAGTCATGTGCAATTCTAAACCAAGGTTGGTTATTCATTTCATTGCTAAAGTGTCCACTCATGACTCGACCATTGTATGACAATTGCTATCAAAAAAATCTAGTTTCAAAAGCAAATATGTTATTGCAAAGCTAACACTTTTTCTAGTAACTATAATTGTCATATAGAATTTAGCAATTTCATTTAATAAATCATGTACTCATCTAGGCAAAATCGAATGTACTTCTCGAGAAACCAAAAGATAAATTTATTGGCTAGTGGATCGATGGTAAAAAGTGTAATTAATAATATTGGGGGTTTGGTGGTCAAAAATATTATTGGCTTACTAATACCATTAACATTGATTGTAAGTTATTGATTAAAACAAAGGCTTGATTAGGTTATTTACATAGTTATTTGCATAATCCAAGTACTTATAAAGTGTAGTGGATGGATAATAATTTTTTTCTCTTCATTTTCGCATAATTCATTCCTGATAGAGTGATAGTCAATATTACTTTCATAACTTTCTCTTCATCAAAATTTCATGAATTTTCATGTCAAACCATTGCTCCCATTATTTTTGTGCTTTTCTTTTTCTCTCAACATTGATATTAGGGATGACAATGGGTCGGGTCGGGCGCGGATAGTGCATATCCGTTACCCTACCCATCGTAGTTCGGGTTTTACCCATACCCATACCCACATGTGAAATGGGTAGAAAATCAAAACCATGCCCATACCCGTTCGGGTTTCGGGTATCCACGGTTATCCATGAGTAATAATTTCTCTTCATAACTTCAACCAATATGTTAACATTCATACGTATTCTCACATTACGTAAGAGGAAAAGTACGACAATAATTCACTAGGATGAAGAAAATTAATTAAAACTACACAATTTCATGAAAATATTATATTTATATACTAAATATAAAATATGTTAGAGAAAAATATTGATTATTTCTAGACAAAATACATATGCATGTGTATAATCGGGCGGGTTCGGGTTGGATAGTGAGAAACCCATGCCCACCCATTACCCGCAATATTCGGGTTCGGATTTTACCCGTACCCACTAAATGTCCTTCGGGTTCGGGTTTTACCCTACCCAATTAGGCCGAATTCGGGCGGATATCCACGGTTACGGATATTTTTGCCATCCCTAATTGATATTAGATGGGGTCTAAAGAAGTAACTAAACACAATTATGTTTCTATCAACTTCCAAGATTTATTATAATTAACAATTACACATGTTGATGGTTTCCAATTTTATGTTGCTGTGGTTTATATCTATGTTGTCATAGCTCTACTATAAGTAAAAAAACAACAAAAGTATACCAAAAATAGTCTCGTTTGGAGAATTGGAGTCTAAATCTCTAAATTGTAAACAATACCAAGATTTTGATTCTCCAAATTGTTGAAAAGGAAATTTTTTTTCATTATTTGGTAACAGTGATTGTTAGCATTCAATAAAAAGATTGAAATTCTATTTTTTTTTATCAAAAAACATGTTTATCTTTAATCAAAAGAAATAGAGTGACTAAAAAAATATTAAAAAAAATATTTAGTGGGATAAATAAAAAATAAAAGATACAGTAAGGTGAAAAAAATTTCTCGTGTCAAGATATAGAATCTCTAATGAGTGATTTGAAATCTCTCAAATTAATATTCATACTAATTTTTAGAAATCTGTCTCAGCCTCTCAGGTTTCATAAGAACAACAGCAATTAACGTAATTTTTTTGCTGAATTTATGATTGAATTTCTTTTCTCCAAAGGAGTCCTTAGCTTCCCCGCCAGCAAATCCACTTCCCAATGTCGCCGTTGCAGAATGCCGACTCGTTCTTGTTCTGGCAGCCTGGCGTGGCGAGCGAGGCGCCGGCGACCGGTCCAATGCAACGCTTTCACACTCACCCCTTTGTTTGTTATTCCTATTCACGATTCCCAGGACGGCCGCTGAGCCCCTAGGATTTGTAACTCCTTCATCGCACTCTCCGTTCAAGTTAGTGGCTCCCTCCTTCCACCAAACACCTTCAATGGCCATTTCCCATACTCCCCCCTCCTCTGTTCACACAAAGACTTCAACTTTTTTCACCATTTTCCCCAGAAATGGCAGAAGTTCCTTTTACCCTACAGACCTTCTAGTAAACTACCCACTTCCAGAGCTCTGAAACAGAAAACCTCTTTTCCAATTTCCCACCCAAATGCCTGCAGCTTCGCCTTCGCCATATTCAATGGATTCCTCTCCAATGAACTCAAACGCCGAGGTTTCAGAAATAGACAGGACCCGAATCCCATTCGTCCACACGGTGCCAGCAGCGAGCAGAATTCTGCCATCAGCAAGCCAATGGAACTCCATCGAGCTCGATTTCAACCTCGTCCCACGCTCAGAGAATGCGTACCATTCAATCCCTTCCAACTATTCCAAATCCTATGAATTCGAATTGGTCGTCTCCGATAAGCCTTACTTCAAACGCTTCCTCATCATCTTGGGCCTCCTGGTCCTTGTCGCTATAGGGCTTCCTTTGCTACTCCATTTCCTGCCTCAAGCCCACCGCCACAAGACTTCCCCCATGAACTTCACTCTCGCTGTTGCCCACTCTCTCAACTTCTTCGACGCCCAGAAATGTGATTGTTCTGTCCTTTGTCTCATTTGTTCATTTATTTTTATTATGGGTCTGTGAGAAAGTTTTGATCTTTGGTGCAGCTGGGCGTTATCCGACTACTAGTCCGGTGAAGTTTCGAGGGATTTCGGGGATGGAAGACGGGAACTCGAGGAATCCACCGGTGGATTTGAAAGGAGGGTTTTATGATTCAGGAAACAACATAAAGTTCAGCTTCCCAACTGCTTACACAGTCACATTGTTGAGCTGGAGTGTGATCGAGTATCATGAGAAGTTTGATGATATCAACGAGCTTGATCATGTCAAGGATATAATTAAGTGGGGGACTGATTACTTGCTCAAGGCTTCTGTGAGGTCAAATTCTACTAGTAATGCACCAGTTACCTTATACTCACAGGTAGGTAAAGCGAAAGGTACCAACCTTCTGAATAATTTCTATTACTATGTACTTCTGTATAGAAGTTCGTTACTTTTTTGGGTTTTCTCAGGTGGGTAGCACTGGAAATGGGACTGACCCTTATACTGATATGAGCTGTTGGGAGAAACCTGAAGACATGAGCTATCCTAGGCCGGTGTTTGCCTGTGATGGAACGACGGCTGCTGACCTGGCTGGAGAAGTTGTGGCAGCATTGTCAGCAGCATCAATCGTGTTTCGGGATGAGAAGGATTACTCAAATGAGTTAGTTCAAGCAGCAGAGAGCTTGTATGTCGCTGCAACTAAGAAAGGCCAGACTACATATACTAGTGTTAAGGCTTGTGGTGGAGAGGCTAGCAGAGTTTACAATTCGTCTGGTTTCCAAGATGAGCTTGTTTGGGGTGGAACTTGGCTGTTTTTTGCTACTGGAAACACCACGTTTCTTGAGTATGCTGCTCTCAATTTCAGTGCAGCGATTAAACAGCAGGATCCGAAGGAGCAAGGTGTTTTCTATTGGAACAACAAGGTCGTTGCCACTGGTGTAAGTTTCTTTGATCTAATTAAGAACTTATTCGAGCGTTTCGTGTGCTTAATGGTGTGCATGGTTTTTGGGCCAAAGCAAACACAGCCTTTAACATTTTGTTTGGTGCAGATTCTACTGACAAGACTTAGGTTCTTCCGGGATCTTGGATTCCCCTTTGAGATTGGATTCAAGGCAGCATCAGACATGACTGAAGCCATGATCTGTTCTTATCTTTCTGATAAACACTTCCACAAGTCACCTGGTAATGTGACTTACATTTGCATTTTAATAGCAATGAAGGGTTCAAACGCTCTCTTTCATATGCCATTTTTTTTATTACTTTTTAGAAGAATTTTTCATTTGCTTATGATGCAAGTTACTGATATTTATAGGTGGATTGATTGTGTTAATGCCTGATGGAAGCCCTCCAATTCAGTATGCAGCAACAGCATCTTTCCTTACTAAACTATACAGTGACTACCTTGAACTTGGGCTTCAATCTAGTGTCACTTGTGGTAAAGATGGTTTCTCTCTTCAGACCATGAGGAGCTTCTCCACTTCACAGGTAACCAACAATAAGCAGCCAAAGTACACGAAGTTGGAAGCAGTTGAATTTTGTTTAATGCCTATCTCTTGTTTCTGCAGGTGAGGTACATTCTTGGAGAGAATCCAATGAAGATGAGCTACTTGGTTGGGTTCGGGAAGAAATATCCAACCCATGTCCATCATCGGGCAGCATCAATCCCAAAGGATGGCAAAAAGTACAGTTGTCCGGAGGGTGAGCAATGGAAGACGAAAAAAGAACCAAATCCAAACACACTCTACGGAGCAATGGTTGCAGGACCAGACAAGTCTGACAAGTTCTCAGATGACCGGACCAAGCCATGGTTCACCGAGCCAACCATAGCTAGTAATGCTGGTCTAGTTGCTGCACTCATTGCAACCCATGAACCACCGGAACGCTCGTTTGGTTCTAAGGGCCCTAATCTTGGCATAGATCAAGAGAGAATTTTTTCAAGCATTCATCTAACTCCACCAGCTCCTTGAAACACTTATATTTTGAGTTGATCGATGTCTAACCTGTCAAGTTAATGAAGAAGGTTTGAGTAGGAGAGATCATAATACAGTTGTGGCGGAAGTCATATGTTAGAACTTAGAACTGAAAAGTTTTTGAGCTAGTAATACAAAAAGTGCAATACTAGTTACTGTACCCTCATCAGAGCTTCCACAGTAACATTTTTATTCAAAGCATAACTGTGAAGTTGGTGAAGCAGTTTCCTCTGTACAAGAGATTCTCATATAGAAGTTCCCTTTTCTGTTACATCACTCTTATGTTACAAAGAGGTGATTCTTTCCTTTGGACAAAATATGTACATGCAAGTGAAAAGAAAGCACCATCACTCAGAAAGGTGGGAAAAACATCTTGTAACTATACTTGTCGCAGCAGGGGAATTTTGTACATCCTTTATATATCTTCTTCAAGTGGCCTTCAGTCTGTCCAGTCCATACAACCTCTGCAACATTAGAGAAATCATGTGAACATTGCGAAACGAAAGATGAAGGGTAAAATGAAAATAAAAAGATGGAGAACATTAGCTTAATTACCAGAGTAGCATGGATGTCTTGTAGAATAGGTACAAGCAATGAGATCAAGGCCTTCAGATCCTCTTTCAAGATTTCATCATTTGCTTCATCTTTCGGCTTCAGAAGGCCGACGAAGGTTGTGTTGTCAGGTACAAGTTTGAGAGCCACCTGAACAGTAGGAAAAATTTCAATCTACTGCTTATAAAGCTGCTGTGTTTGAGAACAGAATGGTCATATAGTTGTGATTTTTACTTTGAATGCAGCTGACGAAATCCATCCGTGCCATAGTTTCAAACTGGTGTTGTAACACTCTTCCACAGCTTGCTCCATGTCCTGGTTAAGATCCTTAGCCAGCTTTTGCAACAAACTGCTCATGAAATCCAAAGATCTGCAGGGGGTAAAACCAAAGCATTAATATATTGATTTCATCAACATCACAGCTTAGCAGATAACTTCTAGGCCAACTCTTTGGATAGTCCGATGCTGTTGTTGATAAGACTTGGCTTTTTTTTTTTTATGTGTAAGTGCCTCTCTTGTACACATGAACCAAGAGACTTGGAAACTTTCCAATCAGGAAAGCCTGGATTCTGAATCCTGATATTACAATAACCCAGGCTGGTTATCAAATAAAGAACATAGAATCAAAGAAGTATTAATTTAATTCCCTTTCTCTTTAATATGTCAGCCATTAGACAAGGCCAACAACTTTGGCAGCATGGAACATGGTTACTTGGTTTTGTTTAATGCATAAAACTAGGGCCATTGACATTGACCTTTTAACTTGTGTCAGCTCAAACCATTAAAGAACTGATATAACTAGCTTCCATGTTTATCTTCCAGATAGTTTCAATTTTGAAGATAATATTCTATATACTTAACCGTTCGGTAGTAATTTCTTCAAGTAAAAGAACTGTCATGCTTATTACTGCATACCTTGTGAGCCAGAGAAGGGCTTTGCTGCAACTGTCTCTCTTTCTGGAACTGCCTTCCTTTGATTCTTTCTTCAAGATCTCAACCAAGTTTGAATAGAGTGAAGGATCAACATCACATTGGGCCTCCAGTCTCTAGCAAACATAACAAAAAACAAAGGAAGAGTTGAGATTTTTTGGGAACATCATGTCCCCACATATCAATCAAGAAAATGACCTTATGGATTAATAATGGAGTTTACTACTGGGAAGAATCCAAAAAGAGAAACAAAAATGGCTTTAATATTGATAGATGGGTCTTTTTTCGCAGATGGTGACAGAAAGTTACTGTTCTAGAGATTATCCAGAAGTACTCTCACCTGTATATTATGAATAATGTCTTGTCTAAGAACAGCCATTGTTGGTCCAATCTTATCTTCATAAGAGGAGGGGTAAACAGAACTATGAAGTCAGCATAAGCAGAAGAAAGGAGAAAATGAAAACTAAGAGAGAAGAAGTGCAAAGGGGAGCTGACCAAGAATCTGGACGACCAAGCTGCAGACATGGAGAAAAGGCCTTGTGGGTATTGTAGCTGCAGGATGGCCATCACTGCAGTTATGGCCATCATCACCATCATTATCATGATTAGGGTCATGGTGATCAGGTTTGATTATGATGGCCATTAACGAAAGCTCCTCAGCTGCAGATTTGAGCTCTGAAGCTTTCTCCATTTCTCTTTTCCTCTTCATGGTTTTCAGGATGACCCTTCCTGCTGCTGCTGCTCTTATATATATAGCTCTGTGTGTCAAGTCAAGGAGTGACTCTAACCACTTCTATTTTCAGGTGGAAGGAATTTTGAGACTTCAAGTTGAACACCATTGGCAGTTGGTTGTTGAGTGAGGAAACCCTGAAAGTCTGCAATTGGTTGTTGCAAACATAAACATAAATAAGAGTTCTTCAGTGAAGTTGGAACTTCCTAAGGGAAATTGGCCATATTTAAGTATTCCATTGGTTACACCAATATTTTATTTGGTTGGATTTAGGGTTGGTTCTTTATAAAGAAATTCATTGTTAGGAGATAAGACGCATAGGATGATGACATTATTAGTATTTGACAACTTAGCAATTAGCAACTATCTATCTTTACCTCCCTCGGTCAGTAATGTTAATGTTGCTTCACAATATGGATGACAATGGGTAGAGTTTGGGGTAGATTTTGGTAAAGTCATCCTTATTTCCATATGTAATTTTAAAACTTAAATATTTTGTCTCGGTGTGAGTGAGGCTTTTTCGACTCTATTTTTCGTTCCTGTGATTTTGGGATACCATGAATAATCACCGTCCCGAAAAAGAATATGATCTTTTTAAATCATAGTCATTTGAGACATTATCACTATCGAAGCAAGACCATCTATCAAGCATGAGGTGACAACATGGTGGCAAATATCATCAATATTGACGGTGTTGTTTTACTCCTTCATAAAGATTTACGTATTTGTATTTCATACATAGATGACATAATTTATACGTATTTGTACTATTTTTATTCGTCGCGTTATATTCTTTATACAACTCTTTATATGACATCATTGTTACTCATTTGGTACTGATGACGAGTTAGGGTTTTATGCTTTTATTGTATACTATTTGGTTGTAGCATCTTAACAAGTTACGAGTAATATAATGTCAATGACTTTAAATAGACAAGTTCTACCGTTTGAAAAGAATCCAAGGTTGTTAAGCTGAGCAATTTTCAAACAAAAAGGATGAAGTAGAGAAATCGTGAAAGTTGGAAAAGAATATGAGGTTGTTTATATGAGGAATTTTTATATAAATTCGTCTATTTTTAGTATACATTTACCTCTTCTACAGCTTCTTAGCATATCTCATATTGCAGGAATACGTTTCGTGTGCAAGAGTTCGAACTGACGGTGTTAATAACACTAGTTTTTTGACCCGCGCTTCGCTGCGGTAATCAACTAATAATTTCTTTTGGTGTTAAAATTTTATTCATTCAATAATTTAGTGAAATAAAACTATTTAAAAAATATTTTTCGTAAGACACTTTCATAATTTTTATATACAGTCTTAATTATTGGGGAAGGTTTACGTAACACGTTTGTTTGATTGATACATAAAAAATAGTAATCCATTCAACCTTCATAAGTTTTACGTAATGTATTTTAATAATTGGTTGTCAAAAAAAAATGTATTTTAATAATTGTTATAGAACGGTGTTATGTAAGATGCTTGTAGAAGCTTTAGTTGTGTGTAATGAAAATTTAGTAGATGTGTAATATAGTAGATAGTATTACACAAATTTTAGTTAATAATTAGTGAATTAAGTTTTGAAAAGTATCACCTATGATTAAATTATTATTATGTAACAAATAACTTACCTAACAAAACCTTTGTACAATAAAATTGAAGACATCGCTTATATCGTGAAAGTCTTATATAATATGCTTGTTTAAATTATATATAAGAAATAACTATCCCTATATAAGAATTACATAATTTGTTTCTTATTACAAAATGATATTATGTAAATAATTTATCGTGTGTGATCTAATAATAATCAAATTATAGAATGTTCTTACATTTGACTAAGCTACCATTGAAAAATACTATCAAACCTTATTCTTGATGGGAGCCTAGCTATATTCTCTAATGTTTTCTTCCAACTCCCCTCCCATGGAAATCTAGCAAAATAACAATGCCTAGCGGGAGAAAAAATAATTGGCGGCCACACACCCACTTGGGTAACCGCATACGCGGTAGATTGGAATTTCCGGGTATGGTGATGGATACGAAATAGGAAGAACTGGAGGCTGGAGCTCGGAGACTCGGGTGAAGTATGAAGCAGAGTGTATAATATAATTCCTTCCATAGTGAACAGTAACCCGGATTAGTATTTCCGATAAAATAGGGTTTGTTGCTACTTTGTCGTATGCAACAGTAATTTGGACTTGCAAATTAATATAATAATAATAATAATAATAATAATAATAATAATTGATGATTTTCCAAATGGGAAGAAGGGCTTGGTCTAGAGCAAGTGCGTTAAGAGTTAATGGTTCGTCCGTTTTAATCCACTCTAGTCTAAATATTTGAAAATTTCATTATATTGTTCATACATTTATAAATTAAATCAAATCACATTTATCAAATGAGTAATATATAAACTACACAAAAATAACATGTCGTACTTGAATCCAATATATAGTGAAAATTTACACACTTGTATAACATCAATATTCAAAATTTCAATTTAGAATTCCAAAGATAGGGTTTGTTGAAGAGAAAAATCGAAAAATATGAAAATTTCACAAATCAAATGGAAAAACAGCATTGTGTAACCTCCAACCCGACAACGTTGCAGCGAATCGACCCCACAGGCCACAGATGTGTGCGACAGGATCAAAATGAGTCAACCGACAGATGAACCACGGATTGGCAACCTTGGAAGCGATTGTGCAGTTAACTGAATCATCTGAAATTATAATTACTAATTAATAATTTACTTATACGTGTTCAGCTGTCTTAAGCACGGATCTTTATCCCCATACGTAAACACGGGAACGGCTACGGTGCTAATTGTACAATAGTTAGCACCGTCCTAACCAAGGGAAAAACTACTACTAGTTTGAATTAGTAGTGATTTAGCTTAGATGTTGTATTGATTTTATAATAATCCGTAGTGATTTCGTTATTTTTAGTAGCGTTTTTTGCTAGTTATCGCGGTGCTAACCCCTATAAGGGTTAGCACCTAATCCCATCCCACGTAAACACTGACACACTGTTAGAATTAATTATTACTATATTTACACACAAAAAAAAAATGAAACGAAAGTAATCAATGCTAACCACTATTATTTAAAATAATTATGATGATTAGCAACAAAATATTAATAGTAATTACACTGCGCGTCCCGATCAGATAAGGACACAAGGCAGCTACTTGCTGGGCTTAATTTTGTGCTCGTCCAGCCCGACATTTTCAAACAATGATGTCACTTCGACATCACCACACCACACAAGTAAAGAAGTAATGCTAATTGCTACATGCTTCTCCTCAATTACCCTTTCTTTTCTTTTATCATAGATAATCCTCGCGGATAAAGTTCGATAGAGAACGAGAAATGTCACAACAATAACGATTTGTCTATTGATTTAGATACCAATAAAATATGCAACCAACATGATATACAATTTGGGTACCGGCCATCAATAGTACTACTTTCTAATTTTGAATAATAATTTTGTGCTAAATTTCTTAACAAACTATTACGGTTCCAAACTAAACCATATTGCAACAAAAAAGAGTCTATATTTGACATCGATCTCCAAAATAGCAATGACTATTTTTATGAAAATTAATTGAAAATTATTATTGGATAATAATTAGAAAATATTGGTTTTGTGAAGAGTGAAGACAAAATAAAGAATGTTAGTATTGGGCTTATGAAAAAAAACCCAAAGTCATGACTGAAAAGTACTACAAAAAAATTAGTCAATCTGCAAATGACAATGGGGAGAACACACATTTAGAGTAATTTGGATGTTATAGGTTAGGAGCAAATTACTCATATTATTGGTTATTGACAAACGAGCTATTTAATATCAAATGGCTTATTGAAATTTGAAAACATAGCAAGCAAACGATCATGTTGATGGTCGAGTTCAAAATCGGAGCTAATAGTACGGGTAAATAATAGGTGAGTTGAATGGATTTTGGCCTCAAACTGACCCACTCATTTATTAACGAGTTGCTATAATTTTGACCCGGTTATCCAATATTCATCTACATTCTTCTTCAGATTGAGTTGGGTGAGTAGTGAGTGAATTTGGTTGGGTGAAAGATAATTAACCCGTAAAATTAGGAAGATGCTAATGATTTAAACACTTCACACTTTGTCTCATATGGATCTATCTACTTGTGACATGTAATTTTTTTTAGAGAACATGTAAAAAATTTGTAGCACTCATACCAACTTTTCATTTGTCCCTTTAAATGAAGACTTCGTTGATCTGTAGAGCTGCACTGGTTTGAGTCAGATTTGCTTGGGGACAAGCAAACGGTTAAGTGTAGGGGGAATTTGATGACACTGAATTTGCACATGTTTTAAGTTTTAACCCCTCATTTCTTGATTGTTTAGCTTGGTGTTTGTCATAATTTGGCTTATTTTACACTAGGTTGTGTTCCTTTGTCACATTTTAGGTCCTAGCATGGAAAGTGAAGTATAGGCGCAGTTTCAAGTAAACCGGAGATCAATTGGCGACACGGGGGAAGAAACTCGAGCATTACCCGAGGAAGAACGGATTTCTACCTCATTTAATAAAAAAAATAATCATGTAATCTAGGCATGAAAAGAGAGAAAACGAAGTCACTAACCACATCCACATATTCCTGGGACCAATGATCTTTACTTATATGGATTTCACTTCTTCGATAGAGCTATCAAATCTTAATATCTTATACTCCATCAATCAATTGTGTAGAAAAAATTTACGCTCTTGGATACTATAAACAAGAAAAAAATTCTTTGTCGTGTAAAAGTGGGGTGCGGGACACCCACTCATCGCCCACCCAAATACGTATAAATATGAGATTTTTTCTCCACGATCCACTCGCATCAATCACGCACTCACTATAATTTAAATTATTTACGGTTGAATCTATATCAAATCACAGACTAACTATTGAGAAAAACACACTGCTCTTTCGATTAGGGTTCTTGAAGGAATTTGGGGGAAATGAAAGAGTAAAGCGAAAAGTTCATTCTCTGCTTTTAGCTCTTCTGAACTCTTAAATTGGGCCCGAAAATGCTTAAGCCCACAAACAAAAGACAACTGACACAGGCTTAAGAAAAAGCCCACTCGAGTTCAGCCTCTGGATTGAAGACAGGGTCGTCTTCTTCCTTAGCTCTGAAACAACAGAGCTGAATAAGATAGAAAAACAGAGGAGCACGAGGAAGACGATAAGGGAATGAAGAGGAGCAGAGACAAGCCAATTTTTAACGAGGTTCCCCAAACTACTGAGTACGTCCTCGTCCTAGACTCAGTACTGCACTGAGGTCTAGGAGACTCTGTTTTTATTAAGATTTCCTATCAAGCAAAAGATAAATAACAGTAAGACTCGACAACAATTAAGAAAGGGACTCTGAACAACAAAACCCGGATCCCCAATCCCAGACCCGTTACACCGTCAATCAAACAGACCCTATGCCTCTGTTCTGATCAACCCACTAAGATGATAGCCCTGTACCGCTTCTTTCTCAGTACATTGTTCGATTCTGCCAAGGAGTTTAAATAGCAAGCAAGGTGATGACCGTTGCTTCTGAATTTGCCCAGAACAGGTAAGTTTCCTTCAGAGCGCCTTTGATTTGCTTGACTTCCGCCGGTATATCCTGGATTTGCAGAATTTCCAACTTTCCTTCTTTCAACAATCTCCCCCTAAGTTGGAAATAGCAAGTTGTTGATAGAACCTGCAAAAACAGAACACGCAGATTTCTCCCAAAACACATATGCAACAAGCAAACACATATTCAACAAAAAACGTCCTAGATAAACTCAAGAAAACATCCACCCATCAAGAGACAAATCAAAGACCACACCCTGGTCAGGAAAACCAATAAAAAATCCTTGAACATGAAAGCTATCCGACTGAAACTAGCAACAGAACCGAAAAGATAAGCGCTGCTTTGCTGAAAAACTACTGCTCCCCCTGGGACAGTGCTTCATTACTGGAATCAGATCCGTAGAGAGTTTGAAGAGCAATTGCAAACGAAGCTAATTCCGGGGCATCATCATCATCACTTGGTGCTGCAGAGTCATCCGAATCAGAATCACTACTGATAAGCAGAATGCTACCAGTGACGATTGTGTTATTGTCATCACCATTCTCCCCCTCAACTGCTATTTCCAGAAGATCCATGACATCATCGGCGGTAAGGAATATAGAGGGAGTGATAGTGCAAAAGGGATGAAGATTGATGCGGATACGCAACAGAAGGGTGGTGATGAGAGGACCAAACGGAAGGGGAGAAGTGACAGACACATCACAGTATGAAAGAGCATACCCAAAAAAACCGATCAGCATAACTAAGAGGAACCCCATGAGCAGCATGAACCAGAACCCAAAGCTCGACTGGAGTAATCAAAGTTAAATCACCAGAACGGGGCAGAAACACTAGAGATATAAAAGTGAAGGGCTCGAAGCGAAGGCAGAAGAGTTGAAACAGGCATAGTAAGATTTGGACCAGGAAACTGGCCTGTAAGCTGTCGGAACTCGCCTGAAATATCAAAATTAAACAACTCCAGCTCAGAGGCATCAGCAAGATTCTCACCAATGGCTGGGACATGAAGGAAACGCTCTATTTCAGCCACAGGAACTGTGAGAAGATTACCAAAAACCAGAGAGGTGAAAAAACGAGAACTGAGCTGTGTAAACCGAAGGTTTGAATAGAAGAAACGCACAGCATCAGGACAAATAACAGTCGAAAAAGGGTGATTCAACAAAAAGTTCCACCCAAGATTTTGAATGAAGGGACGCACATCAAGGCCAACTTCAATCAGATCATGAAGCTGAACATGATATGAGGGGAGAACCTCTCGATTGGCAAAGAACAGATAATGACGATGAGCATTAGCAGGGATAGGATCTAAGAACATGGTTCCAGTGAACGTGCGAAGGAAGGGCAAAACCATGACTACAGTCACTCAGAGAGACAGGAAACTCAAGGATAACTGAAAGGACACACAAGACACACATATAAATACTCAATCGACAAACCCTAGGGCAAAGACTTACCAAAGAAAACGATACTAAAAAGGAGAAATCAACAATAAAGGCCAACCAAAAAGGAGAAACAAAAACACAAAAAGCTAAGAAAAAATACATAAACATAAAAAGGAAAGAAGAAATTAAGTGGCGAGATCTCCAATCACCTCTGACAGAGAGGAGTAGGATCTCAAACCGATCTCATAACTAAGAAAGTGAAAACGATCAGCAGACAGTGGCTTGGTGAACAAGTCAGCAAGTTGAAACTCAGAGGAAATATAGGTAAGCATAATAGTATTTGCTTGAACCAACTCCCTAATGAAATGATACTTGATATCGATATGTTTAGTGCGTGAATGCTGAACAGGGTTCTTAGACATGCATATAGCACTAGTTTTATCACAATAAAGAGGAATGGAAGAAATAGACATACCATAGTCAGCAAGTTGAGTTTTAAGCCAAAGAAGTTGAGCACAGGAGCTACCTGCAGCGAGGTATTCAGCCTCGGCAGTGGATAAGGCTACATCAGCCTGTTTCTTACAAGACCATGATACTAGTGAGGTACCTACAAACTGGCAACTGCCAGAGGTACTCTTTCTATCGATCAGACTACCAGCAAAATCAGCATCGGTGTATCCAACCAGATCGAAATTATCCTGTTTAGCATACCAAAGTCCTACATCTATTGTTCCCTTTAAATACCGAAAAATGCGTTTTACAGCTGATAAATGACTCTGTTTAGGTTGACACTGAAATCGAGCACACAGACAGACAGCAAATTGAATGTCAGGACGACTAGCTGTAAGATACAACAAAGATCCGATCATGCCACGATACAAGGATTCATTGACTGGAATACCAGCCTCATCTTTGTCCAGTTTGATGTTGGTTGCCATTGGCGTAGGACTGGGGTTAATAGCATTCATCTCGAATTTACTAAGCATGTTCGACACATATTTTGACTGATGAATAAAGATACCAGCAGGGGTTTGTTGAATCTGTAGACCTAGAAAAAACTTAAGTTCACCCATTAGACTCATCTCAAAAACACTTTGCATAGACTCACAAAAGGATGAACATAGATTAGTATTAGTGCCACCAAAGACTATGTCATCAACATAGATCTGAACAAGCAGAAAATCAGAGGAAACATGCTTAGTAAAAAGAGTTTTGTCAACTGATCCCTGTATGAAACCCTGATCAAGAAGGAAGGTTGTAAGGCGATCATACCAAGCTCGAGGAGCCTGTTTAAGACCATAAAGAGCCTTATTGAGTTTAAAGACATGATCAGGGTATTGAGGATCAACAAAACCCGGAGGTTGAGCAACATACACATTTTCCTCAATAACCCCATTTAAAAAAACACTTTTAACGTCCATTTGAAACAAGGGAAAACCTAAATAAGACGCATAAGCACAAAGAAGGCGAATTGACTCAAGACGTGCAACAGGGGCAAACGTCTCGTCATAGTCGATGCCTTCTTCTTGAGAATACCCTTGAGCAACCAGTCTGGCTTTATTTCGAATAATCATACCTATCTCATCAGGTTTATTCCTAAATACCCATTTTGTGCCTATAACAGTAACATTCAAGGGTCTTGGAACTAAGTCCCATACATGTAAACGAGCAAACTGGGAAAGTTCTTCAACCATAGCTAGAAACCAGGCATCATCTCCTAAAGCAATCTTGTATGACTTAGGTTCAATTTGCGACACATAGGCATATTGGCCAGGAATATGCTTACCTCTAGTTTTTAAACCATCATTGATATTTCCAATAACCTGTGTGACAAGATGGCGTTTCTGGATGTGTGGAGGAGCAGCAATGATAGTGTTAGAGGGAGTTTCACCTTTTGCAGCATCTTCCAGGAGAGGAGAAGACTCCTCTGGTTCATTAACAGTAGTCACCTGCTCTTTATCTGAAGATTTATCAAACTCAGAAAACAACTCAGACAGGTCAAATGACACAAGACTAGAATCTGGTTTTTCAATAGTAGTATTATCATTAAATCGAACATGAACCGATTCTTCCACTTTTTGAGTACGAGTGTTATAAACTCTAAATGCCTGTCCTTTAACAGAATACCTAAGGAAGATCCCTTTGTCAGATTTTGAATCAAACTTCCCTAGCTGATCTCGAGTGTTTAAGATATAACAAGGACACCCAAAAGGATGGAAGTACGATATATTAGGAGACTTGTTTCTAAAAAGCTCATAAGGAGTTTTATTTAAGGTTTTTCTAACTAAGACACGATTTATCACATAGCAAGCAGTGCTGACTGCCTCTGCCCAAAAATACTTTGGCAAGTTTTATTCTAACAACAGAGTACGAGCACATTCAATTAGAGTTCTATTTTTTCGCTCCACCACCCCATTTTGTTGTGGAGTACGAGGAGCAGAAAAAATGTGAGAGATCCCAGTGTTATTGCAGAAGGTCTCGAATTCTTCTACAATAAACTCACCCCCATTGTCACTCTTAACAGTTTTAATCTGACCAGAATGTAATAGAGCAAATGTCTTAAATTTTTCTAGAGTTTCTGATTTGTGAGCAAGAAAGAAAACCCAAGTATATCTTGAGAAGTCATCAACTATAACAAACACATAGTTCTTACCACCCAAGCTAGTAACATTACAAGGACCAAAAAGATCCATATGAAGTAGCTCTAAAACAGCTGTGGTAGTAATGTCAGGTTTAGATTTAAAGGTCCTGCGAGTATGTTTGCCAGAAATGCAAGTATCACAGAAAAAGTTTGTCTTTTCTTTAAGAGCAGGAAGGCCTCTAACTAGATTCAACTTAGAAAACATTGCTAGTTTTTGTAGACTAATGTGTCCAAGTTTTCTGTGCCAAAGCAGCTCTTGTTGGAAGGAAGCAACAAAACAATATTCATTGAAGGCATCAAGATTTCGAAGATCAATAATATACATATTGTTCTGTCTTGATCCAACAAAGATAAACAGTTTCATCACTTGACCGTTTCACAAGGCAACGAGAAGTTTCAAAAATGACATTATGACCACTATTGCACAATAGACTTATAGAAAGAAGATTGTGCTTAAGACCATCAACAAGTAAAACATCATGAATCACAGGTAAAGGCAGTTGACCAATGGTTCCTATTCCAACAATCGTGCCAAAACTATCATCACCAAAAGTAACTTTACCACCTCTTTTGAATTGCAAAGTTGAAAATATGTCTTGCTTACCAGTCATATGATGCGAACATCCACTATCAAGATACCAGAGATTATCATTTTGTTTCAACTTACCAGAGTCATCAAGAGGAGAGAAAAAATCTGCTTGTGCAGAATCTGAGTTCTGATCAGAAGAAGATGAAAAGGCCATCAGTGCTTCTTCATCAGCCTGATCTGGTTCATCATCTGTTTCATAATCGCTCCAAGATGCTTTCATGGCACGCTCTTTTGCCTTAAGAGTTTGGGGACAATTTGCCCTGATGTGACCATGTTTCCCACACTTGTAGCAAGCTTGCGATTCTCGTTCACTTGTACCTGTATGTAAAGTTCTGGTCTGCTGATTAGGCAGCCTATCATATGAAGAACTTTTAAAACGATCATTAGATATAAACCTAGAATCATCAGACCTTCGTTTCTGATCATTTTTATATTTTAGCATACGATGAAAACGCTTGCTAACTAAGGCGAACTCTTTCTCAAAATCTCTTCCCAAGTCATTATCAGAATCATAATCGACAACTCTGGACTGGAAGGCTAGAGTTTTCTTCCTCTTATCATCATCCAGATACACTTGCTTAATAACATTTTCATGACTCAAAAGAGACCCAATTAATTCATTTATTGGAAGAGTTGCTAGATTACGAGCTTCCTCAATCGCCGTGCGCTTAGGTAGCCACTCTTTGGGTAAGGATCGAAGAATCTTCCTATTGAGATCTTTAACCAGAAAAGTGCGACCTAACCCTTTAAGCTTATTGATAAGAACAGTAAACCTAGAATACATCTCATGAATGGATTCGTTATTTAACATAGAGAATGATTCATACTCATGCACAAGAAGATCAATTCGTGATTCACGAATATTAGAGGTACCTTCGTATGTGCTCTGAAGAGCAATCCAGATTTCCTGAGCAGTGTCACAATTCTCCACCTGATCCGCTTCTTCAGAAGTCATTGCTGATTGAAGGACATGCATCGCGCGCTGGTTTAATTGAGCACTTTTCTTCTGTGTTGCAGTCCACAAGTGTTGTTCTGCTAAATCCATGTCGATGGGGCCGTTTTGCACAATGAGCCAGAGCTCCTCATCGATGCCCCACATAAACTGCTTGATTCTCTTCTTCCAAGCAGTATAATTTCCTCCAGAAAAGATAGGAGGATGATTCAGAGTCGCCTGCCCGAAGGAATTGGACGCCATCAGATCTTTGGATCTTTGACCTTGGCAGGAGTAAGCTTCTTCAAGGGCAGGCTCTGATACCACTTATTGAGAAAAACACACTGCCTTTTCGATTAGGGTTCTTGAAGGAATTTGGGGGAAATGAAAGAGTAAAGCGAAAAGTTCATTCTCTGCTTTTAGCTCTTCTGAACTCTTAAATTGGGCCCGAAAATGCTTAAGCCCACAAACAAAAGACAACTGACGCAGGCTTAAGAAAAAGCCCACTCGAGTTCAGCCTCTGGATTGAAGACAGGGTCGTCTTCTTCCTTAGCTCTGAAACAACAGAGCTGAATAAGATAGAAAAACAGAGGAGCACGAGGAAGACGATAAGGGAATGAAGAGGAGCAGAGACAAGCCAATTTTTAACGAGGTTCCCCAAACTATTGGGTACATCCTCGTCCTAGACTCAGTACTGCACTGAGGTCTAGGAGACTCTGTTTTTATTAAGATTTCCTATCAAGCAAAAGATAAAATAACAGTAAGACTCGACAACAATTAAGAAAGGGACTCTGAACAACAAAACCCGGATCCCCAATCCCAGACCCGTTACACCGTCAATCAAACAGACTCTATGCCTCTGTTCTGATCAACCCACTAAGATGATAGCCCTGTACCGCTTCTTTCTCAGTACATTGTTCGATTCTGCTAAGGAGTTTAAATAGCAAGCAAGGTGATGACCGTTGCTTCTGAATTTGCCCAGAACAGGTAAGTTTCCTTCAGAGCGCCTTTGATTTGCTTGACTTCCGCCGGTATATCCTGGATTTGCAGAATTTCCAACTTTCCTTCTTTCAACACTAACCACCCGCCATGTCAATCCTAATTCCTAACTAAGAGTGAAAAACATATATAAGGTGTCGGCAATTTGGGTAACGTCACCTGCTTGATGCTCTGACGTGAACTATGCATAAAAATTGTGTCACGACGTCTTCCTATTCGCGCTGGGATGGGTTAGGCGATGAATGCTTCTCTTCAATCCCATTAGACAACAATTAAATTATTATCTACTTAACTTCTCAGATTAAAACTAATCATTAAACACCCAAACGAAAATGGTTTCAAACTGGGAAGAAAGAAGGATATATATATTTAGTGGTAATTGATCCAGCAAGGCAGAATTAACATGTTCGTCACCATCAGGATTTGATGCTATTCGCTTAAGTCACTATTGATTTTGGGTTTAGGTCAACCAATCTGAGTATCTCTTTAATTTTGTTCCTTAAGAACTAGTATACATAGTGATTTTTTAAAGGCTATGGGCTAATTTGGGTTACGATTCAATACGATACACATATGAAATCACCCTCTAGATTGATGACATTATCTAACACTTTATCGTACGAAGTTCTAGCTTAACAGAAGGTTGAGATTATCAATTAATCTGATTTACATTTTAGAGGATTTTTCAATTTCACAAATCACATGTGGATAGTTGGAGCTAAGAATTTTCCTTTTTTAGTTCTCCTAATATTCTTAATTGGATCGTATTTCTTAATTTCATCTCTAAATTCAAATACTTTTGTGTAGAAATATCTAATTCTACGTAATCTACACAATGAGATTCATTTTAATATATGTTGAAATAAAAATTTACAAAGACAGGGACATAATCATATATATGAGTCAAGATTCTATTCCACATAGTGACCAATTTTTTTATGGAAAAATAATTGATTAATCTCAATTAAAGTGGAAGCAGAACAGATAAAGTTCTACAAAAAATTAGTTGGTAGCCGAGATACAATATGGGCATCCGCCCCCTTAGCTATAGCAAAGCTAAATCAGGTAAAAATATACGCGGTCGTCCGAGCCACTGCATCCTGAGACACGGAGAATATCTAGATCCGTTTGAGCAAAGTCACGACATTCGTATCCAACTCTCCTAGCAAAAAAATTATTAATATAATAAAAGGGCAGAAAACCATAATCAGCCGCCGTACACAAGTCTCGATACTTCGCACACTTTCATGAAAAAATTATATCATATGTCATTCGAAATTTAAGAAAAAACATAAAATAAAAACAAATCCAAAGGCAAATTTGTGGGAAAACAATTTTCAATTTTTGAATAAAAATCGAAAGACCACATGGAGTCACGGACCCTGTATAAACTATCCGTAATCCGTATAGGCTCTTGGTCGAAGGCTAAGCCCAAATTCATCAAAATGAAGCCGGCACCATTGGTCAAACATTAAAGTTCAAGCCCACGAAGCCCAATATCCATGGATTCGACTTCTCAAAATTTATCACGCCTAATTAAGAACAGAGCAAAACGACAAAAGAAAGGCAAGATGGAAAGGGAAAGAGTGACTAACCGCTACTCGGCAATGGCTGCCGTAGTTCCACCTGTGGTGTGGTGGCGTCCAATTCAGGCAGAAGCGCACTATTTTGGCACCCTCTCAGCCTCAGGGACACATTCTCCGCTACCGGTTCATGCCTTCGCTCCACTTGGAAACAATCAGATACGAGTTTCAACTGTTTGCAGCTGAACTCGACGAGGAAGTTTGCTGTGCGTGCCGGCCAGGAAGTAGGTGGTGCGAGCTGCGAGAATGGAGTCGAAAGGGGCTTCTTTAGGCTTTAAAGCTCCTAAATTTGAGGTAATCATGCAATCTCTCGCTTACCCACTTCGTTTCCCTATGCTAATTGGAGTATGCTCCTTGTCATTTCCCCTTCTTTTGTTTTTGTTTTGATTTCATGGTGTTTATCCATATACAGCTGCCAGAGCCTCTCACCGGGAAAACATGGAAACTTGAAGATTTTGAGTCATACCCTGGTTTGTTGGTGAGCTCTTCGTTCCAAATTTGAAATGCTCAATAATTGAGGGAATACAAAAAAGAACATTTTTTGTTTGTATGCCGTCTTAACCTGATCAACATGAAAACCAAAGGCAATACACTCGTAAAATATCATAATTGAGAGGCATTTTGATGTGGGTAGGGTTGATTAGGCAATGATGAAGTGGGAAAGGAAGGGGTTCTGTTGAGATAGCTGCTTGAAATCCCAGATAACGGTAGTAAAGATTGGAGTTGAGTGCTGTCTCTCCGACTTGGGTGGAGAATCCTCTAAAAGAAACAAGCGGAAAGACTCAAAATTCACTCTGTTCAATCTCACAAAATGTCTAGAATTAACCTCCCATCGTAGGAGTTACACAAAGGACTAACATACATTAGGAAAATGCTAAAACCTCAACCAAGGCAAAATGAGTAAACCAATAAAACTAAAGCAAACTCTATGCCGCCCCTCTCATTTAGCAATTGCATTTTACAGAACCTTTTTTTTCATTGTTTTTCCTTTTCAGCAATTCTCTCCAGAATGTTTAATTCCCAGTGATCAAGAAAAATCAAACTTAAGATGGTAATGGATGCTTTGTAAATATGCATACTAGGATTTGGTGCCACATATTGTGGCTGTTGTCGGAGATTTCAGCATGTATTCTGGCTAATCAATATTCGGATTGGGATTTACTGCAGTATAAGACCTTATTTGAAGTATGAGCAGTTAATGATTTGTGAGCATACTGTGTGCATGTGATGTTCATATGCAATCATTGCCCCTTTGTTAAGCATTTTAAGAAGGATATAGTGAAACTTTCAAATTTATATATGAAGGTAGCTCAAGTCCTACTCTAGTGTCCAGCTATTCATTCGGAAAGGGATGTGCATTTGCACAATGAAAGTTTCTCATACATGGAGCAGAAAGGACTTGCTGTCATTGCAATTTCTTCAAATTCTATTGCTACACACCCACAGGTTAACACTATCCCAGTGTTTCAAGATTAGAGCTAATCAGAAGTCCAGAACCTTCTGTGTGATATGTCTGACATGGAATTTTTCTTTCCAGAATGGACCAGAATCCATGGCTGAGGATGCTAAATTGTTTTAACTATCCATTTTCATATTTGTATGACAAGGTATGCTTGTGCGATTGATGTCTTGAAGTTGAACTTTACTTCTTGGGTTTTCTTTCCCATCCTCTTCCTATCATTCCTCCAAAAGTTGCTTGCATCTTCTTGGGGTTTCTATACAATCGGAATATCATATCCGATATGGTTGATTGGAGTGATTGAGTGGGCGTCACTTTGTCTATGGATTGGGCCCATGGTTTTGGGTCTCCAATGGATTTGCATTGTTATGTTAGTAGAAGTTAAGATATCCTGGAAGCAGATATCAAGAACTATAGGCTATGTGTTAAAAACAGGGATGAATTACATTAGGTTTTAAAGACACATTGATTCTGATATGGTAACCTATAGAGAATAATTGTCGTGGCATCCTCTACGATTGGCTTTCCCAAAAGAGTGAGGGAAGTATGATCCATCTCTGTTAAACTGCTCTTGATGGTTCTTCCTTGGTTTGGTGAATCGATGTAAAGCTCCTTGTAGACAGATTTAGTGTGGAATTGAGTTTACAAATGGTTTTGTTTTGTTATCCATGACATATGACTAACTAGTAGAAAGACTTAAGGCTGTCATGTGCTGAGAGTTATTACCAATGGAATGATGACATAACTAGTGCTAGAGGTACAGTAATTGGTATTTGAGTAATGAACAATAGAAATCTTATGACCATTATATGAGAAAAGTATGAATTATACAAAAAGATCGTGAATGTTAGTCTTGAAGTTGTATGAATTCTCAAAATTATATACAATAGTACTCACAATCTTTACGACATAGATCTTAGAACAGGCAACAAAATTGATCTGATGTTTGTAAAGATTATTCAACCTCAGTAACTAACTGAAAGTGTCTGAACTGTGTAGTCTCAAGTGGTTGCACGGGATTACGGAGAGTGTGTACGCCAGAGTTTTTCCTGTTCAAAAAGGTGTAGCCTTTAGGTTTTTTTGTTACATGCTTTACTTTGTTGCTCAAACCTGACATGGTCTCAGACTTTAGGTTCGATGACCGGATAGATGACTTTCTCTCCTTCTCCTCAATTTCCTTTACTGAATTCACTTTTAGTGTCACAGGATGGGAGGAGACCATTTGAACTGGTGTATCATGGCCAATTTGATGACTCCAGAACCAAAAGTAATGTGCCTGTAACTGGAAGGTAATTTTGTTTTTTGTTCTATTCTACTAAACAAGTAAAAAAGTGTACCTACCCAAGCATTCCACATATGTCAACATCCGTTGTGACTATTGTTTCATAATCCTGCTTTAGGGACCTAAGCAGAGGGACAGATAGCATCCAAAGTGGGCAGCAGTTTCATAAGTTCAGAAACCAAGGTATTGTTCATTTGAGCTCCTCTCCTTGTCTTGGATCTCTTTGAAGATTTTACCTGCTTTTACTGGACTCCTGAGCTGAGACCATTGTTATTCTCCTTGGCTCTAAAGTATCGGGTTCAGCATAAAGTGGCATCCTGGGATGAACTTGTAGTGTTGCAGGGAAATGCCAAGTGATTCAGAAGCCGAAGAGTTCATTCTAGGTACATTATTGCCCATGTTTGAATTGAACTCCGTGTAAATTCCACAACTTTTCCATGAAATAAGTTAATTACTGATGAAGTTTATGTATCATTCTATTCAAAACTTCAACACTAGGAAAGAACGTGAATATGCCTTACATTTCTGGCACACTTCCCATCTATCTTGACAACTCTTTGCCTCTTGAGTATGTCGATTCATCATCTCAAAGGGGATCTCTCATATCACGACAGTGACCGGATGCTTGTTGCTGTCATGCCACTGCTGCAATCTATCGAAGTTAGGAGCAAACCCATGGACAAAATCTGCAAGGTTGCGGTAAGATGTGTCTGCAAATTTGAGCACCACAGAAAGTGTCTTCCATATTCTTATGGCTCCTGTCACTTTTTTCATATATGTCTTTAGGAAGAGGCAGCATGCGTTTGCTGAAGGGTGTTTGCTTGGATAACTTTTGGTTTAGCTTTTAAGTAGCAATGCAGAAATTTAAGTTTGTCGATAGAAATGACAGATTAGGGTAGACACTGCTAGAAATTTTGCATGCCTTTTCATTGTGACTAGCACTCTAATTTTGTCAACTCCCCTGTTACGTCTTGGTGGCTTGGTCCCCCCTTTGGTCTCCATCTTGAAGCTTTCACATATGCTGTAGGAAGGTAGCTACCAGCCCACCACCATCACCAGAAATGGGAAAAGACCAACCCAATCAATATTTGGGCGGTTGAGAAGAAGGCACACTTACCATATAGAAAAAAGATAATGTGACACCATATCTCTGAAAAGTCTATATTGTGGCCACTTGATCCCTCACTATCTCAAACCTTCCAAGTGGTGTTTTGGACTTTGGTGGCTGCAAAATCCTTGCCATATCTTTCATCCTCTTATTCATGTAGGTGTTATGCTGCCAAAGTTGGAAGAAACACTAGTTGATTTCCTCAGTTTCAAAGTTTGTTTCGAATGAATGAGATCAGAACTGGGGAAAGGAAGTCTTCTACTGTGTTTGCTTAGGTCATGATCCAGTCTTCTAGGCCATGGTGAACAGGAAAGATCTCACCTTTCTAAAGACCATCAGCAATGCTAAAGAATGAGTGTTAAACATGAGGTTTTTAGTCCCAAGAGGAGAGGGGAAATGGGAATAGTGGATTGGATTTTAGGAAAATAAATTTAGGGTGGATTTTGTCACTTTATTTAGGTAATTCGGTCATTATTTTTTATATACATAGCATGGTAAAGGAAACCGTACCGGAAGTCATACCGGCTCCGCCAGTGGTAGGGTATTTTGTGGTACTACCGTGGTTCAATCGTTGTGTACTGGCAAAATACCGTTTTTGTAAATAAATAATATTTGTTTGTGAAAAAACCGTACCGGCAGATTTGTGATACCGTCTCGGAATAATACCGGAATAAAACCGGAATATACCGGATAACAAACCTGAATAAACTAAATAAGCATATGTAATATAAAATTCAACAAACTGCAACATTACTGAATTAACTAGCAGTTGCTCCTTTATCAACCGATCCGGCTTCTTTTCCACTAGCCATTGCTGTCAAAACGAATGAACAAATAGATTGATCAACTTCCTTCCTTACAGAAACGGACAGGGCTCAAACGAATGAACAAATAGGCTTAATTGAAGTAGAATGGATACCTTGGTTTTGTCAAAGTTTAATCAAATTCCTCCCCCGCGATGGTCCAAAGCAACCTAACAAAACAAATCCAAACATTAGGACTGCCCCTGCCCCAACAATGTTGGAGATATCCCAGAAACATGGTTTTTTGATTCAACATTACCAGAACAAAGAAAGGACTAATAGAATGACGAGGTAGCCAGCTTGAAAAGCCTCTGGTCCTCGCCTCTCCGGTCGTCGAGCAGAGGAGGATCGCAGCGGAGGAGCCTCTGGTCGTCGCCTCTCCGGTCGTCGAGCAGAGGAGGGTCTCCGCCTCTCCGGTCGTCGAGCAGAGGAGGATCGCAGCGGCAGAGGAGGCAGGGTCGCCTTCTCGAAAAGAAGAGAATCGCAGCGGCAGCAGCAAACGAAGCGTGATTTAGCCTTTAGGGTTTTGGTTTTAGGCTTCGGCCGATTTTTTTTTTGTTTGTTTCCCCTTAATGCAAAACGATGCCGTTTCCACTTTATCAGCTCACCCCCGGTTAGACCAAAACCGGGCGGTATTTTTAGTTGAACCGGTTGTGCCGGTCAAACCGACCGAAACGGCGCTTTCCCCCAACACGTCTGTCGTACCGGCCAGGCACCAAAATCCGGTTTTACCGGTTCAACCGGCCGGTCCGATCCGGTTTAATTTACCATGATACATAGTAATAATTCATTAGAAGAACATTTCGATGTGTTTTTACTTTTTTTATATACAATTTTGACGTTTAATTTTTGTCACTAATCAAGTATAATGTCATCAATGATAAAAATACAAATCAAACTAATAAGTAGTTGCATTAATAATCTAAGAAATACAATCATAATAAAATATACATCAATATGCTTCCATCTGGATTGCAAGGTGCAATCGATACGAACCACCGTGAAGTCTCTACTACCAGTGGCGGATCCAGGGGGTGGCCACCCCGGGCCACGGCCCAGCCCTCCCCTGGATCCGGAACTATTATAGTCCTTATGAGTTTATCGATTTTAGTCATTTAGGTCAGTGTTATTTTATAATAAAATTGTGTGTAATTAGGAAAATGGATAAGATCAACATATTCAAATCACAACTCTAAATTTAGCCTTAAATTTCTAGCTGCATTGATTCTCATATAAAGAAAAGCAAACAATGAAACCTAAAATTCTGAAACGTAAAAGACTAAAAGAAATATGAAGTTTATTCCTTTAAGAAATTATTAGAGCAGCTGTTGAAAATAGGAATTGATACACAATATATATTGATTAGTCGATTGTGTTGACATTTGCGCAACAAAATGAGCGATGAATTTCTCGCCAATTGGTTAACTATTTTATCTTAAAGAGAGCACGCTATTGATGTGGATTTAAACTCCATTATTGATGAATTCACTATATTAAAATTTAAAAGATCGACGTGTATAATTGATATTGTAAAAAAACTATAATTTTTTTTTTACGGTATCTAATTTTCTAATGAAATGCGGCCCAGTGCTATATTGTGTCCTGGATCCGCCGCTGTCTACTACGAAAGTTGTCTTCAGGGTTTTTCTCCTATTTGGATTGTGAAGGTTTGAAGAAGATGCGATCGACATTACAGCAACCCAACCCATTTCCAGTCATCCATTGTGGGTGGTCTAAAAGGATGGAGTCATGGAGATATGGATTTTGTTGTGAGGGCCTTCAAGTTCTGATATCCACAACATAACCAGACAAGTTTGCTGCATACTGAGCTACAAAGTACAAACAAAGATTGCAGACATTTCCAATGAAGAAATCTTTCAATTTCTTGAGAAAGGAGAACAGGTTTGATTGATGGAGCAGAACTGAACAAATTAGAATCCAACTGTAGTTGCCAGTTGGTAAAAAAAGTGTTTGTCAAGGTGGAAGGGTAATGATTTAGCTACAAAACTGACGCTGACAGCCATTATTCTCCTCTGTGACCAAATGATAATGAGAAAGGTTATGCTTCCTGGTTGGTCCTCATTACTCACTTGTATGAATGTGGATGGAGACGAATAATAACTACACAAAGTAGGCAAAGATGCAATAATCCCTTAGCTTAGTTTCCTCCCCTTGTATCTTTTCATACGTCAACAATTTCCTTGCACTTTGTTGACGTATGAAAAGATACATTTCCTTGAGTCACGAAGAAAATGTATGGAGTTTGCTTTTATTTACTATATGGACCATTTTATTGGTTTTATTATGTTTTAGAACTGTGGATGTATTTTGGGTGTTGTTTTACTATTTCTGTTATGAGGTGAAATTATGAGTGGCTAGAGAAAATTAGCCGGACTTTATATTTGGTAATTGTGGAGACTTTCTCATTAAGCAAATACAAAACAAAAAAAACAAAAAAATTAATCCTCGTTCTCTCCCTCTTTGGTTCTTCCCAAATCCAATCCATTATGAATTTAAGGAGAATCCATTGTATGCCTCCACTTATTTTAGGGATCAAATCCGTGGGGCCCATGGATTTTAAAGGTCAAAATCCGTGGACCTCACGGACTCGTAAATCCCACATATTGATGTGTGATTTGGAACATGCCATAAATCCATGATGAGATTTTACCTATATACCCTCATAAATATTTAATATTTCTATATTGCCCTCACATTTACCTATTGTACATTATAATTAATTAACAACAAAGAAATAATATAAATATTCAATTAATCTAAACACATGAGTTAGATTTTTTAATCTCTTTTTTAGGTTCTAGTTTCCTTTGACCTTTTCATGGAAAGTGTAATTATTTTTTCTCCCGGTTCTTATATATGTTGCTATATGTTAATTTTGGAAAGGAGGACAACGAATTGGTAAATTATATATGTTACGTTAAAAGTTAAACGGAAAATTTTCCATTTATTATTATAGTCGTTGTGTCAACATTATGCTTATAAGTACGTATTGTCCTTGTTTGTGTACATACCATAAACATCACAAACAAATAGAAAAGGCTAGTAAGGTAATTTTAGACTTTAATTTATAAATCTCAAACTCTTAAATCCATGATAAAACATCTCAACAAACAAAGGATTGTTACAAATCCATAATGCCACAAATCCTTGATAAGTCCTCAGATTTTTAAATTACAGAACCTTCATTTTTAAATCCGTGAAGCAAACGACCCCTAAATTTTACATCGATTCTTATTTCTAGAACCCTAAACGAGGAAGCCTAGATCTATAGTTATTATTCTGGTATTATTTTCAAAAATATTTTGTATTTTGGCATCATGTGCCTGCCTTTTTGGCTTAGACTGAGTACATTATTTGTAAGCTTGTGTCCAATGGTGGTGTTGTCTATTCTTTCCTTGTCCCGATTGTGGAAATAGTTGGGTTCGTGATGACCACTTGGAGAATTGGGATGGAACCTTTTTTTTGTTAGTTGTTGTTGTTACCTTTCAACTCTGGTCGTCAGTCAGATGCATTGCATTTGTACCGGGGCATAAAAACACTAAAACAGAGACTTTAGGGTCTCATTTGTGGTACTATTTGTCAAAACACGAATAAAATTGACAACTAAAAAGCATATTGTTGATTTTGAAAATTGACCCACCAATCACCATTCCTAATAACATAAAACCCAAAAAGGAAAAAAAATTAAAAAAAAAAGAAATAAACTTGAGAAAGGATTAGGTGACAAAAGCTCACTACTTGGTTTTATTTGGTTTTATTATATGCAGTTCAAAGGCAGTTTAAGGTATATGATTAATTATTTGATTATGAAGGACGTAGGAGGATATATAGGGTGGGATTTAGGTTATATGGTTTAGAGTACTTCAGAAATGAGAACTAGATCCTTCCATTTGTTTATACTTTTTTTTTATACAAACAACAAAACTCAAATGCATTAAAACATCACCTAACTTTGTCACAAGAAGTTATAAAATTAGCTTGCATAAGGTATATGATCATGAATTATGAAATAGTAAAAATTTGATAACTAGTACATTTGGTTTAACTTTTGGTACGGTATAATATTGCACACACTTGATATACCAAATACACATAATTTACGTATGTAATATATAAGATAATGAATTACGTATATATATAGAAAAATCGCATGTGAAATATATTGCGAATTGTGGTGTCTAAGGGGGTTTATGAGAGTTCCGAAACTAAATAGGAGAAATTTTTTTTCCTCTAAAGTTTCAAATCTCGTGCAAATAATTTTAGGATTTTATAGACTACTTACCTATCTCATCTAATAATTGAACCACACACAATTTGTTGTGAATATATTTGAGGGACGAAGATCATAGATCGAGAGCACGCTTAGAAAACCAGCTACATGTTAATTCGGAACAGATTAACTGTTACGTTTCTCACCGACGGATCTTAATAGTGCGTGTGTGAACTCGAATGGAAAAGAGTCGTTGGTTGGTAACCCTCTCGAATCACTTTTCAGCTAGCTGCCGTCGTTACATTTTCGTTTATGACCACATTATGTCTTTCTTTCTTTCTTTCTTTCTTGTTTGGTATCTTTTCACGATGGGACTTATCTTCAAAATACACAAATTAAAGTGAGAAACGAAATCGATACCAAGCAAAGGCCATCCCTAAACCTAATTGGATTCTTTCTGCGCAGATGATTCTCGTAACTGATCACTCCAATTGGAGGTGGAAAAGAGCGAGGAGGAAGAATCTTGAGTGCATGAAAGGTATCAATGCCATGCTATTGCTCGATCGTTCTCACGACAAACAAAAATGTTACGTTGAAGATGGTCACATTAGATCAGTGGCCACTGGCCATCCATAATACCATATATATATTGCAGCATTTGTGCTCATAAGAAGTCCTTATCTAACCCCCACAATGGCCACAATACATTAAGTGGGTGCACCCATGGAAACCTTCCCCAATACGTTGTACCCCCACCCACATCTATAGATACTTGCCTGGGAGCAGTGGCGTAGGCAGGATTGAAACTTACCGGAGTCCCTTTTTCTTAATCATAGACATACGTAAAAGGACCGGCAGAAATACGGTGATTGGATAAGCAAACGCGATAGTCGTCCTATCGTCGAACTATCGATGAAAAGGCTTGTTTTTGTCGGTTAATGTTCAGTCATGTTGAAATGCTTAGAGGCAAAAATGGAACCTAATAGCCGAGAACGACCCCTTCGAACAATCTGACTTCTTCAAGTAATGCATCACCCCATGTCATGGACTATCTCACCCGTCGCACAGCTCTTTGAAATCACGGGTTGATGGCTTTTAATTTTACCTTATCGATAATGTTGTTTATTTGCGTCTACATAATACCGATGAGAGTTGGATTTTATAAGAAAACGATAATAAATTCTTTTTATATAAATGGATGCAAAGCATCCTATTCTTCATTCATAACCAGTGGGGGTTCGGAAAGCCCCTGAGTGTCATACATGATACAATACTGCAAAGTAAGGATCGTTAACATGAGTGAAAGTGAAAACCAATGAGGTAAACAATGGCTTCTACTCGCTAGATAGTCAGCACACTTATCGCCTTCCCTATGAATATGGGAGAATAAACAACCTCCTAGTCGCGCCTAATCAATCAAGGTCTGGAGGCGGGTAGTGATAGCGTCATGCTGCCGATTTGGGTCAGGCCAAAGTTGAGAAGCGTTGGAGAGCACATCTGAAGTCTAGCTCCACACGAACACGTCTATATCCCAAATCACATGCCAATTGAAGTCCCACTACAGCGCCTCTCAACCCTGGAATGCAGTGTCCTAACTAGGGTGATCTCGCAAGAGGCCCATTGTTGCAGCGGAGCCTGAATCATGAATGGCTGAGTCGTCTGATCAGTAGATCAGAGTCACCCACTCAGGAAGAGGCGTCGTCCAAGAGATCAACTCCTCCGTTCTTGTGAGCAAATTCGGATGATGGATGATATGCTCATTGTCCATAACAATCCTCACGAAAATTCTTTAACATACTCATATTTCACAAATACCTACACATATTTAATCCAACTTATTTTTCCAAGTGGGCATCTCCACTCCACATCTGAGCTGCGGTTTGCCGGCCTTATAGTAGTGATTTATTATCATCTCCAGCATGGCTTGCCATACCATACGTCTTCATTGCACATTTATCAACTATTTAATTAGTCAACTTAGATTGAAAAGAACGAGACGACATTGATACGTCTCTAACAAATACCAAAAGTTATTTTCCCCAAATTCATAAAGAGAGAAGTTGGGAAGAAGAAGAAAAAAAGTCAAAAAGAAAAACCTACCAAACAAAGCTGATATAATGATACAATGTCCAAGGTTTCTCTTTTCATAATTCCAACTAGTCGGCTCAACTACTTGTGTGGTTAGTAGCTAGGTGATTTCAAAAGGTGAGCGTGATTTCGAACCACAATTTTAAAACCGTAGCCATCTCTGTAGTTAAAATTGTGTTAGGAATCTGAATGAACGAAGCGTTAAAGCGAATGAGCTCGGAACATATAGCGACGACACGTACTCGGACGGGTTTGGCGCGCACACTTAAAATACCGGCCAAAATTGCACCATATCCATGACGTAAGCTTTGCTGGGTTCGGAAAAAAATCCCACCAAAAGATAATATCATTCGAATTTTCCCCGACAAAATCGATCCGGATTCGATTGAATACGCACGGTACATAATGGGTTACTTTGCCATCCTAGATAGCTAAAGTGGGTTGTTAATGGGAATTGGGTTGTTAGTTTGGGGGTGTGGGAGAGACTAGGGAGAGTCTACGTGTTGGACTCCAGCTTATATGCAGTCACCATCCATCCTTATAGTCTCCTTTCTTTCTTGTTGTGAATTGATCGGAGAAGAAGAAGAAGGAAAAGTCCACTCTCTGCTTGCATGTGTTCAATATCACACTGCCTGCCAAGGCCGACTCCGTTGACCCGTGTTTTGTTGGCCACTTGCATTATAAGAATTATATCAGCACTGCCCCCCAATTTCATGGGGAAGAAGACACTGAAAAATGGGGGGGTCGTTTTCATTTTTCTGTTCTCAGTCCAAGTGGGGGAATCATGATTTGATTGGGTGTGCTTTTACAATCGAGCCAAACCAAACCAAGCCAGGCCAGGCCAGAGAGTGTTTGTTTTTTTGGTTCCTGAAAATTCCAGAAATCGTTTCTCAGAAAGACAATTTATGAAGAGCCCTTTAAGCTCAAGTTAGAGGTAGGGGGTGGCAGTTTGGTTATTTCGGTTATAATCGGTAACCGATCGGTCGGTTATCGGTTAACCGAAATAACCACTCTCCTTACCGAAAATCGCCCAAAATAGGCTACACTTTCTCGGTTATATTGGTTATCGGTTAACCGAACCACTTTTAAGACCAAAAACCATTTCGTCTAGCCTCCGATAACCGACCGAAGTTCGGTTACTGGTTAGTGGATAACCGGCCGGTTATCAGTTTAACCGGTCGGTTATCGATAACCAGTAACCGAACTGCCACCCCTATTTAGAGGTGGAAGGAACTGAGCCGCGGCAATTATAGGGGTCGTTTGCTTCATGGATTTCGAAATGAGGGTTTAGTAATTTAAAAACCCAGGGATTTATCAAGGATTTGAGACATTATGGATTTTGTAACAATCTTTTGTTTGTTGAGATGCTTTATCACGGATTTAAAGGTTTGGGTTTTATAATTTAAAGTCCAAAAATATCACACCATCCTTTTCTATTTGTTTGTCACGCTTATGACATGTACACAAAATAAGGACAATACATACTAATTGATAAGCATAATGTTGCCACAGGGAAAATAATAATAAACGCGAAAATTCAATTAAACTTTTAATGAAACATATATCAGTTACCAATTCATATTCCTCCTTTTCAAAAGTAACATATAGCAACATATATTAGAACAAGAAAACAAAGAATTACACGTTCCATGAAAAAGTTTCCTTTTCAAAAGTAACATATAGCAACATATATTAGAACAAGAAAACAAAGAATTACACGTTCCATGAAAAAGTTAAAAGAAACTAGAACACAAGAAAGGGTATAAAAAATCTAACTCATGTTTGCACATTACAAACAATAATGGAATATTTATATGATTTATTGTTAATTAATTGATTATTTATAATGTACAATAGGTAAATTTGAGGGCAACCTTGAAATTTTAAAAGTTCATGAGGGTATATGGGTAAAAGCCCATCATGGATTTATAGCATGTTACAAATCCCACATCAATATGTGGGATTTACAAGTCCGTAGGGTCCACAGATTTGAACCCTTACAATTCATGGGTCCCACGAATTTGGTCCCAAAAAAAGGCAAGCAAACGATGAATTTTCGTTAAATCCATGATAGATGGATTTTCGTTAAATCCATGATAAATGGATTTGGGTACCAAATCCATAATCTAAATCCATTAAACAAAATGCTTGCTTGTTATTTGTAAAAAAAAATATAGGGGAGCATACACGTGTGGTACTGCTCGTTTATTACGACACGTCTCTTTCACCACAATTCCATAAGTATCATGAAATGTACCACATAATAAAGACAAAAAAAAAAAACAATAAATCACATCACGAGTAACATAAATTAGACCACAAAGCTTATAAAGCATATCAGAACTTCAACAAGCCACAAAATTCATAAGGCATACCGGCCACGAGCTTCATGAGACAGACAAAAAAAACATCATATAAAGCAAACTACAAGTTCCCTAAAACATACTAAAATCTCATAAAGTTGACCACAAGTTCCTTGAAGCATACCACGAGATATGTGCAATCACAAGTCCACAACAGAGCTCTCATAAAGCAGACCCAACAAGACGAGAAGCCATATATACCAGGAAGTCAGGAACGTCACGATGAAAATCACAAACGTTATAGAATGACAAGTAACATTATGGTGAAATAATTTTTAGTAGTAAACCTTGTTGGTAATAGGCATGCACGCGCCATTTTTAGGCTTCTCTGTTGTTATATATGTAGGCTGTAGCTAATACTGCATAACTTAATTAACCGTTTGGAAATATACTGAAGAGAAGAGAAGAACAGAATAAAGACAATAACCCCTTCTTTCCTTGAAGAGAAGAATAGAATAAAGCTAAGCTCATTAGAATCTTGGAGATTCACATGGAAGAACCATCTTCTTTGTTCCTCGCTGATATTTTAGACAGTCAACCGTACAGATGCAAGCAAAACTCATGCTAGCGCTAACTGATTAAATCATTAATCCATGCATTCATGATTTTCAAAAAAAGTACTTACTATAATATCTTTATTGATCTTTATAAGCATGATGCTAACACATAAGATAATTACTATAATATTCTTATTAATAATTGTTAGTATGATGTTAACATATAGGGTGTTAACATCTTATTCGGTCTCTCTTCACGAAAATTCGATCAAATAGACAAACAATTCGTGAAACCATTGAAAGATATTTGCTTAATAGTTTGGACAAGTGCTTTGATATTTATTTAAAAAGATCAGGAGATGCGGCCCCTATCCTTTAAAACATTATTTAAAAGGATGGAAACTCACGACCATAATTAATGAAATCGCAACTTGTATTAGTTGGGTAGTCTTTCTTAAAAAAAACAATTAATTGGATATAGAATTATAATTTTTTTGTTTTCATTATATACAATTATGAACGAACCTCGTTAAAATATTTTTTTTTAGGGCCGCAACCACATAACTCCAATTCACACACAACGTAATACGACCAACATCACAATCACAAGCTTTTATTTTGGTTTTTTTGGATTTATTTATGAAAAGAATACCCTTTTTACTATTCATGAAAATATGTCGGCTTAGGCCTAATTTATCACGAGAACACTTGCTGCTGCATTGAAGTTTCAGCGGCCGGGCAAAGAATTGGCCGCCGGTGGGTCGACGATCAGCTGGTGCGGTCCTATGAGTCATCATTAGTGGGGGTTTCCACTCGGCCGGCGGCAAAACGTTTTCCCTCCGGCAAAACAACGGGCTTTCTAAATTAATATTTTCTTATAACGGAAAGTTTCCTTTTTCATAATTTCTCCCGGTTAGAGGAAAGTGCTTGTTACTCGCTTTGGTCGACATTATGTAGGTGCTAATTACATAGTAATTATCATGTGAATCTCATGGAATTTAAGTAGTGGATATGTTCAATAACTTGGTTGGATAAGTACACTACCAGTTACCACCCTATGTCTAGGGATGGCAAAAATATCCGTAACCGTGGATATCCACCCGAATCCGGCCTAATCGGGTAGGGTAAAACCCGAACCCGAAGGACATTTAGTGGGTACGGGTAAAACCCGAACCCGAATATTGCGGGTAATGGGTGGTTATGGTTTCTAACTATCCAACCGGAACCCGCCCGATTATACGCATGCATGTGTATTTTCTCTAGAAATAATTATTATTGTCCCTAACATATTTTATATTTAGCATATAAATATAATATTTTCATGAAATTGTGTTGTTTTAGTTAATTTTCTTCATTCTAGTGAACTATTGTCGTACTTTTCCTCTTACGTAATGTGAGAATACGTGTGAATGTTAACATATTGGTTGGAGTTATAAAGAGAAATTATTATCCATGAATAACCGTGGATACCCGAAACCCGAACGGGCATGGGCATGGTTTTATTTTTGTACCCGTTTCGCATGTGGGTATGGGTAAAACCCGAACTACTTCGGGTAGGGTAACGGATATGCACTATCCGTCCCCGACCCGACCCATTGCCATCCCTACCTATGTCTCACCCTATGTCTGGGTGGTATATTTGCAAACTCAACTTAAACCACAAACATTCTGCTTCTATTCATAAAAAGTATTACCAAACTTCAACAACCCTTCTACGAGTTTGAAGTTGAGTGTTTTTTTTACTTTTTACCCCAACACTGCCGAACTTAAAATTCAGATGACAAACCACACGTGAGTACTTGTTGTCTTAACATATTTGTTATTTGTATGTACAAATAGTGGCAAAAAATTAAAAAATAAAAACCTTACATCTTGAACTTTTCAATCTAGTACAACACTTTTGTCTTGCCAAAAAGTGACCTAAAAAAACTCGATTACCAAATGGAATAACTGTGTCGACGACGGTTCAAACACATTGATGAGTAGCTTTCTTTTAACTTGGTTCTTCAAAACTATCAATAACTTCCAGATTAACTCGTACCAATCATACAAACCGAAAATGTACCCCGAAAATTTTCATCTCAAAGAAAATAAATAAAATCCACGTCAGACTTCCCCAAATCTCGGCTATAAATACCCACCCGCCATTTCCCCCCACAACCACATTAAAAATTCAACACTCTCTCTTTTCTACTCATTTACTCTTTTCTTTCTACAACCGCAAGAATGCCTCCACCTGAAGCTCTAAACCCCAACAACACCATGAAGCCACTCAACGTCGAAACCAAACCACCGTCCAACGGCCACCTCGCCCCGCCGCCGGAGGACGCGCTGCCGTCCACCACCACCACAAAATCCGCACTCTACGCCTACAGAAAAATCATCCTCGTGGCCTCCATCGCCATCGGGCTCCAATTCGGGTGGGCCCTACAGCTCTCCTTGCTCACGCCTTACGTCCAGCTCCTCGGGATCCCCCACAAGTACGCCGCCCTCGTCTGGCTCTGTGGGCCCATCTCCGGCATGATCGTCCAGCCACTCGTCGGCTACTACAGCGACCGCTGCACCTCCCGCTTCGGCCGCCGCCGCCCCTTCATCGCCGGCGGCGCCGCCTTCATCCTCGTCGCCGTCTTCCTCATCGGCTTCGCCGCCGACATCGGACACGCCGCCGGCGACGACCTCTCCAAGCCGTCCAAGCCCCGCGCCATCTCCGTCTTCGTCGTCGGGTTCTGGATCCTCGACGTCGCCAACAACACCCTCATGGGCCCCTGCCGCGCCCTCCTCGCCGATCTGTCCGGGACCAGTCAGAAGAAGACGCGTGTCGCCAACTCGTTCTTCTCCTTCTCCCTCGCCGTCGGCAACGTGCTGGGTTACGCCGCCGGGAGCTACAGCGGCCTCTACAAGATCTTTCCATTTACCAGGTAAGATAGTTAGTAAATACTCTGCTCAACTAATTTCATTTTTTTTCTTGATGACTCATATATTAAACACGAATAAAATCATACGTTTAATATCTATACATTTAATGATTTAATTTGCTAACTTAATTATTTATATATTTGTTAAAGATTGACGCACGTATTATTAAACATACCATTAGTTTAGAGATGAAATAAGATGCAGTAAAATACTCGTACGTAGTTTATATGTAACTTAACGCGTGCGTATTTTACCTACAGGTCCCAAGCGTGCGACGTCTACTGCGCAAATTTGAAATCATGCTTCTTGATCGCCATCACGCTCCTCCTCTTCTTCGCTTCCATCGCGATCTATTACGTCACCGAGCGGCCGATTTCCGCCGACGGGAAGTTCGTCGCCGGAACCGGCGACGGCGACGAGGAGGAGGATGAAGTTGAGGAGAAGTCGGCGGCGGTGGCGCCGCCGACGTCGTGCGGCGGGGTGCCGTTCTTCGGGGAATTGTTCGGCGCGATGGCGAACATGAAGAAGCCGATGATCGTGCTCCTGATGGTGACGGCGCTGAACTGGATCGGGTGGTTCCCGTTCTTCCTCTACGACACCGACTTCATGGGGCGGGAGGTGTACGGCGGGGTTTCGAACGGCGGGACGGCGGCGGAGCTGAGGATGTACGCGCGCGGGGTGCGCGTGGGGGCGCTGGGCCTGCTGCTGAACTCGGTCGTCCTCGGGTTCGCTTCCCTCGGGATCGAGACGTTCAGCCGGTGGGCCGGCGGGGCGAACCGGCTCTGGGGTTTCGTCAATTTTATTCTGGCCGGTTGCTTGGGGCTGACCGTGTTGGTCAGCAAGCTCGCCGATTCGAACCGGCAGTACGGCGTGGGCGGCGTCCTGCTGGGGCCGACCGCCGGGGTTCAGGCGGCGGCGCTGCTTCTGTTCGCGGTGTTGGGTATTCCTCTGGCGGTAGGTTTTTGTTTTCATTTTCCGGATTCCGTAAAAAACGGGGCCAAAAGTTTCTCGTGACTTTCCAAAAATATTCTTTTTAGAATTTCTGTTAATTCTTTCTTTGGAGTAAGGAGTCAACATTTTGGATAAAATAACATTTTGGTCGTGGTTTGGTGTAAATCCTGGCGAGACGACACGTGGGCTATATAGCTGGTTAAATGTTAATTAATCTGCAATTAAGATTCTAATTGGATATTTATTTCAAAGATGTGCAGTTATTAACAGTTTTTTTTTTCTTCTTTTTTCCCATTATGTGCAGGTGGCTTTTAGCGTTCCTTTTGCTTTGACATCAATATTCTGCAATGAAGCTGGTGCAGGACAAGGTAAACTAAAACGTTCTTGAAAATTATATTTAATTAATTTAACTATAGTAATTTAACTAATTTGTCGGCTAATTCTTTTTGCCTAACTAGCTAGCTAGGTATTTATTTACCTATTATTATTGATTCAATCTGGCCATACCTTATATTATCTTCTTTATATTGTCAGGACTTTCAATAGGAGTATTGAATCTTTCTATCGTCATCCCACAGGTAACATAACAAATACTTATATTATTTTATGACATTAAAACCTTTTTCCCTACCTATCAAGATTAATTCTTCTTGCTATTTAATTTTGAAAACAAAAAGATGGAGACCATGGATAAACCAACAAAATTTAAACGGAAAGCGATGTGTTGACTGCACTATGATGTATCGTTCGTATTAGTATGGGTCAACACCATTTCATCTCAAGTTGTGCAACTATACTAACAGTAACAGAGGTTCCTGTTACTGTTAGTATGTGCCGACCCCATTTCATCGTCGAATCGTGTTTAAGTCGGCTTAAATTGCACAAAGTAACTAAACGATGAAATGGTGTGAACCCTTACTTAATTACTAGGGTATTATATCAAAATTCAGCTGGATATTTAATGCTACGTGAGGTCGTTATCAATCAATCCATTCATCAAACAGAACTTGACCTAAATGGACAAAAACATTAATTTAATGAATGTTGTCGGAAGGCGATCGAGTTGGCTAAGTTGTCCCACCACGACGGTTCACGAGCCCAGCTAGCTAACATGGTTCCAATTCCATTGAAGGATAAAAAATAAAAAAAATTTGTTTTTATCACTCGAATACAAATTACAAAGCCTGTTCCATTCCTGTTCTATTCCATTTTTGTTTGAACACTGTGCTGTTGAAAGGGCAAAATGAAGACAAGATATCAGCATCGAGCCAACAAAACCAGTTCACATTTTTATTAACAATCTACCAAGAATTCCAAAATATATATATTAAAAATATGAGTAATAAATAATTTTGTGTCGAAATCGTAATTTCATCGTTTTCTACTATTAAAATCGTAATTGTATGTTGGATTACGATTCAATTTTGCAAACACTGTAATTTAATCACCAATTAATCAAACTAAATAACTAATTATATGAGCATCTGATGCTGGAAGTGTCAAAATCACGTGTTGTATTAAGTCAAAGTTTAGACGCTAAAAGGTGAAAGGGACGAGTTCTGATATGTGGGTCTTAGTAATAGCTGGTTTTTTGTTTGCAAAGTCTTTATCTACCAGCTGGAATATTAATTAATAAATATGCTTAATAATAATTAACCCAAAAAAAAAGCTCGGGTCATAATTAAGTTGTTTGGTTAAGAAAAGTATATTTCCACTCATCCTAACCACGAACACAGCACACAATATTGTACTGGGTGATCATAGATTAATCGAAAAGCTGGATTTGGCTTTTAGGGCTTCCATCATATTGTTGAGTTTGTAGCCAATTATTACATATATGTAAAAGTTTGTTTAATTAATAACAATTTTTTTGTTTAATATTTGGGGGGTTTGCATTTTGGACCATGCAGTTGGTGGTGTCGTTGCTGGCTGGACCGTGGGACGCTCTGTTCGGCGGGGGGAACTTGCCGGCGTTTGTGGTCGGAGCGATCGCGTCGGCCTGCAGCGGACTATTGGCCCTAACGATGCTCCCATCTCCGTCGCCCGAAGCCGTCGGGAAAGTCGCCGTCGGCGGCTTCCATTGATGACGAACTAGTCATCACAATTAGTTACCTACCTCAGAATCAACACCTCCTTTTTCTGCTTTTTATATATTACTTCTTTTTGATTTGTATAATTCCCCCATTACATTACATCTGTCACGAGCCAGAAGTGGCCTTTCTCGCTTTGATGGCGATCTCCCTTTCGTCCTTCCGGCCACCACCTAAAAGAGATCATAATTCTCCATGTGCATGCCCTTTTTTTGTCGTCATGATTATTGGAAGGAAAGTTATATAAAATGTTAAGCACGTGAATGCATATGATGGGTTCGTGAAAGTTGTTTCGATCCCATAAATGTTGCGGCAAGAGTAGTGGTGTTACATGCTACGTACGATCCATGGAGTATATTTGGAGGAACTTGGAAGAGGAGTACGTATTAATTGCTAAACTAACTAGGTACGAAATTGATTCATTAATTGCCCCCATTAAGTTCTAACTTAACTAATTATATACGTACACATGGTTCTAAGTTAACTAATTATATATATCGTATTAATTGTTTAACTTAAGCGTCAGGCATAGACGCTCTTCTAGCGTCCCACTTTCTACTAGAAAGAAAGGTAAGAAATTAATAATAATAAATTCTTATGTCTTCAACTAGAGAAATAAATTGCCGAGCAGAGCCGAGTTTTGATCTAACTCGGGCTAAACTCGTCAATAAACGAGTTGAGTTCGAGTTTGGTTCTTTACAGAAATCTCAGGTCGTGTTTGACTAGATCTTGACTCGGACTCGTGCCATTAATAAGCTCTCATGAATTATCACTTAGTTCGTGAATTCGGCTCGAGCTTATATATAATATTATTTATTTCATAAAAATTAACTTTGCATATAATGTTATTTAATAATAAATGTATACTGTCTAGGAAATCTCTGATACATATTTTATCTTTTAAATTATAAATGATACATTCTTGTTCACATACTCATAGTATTAAATATTATATGCATTGAGATATATCTAATTTAACAAACCTATGAATTATCAACAAGTCATCCATAATCTATAGTGATTTTATCATAAGACGCTAATCGGGCTGGCTCGCACACTATGAGCCAACTCATGAGCTCATAACTAGGCATCTCACTAGTTGAGTTCAATAAGCCACCTAGTTGAGTTGGTCCACGAGCCTTGTGAGCTGAATATGATATAGCTTTACGTCTGCTCATTAATAAGCTCGGCTCGGAAAAAAAAACTTGTATAACATTCAACTCATTATTAAATTTAGCTCATTTACTAATGAGTCGAGTGTCAAACAAAAAATTTTCGAACCAAAAATAGAGTCGCTTGTGAACAATTCCACTAATTTGTACTCCTATCTTCTACAGATTCACTGTTACTTCATTGGGGCTGGGGGGAAGAGGGTTTCTTCCATAATAGATTTGGGCCGAGTCCCAAGGCCAAGGCCCACTTATTTTATTTAAAAAAAAATATAATGCAGTTACCGTTGCTCTTTCTAACAATCATATAGCAAAATTGCGTTCCGCAAGCCAAATCCGCCGCTAGTTGTGCCTTCCAGGTGTTCGATAAATTGTCTAGCCCAATGTTTCCCCGATGCCGGCCAAAGTTTAGACTTGTAGGCGTCTTTCAGGGCCCAGAAGCTCGCTCATCCTTCAGTATATTTCCTTCGGCCCAAAGCACTGCTTTTCCAGGGAAATATCAACAGTCTTTCAGTTGATTTCAGTTGATTCATGTAACACTAACTCTGTTTCAATGCCTCATGTGTGCCACCGGACAAACTCTGTTTCAGGCGTCTCGGTACCATCTTTCCAGCTATTGGCAGCGAATGTTTGGTCTTTGTTGATCGTGAAATAGTGAACATGTGATTGCCATTTTCTTGCTTCTGCAGTTACGAATGGCAAGCAAGTGGGTTGGCGGGCAATACATGGTAATACCATTGGCTACGAAGCACAGACCCTTATGGAAATTTTATGTGCAGTGCGCGATGTGTAGTTACGCAGTTTTATGGTATGTGCTTGCTTCTACTTTCAGTGTTCTGAAAAGTTTTGAAAAGGGGAAAAGGAAAGTAAAGATTACGGATGAACTGGGCAAATCATATTGTAGTTCTTGCAATAGGCACAAAAGGTACTGATTGTCTGCAATTTAGATTCTTCTGGTGTGTAGCTGGTTCGCTTTCTCGTTTTCTAGTGAGGAGCTGGTTGCTTTAATGGTGGGCAGGGACCCGAATTCAATGATCATGGGGGAGGTTTGATCATGAAAGTACATAATGTTCACAGTTCAGGTTACCCCATATCAGATGTTATTAGATGTATCAGTAGGCAGATCTTTTATCTAATCTTTGTTGGTTAGGTTTAGAGACCTTTTAGGACCCTCTACTGTATTATCATCTCTTTTGTGTCTTCCCCTCTTCATCCTGTCATGTTTTCCTTTCTGGTGATACTTTCAGTTAGATATTTTTATCATGACATTCCATTGAGTTCCCTTTTCTGCTTTATGTTAGGCCATTTATATAGCTTGGTACTTTGAAAACCCAAGATAGCGTGTCATGAAGAACTTGTAGCTGTTTAGACTTTAGATATATGAATGCTTGTAAGGTAGTACAATTTCAGCTTCCATTTACTTGTTGTATTTTTGGTAATGTCTTTTTCCTTTTGGTAGTATGTTCCTGCTTAAGAAACAAGTGAACATGTATGCGAGTAAACTGACAGGGTGAGTTAACTGCTTATTTGTGGCAGGTGCAACTCTAGTACATGGAAATCTCAGACTCCAAGAGGTATACTGGCAATGAGACAGCAGCTATCTGAGGTGACCAAAGCCTTGCGCCTCCAAAAAGAACAGTTTCTTCATAATGCTTACATTTCCTCTTCTGCAAACGAGGTAAGATTGGTAGATAAAACAACCTACATATGTCTTGTTATGATGTGTAGATTGCTTGCATACCAAGTCAGAAAGAATCAATTTGCTTAGTGGTTGCTTTCAGTTTTCGCCATTAGAAGTGAGACTTAAAGACAGTGTTCATTAATACTATCTGTGGGCCTGCGATGGTCTGATCTAACATTACTAGGAGCATTGTATCCTTCGATGAACATGGAACATGAGGTCTTTATCATCCAACAAAGATCAATGTTGGTTCTCTTGGGCAGGAATCAATGGTCACTCTCCTGTTTACTGATATCTTCAGGCTTAATCCTGATTGGATCCTGAGTATGTCTGAGTCACTATTCTTCTAGCAGATTTTCCAACGCACAGTCCAATAGCTAGAAGTTCAGTTCCTTTTTCTCTTGGCCCCAGCTTGCAAACTCCTTTTGATAACATAGCCAGCCTTGTCTATTGGCATCTTCCGTACTTTGCCATTTGCATTATTGCTACTTATTAGCTGGCTAATTCGTTGATTAGAAGGCACCATTTCTATAGCCAAGACGACTATATAATCATTTTAGTACCTTTAGATCACATATCTTTTTACATAACAGACTCAATGGAACATCTGGTTCAGAGTATAGCAAATCATTACAAATTATTCGTTGTCTAAAAAATAATCAATGAACTATATTTGCAAGAATCTACAAAACTTTTATGTACTCTAGCTAGTAGCTAGGGGGATCTTATTAGAGGTTCAGAAGATCTTGAGAAACTTGAAGATCGAAGTTCTGTGTTTCGACTAGTGATTGATCTCTTGCCATGGCAACTTCCCTTGTCAGAATCTGTCTCGGTTGCCTGTTTGATCTCCATTAGCATGGCTGTTACATCTTTCATGGTGGGTCGTTCACCTGGTGAAGGATTGACACAAAGTAGGGCCACACCGAGCACCTGAAGCATTTCTTGCAGTTGGGTACCTGATCTAACAAGTAGTTGCTGGTCTAGTACTGTTGTGAACTCCCTTTTCCTCTCTCTCAGTTCTTTGTTAACCCAGGTCACAATATGGGCTCCTTCAGGAATTTGGCTATCCGTTGGCTGCTTCCCAGTTAGGATCTCCAGAAGCACCACTCCATAGCTGTAAACATCGCTCTTTGCTGTGATCCTCAAACTGTATCCATATTCTGCAAGATAATTTCATGTTTGATCAGCTTCTTTCCAAAATTTATGCTAATAATGCTCTGGGGAATTAGCAAACCTTTGCTTTTACTTACCAGGAGCAATGTATCCATAAGAACCTGCTACCGTGTTCGAGACTCTCGAATCACAATCTGCAGAATCAATAAGCTTTGCAAGTCCAAAATCTGCTATAAAAGCTTCGAAATCCTGTCCCACAAGGATATTGTTGGCCTTGACGTCACGGTGAACAATTGGCGGAGTGCAATCATGGTGAAGATAAGCCAAACCATGAGCTGCACCCAAGATAATGTTATACCTTGCTTCCCACTCAAGAAACTCTTTCCTCTCGTGAAGCAATCCAGCCAAACTTCCATTGCTGATGTAGTCAAACAGTAGCAGTCTGGTCTTCCCGTTTTTACAGGACCCCAATAGTCTCACAATGTTCTTATGCCTGATAGATCCCAGTGCTTTAACCTCTGCAGAGAAGAAGTCTCTTTGTGTTGCAGCCTCTCCTTTCTTGATCGGCCACAGCTTTTTCACCGCTACCACCTGTTTAGTTGGTGTCTCCACACGGTAAACCATGCCTGAACCACCCTTTCCAACTACATTTGCATCCGAAAGCCTCGTGACAATATCAGTGACTGTGAAATTAACTTTCTGGAACGGGGTGAAATCCCAGTACTCGATCGAGTTCTCCTCTTCACTGTTATTCTTACATGAAGTTCCATTCACTTTGATGAACAGAATTACTGCTGTTACTATGAACAACAATGTGAGAGCTAAACCCAAGAGAGCACATATGATGAGGTTTCTGTTTCTGGTGATGAAGTTCTTGCCATGTTGATTCGGCCTTCTCAAGGGGCACTTATCGGTGTTGTTGTTGTTTCTTCCTCCAATGCAGAGATCTTGGTTGCCAGTATATGCAGATGGAGGAAGATCTTGGAACAGCTTGGTGTTGGGAAGAAACCCTGAGAACCTGTTGAATGATACATTCAAGGAAACAAGATTCTCTAGACTGGCTAGTGCATCAAGTGTTCCAGTGAGCTTGTTGTGAGAGAGATCTAAGTTGGAAAGCTTTGAGAGGTTAGAGAAAGTTTCTGGAACTGGACCTGATAGAGAATTCCAGCTCAAATTCAGAAGGATCTCTAGGTCTTCCAGCTGACCAATCTCAAGAGGGATTGGACCTGTGATTCTGTTGCTGCTCAAATCCAACAACTGAAGATCTCGGCATAGGCCAAGTGAGTGAGGAATCGTACCAGTAATATAGTTCCCACCCAATATCAGCTTGTTCAAGTTTGTAAGTTGGCCTATATTCTGAGGTATTCTCCCAGCTATCTGGTTGCTTGACAGGTCTAGAATGTTTAGATTGACGAGAAAGTCAACTGATGCAGGAATGTTGCCTTGAAGCTTGTTCCCATGCATGTCAACCATCTGTAGCTGAGTGCAGTTGCCAATTTCAGGTGGGATTTTTCCCGCAAAATTGTTGCGTGATAATTCAAGGAAGCTCAAGCTACCCAGAACGCCAATCTCTGGTGGGATTCTGCCAGTGAAATTGTTTGATCCGAGTCGTAATCGGATCAAACCAAGGCAATTGCCAATATCTGGCGGAATCTCCCCTGAAAGCCCATTTGATATCAATAACAGCTGGCTCAAGTTCTTGAGGTGAAAGAGAGAATTTGGAACTGACCCAGTTAGGAGATTGTGTGAAAGATCCAAGGCTTCAAGTTTTCTGCAGTTTGCTAGCTCCTCAGGTATTTCTCCTTGCAACTTGTTCTGCCAGGCGTAGAACAAAGAGAGCTCACTCAATTCTCCTATGGTGGAGGGGACCTCCCCAGAGAACAAGTTGTTATCTAGCTCAAGCTGCTTTAGACCAGAGAAGTTGCCGATGAAGGATGGGATTATTCCTGAAATCTCGTTCTCGGATAGAAGGAACTCTGATAAAGCTACCAAATTGGCAAACGATGAAGGGATTTCTCCTGTCAATGAGTTAATAGAGAGATCAATCACTTCCAGACCTGAAAGATTCCCCAGAGCTTGTGGAATGCTGCCGGTGAGATTGTTCTGCCACAACAGCAGCCTCTTCAAGTTCTTCAACGAAGCCAATTCATAAGGTATCTCGCCGGTGAGTTTGTTCTGATACAGAAACAAGTTCTCTAATGCGGAGCAGTTGCTAATTTCAGCTGGAATCTCACCGGTGAGACTTGCTGTGTAGACTGAAAGCGTCTTCAGATTCTGCAGCTCACCCAAACTACCTGGAAGGCTCCCTGAAATCCCTGTATCTGCCAATCCCAAGAACACCAGGCTTCTGCAGTTGGATAGCTGAAACGGAATTTCTCCTACTATCCCCGAGTTCCCACCAGCGCGGAACTTCTCCAAAGATGCCAACTTTCCAATCTCAACTGGGATCTTTCCAGAAAGCTTGTTGTCAAAGAGTTCAAGCTCTCTGAGGGATGAACAGTTCCCAATCTCTGCTGGTATTTGACCCTGCAGTGAGTTCGAGTTCAGTGACAGAAGCTGGAGTTGAGGCAGCTTTCCAACCTCCGCTGGAATTCTCCCTGTCAAAGCATTGTAACTGAGGTCTAAGACGACGAGAGAGGAGAGATTAGCTATGGAGGTCGGGATTTCTCCAGTGAGGTTTGCTCTGGAAAGGACAAGGCTTGTGAGGTGGGTGAAAGAGAGGACTTGAATAGGGAAGCTAGTGGGAAGATCAATGGACGAGATTATGATTTCTGAGACAAACCCATCATTTGAACATCTGATGTAGTCCCATCTGCATGGGTTGGCGTGGTTTTGATCCCATGAAGAGAACGAAATTGAAGTGGAAGAAGAAGAGTTGAAGGTTGATAGCCATGAGAGTAAGGAGAGCCCTTCTTGGTTCAAGGCAGTTATGGCAGTAGGGTAAAGAGAGAAGATGTTTAGGAACAAGAGGAAAGCTGTAATGAGCCTAGTGCCATTTCTTGACATCGTTTTTGGTAAGTGTACTGGCTTTTGCTCTCTTTTAGGCGCTCATCACTGTTTTGTTCTCTGAAATCTTTCTGAAACTTATAATGGATATGAATGCCCTTGCTTTTCAAGACCTGGTTTACTGATGAGCTTCTCTTTTCTGGAATGACCTTGAAATCCTAACAGTATTTTGGTTGCTTTTGTAGAGGAGAAGAGATTGGTTGGCGACAGGTTAGGTGCAAAATCCTGGTTAAGACAGGGTTGATAAAAAGGGGAGCTGAACATCTCTCCATCTTTCCTTTTTCTCCCCTGCAAGTGACTTGACAAGTTTGTTCTGCTGCACTCTCTTTGCTTTTGCTGCCTTTGCATCGTTTTCGTGGGGCTTGGATTTTGTCGTTGTTATGTAATGATGTATGGTGTTGGGGTATCATCTGGGCAGAGTAGGGCACATTGGATTGAACTCTGCTGTAAAAAAATACAGGTAGTTTTGGTAAAGTTTTGAAGAAGATGCCACTGTAAATGTACGATGGCTAAGTTCCAAATAGAAGATCCTTTGGCTGTGAGAGTGACACTGGGATGTATACATCATTTTCTCAATATTATGATGTTGTTATCTGCTTTTTGCCGGATTGTATGATACTTCTGGCTTGAGATATTGAAATGAGTAAATGATACGCGCATTTGTCATATATTATGGATTTTGGGTATTAAGGTTTAATTTTACTTGAAATTTTATCTTATGACGATTATTAGATGAATTTGCGAAGGAAGTAAGTTTCAGAAATACTTAAACTACAAGCGAATTGTAAATGATTTTCTTGTAAAATTCACATATTCTATTGATCATTAGTATATAATAGGGAGGAATTTTACAATGCTATATAGTATTGGTGTTATAGGTTTTTGTCTTTATGGTACAACTTAAAATTGTACATTTATGTTATGGTACAATTTCAGATTGTACCTATACTGTTTGTACAAATTCTTTTATGGTACAACTTGAACTTGTACCTTTATGTGATGGTACAACTTCAAGTTGTAAAGTTGTACCATAACATAATGGTACAAATTCTTTTATGGTACAATCTAAACTTATACATTTCATGTTATGGTACAACTTTAAGTTGTACATTAAAGTACCAATACTATATAGCATAGTAGAAATGCTCTATAATAGGAGGTTGATATTGTTTTGGATGATCCAAAATGATAATAACGATGTTGGTTGTGTTGTACACATTCAAAATCGATGGTGTATCATAGAGATGCCGAAAATATAAAAAGTGAGTGTATGTATTTCTTAACATATATTTTGTTTGGGATGAAATTTGGGTTCTTCCTTCATTTGTTGGTTTCTATTTGTTAACCATTGTTTGAGGCCCATCACTTGTTATTGTTTATCAGTAAGGCAAAAGTGGTTCTGATACAATGATTGTTCATCTTTGTGAATGGAAACGCACAACACAACAATCCGAATTGGAAAAGGACAGAAGAAAACAACGACAACAATACAACACCACACCCAAATGGAGATGGACTCCACAACCCTTTTTCCTTTGATATGTGTAGTTATGGTAACCTCTCAATATCATATGCTCTCATGAATTGGAAGAAGAAGAAAAAAATAAAACTTCTATATACTCATATTATTATTTATATACTTGTGTCTGAAATTTTTGTAAGACAAAAGCTTTAAAACAAATGCCAATATCCTCCTTTGGAAGAAACCAATAAGCAAAGTCCTTCTCCATGCATGCACCTTGCCTTTTCCTTCATTTTCCAACTATATACTATAGTAATTATCATGTTCACCAAGGAATGAACTTTAATTGCTTCTCACATAAGAAAGAAATTATGATCACTACTATGGGGTTGTTTTCTAGCTCTTATCTAAAGAATGAAATCATAAGGAAATTAGTTGCAATTTGATAGAATTTTGGTTGAGCTTTTGTACGAAGGAGAGACTGATGAGATCATAGTGAACCGACTCTCACGCAAAAGTGAGGCATGTGTGGAAGAAACTTGCTTAGTAATGAAACCTAGAAAGTCCAGTCCATAGATGATCAAGTAATTAAGATACGAAGATTTATTCAATAGTCTAAAGAACAGAAATATGATGAGTGGCTATCTCTTCCAGGCGGGTATCCAGCTGATTGTCCATGTAGTAGTATGTAATTTCAATATATTTCCCGATCGTTCCTTACTGCCAAATTTGCTACCCCTTGCATATCTCTATGAACCATACATGTAGGTAGACTCATTCCTACAAAATAAAATTCGTTTTCTAATACTACAGGAATCGAGGATGCTAACCCGTCTCACGACATTCGTCAATCGAACTGTCCAAATGCTTAGCATATCCTCTTGAGGTGACAAAAACACATCCCAGGATTCATTAATCTCTGAGAACTATTCATGCCCAGGCTTGAATCGAATGAATTGTTAAAAGCTCATTAGGCATTTCTTAACCTTTGAATCTTAATCATCCAGAAACAAAGACCAATTCTTCATGTATTATCAGACATGGGGATGGCTCATTTTTTTCCTAGCTAAGGGCCACACACACATGTGGGAAAAGAGTATGGACGGCCTTCACTCTCCCAATCAAAGCTTTTTCTATCTTATCCGTCACCCTCTGTTTTGGCTTGGCTTCCCCCGACCACAAAAGTGTTACATTTTGCGATTATCTTTCACCCCTTACATCTTATCTTTACTTCCCAATTGGTTAAACGTCAAGAAAAAGATCTTATATCAAAAGGAGTTGACATCACTGTCTGTTCCTCCATCGTTGGTAACAAGCTGCTAACTAGCAAGTTGGTTTTTGGCATGAGATCAGAGTCCTGCTTGGATCCCGATAATCTCATCCACATGGTGGTATAAGGACTTGTGCAAAAGTTCAAGTTCATATGAGTCGACTTTCGTTTGATGGGGTGTGTTAATAAAATGGTATGTTATCTATGATTGAACTTCTCTCAACAACTCGAATTATTGAGACGAACGGATTCTTGACAACGCTCCTCCATGTAAATATCTACTTGTAATGGGTTTAAAATGTTTTTTTCTTTCTTAAACATGAACAGAGGGCGCTCATATCTCACACCAAATGAGTTCAATGAATCCAACTCTTGCTACGTCCGGTCATGGGGATTCGGAATACAAAATCTTTCGGTCAAAAAAGACTCTTCTACCATATCATAAACCAGTTGATTTCAATAGCGCAAGTTGTTGAGAGAGAATGAGAAATTGAATAATCAAATCTTATACCACTCACGTACTAGACTCTTAAATGAAAGATGGAGAAACCAATAATTAAGGAGGATAATTATCAATTAAGCATCTAAAAAAGCAACAACATGCATGACACCAAATCTTTGTAAGATCAATACGTGTGGCAAATAATGCACAGGCTGCAACGAAATCAACAAGAGGTGATGCCCCCCACACGAACAATTTAATCAAAGAGAAAATGTCAAAAAGGCTTAATTAATGGATTGAAAACAAAACAAACACAGGGAAAAGGTAGAAATAGAAAATGAAATCTCATCCATCAGCTGGGGTCTGTCTCCTGTGATTTGAATGCAGAAAAACTACTTGATGAATTAATAATTGTCATGGAGAAGAAAAAAGAAAGGAAACACACAGGACGAAACTATATGCGTTGTGGAAGGTGGGAGCAGGCCATTCCCCCAACCATTGCATGAAGCAGATTCTTGCGCAGAATGCCTTTATTCGTGTCGCCTTTACTCATCGCAGGAACAACAAATGTGTTGATTGGGTCGCCAAGGAAACAAGGAGCGGCTCCCTCCCTCTTGAGTGGATTCATCTTCTTGATTTGATCTCTCCTCTCCTATAATTGGCAAAGCTTGTACCACAATCATTCAGGAATGAAATTTAACCAATTGTAAAAAAAAAAAAAAAAAACCATTGCTTGTGCCCTTAACTATCAAAGTTACGCCTTCCCAAGCAAATTGTTTGGGGGAATGGTCAGTGACCATTAAGAAGGGAGAACACAAGCAAGTCATTCCACATATGAGCATTTGCAGGAATGGCAATGGACAGGTTTCATGATGATGATATGAGTATCTCGATATTCATATTCGTCCTGTGCATTGCCCGATCTAGTATAGGTTACAGCACTGAGCCACATTTGAAAAGACGCGGAGAGGATTGGGTCGTAATCCGACGAGCACCGAAACTAACACCGAAAATCGAAGATTTACAAGGCCTATACTAGCTCTGGATCCAGGAAAGGGTTGTGGTCGTGGCTCGGGGGGGGTGGCCCCCTGGATCCTCCGCTGGTCCCGTGGTAACTTGGGGAATTTATCATTAGATGTGGGTCGGCACAGGTCGATTCATATGGGTATGTAATTTAAAAGAAAACTATTAGAATTATTCATTTTTTCGTTAAAACACCAAGAAACAAACTTTAATATGATAAATGTAGGTCAATTCTTCGACAAATTGAGGTTCTCACATATTTACAGTTTTATTATAGCTAAAATATGAGGTAATAGAAGTAAAATTATATGTAATTTAGACAAAAATAGATCGAGAATAGGGTGGATCACGACAGGTCAGGTCGAGAAGAGTACCCATGCCTGCTATGTCCCGCCTACAATACAGGCCAAACAACTCAAGTTGAAATTTCCATCCCTATATGGGGGTATAACTACACGCTATTAATCGCATCCCTATATGGGGGTATAACTACACGCTATTAATCGCATTACTATTATTATGTATTTGCCATTAGATAATTAGGGTTAAGACAACTACATAGACTTTCGGCTGTCCGGGCAAATGTGGGGTGCCTCCGGAAACATCATGGTAACTGTAAGTATCGAACTTGGGACCTCTCAGTCACTAATCCGCCTCCCTTACCGCCAGGCTATGTGACATTTGGCAACCTATAGTTATTAGTTTTCCTCTGTATGCTTAGCTTAACTTAGCGTAGAAGTAGAATAGTTATTTATCAATTGATATCAGAGTGGTTGATCCACGATTCGATTACGTCCTGTGGGTGTTGCAAGGGAGAAACAGCCGCCGCCCAAAGGAGTTTCAAAAGCATGGGTTAAGAAATACAAGGGGCTCCTGGGTTTGAAATAAAAAGTGCTTAAACTCTGAGATTTGGTGGGTGGAAATTTTCAAACCGCACCTCGAGGATTCTTGTGGGCTATATTAATCACTTTTGGGCCTCTTGGAATTAGACTCCGCCGTAACCTATGATGGGCCTTTGGGAGTTAGAGTTGACCATAACCTTTGGGCCCAGTCTAATTTAACAATACCAAGATTGTCAACCCGTGGATCGACTCCCGGGTCAACCCACTTTGATCCTGACCCGATGATAAAAACGGGACGCACGCACCCGCCGGGTCGACCGCTATAAAGTATCGGGTTGGAGGTCAAATTGTGTCATTTTTTTCTTTGGTTTGCGAAATGCGCCTATTTTTCGATTTTTCTTTTCGTTTAACTCACTCTTTGGAATCCTTAGTTGCACATTTGAATATTGATATATAAGTGTGTATGGATTTTCACTATATGTTGGATCTAAGTACGACATGTTACTTTGGTGTAATGTTATATGTTATTACTCATATGTTAGATGAGATTTGATATAATTTATCAGGATAAGTACAATATAATGACTCTTTTCATATTTTCGGGTTGAAACGGGCTAAAACGGGTGACCCATTAACCCTTGACCCACTAGCTCGACCGGGTCCGGGTCAACCCGCGGGTTGACAACCTTGAACAATACCCTCAACCGCAAGTCAATCAACAATACAAGCCACAAAAATTGGAAAATGCGAAACTACTTATACCGTCATTAGGCAACCTAGTTGATAGGAAAGTTTCACCGTTCCATAATTAATTATGAACAAGGGTTTGTCCTAGTGGTAATACCAGTAGTGTAAAATCTGGAGGTCCCAAGTTCGAATTACTTAAATAGTATTTTAATCATAGAATAGTAAAAACTTATATCATCCTTATCCAAAAAAAAAATATTAATAATTAAATATGAATTTTTGGATTTAGGTGAATGCCGAAAATTCAGATTTAAGGGTTGAGAATAGAAGGCTTTTTATTTTTTTCTAGTTTTCTTAATCGGCACTTATCTTCTTCGTTCTAACTTGAATTGTTTTAAAAAAAATTGCACAGATGGAACGAGTTTGTTGTACTCTACAAAATGAGATCCATTTTCAATATTTTTTTAGAAGGAAAAAAAATAATACCTCTCGTTACCAACTCCATACCATATGGTATCTCCTTCGTTTTAAAGTAGATTTTGAAAATATTTGCACAGAAACAACGAGTTCATCAGGATCTATTGGATCTACAAATTTCTGAGAGAAAAAAATACAAAACCAAATAACTATAATGTCTAGGGTAAATACTAATTAGTCAAACCTTTTCCTCATTGTTAAATATTAGCCAAACATATTGAATTACAAATAAATATCCAAACATTTTGTGACGCGTCAAAGTATAAGTTTTCGTCTGTATCGTAAATTATTTCTTAACAGTGCTCCACCTCAGCGTCCACGGCCGAAATCAATAACTATAATGTCTTTTTTATTATTATGCTTTTAATTTTATATTTATGGTAAATACTAATTATCAGCCAAACTTTTCCCACATTCTTAAATATTAGCCAAACCTATCAAATTAAAAAAATATTTGATGGTATATTGATCGCCACGTGGGAAGCAACTCAACATCGTGATACACTGATATTTAGTCAACATTACTAACGGAACTGTTAACGGGAAGTTAACATTTGGCTAATTAATTGTATTTCGACAAATTTAGTTAATATTTAAAAATATAGAAAAAAAATTTAGCTAATAATTAGTATCTACACTAAATACTAAAACAAACATGCAATCCAATAAACCACAAATCCATCAAATGTTTGAATTGCTTTCCCTTCATAATCTTTCATCTGGAGGAGCAGTCGTTTAGATTAATTGGAGGGTGGGTTCGATTACTAAGCTCTAAGGCCCATGCGAGAATATCCAATATTCATTTTCGATACCATAGTGCATATATAGTCCATAGATCATGAAGGTTTGATCTCTAATTTCTTTAACGCAATTGTTTTTAATAGACGGCAGAGTATAGGGTAGCACATTGTATTTTCTACTTTGTTTAACATGATTTGAAATGTAATTCATAAATTTGTGCTATACAATACTGTGTGTTTCGGATGCCATCTGTTATAAACGCGCTGCTATGGATCGGGAAATCGCTAGAATCGATAAAGCAAGAATACGAAAGCGAGAAACGAAAAACACAGACACACGATTTACGTGGTTCACTAACACGATGTGTGTTAGCTACGTCCACGGGCGAGAGAGAGTCAGTTTCACTATATCGAGGAGATTACAGATTACAGATGAGTATGAGAAGTATTTATAGTACTTCTCCATGTGGGTCTAAACCTAATCCAATATGGCAAAGGAAACGGTTACAGACCAGGCCCAAAACCCGAACCCAAATAACATTGAGCCCATACACCGTGGGTCGGGGGCGTTGCCCCTGGACCAAACTCGCTGACCGGGCAGCGAGACCCCCGATTATCAATCGTAACGACTGATAGTCCGATTCAAGTCACATCAACACCATCGTACCAACACTAGTCCGCCGGATGCTGATAAAAAAAAAACTATGTGTTTCAACTTTCAATGCCCCATATATATTCTGGGCCTTGTTTCCATGTGATAGGATAGTAGGATCATCCTCATATTCACCACTCAAAATATATGGCAAATCCAATTCCACGGGGGAAAGGAACAAAATCATGTGGGTAAAGAAACAAGATAGGTTTGCAATTTGCAACCCAGGGAGAATTTGGGGATGACAAATCAAAATATTTACTAATTTTAGTTTTTACTAAATTATACTTTTAGAAAATTGCATATTTCTATCAATTACATCATTGAAAATTACAAATTTATCTCTCCCTCCCTATCTATTATATCTTTAAGAATTCCATATTTATCTTTAAGAATTCCATATTTATTTCTCCCTAATCTCTCTCACTCCCCTTCTCTCACTTCTACTTCTCCTGAAGTCACTCATCCGTGAGACATTCTTACAGCCACTTAATCAGTGACGACAATACTACTAAACAGAAACCAATAAATTATATGCCAATCAATACCAAAAACACAAAAATCTGTGCGGCTATAAAAAACCAGTACCACTACAACACTAAACTACTACCAGAATAAAATAAAAAATCAAATATGAGTATATAAAAGTACTACTACATAAAAACCACTACTATAAAATATTAATAATAAATACGATGAAATTAAGCATAAAATAAAATGTTGTTAGCCTAGTGTAATTATAATGAATTTCGTCGGTTAATTGTTGTCGTTAGTAGTAGATCAAACAAAAGCTCGTGAGTCCTGATGAAGTAGTAGATCAAACAAAAGCTCGTGAGTCCTGATGAAGTAGTAAAATTTCTAATTATGGTTTGCCCACTTGCCACCCCCTACATAACAAGAGCAATCATTTATTTGCATACCCAGCTCACCTAAAATTTGTACTATACTTATCACTATCCTTATAATAAAGTCTTTGAAAAAGATGTGTGACAGGATGATTTATTTTTGGTTTAATGCTTGAGCACACTTGTGGCTAAGTGAGGTGGGGCGGCTGCTAGCTCTAGTGTATATAGTTGTTGATGTGACTTGAATCGGACTATCAGCCGCTACGACTGGTAATCGTATCAAAGCGTCCAAAATAATTGTCAGATCAGAGGACTCAGAAAGACTTGTAAGTCATCTGATCACAATCAAGTTGGGCAGTTGAAGTTTGTAACGAGAATTATAGGATGTCAGAGAGAGAAAATATCAACCGTGTTAAATGAGCGAACCTCCTCGCTATCGCAGGCGGAGTAAAATGGTTTTGGTTTCTATTATGGTAATGGTACTAGTGTACAATCTCAATCAAACGACAGCTGCAGAAAATGGCCACCAAAAGTAATTAAAAGCCGATCCTACATAGTTGTTGAATACATAATGAATGTGAGAGAGTCTCAAAATTATGAGGATATATATCACTCTCACCCATTAAGTTGCCGCCTAATAAAACCGTTCAAATATTGAAGGCCAACCACTTCTTTTTGCTCATTATGATGATCACTGCAGTAAATTAATCCAACTTTAAGAGTAGTGGACAAACTAATTAATTTTTACCAAAAAAAAAAAAAAGACAAACTAATTAACCACGAAAATTATTAAGAGAATGAAGAACGTGTATGAGTGGTATATTGATAAATATCTTTTTGCCAAGTTGATTGTACATCTACTAATTAGCTACCAATATGATTGATAAGATTCAAAGCTCCACCATGTTCCGTTTGCCGACTAGGGTTTCGTAATGTGTATCGAGAATTATAAACAAGGAAGTTTTTTTCCGATTTTTTTAAATGAATTATGGAGATGTGATTTGTCACTTACGATTATCAATTGGTAAGAGAAACAAGGTCTAAGAAAGTAATACTAGCTACTAGAAAGATTGTGCATCGACGATCTAGTTGTTGTTGTTGTTGCACCTTCCCTCTCACCTGGGGTACATACATATGTTGGTTACATTCGACATATCTTTTTCTTTTTATCAATGATGTACAGCTTGTCCATAGTAGATAGTGGGGTACATACATATGTTGGTTACATGTACAAAAGTTATCATGTCGTTAACGAGTACAGTCGCTTACTTCTTCGTCTTGTCGCCCACATGTAACTTGAGAACTGACAAGCCACAAACATACATGTGTGTATGTTCAACAAGTTTCATGTATACACTATTAATGTAAAAGTCTGTTCAGTAGTTTCATATAAACAGTTAGTAAAAAACCTAAATATACACGTCAAAACAAGCTAGCTCCAAGATGTTCTAACTGCAAAAAACATCTCTAATTTAGAACCTTTACTTAAAATGCCAAAACAAACCGGGCATAAGACTCGAAAGAATGACAGCGTTGTAACTGCAAATTCTGCCACAGTATAATATATATTCATCAAGGCAAAACCCTTTATTATTTCCAATAATTATGTTTCTGACAAATGGAGTAATTAATTAAGATCAATATATTTCCATTTCGGTGTGAGATAAATAAAATAGTAAGCTGTAAGAACTTTCCAGTAACTGCTGTTGACTCAAAGATGAAATATCTATAAAAAGAAGGTCAAAAAATGAGAAAAGAATTTTCAGATCTTTATTATATTAGTAATTTGTTGGAGGCTTAGCTAAGGAGTGGTGCGAAATGTCGTAAATGCCCTGGAACTGCTGCAGATCATAACAACCCCAATTGTTGGCAATCCCGAAATCCCCTGCATCAAACCCCTGCTCCTGCGGCTGCGGCGTTTCCCAGGCCGCCGTCGCCGGAACGGGATCGTTCCCCGCCGTCGACGACCACATAGCCGCCTCCAGCTGCGCCATCTCGTCGCTCAACAATGTCTGCAACCCAAGCGAATTAATCATGCTCTCCTGATGTTGATCTTCTCCGCCGCCGATCCCCGCCTCCAGAAACCCGTCTTCCCGGAAAAGATCAAAGAACTCGAACGAATTTCCAGCCGCCGCCGTCGGCGGGAACAGAAACCCATCCTGCTCGGCGCTCATCACCATCCCGCAGCTCTCCGGAGTCGACGAGATCGAATTCGAATTCGACCCCCCATCAACCAAACCCGGCTCCACCTTGGCCCCCGCCGAATCGGGGTTCAAGAACTTGGCGAAAACGACGGCCATATCGATATCCGATCCCGCCGCCGCCGTCGACGAGGAAGACGAGTCGCCGCTGCAGCTGCCCTTGTGGGTTTCCGGCGCCGCCGTGGGAGTTGCGCGGAGGGCTGCGGAGCGGGAGGATTTGGAGGAGCGGCGGCTCTTGCGGCAGCCGCCGCCGACGGGGACGTTGCGGAGGGAGCCGCCTTTGGTCCAGTAGCGGCGGCAGCCCTTGCAGAAGTATCGGGGCTGGGAGAGGCTGTAGTTGTTGTAGTAGCAGAATTTGGTGTTGGCGGAGGCGCATCGCGGGCAATCGGGAGCGATCTCGAGGTGGGGCTTCCAGTTCCTGTCGATTCCCTGCGGCATGAATTGGTCGCCGGAAGCAGAGGCGGCCATCATTTTTCTTGAAAGCTTGTAGGTACCCACCACCGGAAATCGATAAACAATTGAAGATCGGAAGTCGAAACAGAGTGAGAAGTTCAATTAGAGTAAAGCTGGTGGATTTTTGAGAGAGAGTGAGTGAGAGACAGAGAGATAGGAAGGGGATGAACTATGATTTTAAGGGGAGGTGAGGAAGGAAGGGTGGAGGGTATGAAAACGTGGGCGGTTGCGAGCCGTGAGGGAGAAGAAATGGCCGACGGGGGAAGAGAAGAAGAGGGCTGCTACTGAGCTAAAATATCTCTTGAAAAAATATCCTAAAATGCAAGATTTTTTTTTAAAATACTTATATAATAAGTTCACAATACAACATCTTATAACAAAATTTTCCAAAATATCAGAGTTTGGAGATCGGGCCGTACAAAGGCGAACATCGCCAAAATCCTAGTGGATGGCTAGACAGAGCAGCGAACCACATAGATTGCTGGATATAGCAACGAACTTGACAGATTATCCTAAAAAAATCGCTGGAAACCCCTGTGATCTTACATCTGAACAAGGCCGAAACTTGAATCGAACGTAACTTTGTGAGGATTTTTTTTCTTCGTTAACTCTTGCATTTTAAGATTTTTTTTTGTCATGCCGGTGGAATGTCGGTCGGTGCACTTAGTTCGACCTGTTCCGGTTACGAAACCGTCGTGAAATTCACTGGTATGACCGGCATGATCGTTTTACGACATCTAAGCAAAATCGAAATGACGTCATACTTGTGAATTGCAAGTAAATATGAATGTAAATTGCAAGTAAATTGTCTTCAGATATATTTTTATATGTGATTGAACTCATTATCTGATAATATTTTCACAATTCTACATATTTTGGAAAACTGATATAAATCACTACAAACCAATCGTACCACTGATCGAACCATTCTATTTGCTAAATTAAGGGAACAAAATATAAGCCGATTTGACAATGTTACTATGTGTCCATGATATTGTTGAGGTTGGCGCGCAATAGCATTAGCTGCGGGGGCGGGAGGGAGTGAGGTCGATGGATCGTGACTGGCGCATTGAGGGAAGGCGGAGTGGGGGACGTGGCAGTGTCTGGTTGGGTGTTTCGTACAGAAGTGGAGGCGGCCCGCAGGAAGGGAAATTTGAGGTTGATTGGTCAAAGGATCCCATTGGGTTGTTTTTGTTTGTCGTCTTTCTCTTCTATTGGGATCGATGGAGGTGGGAGTTGGAGGGGGGAAGTAAAGTACCATCTTCTCCTCCCATCAAGTTCTTTGATTTGTTTATTTTCTTCAGGCAATCAACAATGGTGTTGCTAAAAATGTAAAAAATCTGGGATCGTTTGGATGGATCATTGTAAAACGAGACAATTTGACCAATTGTTCCATTTTACAAAACAAGTCATTTAAAACGAGTCAATTCAGATTACCTGCCCTCACCCCAGACAATTGTAATTGGCTCAAAATGTGTCAATTCAGAATTCCCCAGTCCAAATTGCTTCATCCAAATTTTCTGCTGCCAAACGGATCAATCTAGCACAATTGACTCAAAACGAGACAATTGTGTCAGATTGATCCATTAGAATTCCTCATCCAAACGACCCAAATATTTTTGACATTTATGGCCCACAAAAGTGAAAATGCTCTTTCTATATAAAAAAAGAAGAAGTGAAGATGCTACAACGGGAAAGGTCAAGGTGTTAAATCTCTTTTAAATTTTTTTTTGTCATCATCATGTTTAAAGTAGATTTCATCATTTTATTAACATAATTTGTTGATAATTTTTATATAGCTAATAGTTAATTAAGGTGAAGATTTTGATGTAATTTTTTTTAATTTGGACTTTTTTTTGTCATTGAACATGACGTATCTATGGCGAAAAATAGTTGTTGGGGGCTGAAAGAGTCATTAGAAAAAAATTGGGGGCAAGAAATATAATTTTGCCAATAGTAACATCAAACAACGTTCTGGTGGGAGGGATTGCACCACACACTATAGCGTGTGGTGCAATCCTTCCCTCGTAGGGTAGCTCGAGAGCTGCTCAACGGGTCACATCGTTACATCACGTAGTGTCTTGTTGTTGTCCAACTGGAGAGGGGGTTGAGCAGCTTTTGTGGCATTTTTGAACCATCATTGTAGATGGTCTTAAGAGTGAAACGCGGAATAGAGCTACTTGGTAATTATCAACTAAATCAAAGCCAAATGACAATCATCCTAAAATGACTCATATGAAAACTCATTGATAACATTGTATTCAATGTTACAATCCGAGATAGAAGCATTGGGAGTTCCTAAAAAGTACCAAGTATTACCTATTTACAAGCTCAATAAAAAGTTCGTCTTAAAACCATATAGTACTGTTGTCGAGAGGTAGAGGTTCAATCATGTATCATACATATCGTTTACTAACAAGTGTATGACTCGTTATAATTGTTGATCATTTGTTTCGACGCTGCGAGTGGATTTGACCGTTGACAATTCCCCACTTGCCAGCCATGAACAGTTCATAATCAAATTGGCAAGTTGCCACACAAATCAGCTGAACTAGTAGAGATCAAAGAATCTAACTTGTGGCAAGCAAGGGCAAATCGGTCATAGAAGGAAGTAGAGATCGAGGGGCATAGGAAATGAGCGAAAAGGGCAAAAGGGAGCAGATTTTGTGGAGGTCGGCGTGTGGATACGTATATGATTATCAACCAAATTATTATTGTTTAATTATGTATTCATACTAAATTGCATACATAATTACATACAGTGTACTTTACTTATCTCCTAGGGATCGTCAAAACATAATTACTAGACTGCCGGGAAAAAGGAAGTGTGCAAGGAACTCCGAAGTCGTATGATTGATTATATTTTAATAATCGTATTATTATTACTATGGAATTGAAATTAATTAGTACTTATTTATATAAAAATAATTAGCGTGGTAGAGGGCATGCATTGTGTTGCACGTGCATGGGAGAATTTACGTGGCATCATTCCCTACCATTCCATTCCTTGAAATTTAAATCTCACAAACCCCGATTTTCTAAAAAAGATTAAATTATTATTATATATGTGGGGAATTAGCTCCTTTTTCAAGTAATCACTCTCGATTGTCGCTAATTTAGTTTAATTTATTAGAAATCCCTAAACTAATGAGGGGTCAACGCGTCCGATCCCTCCTTTCTTTTTCTCCGGCGCTTTTCCCCTCTTGGGGTGTGAAGTCAAACGCGTCACTTGAGCCTGGCAGCTTGGGCAATATGCACACTACTTCTCTAATTATCTTATTGTTATTATTATCATCATATTTATCAAGTTCCTCACCATGTTAATGTACTAAATGCATCACTAAACAATCATTTGTAAATGATTCAACGGCTATATTTTTAATGAGAATTAAATTGGGTATACGAAACAGAAATAATTTCAGTACCAGAATCGCAAGTTAAGTTGGTAGATAAAATTAAGCATAGAGGGGAAAAAGAATTTATTTGAGTTGCCCGTATTCTGAAAGCATAAATCATACACGCTGAGACCATATCCAAAATTTGTTATAGGGTGGCAGACTGTAGACTAGTGGTAGATGGCGATGAAAAGTGATAAATGACTAGTAGTATATTGGATAAATACAATTTAATATCCAAACCTTTTATTTTAAACAATATAATAGCCAAACCTTTTCGAAAACAATCATTCTAAACAATATAATAGCCGAACCTATCATCATGGTGCACTTCCATATACGTATACAATCATTCTAAACAATATACATATACTATTACGTATACAATCATTCTAAACTTTGGTATTTTCCTATCATCATGGTGCACTTCCATATACGTGTGGTATAACCTTATATACTCACTAAGCAATTATCAGCTGGTATGGAATGATAATAAATGTTACAATTTCATTGTTGTTCCAAAATATATCAAAGTGAATGTCATTTTGATGAGTGCAATTAATCCAATTATTCTATAGAAAAAATATCAATACGACTTAATACACAACCAAAATAAGCTGGCTCCCCCACTATGATTTTATGGGCATTGTCCAACCTCGCTTTATTTGCCATGATAATTAGAACGCTATAGCGTTCGTCACGTTAAGATTCGAACCTGAAATGTTCAGATTGAAAATCAATAGCCTAACACCAGATCATATATGCTCAAATTGGAGAATTTTGTTAACCATACTAAGTAAGTAAGTATAAACAGTAACAAATATAATTAATGACCTGACATATGACTGACGGATGTCCTAGAGTCTAGGGCATTGGAACCTTAATGTGGGCTTGCTCCCATCTGCTCATGGATATACGTACCTTGAGGTTGAGGGATATTGGTACTAATTAATAACAGATACAAAAGCTTATCGATCGTCATAACAATCCTGGTGTCACGTCATAGATTAAGTATTTCATCCAACATCAAGCAAAAACCACAACCGTCATTGAAATTTCCACCATGCTCAAAGGTGGTGTGGAGAGAAATGATTCCCTCACCACGCCAGCAACGAATTCAATTGATCCCCCATAAATAAAAGGCGGTTTGCTTCGTGCATTTGAAGAGATGAAGATTTTCATTAAAACTTGGGTTTTATAAGATTCATGGTTCAAAAAGACGTATTTAATCTTATCCTGAGGTACTAGGTAATGTCAAAATGCCTGGTCTAAGGCGATCGTGTTTAGTTAAATTTTGGGAACATGCGCAACGGAGTGAGACGACATCTAAGTATATTCTAGGCATAATTTGATGGAGATGTGCAGTCAATATTAAAGAAGAAAATTAACATCAATTATGAAATCAATTTTCCATATCAATAATTTGAATAGCTCAAGAACTTTCTGAGCTATTGAGCTCCAATTCTACTAATTTTCAGTAAAATTTTTTCATCTTTAAGTTATCAATTATTTTAACTCAAGTTAGGAAGCATTATTTATTATTATTATTTGATTTCTTTCAACACCTGGCACACTTAGGCTACGCGTCTAAGTGAGTTAGGCACTAGGCAAGGTCTCAACGCCCGCCTTACGTGTAGCGCCTTCTTAAACCTTGATAAAATCATGGATTTACGATGGAATATTGGAATTGGTCAGATATGGATTTGGACCAAACCATTGTTTGCTTGATAGATTTCATGATGGGTTTTGCTAAATCAGATTTGTGGGGTATGAAATACAACTAACCTTATTGTCCCTTGTGTATAATTATTTGTCTATTATATTTTTTTTCATGCAAGCAAATTGTGTAAGGTTGTTAAACCGGTTTGATACCATTACGCTGGTTTAGCAAGTGGTATGGTCCGACCGCGGTACAACTAGTATATGTCGCGGTTTATTCTGATTTAACAAAATATGTAAAAAAAAGGCGGGAAACATATACAACTAGTTTATTCCGCGCGGTACAACTAGTATATGTCGGCTCACATCGTATTAGTGAACTATATAGATATGCACGTTCTTTACATTTTTTGCATCGTCGATTTCTCATTCCGTTATAACATACAATTCGACTAACCGAAACCCTCATCGGAGGATTATCCTACTATGTAGCACTGTTATCATGAGTTTTTCCACAACCCTACACCTTTTCCATATTGGTTGTAATGTTGTGATACAGTTACTGCATTCCTTTCCATGATCTCTCTTCCATCTCTTTGTTTGGAGCATGGTTATACATTACATTTTTCCATATATAAGAAGACAATGGCATAGAGGAAGAGTGTCTGGGTAGCTAGCCCGTACAAATCAATTAGGGCAAGTGTCCAAAACTTTCCCCAAAGTTTTCTCAATTAACCTTACCTTACATGTATATGAGAAAAATTGAGCAAGAAAGTGATGTGTCACTACAACAAAAGTGTGACTTAATGACATTATTTTAATGACCGGCATGATGACCGTCATTAAGTTTAAGGATTTGACGGAGGGCTCCGTGCCGTCGATCGACCGTGGGAAAGTGTGTAAATATTCTTTTGTTTTTTGTTGAAAGGGTGTAATATTCTTGCTGCCCCACATCAGTGTATTTACTTTTAGAAGTATAATAATAATATTATTGAAATGAATTCTTAGACGTCAACTAAAAAATCCCCAATCTCTCACCCAAAAAAAAAAAGATCCCCAATCTCGATAATGCGAGAGATCGAAGCGTTTCTGTTCTCTCTCTTCGCTGTTTCCTACCGACTTCAAACCCTAGATGACCCGATTCTCTACCGATTGATGAAGACGGAGGCGAGATGGCGACCGCGGTGGCTATTTCAATCGATATGGATGCAAGTGATAGAGCTGTCACCGTCTCTTTTACGGCTCCACAAGGAAGAGCTCGCTCTGCCTTCAAAGTGAGTTTCACAGATCTTGCCTCTGGCTTTTTTGATGGCTGGCTTTGACATAGAAGTCTTCGCTCGGTGAATTTCTTGCGTCTTTGCTTTCGTTTTCCTTCAATTCGAGTTTCCACTTCCGAGAGTAGTTCTATATGATCTTGCGGTTGAGATTGTAATACTCGAATTAGGGTTTGGTAGTCGGTGGTTGAATAAAGTTTTCTGTGTAGTTCAGTGCTCGCGAATGAGGGCTTGAAGCTCAACAGGTACATACAATCGGAGGAATTTTAGGTCAAAATACTTCAATTCCAGGTTAGCATCTTCTAGTAATCAAATTCCTTGAGGCCATATTCATGAAATTCCACGTTAGCTGCCTTGTTAATGGGGACTTCACTAACTTAAACATTAGGACTGATAATGACAGCATAAATGCAGCTACTCTGTAGGCAGGTAATGCCATCATTTCACCCATACATGCGTTTTGGTTCATAATCTGTTTGACATCTATAGAAAGATTAACAGATAGGTAATGCATTATCATGTTTCATTATCAACTCTAGAGGTTGAGTTCTAGCAGTCTGTCAATGTATTGGAGGTAAATTGCTTTCTGGTCCAACTCTGTAATATGCGGAGCTAAAGGTTGAATTTAGGGGTTTAGGGGAAACTTGAATGTGGAAGCTTAATCGAACTGTTATCATGTTGCTATTATGGAGGGTTTCGTTTCTGTTGATCGAGCAATGAAATGTAGATGTCCAAACTCTTGGAAAGCCGTAAAATTTGTAATTTTATATCACCCCAACTCCCTTAACGCAGGGCAGTAGTTGACGAATTATGATATTGTTTTCCTTGTTTCATCCGCAGCTAGGAAGCTCAAAGAAGAACTTGATGGGTGGCTGAATGCTGCTGGACTGCCAAAGTCATCTGATGTTTGTGGAGTCATTGCTCCGTATGTTTATTCTTCAACCCTTTCCTTTTCAATTGTCCCTTTGGGTTGGCCAATTTTCCTTGAATTCTATGGGTCTGGCTCTCACAGGCACGCAGGTTACTGGTATTCTGGCCGCACAGCCGCTTGTGGATTTGGAAATATCGACCCTACTTACAAGTGTGTTGCCCTTCTTCTTACTTAGTATCTTCATTTCAATGGGCACATTTCGTAGCATGCAGCATGTGCATGCTATTCTGGCAAGATTGGTTTGGTTGCTTTCTTGTTCGGAAGTTGAATCTTAAGACTCTGATAGTTTGATGCTGATACGTGGGGTGCTTGTTTGTTGTTTTAGTTCTCGGGTATTCCTTCTTGGTTCATCTAATCACTATTATACTCCCAAATGTGCTTTGTCAACTGCGACAGTTTACAAAACTCCAATTGAGGACTTACCTATTGATCAGGAAGGTAATTTAGATATGTGTTGGATCACACATTCAGTAGTGCCATGTTTGATGTTCATAGGGGTTACTGTAGAATTCTTAGGTTGTTGGGATATAGAAGAATCTATACAAAGTTAGGAATTTGATAGAAAATGGGGTAGGAAGAACTGCCACTGGGCACACCAGTGGAGATTGTGCCGATAAAACCATTGATAAAACAAGAACAACACTTGCTAGAGTTCTCGAAGAAATCTCATACCTTATACCTGACGAGATTCTGAAAACATTAAAGTAGCACTATCACCTGCATAGGAACCCTGAATAGATTCTGATAAGTATCTTGCTAATCAATTATTGCTCATTTGTCTCATCCTTTCAGTGATTGAGGAGCTTAAATTTCTATGAACTTACAATCAAACTACTCTAAATACTTCGTTGAAGTTATGCTGCTGTTACTTGTGGTAATTAGTAAATTTCTATTAGTTAACCCTATGCAAAAAAAAAAAAAAAAATCTCATGGTCTCCCAATGGTTTTCAGAGGTTGGGAGCAAATCCCCTGTAGGCGTTGGAACCATGGTCTCAGCTCCCTAAATGCCTCATTAGTTATAATTTCATGAATAAAACCTTCTAATGAGTTAAACCAAATGCATTCTGATTTTATAGCAACTTAAGCTAGAGAAGGAAGCACAACTAGCAACAATCTAAGAAAGAGCAGGTAGCCATTGATTGTCTCTGCTGTTCCAGTTTTCAAATTGTGAACTAAAATAAAGTTGAACCACTTTTCCTGGTTTGGAAAGTTTCTTGGAACTCATTAAAAGCTTTTTCGGGATATCCAAAAGAATGGACAAAAACAAGAAGAAGAATATGAATAAGGTAGACGACTGAGATGCTTGGATGGGTTCGGTGCTAGTACATTGTCATCAAGCTCTTAATGCTCTATGATTTTGAGACTACTGTATATGTTGAACGCTGTCTTCTGATTTTGGTTCTTTATTTGTAGGGATTTGAGTGAGAATCAGCTGGTTGACATATCTCACTGCCTCTTGGCAGAATGACAGTTTGAGTTACTAGGCTAAACCCGTAAGCTCTGTTATCCCGTAGAATGATCTTAAAGCTTTTCGCTATCCAATGTGTTCCTTTCTTTTTCTTTTTTGTTCTTGAAAAGAAAACTCATCAAGTCTAACGTGTTCTATGCATGCAGAGGAAACAGTGGAGTACTAAGAATGCTGGGGGAGCAAATCCTGTTAACCCTCCTCCGCCAACTAGGTTTTCAGAGCGCATAGACTTGAAGGAGTCAAGGTTCTGAGTCTCGCTGCATTGAACAAGGTTGGTTGGATTTATTTATATCTCTTTTCTTGGTGCATTTTATGAAATCTATTTTGAACCAGGCTTGAGTTGGCTGGTTGACCTATTCGTATCATGATCCAGGAACCTACCAGCCTGATTTTTACTGCATAACATTGGAATGGGGTCTCATTAACTTTATGGTTTTTGGCTTTCTGCTATGCGGACATTGTTCCATAAAGTGGATGATATCTTGCAATTATCATATGTTTGTTTATGCTGATATAGGAAGCAAAAAAACCCTTTTCTTTATCAATTTCCTTGAATGTTCTAGAGTTACAATTAGTTGTTTGGTCTGCAATGACCAAGCTCTTAATGTCACTAATCTCCTGTCATGTGTTAAGCTGATTCTTTTAATGTAGGAGGATTAGGCTCACCTTCTTTGATCTTGAAAAGGGAACTAGGATTTGAAGTTAGCATCTTTTGTGAGTCTATGTGCTTCCAGATTGATGATTCCATATAAAGATCTGATTCTAGATGAATATCACCATGATGATCCCAGATCGAATGACTCCAGCCTCTTTACAAGGAATTCCAGTCAACTAATTATAATTTTCCTACCCCTATAGCCTTACGAGTGCTCTGGGTCTAGTGGCTGTGAATTTCAGTTAAGTCATTGTATCATTTGTGGTTAGGAAGCATATTCCATTAGATCTTCCAAGGTAGTTAATTACTTTTCACTATCTTGTTATGGTTTTGTCAGATTTCCCCAATGGACTGGAGTCTAGCAGGAGGTACTCATGGATGTTGTTGTTTATTTTTATCTCATGCCGTCAAGCACCCTAAATGTATCTGTAAGGTTGGAGATTTGGAGAAATACACCCTTCCATACATGACATTAATTTTTGGTGTTAAGGATTTCTGTTACCGAGATTTTGTGTTCAAGATTGACTTTGTTGCTATCAATGCTTTTTTGAAATAAAATTGTTGTGATTCTGTTTCTTAGTTAATGGTGCTGGGTTAGTGTTTGGAAAAATAACTTCAGGATTGGTTTCGTGGCCTGTAACAGCAGGTATGTGAACAAGAGGTGTATTTAGTGACGGTGGTTACACTTTGCGACGGTTGTCGACCATCGTAAAACGAACTGACGCATCTTACAGCTGCCAATTTAATGACGGGCCTGTTTGAAATACCGACGGTTAAAACTGTCACGAACATATACTGACGTTCCTCTCGACGGCCGACCAAAAGTGTCACTAAATAACTTAAGGACTGCTGGGTCAGTGACGGTTAGCTGGCCGTCACTAAAGCTTTTAGCGACGGTTGTGACCGTCACTAAAGGCCAAAATAACCGTCGCTAAATCAGCAGTTTCTTGTAGTGTGTGTAGATGACGATGGCTGTGGATAATGAATAGGCAGCAACACAGTTTGAGAAGGGAAAGCAACGTGATTAGTTGGGGGCAGCTTTCAAACTGCAATCGTCGGCTATATTATATGGCTGAGCAGAGCTTTCGAATTCTCTCCATACACAGCCAAACTGCCATCTCAAAATCACGTGGTGGGCTTTGGCGTTCACAAGCAGTTGTTGCAGGCAGTTGCATATTTGTCTTTTCAATGGTTGTTGCAGTTGGATAATCATAACTTCCCAATGGTTTGCTTGCTTGGGGGAATCGATTTGAATGCAACGATATGTTTTAGAGCTTGTTATTGTTTCCTTTGGTTCGATTTGAATGCAACGATATATATTTGAATAAAGCCGGTTTGAATCTATATGTATGTAACTAAGAAATTAATCGCGATTTTACTGCGACCCCACGTGATTAGGAAAATCGGAGGGTCATTATCGTTTAATGGGTAGGAAGTGGGGATAAAAACAATAATTTAAGTTTTATTATATTTTTTCGATGTTGCTTTTTCTCATCGTCCTTTCACTCATTCTTATCTTCTCGTCTTGTTTTTCCCACACAACTATTGTGAAGCGCATCATAAAATTGCATAAATAGCGACTTGGAATTTCCTTTCATCGAAAGGAAGATAGGAACAGTGAGAAAGGCTATAGCTACGGCATCTCAAAGCTTATGGCCTTATTCCAATCATTGTTCTCAAACGAGAGGTGTGTCGAGAAAGTATATGAAACAACGGGTCAAAAACAAAGGGTCAAGATCCAACGACAAAGGCTCTACCATATCACTCCAAAGATGACTCTCAGGTCAAGATCTATCATCGGTCTTAAGTGAAAATTTTCATTTGAAAAATACATGAAACAATGATTTGAAGACAACTCCCGTCACAAGAAAAGAGAGATTGTTGAGTGATGCAAGAGTACGCAGAGAAAAATTATTAGATTTGGAATCTACCGTCTATCTCAAATCGAGTAGGGAGACCACAAGAAAGCTTAGGTATTTTCTTTTTTTCTTTAAAAGAAGAGGAAGAAGTACGTAGAGATAAACACTCACCAATTATAATTCATTGTGGTTGTTAAATAAAAATCACAAAATTTTTTAGGTGTATTGCAAGGTAATGAAGATGATCTAATCACCACAAAATGACCTTTCTAGTCAAAATTTTAACAACCAATCAATTTTAAAAACTGATAATTTATCTATATTTCAATGCTTGTTTATGTTCATCAGAACAAAAGGTGGTTTATGGTTAGTTCAAAATTGAAATAGTGGTACCAAAATCCATGCTAAAGTTACCTCAATGAATTAATGTATTTGTAAATAGTGGTACGAAAATGCATTAGCTTATAGGTTACTAAAATAAATGACAATAGTGTAACCTAGCTAAAATCTAACGGAACAGTAACATTGCTTGAGATTTTTATATATTCATTAATAATAATTAATTAATCATACAAACGATCATAATTGAAATTCAACAACTCGAAATGGTTAATACAAACGATCAATTTAAATAAAAACCCAGCTTCTCAACAATGTCAAATCGAGCATTCTAACTACTTGTAATATAATTATAATCGAAAGGGTTTCTACAAATTGCCAAACTATAAAAAAAATAACGGTATTATCTCTGTTTTCCTTTTATGAATGGCTGGGATTTTTGTTTTAGCGGAGTCACACTTATCAAAACTTAATGAAATTCAAATCAATATTCCCAATTGGATGCTCCCAATCAAAGCTTTTGAGAACTTACTTAAAAACTTGAAAGATGCTCACACAAAAAAAAAAAAAAAATGAAATTGAAAGATGCATTACACAAGAAGGAGTTGGACATGCACGATTATTGCAAAAAGAAAGAAAGGAGAATAGGGCTGCCACTTCTGGGCCCAAATTATTAAGGCCGTATTATTTTGGGCCAATATTAAGGCTGTTCATGCTCGAAAGCAAACCCAAACTCGAAGCCTATGTATTAGTTTTGCGCGAATAACTAGTGGGCCGTCGGGTATTAAATATGAAACATTTCGCTGCCTCCAGTCCATATCCTCATCTTGGCAGGATGACAAAAATATCCGTAATCGTGGATATCCGTCCGAATCTGGCCTAATCAGGTAGGGTAAAATCCGAACCCGAAGAACATTTAGTGGGTACGGGTAAAACCCGAACCCGAATATTGCGGCTAATGGGTGGACATGGGTTTCTCACTATCCAACCCGAACCCGCCCAATTATACACATGCATATGTATTTTGTCTAGATATAATCATTATTTTTCTCCAACATATTTTATATTTAGCATATAAATATAATATTTTCATGAAATTGTGTTGTTTTAATTAATTTTCCTCATTCTAGTGAATTATTGTCGTACTTTTCCTCTTACGTAATGTAAGAATACGTGTGAATCTTAACATATTGGTTGGAGTTGTGAAGAGAAATGATTACCCGTGGATAACCGTGGATACCCGAAACCCGAACGGGTATGGGCATGGTTTTGATTTTCTACCCATTTCACATATGGGGTATGGATAAAACTCGAACTACTTTGGATAGGATAACGTATATGTACTATCCACCCTGTCCCCATCCGTTCCCATCCCTACTTGGCATCCATTGAGGTGAGAATAGGTTAATGGTATTATGGGGAATCCATTACATAGATTCTTTATAATTGTGTTTCAGCACAACAAATTTGACAATGTAAACCTCTTTGAAAGTAAACACACTTGTCGAACCACATAATCTCATGTCTTCCGGGTGATTACTTGCTTTCTCCTTCCGATGGTATGATATTGGAGAGCTTATATGCTAGAATGCTACCGATAATCTAGTTTTGAAGCAATAATCTAATATATGATTCGGAATGGAATAAAGGGAGACGTGTTAATAATAAATCTTACACCACTCAACAACTCGAATTATTGAGAGATGTTTAATAATAAATCTTATACCACTCAACAAATAATAGAAATAATTTGAACCCGTTTCAGTGAATATTACCCGATTTGACACGTATTAGAAAATAATTTGAACAACTCGTTTGCTTGTTGGATTTGAAAATAAAGGATTTGAGTTTTGAAACCCTTTGAATTTATGATGGATTTATTGCATTTTGTATTTGAAAGATAACATTGTTTGTTTAGTTGAATTTTTGTTATGGATTCAGTTCATTTGGTATTTGGGTCTCTAAAATTTGTCTTTCATAATGTGGTATTTGCAAATACGTGGAGTCAACAGATTTGAAGCTAAAAAAAAGATCCACGGATTTGAATACTTCAACAAACAATGTTCTTTTATCAAATACAACGTACTTGATATTTGGGTGTCAAATACAACACCCAATTCTCACAAACAAACGACCCCTTAGAGTAATTCACAATCCACAAAAGTGTAGAGCGAGACATGGATACTCCTTTTGCCTGCCCTGCCGCCCAATTGGACAATAGTGGTCCAGGTCTCCAACTATATCATGGTACTTGGTTGACCAGAAAAAATAAAAGCTTTTCATAGACTTAAAGCTGACATTTTTACAGCCAGTATTGAGTATACAATCTCCTCTTGGCTCTTGGCCTCTGGCTGTGAAACAAACTGTGGACTAACAGATGGAACTCCCATCACCAAGAAGAAATCTTATCTTGTTTGATTCCACTCCACCCGCCCTAAATTCAGCAGCAGTCAGAAACTAACAGACAAAGAAAAAGATAAGAAGGTAGTAGAACCCTGGGAACCAGATAGCTACCGCCAGAGTGAGAGAGAGAGAGAGAAAGGGGAAGAGATGGGTATGGCGGCTTTGAATGTGGCGTCGTCATCACCGTCGCCACTCTGCAGCTTCTCTTCCATGCACAGTCTTAACAACCATGAACATTGTAACATTAACAATGTTTGTGGTGCACATTCGGGAGGTGAATGGGTCTCCATTAAGATTACGAATAGTAATTGCAAATTGCTTCCTTTCCTTTGCTCTTCCCATTCCTCTGTTCCATCGACGAAACTCAAGTCGGCAGTGGCTCGATCTTTCAAGCCCTCTCGGATAACAACCCATCTCTCGAAATCAGGTGAATTTCTTGCCCATTAGCTTCTTATTCTCTGATATTTTGCCCCAAGAAAGAATCTTCGCGGGCTTTTTTACATTACCCCGCCATAATTATTCTGTCAAGGACTGAATTAGGGTGTTGTTGTACTTGGGACCTGTTTCAATCGGCGGTCTTTAGAAGCGATTAGGCCAGTTTCTAAACCCATATGATTGTAGAAAATGAACCTCGAGTCTGAAAGGCCATTGCTTTAGCCAGAAACGGGATTCAGGTTCAGAACACAATGTTAATGGCTGAATAGGATATACCTAGTTGAAGTTGAGGAAATGCTAAATATGGTTCTGAGGGTAGAGAATCCATGTGCTTGGCTGACACTTTCGGATGGTTTTACATCACCAGGCGTTCTTTCTGATGCGATATGCAGGTGGCCAAGGATGTTCATGGATTCAGGACAACTCCATTCACATGCATCAGAATCCTAATTCCAGCAGGAACTGCAGAAGGGGTTCAGTGGATTCAGCTTTCCCATCTGGAACTGCAGAAGTTGCTTCTGTGGAGAACCTTTTCGAGTACATATGCTCAGGTCCTCTTCTAGGCAAGATAGGTTTAACCGCGGAAACAATTGCCGAGTCAATCGACAAGTGGATACTGTATGGATCGCTCTTGTGCCGATTGTTCCAGCTGAGTGACATGTACCTCACCGATCCTCAGAGAAAAAGGTTTTACCATTACTACATCCCGGTTTTCATATGGTGCGAGAATCAGATTTCCAAGCATGCTTCCCAGTTCAAAGATGGAGAGGACATACCTCCACTAGTGGTACTCCTGTTTCCTTATATTGGCACTCTTTTGTGTACAACCAATGCTAGTTAGTAGTTACTGGGTTTCGATTTTGTGGTTCAGATTGGTTTTAGTGCACCTCAAGGTTGTGGAAAGACTACTCTTGTTTCTGCTCTTGCCCATCTCTTTGATGTCACTGGAAGGTACCATTGGCAAGAACTGATGTATATCGTCATGAGCTGGGAAATTAGATGGTTGACCGATATTGTATCCATTTCAGGAAGTCAGCAACAATATCAATAGATGATTTCTATTTGACAGCAGAGGATCAGGTGCTTCGTCATTAAGCTTTACTCACTTTGGATTATAGGATGCTGAACTCATACTACCGTTTTGATTAGGAGTACTGAGAAACTGTGATGTCAATTGCAGGGTAAGCTGAGAGAAGCAAATCCGGGAAATTCACTTCTAGAGGTAGCAACCTATCTCTTTCCTATAGGAGTCTCCTCCATTTGATTCAACTATTTGGCCAGTTGATCAAGTAACCAACTTCTCAGTCAAATACATCCTTCAACTGAGATTTCTAATTCCTCTTTCTTCTAGCTACGTGGAAACGCTGGGAGCCATGATCTTCCATTCTCAGTTGAAACACTGACTTCACTTTGCAAAATGACTAAAGAAGGTAGGACTTTTTCCCTTTGTCATCTTCCTTGTGGTGTTGTGCCTGTTTTATTTGATCCTGTTCTTTTTTTATCTCAAGTTTTCAGGTATGAAGATGAAGCTACCCCGCTATGATAAAGTACGATAATTTTATGCTTTTGTTGTTTCTCTTTTGTATGAGCTCAGATTTCTCCCTGACCACTTAAATTCTTTTTAGTCTGCATACAATGGAAAAGGCGATAGAGGCAATCCTTCTGCTTGGCCAGTGGTCGAAGGGCCATTAACAGTAAGCAAGTCCTCTTTATTCACCACCTTCAATTACTACCGTATAATGTGTTAAACTTCCATTAGCTCACTCATGTGCATGTTGGTTTAGGTGATTCTGTTTGAAGGTTGGATGCTTGGGTTCAAACCCCTTCCGGTAGAAGCTGTTCGAGCTGTTGATCCACAGGTTATTGGATTGAGTTCTTGTGCAATGAGTCCTTTTGTTCTGTCCTCCAATACCTAAAAACTTTCTTGTTGATAGTTCAGTTGGAGATAGTGAACAAGAATCTCGAAGCATACTACGATGCATGGGACAAGTTTGTGGATGCTTGGGCAGTCATTAAGATCCAGGACCCAAGTTGTGTTTATCAATGGCGACTGCAGGTTGCTTTTGGATGCTGGAAATAAAAAGATCAAGTCTATTATGCAACCATTTAGAATCCTTGTTGACTGTACTGAAATTCCATCGAAACGATGTATTTTTGCAGGCAGAGATTGCTATGAGGGAAGCAGGAAAACCTGGGATGACTGATGAAGAGGTTACAATATGATATGGACATCTTTTTCTATCCAACATGCCTAAGTTGTATGTTTCTGAAGTGGAAACTTCACTGAGGAGAAAGTGTTCTTGTGTTTTGCAGGTCGAGGATTTCGTCTCCAGGTACCTGCCGGCATACAAGGCTTACTTACCAGTACTTTACGCTGAAGGACCAAAGGGGTCGACTCCTGAGAATCTGCTGGTTATTGAAATTGATGAAGGCAGGAATCCCATTCTGGAGAACTAGCTTGTTAATAGTGTACGAATGATGAAATTATCCTTTGTTTGAAGCTGAAGAAAAAGTCCGTTGATCGTAAAAAAGTGGGAAATGGACTATTCTTAGGTTGAGTATGGTTTTGGGCCGCCTCCCCTTGGGCTTCAGAACCGTCCATGTGGGCTGTCCCAAACTTCTCGGCTTGCTCAAATTCGATATTAGCGCATTCACTTCACTAGCTTTCTTATCTCCAAAATGTATAAATAAGAGATAAAAAAAAAAAATTGTAACCTATTTAATCTAATTTTTTTTAAATATAGTTTTGATATAAAATGTATCGTATATGCCAATAACCATTTGTAAAATGATAATTTGAACCCAGTCTGTCGCGTCTCGTTCTTGGCTCATTATATCACACTTTATTATAGTATGTATTCATATTTATCTTATTTTGACTATTTTTCAATTAGTTAGCGTCGATTTTTTAATTAGTTAGACTCCATTACCCATTTTATTATCACTATTTTTTCATTCATGAGTGTTTTCCCCCTTTGTTTTATTGTAAAAAGTAAAAATTTTGCATGTATTTTTTTCAAATATCATGTAAGAGTAGATCTACCCTTCCCGCCCCGACTCCCAGTAGCATAGGGCTAAACATGAGTATTGAGATACCCGCTCCGCTCACTCTATTGCCATCACTACCTATAGTTGGATATCAACAGCGACGGATCTAGGGGGCAGCCCCCGGACCACGGCCCAACCCTCCACTGGATCCAGAACTAGTATAGCTCTTGTAAATGTTCAAATTTACGTATTCGTTTCGGTGCTGGTCGGGGATAGATAGATAGATAGATGATAGATATAAGGGAACACTACATCCTGGCCGGGAGCCCTCGATCGCAATCGGGACATTAATTTCCGATGTAACGTTTTAACCAACCCTACGTGCAATTTTGGAGCTTATTATTTCTAGTCGGTCCAATTTTAGAGTTTCCCATCAATCAATCAGCACCACCATCTTCTATTTCTATTCTTCTTCGATAGACTGAGCCAACGTTTGACAGTTTTCAACCATATGTGTTGAAGGGTAGGTGTCAGGTCAGTCAGATAGACAAAAATTGGATTATATGTTTGTAGAATTTCCGTCGTTAGATTCACACACGGAATCGTTATACTACTAAATCAGAGGGATAGCTCGTCAGCATCATAATGAGAGGGAGAAAGACGCAGAGAGAAACCTATTACGCTTCCAAATATAACCACTAAACGCTGGCGGATGAAATGAATTAATGGATTGGATTGTTTTTTTAATAGTTAGGTGCTACTTAGGATATATGTACTTGTGATTTTTAGGTTCAAGACCAATGGTAATAATACTAGGCAAACCCTTGTTTGCTTGTCTGAAGATTTTAGAGAAGTAATATTTATAATATTTATGATTGTTTGACTGATAAATTATTAGAAATACTTTTTAACATCCTTTTCCACCAAATTCATTAGCAGTTCTCAACGTCTGATCTTCTTTCTCCACCATTCCTCCTATTAAGCTTATGTTCATAGACAATTAAGGAGCTTTGGAATGCATCGGCGTACAACTATTAGACTCCCTAATTGAGTAAACCACAAAGTTGAATTTTTAACTCAACCACAAAGTTGAATTTTTAAGTTAGTGTTCAGAAAATCTTCTCAACTATGTGCACATCAGTAAGATCCTCTCCACAGTTTCTTATTGAGTTAGCTACAACCATAACGCGACCAAAGATATTGTTATGATCGCACCTTCTTTCATTTCTAGAAGCTCAAAGATCCTTTTCAGTGTTTGAAGTTGAGCATACTGAACTTAACCACTTTATTGGTATTTTACTTACATTGAATGACAACCTTTTAGGGTTGAAGGAAAAAGAGCTTGGCATTTGATTCATTGGTTTCCAGCTTATATAGCTGATAGTTTTGGTTTACAGACAGTTTGGGGAAGAAGACAAAACTTGTGTCTTAAGCAAGTACAATACCAAAATAGGAAGCAACAGAAATGAGAAGATTAGTGACTAAATGGAAATATGCCAGAACCGACATCACTGAAGCTTCTAACTTGGCTCTTTGGAACGACAGCGTTGAGGGCAGCGCGAGTTCTTCGGTTGATGATTGGAACGACACCGTTGGGAGCAACGGTTGACTCTGCTTCCCCTGTTTGAACTGGTTGCCGCGAAGAACCACTGTTCTTCCCTGATACCCCCCGCAAGCCGGAGGGCAGAGATTATGGACTCCGAGCTTGGAGAAGAGAGCAATAAATGTGGCCGGCGGAAGTGGTTTGGTGAGGATGTCGGCCACCTGATGGGTGGAGGAGACGTGGAGGATTTTGATCGTCCCTGCAAGAAGCTTTTCACGAACGAAGTGGCAATCGAGTTCGATATGCTTAGTTCGTTCGTGAAAAGTTGGGTTTTCTGCTATGTATATCGCCGATTGATTGTCACAGAATAGAGTTGCAGGGTGGGGATGTGAGATGTTGAAGTCCCGAAGAAGATAGAGAATCCATTGGATCTCACAGGTTGTGAAGGCAAGCGCCCTGTACTCTGCCTCACAGGATGACCTAGAGATGGTAGTTTGCTTTTTGCTCTTCCATGAAATCAGGGAGTCCCCCAAGTAGATGCAGTAGCCAGTCACTGAGCGACGGGTGTCAACGCAAGCAGCCCAATCTGAATCGCTGAAGGCCTTGAGATGAAGATTGGATTTGGATGAAAAGAAGATGCCACTTGAAGGAGCAGTCTTGAGATAACGCAGTATGCGAAGAACTGCCTTATAGTGTGAATTGCTGGGATTAGTCATGTACTGGCTGACTTGTTGGGTGGCATAACTGATGTCGGGGCGAGTGGTAGTGAGGTAAATCAACTTCCCAACAAGTCGTCTGTATGATTCTGGGTCTGGATATGGGTCATTGTGTGACGCAGAGAGGTGCTCCTTGTAGTCAATTGGGGTTGAGGCAGGTTTGGAAAGGAGGAGGTCAGCATCTTCTAGAATTTCAAGAGTGTACTTCCTCTGGGAAATGTGGATGCCAGAGCTGCTTCTAGCCACCTCAATTCCTAGAAAGAATTTCAAGTGTCCAAGGTCCTTGATGCTGAATGCCTGGTGGAGAAAGGATTTGATATTGGCAATCTCTTGGAGGTCATTGCCACCAACAACTAAGTCATCAACGTAGACAAGAATGCTTGTGTAAGAACTGCCATTGGCCTTGAAGAAGAGGGAGTGATCAACTTTGCTGGATTGATAACCTTGACTGTGAAGCTTTTATGCTAGCTTAGAGAACCATTGTCGAGATGCTTGCTTTAATCCATAGAGGGATTTTTTGAGTTTGCAGACTGGGTGCTTGAAGCCAGGTGGTGGAGAATATCCTGGGGGAAGCTTCATGTAAACATCCTGGTCTAAATCACCATGTAAAAAGGCATTGTTGACATCAAGGTGGTGTATAAACCAGGATTGGGAAGCAGCAAGAGCCAGAAATAGTCTGATTGTGGTCATTTTGACAACAAGAGCAAAGGTGTCCTGGTAATCGACACCTTCTTGTTGAGTGTAGCCTTTGGAAACAAGTCTGGCTTTTCTTCTCTCAAGTGATCCATTAGAGTTGAATTTGAATTTGTAGACCCATTTGTTGCCAATGATCCTTGTGTTGGGTGGTCTTTCAACAATGTCCCATGTGTGGTTTGCCTCTAATGCCTGAGTTTCAGACTTCATGGCATCATTCCATTCATCTAATTGGAATGCCTCTTGATATGTTTCTGGTTCCTTGAGAGTAGAAATGCTCAAAGCAAAATGTTTGTGTGAAGGTGAAAGATTAGAGTAATCAATCACAGAGGAAAGGGGATAGGTGATACCTGGATGTTGCTGTGTTGGAGAATGATTGGTGGAAGAAGTCTACTGAAGCAGGTTACAATGGTAAGATTGTAGGTGTTTTGGTGGTTTGACAGTTCTGGTTGATTTCCTGGGAGGAGGTTGGGGGGGTTGTGGTGGAGCAGGTGATGATGGTGGTTGGGGAGGAGAAGGTTGTATGGAAGATTGGGAATCTGAGGCATCATCAGTGTCAGTTTCAAAATGCAGGTCATTAAGAAATTGGTCTGGTTCAGGGGAGGAGTTGGTAACAGGTTGGTAGGTGGGGCTGAAGTCATCAAAAATTGCTGGGTTTGGAGAAGGGGAATAGAGACTGTGAAGGGAGGAAGAAGATGTGGTTATTTGAAAGGGGAAATTGTCTTCATAGAACTGGACATCCCTAGATGTGAAAACCTCATTGGAGGTCAAGTCATAGAGTTTGTATCCCTTTATCCCAGTAGTGAATCCTAGGAAGACACATTTCCTAGCTCTAGAATCAAACTTGGTTCTATGTCTGTTTAGAGTATTGGCATAGCAAAGACAGCCAAACACCCTCAGTTCTGTGAGATCAGGAGGCTTATGAAATAGTTTTTGGTAGGGAGTTTGGTTGTCTAAAACAAGGGTGGGAACTCTGTTGATGAGATGAACTGCATGTTTGACACAGTCAGACCAAAAACCAGAAGGAAGGTTGGCCTGGAATTTGAGAGCTCTAGCAACATTGAGTATGTGTTGGTGTTTTCTTTCCACCTTACTATTTTGCTGGGGTGTTTCTACACAGGATTGCTCATGGAGTATACCAGTTGTGTTAAAGAATTCATGCATTTGAAATTCCTGGCCCTGGTCACTCCTGATTTTTTGGATTGAGAGTTGAAATTGATTGTTAATATGGTTGCAAAAGTGTTGAAGTTTGAGTCTGGTTTCAGATTTGGTTGGCAAGAGGATAATCCAGGTCATGCGAGTGAAATCATCAACAATTGTTAAAAAGTATCTGAAACCATCATGACTGGGGACAGAGTTTGGACCCCAAAGATCAATATGTATGAGTTCAAAGGGTCTTGTGCAAACAGTGTTACTACAAGGGAAAGGAAGCCTTTTCTGCCTAGCAAAATGACAAGTATCACAAGGTAAAGAAGCATCTGTTTCTATAGATGTACAGATTTTCTTCAAATGAGGGACTTTGGAATGTTAAACATGACCTAATCTATAGTGCCATAGGTCAAAAGACTGAGCAGAAGTGGCAGCAAAAGGAGAGGGAGGTTGATCTATGATGGTTCTATAAAAAAGGTAAAGGCCATTAGTGAGCTTAGCAGAACCAATCATCCTCCTCAACTGCAAATCCTGTATGAGACAGACAGTAGAAAAGAAGGTTAAGTGGAGTGAAGGGTTGGTGGTGAGTTTGCTTACTGATATGAGGTTGAAGTTAAACTGGGGAACAAATAAGACATTTTCAAGAACAAGGTTGGCAACACAGGTGACTGTGCCAATGTGAGTAGCATGAACTTGATCACCTGTTGGTAGGGTAATAGGGATGTTTGATATGGGTTTGGGGTGAACCAGGTAAGCCAGAGAGCACACAATGTGATCTGAGGCACCTGTGTCTAAGATCCAAGCATGTCGAGATGTTCTACCAGGAGGGACAGTGAAACTGTATTTACCTGGTGTAGGAGGAGACTGGTTGACCCAAGTAGCAGCAGAAAAGGAAGAGCTGGAGGTGAGGTTCTTCTTGTTGAAGTCCTTGTCTTTCATAAGACTCAAGAACTTCTCATATTCAGCCTTTGTGAGTTTGACTTCATCATTGTCTGCAGATGTGGTGGTGGCATTGGCAGAGACTCTGCTTTTGGAGTTTGGCCTGGATGGATAACCATGCTTTTGAAAGCATTTATCCTTAGTGTGCCCTTGCTTCTTGAAGTAGGAGCATTCGAGAGGTTTGTTTGTTGAAGTTGAGGTTTTGGGGTTTGTCATGCCTGGTGGCCATCCATGTTTGTGGTAACAGGTGTCTTCTGTGTGGCCTGTGAATTTGCAGAAGGTACAATAGGGTCTGGGATTCTTGCCAAGATAGTTGGGGTTACCATGTGCAGCAAAGGCCATGCCTTCTGTGGTAAGGGTTTTGCCTGAGGAAGAACCACTGAGTTGCCTCTCATGTTGAAGCATACGTTGGAAAACACGATCTATTGGTGGTAAAGCATCACCAAATAGAACCTGTGACCTCACAGTTGAGAAGTTGTCATTGAGACCTCTCAAGAACTGGATGACATAGTTTGTGTCTCTGTAGCCTAGGACCAGTAACATAGCTCGACAAGTGTTGTGGCTAGTGGTTGAACAAGCACAAGGCTCAAGGGGTTGATAGTTGTCAAGTTCGTCTCTTAAGGCTATGAGATTGCCATAGTATTCAGTGACAGAGAGGTTACCTTGCTTGAGAGTACAGATTGACTCAATCAGTTCTGCAATCCGAACCATATCTCCTTGGCCATACCTGTCACGCAGGCTTCTCCAGGCTTCAAGGGCTGTCTTGGAAGACATGATCGTCTTGCGAATGCCAGGATCCACTGCTTGTTGGATCCATGAGAGGACCATGATGTTGTTCCTGGTCCATGCCCAAGAAGTAGCATGACCTGGCCCTGGGTCTGGGATGGAACCATCCACAAAACCAAGCTTGTTCTTGGCTCCAAGGGCGTTGTGAAAAGCTTTGCTCCAGTCTATGTAGTTTGTGGGAGTGAGCTTCTCTGCAACGAGCTGGGTGCCAGGTTGTTCAGATCCATGGAGGTAGAAGGGGTCAGACATGGGGTCAACATTTGGAGGGGTGGATGAAGATGGATCTGGTGAGTTGATTGTTTGAGTTTGATTATCAGCCATGGTGGATGAAGGTGGCGGCTAGGGTTGAGGCTCTGATACCATGACAACCTTTTAGGGTTGAAGGAAAAAGAGCTTGGCATTTGATTCATTGGTTTCCAGCTTATATAGCTGATAGTTTTGGTTTACAGACAGTTTGGGGAAGAAGACAAGACTTGTGTCTTAAGCAAGTACAATACCAAAATAGGAAGCAACAGAAATGAGAAGATTAGTGACTAAATGGAAATATGCAAGAAACGACATCACTGATGCTTCTAACTTGGCTCTTTGGAACGACAGCGTTGAGGGCAGCGGGAGTTCTTCGGTTGATGATTGGAACGACACCGTTGGGAGCAACGGTCGACTCTGCTTCCCCTGTTTGAACTGGTTGCCGCGAAGAACCACTGTTCTTCCCTGATATTGAATCCCACAGAAGACGTAGTTTAACTTCATAAACACAGACAACCTGCTTAGATCCTTCTTCTAATGAACTAGAACACTCTCCACCGTTTAAATGAGTGACTTAAAATGAAGTGACTAGGGCAAATTTTTATCACTAATCCTAGATAGCTAGTTAATTAGTGTGACTAAAATCTTGAAAGGAACCCCTCATATATAGATATGGTTTGTTTTACTCCACGAATTCATGGAATGTCCATCTCTCTCAATTCTTAGACGTCCATCCATCCAATAATTTCCCGAGGAATAGATGTGTCCTCTCCTTCCTCGTCACACGTGCAACCTCTATTGATTTCAACGCTATGATTTTAGGGCAGGAAAAATATATCAGACCGTTTGACAAAATATGAACAGAATCGGAATGTGTAGTTTGGTTTGAACTGTAGATCGTTAAGGATGATCTGGTTTAAGGTTTGCATTATAGGACGTATTGATCTCTTGTCTGGTCGGGTCCTGATCGTTGTGTACCATACCAAACCACGGACTTTCCAATTCGTCTAGCAACTCACTCGACCACTCTCCCAACTCCTCAACGAGACCCCAAGTCTCGAATCTAATTTTTCAAATCTCGTCTCCTCCATTCATAAACCATACCCCCGCCACAAAGTAGAAACGATCATGTCTCCCTAAGAGATTATGTTAATGCTTATGATGTTATGGTGGAAGTTGGGTAACCCTGACTTTGTGTTTTTGTTATTTACTTGGATTTATGGTATCAAAATTACACGTGTTTTTTTTCTAATTTCTTTTGAAGAAACAATAGATTTTCCCCTGGTTATAGACTAAACAAACTATTTATTTTTGCTTATGCATAGTCCCATTCGTATCAGACTAGACAACACAAAGTGATCTGAACCATATAGTATTTGGTATGATCAGGATGCATGAAACAAATTCTCAGTCTCGACCATAATTGTAAGTATAATCCATTCTGGACCAGACCACCCATTTTCCTAGCCCTTATAATTCCCCATTATTTTTTTTCCTTTCTTCGTTGTGTTTTCTTTAGATGCCATATACATCACTCACTCGTGTGCCCAATTATTGAATGATAGACTATTCATGGCCTCGTGGGGTATATATATGAATTGGATTCTCATGAATATTGTCAGACTTAACTAAATTAGGTTTCATTTCCAATCCTCTTGTCAATTTTCACATCACAATTAATTAACTTGTCAATATCCCATCACTTCCATTTATGTTAGGACATTTTTCTTAATTTCTCCCTTTGATTATGGGATTTTAACTAGCATCTGTGCTGGTGGGTCGGGATCCGTGTATGCTCACAGTATCGAAACATTGTATGACTCTATTACTCCATCTCTTAAATAGACATTTATAGCGATTGAGTCCGTGAACAATATGATCCGTCAAAACACGCATTAACCTAGGTCCCATGAGCCATCTCTTCACTTTTGTGTCATTCGAAAGGCCACAAACACAAAACCATTTTTCTCCCACCAATCAATCACCTATAAATACCAGCATAATCATTGCATCTCCATAAAAGTCATCTCTTGAGCTTCTGATAATTGATTCCTCTCCCACCTTTATAAGCAAAAGCTTAGGATAATGGCTATTTGTAAGAGAAACCATCCCAATAATGATGTCTCAAAGTCCATGCTCATCATCATCATCACCATCATCATCTTATTATTATCCTCTCAAGTCCTTTCCACCAAGAGCCCTCACAATGCGACTCCTCCTAGTCCTGGATACCTTCTCCACAAGCAGCCGGCTTATGGTGAGTTCATATACATCAAAACATTGTCTACAGTCGACTATATGATGCTTAAGCTTCCAATAATCACTCGATAGATCAGATATCGAGTTTCGTTGTGCGAGTATATCGAACCTTTTATTTGATTGGATATGTACGATGATGGAACCCGCTAACTTTGTTATAAAAAATCTTATAAATAGTAGCTTCTATCGAGAAAATCAAAATACAAGATCGAATTTCAAATTTATTCAACGAGATGTTCCCTTAATTCGAACCACGCGATACCATGATTTTCGCATTGAATCTTTAGTCTTGATTTCGAAGCTCTTACACCAACATATACAACTGGATTGTATATGGGAAGAGCATGAGATGCATATATGGTTGTTCATATGATCAAATTCATTTTTGAGGTAATAATCTTCTTGTGGTGGCTCATTCTGGAACAGGTGGGAGGAAGGCCATTGGAGAAAGAATGATAAAGATAGACATTGTTGATGATTATCCTCCGGCGAGAGTCAAGCCGCCGATGCCAACACCTTGTTGTTAAGGATGTTGACGAGTAGCCATTTTTAGTTTAAGAAAAAAGAAAAAAAAATAGTGGGTGTGAAGTTGTAAGGATATTAAATGATGGGGGTATATTTGTATCTCTACCAATGCCTATAAATAATTATTATTTTTCCTATTCTAATTAATTTGGTCGAGAGATTAGCTCTCATGGCCAAACCATAGAAAATCATAACAGAGCTTTTGAACATGTACTATGGCCTTCTTTAGAATCACAAAACATTCATAAAATATTGTAGAATTGGGTAATATCACAGAGGAGATAAGCTCAACTCGTCAAGCATAGGAAAGCTCAAAGCTTGGAAGCCCGCCATGATCTCATCTTACTAGTAATTCTATCAACTAGGATAGTGCACGCCTTGCTAGATAATCTTTCTGCAATAAGAGGCATAGTAGGTATATAACAGGATGATGCCTTGAAGCATGATGTTAGGTTACTTGAATCGGACTATCTAGCTACGACTAGAAGTATGAAGGCTTTAGGGTGTATGGACCGATACACGGTTGGGTTGTTAGCTCTGGACCTGGTTTGTTACCGTTTTCCATTACCATATTAGATTAGGGTTAGACCATTACTATCAATCTTCTCATACTCCTCTGTAATTTTGTATCTTATCGAAATATAGTGAAATTGGCTCTCTCCTGCCCGTAGACTAGCTAGCACACATTGTGTTAGTGAAACACGTAAATCCATGTGTCATGGACTCATGTTATTACTTTTGTCTAGTATCTCAAAACATACATTAGCCAAATGTAAATTATGTTCTCTTTTTATTGACTAGTGATATTGAAGAAAACCAAATGTGGATTTTCAGTTCCAAAAAATAAACAAATTCGAACCATTAACTAGTGGCCAAGAATTCACGAACAATTCTTGGATCTGAATCCAAAATTTAATTTTCTTATGATATATAATATAAGAAAATCAAAATTGATACATAACTAATCAGTATTGATTCGTTTTCTTGGCTTGTTGTACCTCCTACTTATAGATTAGTTTCACCCATCATTCTCGGAAGCCCATCAGAAAACTTCAGACAACTCTATCATACGCCTTAGTCATGTCAAGTTTTGCCAGCAAAAATACTTTTCCTTCTGGTTTTATGGTATAAAACATTCAAGTGCTGTAATCATGTTATCTGTACTCTACTTCATTAACAACTAGCAACGCAAAAAAGTGTACACATGATTAAGGGGACGGAAAACACTCTGCAATATATTGCGCTAATCAATACAATCAAACACCCCAATTTCTACAGACCAGGTATTGGTAAATCACTGCAATGAACCTCAAACCACTTCTACTAAATGCACATTTCACTGGTAATCAGTAATCACACCTGCTGACCTGTGGTGGTTGAGGTAGCTTAAAACCGAAGTTATGAACAATTCTTCCTCGAAAGACAACTGATCAAATTACAATAAAATCAATGTTTGGAGGCGCTCTTGATTTGTACCCCAATGCAAGCATTTTGGCTTCATCGGCTTCTTCCTTGCTGCAAAGCTTGCTTAATGTACTGCCAAAAATGGAATTATCACAAAAGGAGGGAGTTCCAGCTGATCGATCAACCACTATTCTCTCTAATTCGACAAAATACTGCATCACATACTCAACAAGCTCGCAGTCCATTTCAAAGCCTCTGAACCCAACAATCTCCACGACTTTGATGCTCTCACGGTGCATTTTCACAACATCGACCACCTGTGGTCTGTTTTCATCGCTAGAGTCTGTATGCAACTGGACAGCCCGAAAACCCCCCACGTTAAATCAAAATTAGAACCACCCCAACCAAAATACAGGAAGAGCTGGCTTCTGGAAACACAGAGCAAAGAACGGAAGAACGATAAAAGTATTAATTTCGTGAGGAAACTTACAAACACTTGCAGCGTGTGCAGACGGGGACATGCGTTTATCAAAGGAACTAATTCAACAAGACTGCCGTTTCGTCCACCCATAACTTCTACTGTTAGCTGCTCAAGTCGTGTGTGTTCAGCCACACCGTGAAGCAAATTGCCCATCTACAATAAACAATACAGTAAAACTGAGTCATTCCAGCAATGATACAACAGGAGTAATTCAGATTCTTCCATATATTCTTCTGCTTACCGCAAATGTCTTCAGCAACAGGGACTCCAACTGAATGGCACATCCAGAGAGGGCTTTAAACACGACATCATACTGACAATGACCAAAACCTAAAGTCACATCCACGAGATTTGGACAGTTACCCACTTGCAAATCCTCCACGCGATGACAATCATCGTATATCAAGCGCACTAGGTCAGGGGCATGATCAATCTCCAGAGATTCCAGATACCAGCAGTACCTTAATTCCAAGTACTTCAATCGGAGTGGTGACAATGATGAACCCACGACCCTGAGCTGTTTAAGTGCATTTGACTGTTGCACAGCTAAATCTTCAAGCAAGGGACAATTAGAGATGAAATGTTCAATTATCTCCCCTCGGACTTCGACACAACTCAAACGCAAGGATCTGAGGGACTTGATATCTGACATTCCAGCTGGCGTCTTAAAGTGATTGTAACAATCCTCTGAGAAAACATAAAGCTTAGCATTCCCCACACCACTCACATCGAAGTTTAGATCAAGAGAATCGACTCTCTTTGAAACTGCAAACCTCACCCATTTATCGATATCTCCCTCGGAGTTGCACTGATTAGTCAAGTTGAATACAACTCTGAACTGTTTAAGTTTTAAGGCATTGTGCTCCTGCAGCTGCCTAACCACCCCATTCACCCAATTCTTATACCACCACCTCTTTTCTGCCATTAAAGGCATCATCCCCTGGCTGGACGTCTTGTAAATAACAAACAACTCATCTGAGGCATCAAAGTTCAGCACCAAATCGGATGTTTTCCACAAATCTCTCCACCTAGTAGAGAGGACTGAAGTTCTAATTGCTTCTTTGAAGGTCAAGCAAGACAGAACCATGACAACAACTTCATTAGGCAACTTACCAGTCGAATCCAATTCTTCTTCCTAAGCACATAAAATAAACAATCAGGCGGATAAACCCCCAAATCAATCAAAGTTTTGAACTTTTTCTCGACCCTTTTATGGGAATGAAAATTGGGAACCGCTAAGCTAGGCAGCTAGCTAGAAATGGATGATAAAACAAAGAAACTTACTCTTACTTCCGATCTGGTAAAAATAGAGGCCGAATCCATTGTTTTCTCTGGGCTATCCCCTTTTCCTTCGACCTGGAACACAATCAAGTTTCAGAAATGAACCCTATAATTAACTCAAAAGGGGAACCCAAGTTACAGTCGAAAAGCTTACTCTCCGTAGCTCCGTAGGGTCACCAGCTTCTGATTCCGCCATAGTTTCTGGGTGCCTCTAAAATTCCCTTCACAATTTGTGATTTAAATCACGGCGCTGGATGCTAACCGACGGCGGTACTGCCAGAGTCAACAGGCGTATCTGTGTTGAAAGACACTAATGAACCCAGATTAGCCATGGCTCGCATAAGGAGGGAGAAGCACCCAGTGGATCTTTTCCAACCAACGGGCAGCTGAAATTGAACGCAGAGTATAATTGGCGTTGGATTAGTTGGAAGGTGGGCTCAAGTACTGAGGCCCATATTTTAGCGCATGTTGAATTTTGGATTGGATATTAACTTCAGGCCCAATCAAATATCCTTCGTATATTTCACACTCTAATCTTGTTCTGTGACGGTAATTGAATACTTTCAAATCACTAGGCTGTTTGGCGTCCAATCTCTAATTTGGAGAAAGATATTTATCAAAATTCATAGCTAAGCCTTTGAGGTGAATTCTACAATGCTTTATGCATTACTTTCTCTTATTTAATAAGATGTCTTAATCATTGTATGCCTTTCAATTATGTGCTATTGTGGTGTTAATTATAATATCATTATAAGTTGTTAGAAAACTGCTCTTATATGATATGTGATTGTCTTATGCATGTATGTTTAGTTGGACGCAATTATGCATGCTTGTGTAGGATCATGCTTGATATATAGATCACCAATGCCACAAACCAATGTTATAAATTCATAGAAGACTTAAAAAGCATTGTGATATCCTTACTTCCTTGTTATTATTGATTAGTTAGTGGCATAAAGAGAAAACACACATTAACTAGTTGGAGTTCCTTTCACATGTGCCCGGTTAGGAATGCATTCGTAGAAGGGATAGAGTATCATAATTTCATAATAGAATATGATTTATGATGCATGTCATTAATGAGATGGTATGCATGATCCTCTAGAATGAAGCTACCAAAATAATTGATACCTTATATATCATATCTAGTTTATCTATCCTTAATTCCTTGCTTATCTATCTTTACTTGTTTATCTTATGGGTAAATACCAAAATAGCAAGAGCGAGATCAGAACCTTAAAGCATAGTCATTCAAACCAGTAGATAATTCAAGCAAATCGACAGCAGCAGCAGCAACAACGTTTCTTTCTCTCTTCTTCTTATTTTTGTTCTGCTCACCAGTCTGAACTTCACGCCTTCACGATAAGGACAGCCAACTGACGAGCGTAGCAGGAGATGGAGTGACATGCGAAACCATGTCTGCTCAAACAAGATCCTATCAACACATCCACAAGATAAGCACAGTTCTGTAGACGCAGTTCCAATGAAATCATCCAAACTTGATCATTTCCGCACAGAAGTTTCAAGTTTCAACTCTTTCTCATCGGCATCCGGACGATACACTTAGCATGGATGCAGGGCACGAATGGGGAGATTAACACCCTTTCTTATGCATTGTGGACACCAAAGAAGATAAAGAAAAAAACACACCAACTGATCAAATTACAACAAATTCAAGTGTTGGACGTGCTCTTAATTTGAATTCCAACGCAAGCTTTTCAGCTTCCATAGCTTCCTCCTCGGTGCAAAGCTTGGGTATTCTACCGCCAAGAATCACACCTTCGCAAGGAAGGTAATCTCCCACTGCGCGATCAACCACCATCCTCTCCAATGCCACGAAATACTCCATCACATACTCAACAAGCTCGCATTCGATTGAAAAGCCTCTAAACCCAATAATCTCCACGACCTTGATGCTCTCACGCTGCATTTTCACAATAGTTTGCGGGAGTGTAGTGCGTTGCTCGTTATTGTACGTATGCATCTGCACAATCAAATCACTATCAAAACCACCACAACCAAAGTCTAGCTGAGAATATATGACAAATTTAATGTCAATTTTGTGATAGAAACTCACAAACACTTGCAACGTGTGCAAACGAGGACATGCGTTTATCAAAGGAACCAATTCAAGAAGACTGTTATTGCCTCCTCCCCAAGCTTCGACCGTCAGCCGCTCCAGGCGTGTGTGTTCAGCCACATCCTCAAATAGCCTGCCCACCTAGGAGAAAATATATGCAAGGCATCCATCAACAAACTATACATTCAAGATGAGTCGTCAAACCAAGGGTTCTAGAATAAGAAGAATATATATCCTCTACTTACCGCAAACGTCTTCACCAACAGATGCTCTAACTGACTTACGCATCCATAAAGTGCTTTAACCACGTTATTGTACCCATCCCAATATAAACCAAAGCCTAAGATCATTTGCACAAGACTTGGGCATTTACCCACTCGCCATTCCATCAGTGTATCACATTTATCATAAATCAGGCGCTCGAGGAAAGGGGTGTGATCAATCTCCAAGGACTCCAGAATCTCGCAGTGCCTTAATTCCAAGTACTTCAATCGGAGTGGCGATCCAGACGAACCCACAACTCTGAGCTTTTTCAGGAAATCTGTCCTTTCCACAGCCAACTCTTCAAGCAATGGGCAATTGGAGATGAAATGTTCAAGAACCTCCCTCTTGACTTCAACACAACACAAACGCAAAGATTTGAGGGGCTTGATATCTAGTAATCCAGCTGGGGTCTTGATGTGATTGTAAACATCCTCTGAGAAATCATACAACTCAGCATTCCCCATAAACTGGGTATCGAAGTGCAAATCAAGAGACTCGACTCTCTTTGAAATCGCAAACTCCACCCATCTGTCGATGTCCCCTTCGGAGTTGCACTGTTTGGTGAAGTTGAATACAACTCTGAACTTTTTAAGTGTCAAGGCATTATTAATATTATGCTCCTGCAACTGCCCCACTACCCCATTCACCCAATTCTTTAACCACCTCCTCTTTTCTTTCAGTAATGGCTGTATCTTCCCTGTGGACATATGAATAGCTATTAACTCCTCCATAGCATCGAAGTCCAGCACCAAATTGGAGGATTTCCATAAATTAATCCACTTTCTGGAGAGCACTGAAGTTCTAACTGCTTCCTTGAGAGTCAACGAGGACAGGAAGTTGACAACAAGTTCATCAGGCAACTCAACTGTCGAATCCAGTTCTTCTTCCTAATGCACATTGTAAAAAAGTAAGCAAACAAACCCTAAATCAGTCGAAATTCTAATCTAGTTCCCTTCCTCCCTTTTGCGGATAAGTAAAAATTGGGAACGACTAAACTAGCTAGTGCTGAACGATGAAACAGAGAAAAAATTTTACTTCCTTCATCGTAGGTAAATTTTCAGGCAAAAATAACTCGTAGCAAAAAAAAAACCCAAAAGGGAAACTTACTCTCCGTTGTTCTGTAAAGAAACCAGATTCGGTCGCCGCCATAGCTTCTTGGGGCGCCTCTGAACTTTCCTTCTTGGCGGTGATGAATGTTAGAGCGGAAGAGCTAAATCACCAGAGAATGTGATACGAAATTGGCGAAGCTAATCGGAGAGGTTTTTGTCCTCTGGTGCTGGGGGGCGACTGCCAAGTTCTCGTAAATAAATTGCTCGGCGATGGAGAGTTAGGAGGGAATTGAGTATTCTGATCGCAAAATCAAATTTGAGAGCTCTAAGCCTCCTCTAACACAGAGGAGAGAATGCGAGGGTTTGACGGGCAGAAAAAAACGAAAGGTGGGCTTTAGAGATACTGGGTTGAAAGGTGGGCTCAATTTTCAACTCATTGCCCAAGTTAGGCCCAAAACAGGCCCAAGTCATCACTCGGGTGGAATCATAAACTCTGCAGCAGATTGACAGATTAAAAGTAGCCTGTAAATAGTCCATAGTGTTAAATGGAAGTCCCATTGGCGGGTTAAAAATCTCACTAGCTTGTCTCCATCTGCGTATGGCATTTTGGTGAGCTTCTCGCGCAAGGCAGGAGGGAGGATCCAGTGACTAATAAGTGTCCAAACTCTAAACCCTTATATCTCGACACAACAATTTGATGGTTAAAAAGTGGGAAGAGCTATTTAATTAATGACAGGAGTAGTTTGGATATTATGGAAAATTACGAAATATATAAGCCGGACTTACAATCAGTACAAACCATACAAACATAAAAACAGTACAAACTACAACGACAAAACATACAAACAGATTTACAAACATTACAAACGTATAAACTGTACAAACAATACAAACTAGCCCGACAAATAATACAAACCATACCCAAAAAAAAAAAACGGGTTGACTTTGGAGGCTCCATCCCTATATAGAGGGCTCTGTCCCAAAGTCAACCCGGTTGTTTTTTAGACATACAAACATTACGAACATGGTGGAGAAAAATAACAAACTAGACTAACATTACAAAACATACTAACCGACAAACAGTACAAAACATACTAACCGTACAAAATGTCACTAAAAATTATAAAGAAGAATGATAAACAATACAAACCGAATCGATACAAACATTACACAATAGATCAACAAAAATCACAAATCCATCATTGCCGCCAAAAAATTCTTCTTCCGAAAGTCTCTCTCTCTCTCTCTCTCTCTCTCTATATATATATATATATAGTGGCGTCTTCGGTGCACTCACTTTTTTGGGTGCATTCAGTGCACTCACTTCATAACCGTCATTTTAAACATCCAATTTATATCAAAATTATTTCAATCATCACTTATGATGTGATGAACAATAACGCACATGAATTTTCACAAAAACCATTAAAGATTTACTTTAATTTGAAGGATTTATAGTTTAGAGATTTAGGGTTAGGGTTAGGCTTTACAATTTGGGGTTTAGGGATAGAAATCAAAATTGAAGGTGTAGGGCTTAGGGTAATTGGTTAATTATTTGTTGTCATATGTTATATCATCATATTACACTAATTATATAAATTAAAATTCAAAATCCGACACTTTAAGTCTAGTTTTTGAGTTGGGTGCATTGAACGCACTCATTTTTGTGAGTGCATCGAAGTAGTCACCATATATATATATATATATATATCAAACAAACATAAACCCATGTCGTTGCGGCCGGCAAAAGAAACCCACGCCGTCGGGAGAATCCCCATAAATAGGCGGTCGACGGGATGGGGTAAGGACTTTTAAATTATTTAATATTTAAAAAATAAAAATATCATGCAATTACCATATTATCCTTCATTAAATTTGATTAATATGAACCATTAGCTTTTAATGAGTTCCAAGGGTTGAGATCAACTTAGCCACATGACTAAGGAGATCCTCTTAGTCACCAAATCTTAACCCGCAAGGTAGAGCTTCCCGGATTCCATTATTCTCTAGTTTTTTTAGCATGCAAGAACCTTTATATGTTGAGCTTCACTTTCCAGTTACATAGGACTTCTTAGTCTGAGCTTCTTGCTCACTTCATGTTAATGATATAGAAACATAGACAACTTAGGTCAGTGGAGTTTTCTGCAATAACTGATAACTTGTGAATTCGATCACCCGTCTCGAACGCTATTCATTTACCTGTGACACAGCGGGGTCGTTCTCTGTAAGAAACTAAGAACGTCTGTCAGCTTCAAATTAAAGGCCCTCAATACAGCTTCATCTTCCTTATGAATACATATGCGAGCAAGCGTTTGTTAACTCCACAATGAGTATATCTCCCAAAAAACGAAACACAAGAACGGGGATTAAAGAAATCTACAAATTTAACAAATTAAAAATATTTTTTCATATGTTTTATATCATAATTTTTAGGCTCATAGATTAAAGATATTACATCTCTCACAAATATGTTAAAAAGAATTATTAAAGATTTTCGATCTTAATTTGTATTAACAAAAATAATTATCAAATCTATTAATTTCTTTCTTTTATTTATCCCACTAAATATCCTTACAAGAATTTTCTTTTTCTTGATATTCTAATAAAAAATTTTAATCTCTATTTTTAGGAAAGTTTCCCGACTACAACAAAGTAAAAAAAGACAATTCTAATATCAAAAGCCCCAAATAACTCATGAAATGTCACATTTGAAATTAATGCATCATTTGGTTTTAAAATACTCCATTGATAAAAAAACTCATCCAAAGACCCACTCATTCCAGTCCAACATCGGGTCGAGTATGAAAACATTGGTGCAGTCGACGCCACAGTAGTGCCTATGGAGATACCCAGTAGTAAAGATGTCTCTGGTCTGCTGAAGGTAGATGTTGTGGTACTCCAACACAGCCTTGATAAAAAAACTCATCCAAAGACCCACTCATTCCAGTCCAACATCGGGTCGAGTATGAAAATATTGGTGCAGTCGACGCCACAGTAGTGCATATGGAGATACCCAACAGTAAAGACGTCTCTGGTCCGCTGAAGGTAGATGTTGTGGTACTCCAACACAGCCTTGACACATTTAATTGCTCGTGCTTGGCATCGGTAATGCTTGGAATGGTTTGCTGGAGCAATTGCACGGAATTCTAGATGAGCAACGTGGAACTTCCTCAGTGCTTGATTTGACTCAGATCTTTGGTGCCATTTATGAAGGATAACAATGAAGGGAATGAACAACTAGGGCGATACTAACATACTTCAATCAACTAGAGAGGAATATCCCTAAGCATTCCCAATTAAGTTCATGATACATGGAAGTATGTCATATACAACAACTTCATGGGGAATATGTCATCACCGAAACACAAAAACATGAAAATACACAAATCCATGAAAAACAAAACAAAACCCACGGTGATTCATAAAAAAAAATAGAGGGGGAGAACCTGTAGAAGGTAAACCCAAAAAAGCTCACCTGCACAGATCCATGAACCATATGATAAGAACCCACATACATGAAGAAGCATAAAACAAGGCGTTACGTACTACCAATTCCTTCCCTAACTCCTCGAATCATGCAAACAATCAAACATGTAGAGGGCATGAACACAGATTAACTAAAATCTTCCAAAGGTTTTGCTATCGATTTCGATCGAGAAACAACCATTACGAAATCTCAATGCTAACAGTCTCATTTCATTAGCAGTACGAGTACCAAATATGAAAGGAGAGATCATCGGGCCTCTATTTGAAAACACACAACTCCAAGTTTAAGGGCTCGTTTGGAGAATTGGAATCTAAATCTATAGATTCTAGACAATCCAAAGATTTCAACTCTCTGGATTGTTGAAAAAAGATTTGAAAATGTTCATTGTTTGGTAACTACGATTGCTAACATCCAATGAAAAAAGAAATTCAATTTTTTTATTAAATGATATGTTTATCCTTAACTAAAATAATTAGATTGCTCGAAAACTATTGAGAATTTATTGGTGAGGGTATTTGGTGGGATAAATGAAAAAAAGAAGAGATATAGTAGGAGAAAGAAAATCTCCAAAATCACGATGTAGAATCTCTCTAATTATGAGAGATTTGATATCTCTAGAAATCTCTGAAGCTACAATCCACGATACAAAAAGTAACAAAAAAACATAAAATTTTACTAAATCTATTGATTCAATAAATCCATGATCCAAATCTTGTTCTCTAAACGAGCCCTTAGCGGAATGTCAAGATCTAAAGAAGAAGAGGTTGTAAAACGGATTTGACCTTTTCAACCTGATTACGAGGGCTCTCGAGTAGCACTGAGAATAAGGCATGCGAAGTACGTAGTAGTAGAAGTTACAGTTGAGGTAGGCGGTTTTCCCATTGCAGACGACAGAGAAGTTGCAGACGATCAGCGATACTAGAGAGGGACTAGCAAGAACTTTTCTCGCGCACTTTTTTTCTCATTTCCTTTTCTCCCATTCACTCTCTCTCTCTCTCTCTAACTCGCTCACTAACTAAAGCGGTGCTTGGGAAATATTTATTAGTGGGCGAATGCGGTGCGTGTTGCAACCCACCGCTGCTTCCCTCCATATCACACATCATCATTGGTTCCAATATATTGACGGGACGAAACTGACGGGTCAAATGTTTATTTGATGTTTTACTTTTTATGTGTAAAGATTTGCGTAAAGATTTGTTTCAATCTGGAAAATACTTAATCTAAGAAGAATAATATAATACTATACACAATTTATTTTGACTTTTCATGTGATATTGACGTATACTGGGTTCCAATAATATACACAATAGATTCCATCTACAATTAGTTTAGATGGATGGAATCTAAAATTTCAATAACATTATATCAATTGAATTAAATTTTGTAGAGCAACACAAATCATCTCAAATGAATTTTTCCAAATGACCAGTAGTAATTAGTAGTTAATTTTAAATAATTAACCTGGTTTTAGGACCAGACTCAAGGTATGATTTTGATGATGAGGAGCTGATAGATTCTTTCCTAATGGAACTCTAAACAAAGTCTTCCATGAAACAGCTTCAGCTCCATCAATAATTACATGGACAAGAAATTAACTGTGCAAAATGTAAAGGTGTAGCTAAAATGTGACATCAGTTTACTCATACCCTACCCAAATACGAGGTCACTGCTGAAGTGCCACAACAATCTGAAGTGCCACAACAATCTGAAGTGCTCGGGCAGCCAACACATCCTTCTCTGCCTGACTCGAGCTCGGATCCACCTTGAAGACGTTGGTGCTGGCCACGCCCATGTATTGGTGAGACAGAACATGACGTCCTGCTCAGTCTTAACGTAGATGCATGGGAACTCCAGGACAGTATGAACCCGTGCAGTCACTATTGCACGTCGGCGCCCACGGTTAACATGGTCTGCAGGAGGAGTATCGGCGAGCTCCCGCAGAGCAAGCTGGAGCGCTCTGAGAGCCTGGTTGGACTCAAAATATCAGTGTCCCCTTGTCTAAAGCAGAGAGAAAAGAGGGGAATGGGCAAAGAACTTGAGAAGATGAATCCCTAAACCCAATAAATGTATAACACAAGGCAACAACTAAGGAAACTCGTACATTTTCATCCAGGACACACAGAAAATCATATCACCGAATCTAATTCACTTCACAATCACTTGTTTCTTTAACACAAGGTAACAACGAGGGAAACTAAACATTTTCATCCAAGACACATAAAATCATTTCACCAAATCCCTAATTCGCTTCACAATCACATGTTTCTGTAACACAGGGCAACAACTAGGGCAGCAATGAACTGCTATCCGCAAATCCAAATTCTCTCCACAGTCACATGTTCACTACTAATTAAACTGCTACTATTGACATTGAAGCACTCATTAACGAACACGAAGAATCGTCGCAAAATCCAAATTCTGTGATCAACTCCCGCATTTCCAAGAAATAAGCACGTAAGCACATAAAGAAAAGGAAAGGGACATAGAGAACTGAGAAATCGAAAGTATCTAAACGAAATAATCATCTAGGAAAACTGTTCGGATAGCAGTGGGAGCTTGATTGAAGAGTTCCGCTGCTATTCGATCAAGCTTCTGTCGCTCCCCGATCAAGCTTCTGTTGCTCTCCAAATCAAGCTACGAACAAACAAGGCCATATCCAAATTCTTTAATCTAACTCTCTAAATCAAGCTCCGAACAAACACGGAAACGTAAAAAGAAAAGAAACTTCAGGAAGCAGAGTAATTACCATGGAAATGGTGATGTGTGTCGATTCTGATTTCTGAGACGGCGAGCAAGAGCAACAAAGATATTCCTCTTTCTTTTCTCACGCTTCTCTCTCTCTCTCTCTCTCTCTCTCTCTCTCTCCCCTTTCTCTCTCTGAAAGTGATGGATTCTGATTTCTGAGACGGTGAGCAGGAGCGGGAAAGATGTTCCTCTTTTTTAGCTCACGCCTTTCTCTTACTCACTCTCTCCGTCGTGGGCTCTCTCTCTCTCTCTCTCTCTCTCTCTATCTATATCTATCTCTCTCCAAACGGGAGAGGAGTAAAACTTAAAAGGCCGCCGGTGAAACTCAGATGAGTTGGCCTCATTTCTACAATGGGCTACATCCTCGACCCCATTTGGGTTATTATTACTCTTGTCAAAACCCAACTATTCTAAGCGGGAAAATCCCTAATTGAGCGGCCCCACATTCACATTTGAATAAGAAAAAAGTCAAAGGGGATTAGGTGATTGAGTTGGATTGACAAGTGGTTTGAGGTTTAATGATCCATCATATTCAACCAGTTTGACCCATTTTATAAATATATAACACAAATAAGGTCGTCATACAACCGGAAGATTGTACCAAAGGGAAGACTCTCTCATAGCTTGAATATTTCGGGCTGATGGAACCACAAGAATTCCTCAATGCTCGACCCCAGATCTGGTAATAGGCCTAGCTTCATTTGGAGAAGTCTACTGAGTGCACAGAAGTTATTGAATGAGGGTTTGAGATAGAGAATCAAGAATGGATTAAGTGTGCGGATATGGGGTGATAAGTGGATTCCTAATACAGAAGGAGGCTTCGTCCATTGAAAGTCGATGGGCTGCCTATGGATTCTTCGGTTAGTGAGCTGATCAACCTGGATGATGAAGAGAAGTGGGACGACAACCTTCTTGAGAGCTTCTTCCTAAGCGACATTGCCACTAAGATTCGACAAATTCTGGGGAAAGGGATCGATGGATCTGGGCTAGCAATGAAGTGGGCGAGTATACAGTAAATGACGGATACTACCAGTGGGTGAAAACTCGTATGGAGGAGGGAACTCTTCTAAGCGCTGGCGAAGCAATGGTCTAGAAGAAAATTCGGAAATCAAATGTCCCTCCAAAAGTAAAGCATTTCATGGGGCTTCGCGAGGAACATGCTTCCTACGGGTGATCATATTAGCACAAAAAGCAGAAGATGGGGGGGGGGGGGGGGACAAATGTGATTTTTGTGATGCTCGATAGACATAAATCCACTTCTTTGGTGAGTACGAATGGACCACCCCGTTATGGAGAGCCTCCCCGCTTTCTATATGCTTTAGCTTACTGGATAATAGTCGTGGGTGAAGAAGGCCATGGAGCAGGTAGAGGATGGAACGCTGGAAGCTTGGATTGATTCCTTTGGAAGGAACAAAAATCACAAATGTTCAACGGGAAAAAGACTCTGGAAAAGGAAACTGTGAGCAAGGCGCGTTCCTTCCTGATAGACTTCCAAGAACAACAAAAGAGAGGCAAATGAGGTACCACTAAGACCATCAACAATGTGTGAGGGATGGAAATGTGGGGAAAGAGGGAAAATGGGAGGGTTTGATCACAATGTGAGGATGTGAAATGAGGGTAATTGGTTGATCACTTTTTTTTTATAAAATCAATATATAGTTGATTTCAACACTTTATTTTTATATAATGATCATTATTTTTACATAGTTAGTGATAATTAATTAATACGACCATTTTGATATAATTTTTTTTAATTTTGATATAAAAAAATTTATCACTAATTAACGTCATTACTGACGAAATCACAATAATTTACACAAGAAAGTTGTTACATTAATAATTGAACATAAACATAATTAAGAAGAAATAAAAACAAACAAACAAACACTAAACCCTAAAAACAAACACTAAATCGTAAAAATAATAACAAAAAATAAAAATAAGAAGCAACCTGTCGCGTGTCCCCACCCCCACCCCTTCCTCTCTTTTTTGTCTTCTACAGGTGGATATTCCTAGGGGTGAACAAAACAACCCGCAACCCGACACACCCGTCCAACCCGATCCAACTCACCTGTATTTATCGTCATAATTAAAGTTTAAAGTTGGGTGAGGGCTTTCTTTTGTACAACCCGCCTCTATTGGGCTGGGTCCGGATTTTTGGGTAACGCAACCCATAGAACCCTACCCAACCCGTGTTGAACTATTGTCATTAGTGTTCGAATACAACACATGTTTGTGTCGTAAATAAACATATTTGCGAGAAAATTAAGCTATATTATCATATTTTTCTTTTGTAGTTTCTCTAGTCTAATACATTCTTTAACTTAATATTGTGATGTAGATTTAATATAAGCTATGATTCACGTAATTTTTTTTCTTGTGTGTACAATTTTAGAAGAAGAATATAATATGAATATGTTAGCTTATATAACTACTTTAGCTTACTTGGACAAATATTTATGAAAAAAACTAGACATATGTTGAAGTAAAATACATTTTATTAAAATCCAGACAATATTTGTGCATATTGAAACCTTTTGCCTCGATTTGTTTGTCTAGAATCTTAATTAGTTATATAATATTTTCGTAGTGTATAATAGTTGCATTTTTGTGTTGGGTTGGATATTTAATTAAAAGTATCTCCAACCTGACCCAACCCAACCCAACCCAACCCAATTATAAACAAACCGTAGAGTTGTAAATTTTTTTTGGGTTGGGTTGGATTTAACATTTTCAAAACTGTAGTATATAGATCAGATGATTAAAATGATCACATCCGAACCACCCGACCCATGTATACCCCTAGGTATTCCCCCTATTTCCTCCTATTTCTCCATCTTCTCTCCCCTTTTCCCACCCATATTATGGGATTCTTTCCCATTTTCCCCCATAAATCCACCCCCATTGTGGATGGTCTAAGAGCCGAGGTCGGGTGGAGAAAACAAGCCTTAGTTGGGTTAAAGTAAACATCAACGTTGGGATGTGGAGATGACGGAAGCGTTAGTAGTAGAGTTTGGTCTTCAAATCGCGCATCAAATGCACATTGAGAGTCTCGATGCATTGAACAAATGTTCAACTAAACTACCTCAAAGTATCCATTCAAAAAGACTAACCACAAAGTCACTTAAAATGTTTGAGCACTAAAATGTCATTGATACAAACACGGTACCCCAAATAGAAACAGTTTACTCATAGTTTAGGGTAACACCAAAAGTGACCAAACCAAGCTCATATAAGCTTAATTGAAGAATTATTGCAAAGCAATATCTATGTTATCTCCCAAAAACAAAATTGTTGGTGGATCATATGAGCTTCCAATACTAAAAATTCACCTACTCGATTGCCAGGGATTCATGGAGCTTGTAGAAATAGTAACATATAGCTGAACACAAAGTAAGCATGATATATTTCCCTCTGCAGCTTGGTATATTCATTAGTTCAGCTCCACATCTCCTTCCCTATTATAATCCTTAATTTAGGTCTGGTAGCATCCATTAATTAACCGTCTGAATTATAACGCAACAAAGTATACAATTGAAATTATGATAGTTTGATCCTTCTAAAGAATCTGAAAGACATCATTGAACACTTCTTACATAATTGATGTTCATGTTGCGGGCATGACGTTCAAATAAGTGTTAGTGAAATCATATCGTATTGTCGGTTCGACCGTAAAAATACCTGTTTGGTACGCGATTTTTAGCGATATGAAACGATTGAACAAAATATCCTAGCGCTAGCTCCTCATGTACAACCAACAGTACAATATCACAATCCTTGGTTCAAATCTGTCCACCACTAAAAAAATTTAGTTAACTGCATTGTAAAATGAGTTAATTGATGACATATAATTAACTTCTCGGATTTTATGTCACAACCGATTGTTACTACATAAGCTATTGACAGAGTTCCATTGAAGGCATTTTATGAACTAACTTGATGCATATATTACTGTAATTGAAAATTCATTGGGGTTACTATTGAAATATATGTACGTGCATGTGGGCTGATTTGTAAATATGCACAACTAAGTGGACTGGTTAGTATTTTGGCATGAAGGTCTGTGGTTAGAGCTAAGTGCATGGCCGCCTATAAATCCTACGTTTAGGGTCTATGGAGATGTATAATATAAGTAAGAAGGACGTTAACCACCGTGGAGTAAAATCTCTCTGAAAGGCAGAAACACGTTAAATCTCGTGTCTCGTTCGATTATGTCTTTTGGATTCTGATTGTTTAACAGTTACTTGCCAACAATACTCTGCCCCTAGATCTCGAACCTGGCTTGCATAGATAGAATCATAGAGCTCTCTGCTAACGCAATACTATTCTTGTGATATTCAATGACATCATGGTCATCCAGATCAATCTGCAAGCACATGAACATACAAAGAAGAAGAAAAATATATCTCCAAAATCTCGATCCTTGATCACATTTTTATAGGCAATGCCCCAAACTACCAATAAAAGCAATTAGTTTCTTATTTATTCTTGAGAGGCTCTCTTCGGGAATGTGAGGATCTGATCGAGGTCTTGAATGAGTACGAGGAACTCAGTGGCCAAAAGGTGAACTTGGCTAAGTCGGCGGTATGCTTCAGTAAGAACATTTCTACGCCAGACCAAGATTTCTTGGCGCAAATTCTAGGGGTTGGGGCGGTGAGGGTTCATGATAAATATCTCGGCTTACCCATGCCGATTTCCAGATCTAAGATGGATACGTTCCGCTATCTTGAGGAAAATCTACTGGAAAGACTCCAAGGTTGGAAACAGAGAACTTTATCATGGGCAGCTAAAGAGACTTTGATTAAATCAGCTGCGCTAGCTCTGCCTTTGCATGTTATGTCATGTTTCAAACTACCCTTCTCTTTGTGCCGCCTCTTGGATAAACATGTGGCCAGATTCTAGTGGGGTGTTGAGGAGGGTCGAGCCAAGATACGGTGGATGTCTTGGCGAAATATGTGCCAAAGTAAGCATGATGGGGGTGCGGGGGTTCGTCACTTCGAACATTTTAATCAGACTCTCTCAGCCAAAATTGGTTGGCGAATCTTGAATGAACCCCAGTCCCTCTTAGCCCAGGTTTACAAAGGCAAATATTATCCTACTGGAACATTCCTCTCTGTTACGACTCACTCTCGACCATCTTGGGGATGGCAGAGTATCCTCTTTGGTCGTCAACTATTGGAGATGGGGTTAAGATGGAAAATCGGGAATGACCGGACTGCCTCTTTGCTTCATTCCAACTGGATTCTTGGGATACATCCAGATCTCCTGGTGTTTAACCCCAGGGTGCTGCCTCATGGAGGGGATCTTCCAGTTGCAGAGGTGCTCTGCCAATGGGAAGGGCGTTGGGATGATGGTAAACTTAACCAATGGTTTGACCCAGCCACTTGTCGAGTAATAAAAACAATCCTTGTTCCTCGACATAACATTGAGGATAGGCTAATCTGACATGGCACGACTGATGTCGTTTTCTCGGTAAAATCGTCCTACCACGTTGCTGTCTTGCTAGATAAAAAAATGGATCGTTGGAAGTCCATGGTCAGTTGGATAGATAGGGCGAGCTAGATTCGATTGTGGGATGCTAATATTCCTCCCAAATTGAAAGTCTTTGTGTGACAAATTTTCAACTGCATCTTACTAACAACTGAGGCCTTAATTGAGAGGGAAATCCCCGTGCTTCCCAGGTGTCCCGTTTGTTAGGGAGATCCCGAAACAATGGAATATTTGTTTCTTGATTTCCCTGTTGCTCGTGCTCTCTGGGATCATTCGGGGATAGAACATCTTGGGCAAGGATTGCCTCGACACACCTTTTCGTTGTTTCTAAAAAGGTTGATGTCTCTTATCCACCAACCTCCTCTTTTCATGGCAGTTGTCGCTCTTTTATGGACGATCTGGCGACCTCGTAATTGGGTGGTTTTTGAAGGAAAACAGTTTGGGATCCCCGTCTTGATGCGACAATTTAATCAGCAATATGAGGAGTGGGTAAGTTTGTCGGCGGACCCGATGCTCCAAGTTCAAAGGCCCTTATTGCAACAATTGAGTCATGTAGGGCTCTCATTTGCAATTTGTATGTGGGATGGGGCGACAAGGAGTAGGTCTCATTCGGCAGGCGGAATGGTTATTATGAACCAGGATAGGGAAATTCTCTTGGCTACTAGGGTACAATTCATGTTGATTGATGACCCTATGGTGGTTGAATTCCTTGTGCTCCGTGAGGCTGTTTTATGGTGTTTGGATCATGGCTTCACGGAGATGAGATTCGAAGGTGATGCTAAAGTGGTCATTGACAAAATCAATAGGGTTGATACTAGACATTATCTGCTGGGGGCGCTTTTCGAAGAAATTGTGCATTGCTTTGAAGTCCATCCAGGGTTTAGTGTTCGATTTGTAGGTCGGCGTTACAATAGGGTAGCCCATTTGGTGGCTAGAAAGACCCTTTCTTTGTACCCGACTATGAGTCGATTATTTGATTACCAGGCCTTGCTGAATTCCAGGATGTAACTATCTCTGGTTTAAATCAATATATGATTATCTTTTGTAAAAACAAATAGTTTTAAAAATCAAAGCCTATATTGGTAATGGAATTTGGGATCCCCAAACTACTTGTGATAACATTTAACCTAGCAACTTACCAAATTCTTATGCCGTAGCCTTGTAAGTATTTGAACATATTATCAAATGATATATCACAATTCACAAATATACAAATTCAACTTAGAAATTCCATAAAAATGCACTATTAAGGTGTTTGAATTCTATGGTGTATACTTGTTTTAAATAGAAATGTATGCATGAAAAGAATCATAAAATTTGCTTAACGTAGATGGTGAGATAGTTGTTCCTAATTGATCGGATGTAGGATTTGATTCCCATACCCAACCTAATGAAAATATTTTCAGCCCCACCTCTCTACACATCTTAGCCACTGCCTACTGTCCGTATTTGAGGATTCATAAGCAATATCTCGCTCAGTTCATCTTAATGATATATAAACTTAGAAAACTTTGGATCAGTGGTTTTTTGCAATAACTGATTAATCATGAACAGGGGCTAAGTCAGAATTTGTAGTTCGGGTGAGCAAAAAAAAAAATTTAACCTACATTATGCGTTTATGTCCAACATATATAACTAGGTTAAAAACAATAAAAATCGGCATACATCTTGCAACCTAATCTACATTTTATTAAATGTACACTTGAAAACTCAAATATTAAAAAAAATATTCATAACTAGTGCAACATTTATTGGATGTCCTCCTATGGACATTCGATAAAATTGGAACGATAAGGAGTGATAAGTTCTTTTACATATGCAGTGTGATATTGAAATTTAATGGATGCACTACCAATCTAGAACGCTTTTCATTTACTTATGTAAGACAGGGTCATTCTTCTGTAGTAAGCTTCAAAGTTGAGGCCCTCAATACAGCTTCATCTTCCTTAAGAACAAATATGCAAGTAAGCGATAAGCTGTGATCATCACAAACAAAGCACCAACTTCCAGCCCACCTGAACCCACTCCCATTTCCCTGATGAACCCACATTCGACATCAGACCGCCCTGACGAACAGCTGTACTGGATCTTCAGCAGCAGCTTGTATGTGTGGTAGTTGAATGATACATTGCGCGCCCACTCCATAAACCCCGGGACATTCTGCATATTTAGGTAATGTTCGAATGACCCAATCGCATAATCGTGCGAATACAATAGAGAAATCTTAATGAAGCTTCTAATTTACCTTGAGATAAAATCCACCAGATAACATGAAGGACATCACAACAACAGAAGCAAGTGTTGTTGCTTTCTTCAGATCCATGAATGCTGCACCTATTGCCAGTCCAAGACCCTGAATTTCGATGTAGCTTATAGTACTCAACATTAAACCTTGTGGATGTAGTTACTTGTTAGGCACGGTAAAGTTCTTGTTATAGTACCTGAGCAGCAATGATGTTGAGGAAAAGGGTAAGGAGGGTAAGAGAAAACGCCGAGAAGCTCGACTTGAGTCCCACCATGAAGTAGACCATCATAAGGAACAGAACAGGCAATGTGAGATCCAAGAGGAGATCACAGGCACTTCTGGCAGCAAAATATGCACTCAGCTTGTACATGCCAACTGATCTTTCTTTAGCCAGCATCAGTCTTTCTTGTGGGAATGTGAATACAGAATTGAACAAAGGAAGGAAGCCCCAAAACACTGAGATGAAGAACAGCAGCCCAGCCTGTGAAATTTTGAGAAATAGTTGTAGTTGAATCCTTGACTTCTGTTGTTGAACATTAATAATGTGTATCATTCATGGTTACCAAGTTCTTGCCTGATCCTGGAGTTTCTGAGGAGATGAAGCATCAGAATGCCACCAAAGTAGTAGCACCACAACGGCTATGGCTATAACTTGTACCACACGAATCGTACTAAGATACTCGTGGCGCTTCTCTTTGAATCCCCTCTGAAATAGGATTGAGAACTGATCCCACCAAGTTGCTTCAAAGTCCCTTGATTTTACCTCTCCGGCTGGGATCTCTGCCTTGCCATTTAGGACTGCTGCTGGTTTTCTATCCGCTTCTCTTACGTGTAATCTACTGGCCTCCACAAGAAACTGAAAGCAAGGACATTGAAGCCTGAGACTCTTATTTGTGAGTTATGACATAAGTTCCCTAAAATAAATATAAAGAACTGTCAAGATGAGTTATTTGATGTTTCACCTCTTGAACATCAGCTGGTGAAGGTCTGCTCTTAAAAGCCAACTTGTCATCATCCAGTTGAGCAGGAACAGACTTGTCATTCACATCTCCATTGGCAAGATCGACGAGAAACTCAGCTGGGTTCATTGCTATGAGCGGATAGCACCCAATTGAGGAGAAATACAGCATGGCCTCGGATGCTTTCCCAAAGTACAAGGAGCTGCCTTTGCCCAACAGAATGAGGTTATCAAACTTGCTGAAAACCCTACTGGATGGCTGATGTATCGTTGTCACCACTGTTTTTCCTTCCTGCACAAGAAAACAAGATGAACCAAAAATCACAATGTCAAGAAAGCTCAATCATTATTGTCAAGTCATTTTTGCAGTAAGTTGGCAGTACCTCAGCCATGTTTTGCAGTAGCTGGACGATTCGAAGTGCAGTGGTGGAGTCCAGGCCAGATGTTGGCTCGTCCAAGAACAAAAGCGATGGATTCAGCAGGATTTCATTCCCTATGCACACCCTTTTCCTCTCTCCTCCCGATATTCCTCTCATAAACTTGCCACCAACCATTGTGTTTTGGCATCTAAAACATATTTTTCCACACATTACAATGTGGTGAAAGTTACAGGCCGGTGAAAGTTTGGCAGAATCAAATTTACCTGTCGAGACCTAGCTCGCTGATGACATTCAAAGCCCGGTCTCGCTTCTGCTGTCTACTCAGGACACTCGGAAGCTGTAGTAATGCGGAGTAAGTTAAGGTTTCCTTGACAGTGAGATGAGGGAAGACAACATCATCTTGTGTCACAAAACCAATCCTGGAAAAATTGTTCATATTAACACACCAAATCATTGACCAGCAAGTTATGGTATCTTTGTTTCGAAACGAATACCCCGAAAGAGAAGGGAAGATACAAATCTCATGCATGAATATGATCACCTTCTCTTGAGTGACTTGGTGTATGGTTGATCATTGTATGTGATGCTACCAGTGGTTTCAGATTTGATCTTTCCACTTAGAAGATTGAGCAGGGTTGTTTTCCCACTACCTGATGGACCCATCAGAGCAAGCAACTCCCCTGGCTTTACACCACCAGTGATTCCATCAAGTATCACCTTCTGATCTCCACTACCACCACCCTTTCCTGCAACTTTGTAGTGCACATCCTGAAACTGCAGGGCTTTATTTGCTCAATTAGACCATTTTCAGGGGTTTAATGGAAGAAGTTATGAGAGTTGAAGTCATATTAATTAAGCATGTCTCAGGATTTCTATTAAACAATTGAGTTATTGATATGAACTGGTTTTTTCGCGTGATCTCAAAAGACTCGACGGTTGGCATGTCCCACTCGTAATTCACAACTCTTAGCATGGTTGATTCGAGCAATGATAATCAAAGCATAATTTTCAACTCTATGATCAGCAAGATTTTGGCTGACATTGGCACATAGCCGTGCGAAATAGCTCCTATGAACTAGTTTTCTATGCACTTTTAAAACATTTTATGCTAAAGAAGTGACCAACAGCGTAAGTTAGTACGTACAGAAACCATCACATCACATCTCCGTCTACCTTGAGAGATATGGGGAAAGTAGGTTCAGGAGCTTGGAACCCTTTCCCACCTGCGTCTGAACGGTACCGGCGACTTGCGAGGTGGTCGGAGAAAGTATGATCGGCCGGGGAACAGCTGCTGCTCTGAGTGGAAGAAGGTGTCTCGTCGGTGGTAGTAGTAGTAGTGCTGCTGTCGCATATAACATCAGAAATGTAAATTACCAAATCATCACCTGGAGAAGCTACTTGCTGCAGTACTTCTGTTTCGGCTTCTTTTGTCGAGCAACCCACTATTGAAACAAGAACAGAAACAGAACAACATTCTGTTATGTGTCACCACGTACATCTAACGACTAAAAGAACATTAGACTCCACGATTCTACGAGACGTTGCTTCGAAGACTTACTCGAAAAGAGGCAATTGGGATCTCTAGAGGGGGCAGAGCAGAAGGATCAATGGGTTGGGATTTTGTGTAAGTTTCTGAGTTGAGTGTTTAATATAGGCACACCAGTCCACCACCACTAGTTGCAACCTATAAAGTGAGAGTTAAATTATTTTCTCAGGTAGATTTAGACATCTTTATTATAATTATAAAGAGATAATAAGAGCCACTTGAGGCAATTAATTGGAGCAACAATGTGGCCACCATTACCATATTAACTCATAATGATCATTGTGAGTGACTGTCAAGCCACCTTGATGATGTTTAGGAAGGTTGTGTCACTCATTGAAACCTTCTCTCTGAAATTATTATCCAATCAAATGAGTGAAATTAAAAGGTGGGTTCTGTTTTTGTTTCTCTCTCAATAGACAGCAGCCCTAATTTGCGCTATGTGCATTGGCAAGGTTGTTAAACCTTTTATCGACCGGTTGGTTGGACCAAGTTCGATCAGAATTAGACTTCAAAAAAGTTTCCAGAAAATCACTGGTATGACCATTAGAGAGAGTGAGGGAGACAGCCGAAAGAGAGGGAGAAGGAGTTAGGTAGGGTTTTTTTAGGTGAGTTTCTAATAGATACATGTAAAGCAAATTTTATTTCAGTCATTAAAATTCTAAATTAGTATTTTATTTGTATACATATTTAGAAAATGTATAAAACATCTCAAACATGTTGAATCCCAATAAAATCAGTGAATCTTAAATCGCTTATTTGATCGGCTCAACGATTTAAACCAATTTAACAACCAGTAAATGATGCTCGATAGTTTAAATTTTTTTATTATATTGCGTCATAATTGATGATCAAGATTTATAATAGAATAGAAAAGAATGGTACTATTAGTACCACCCACAGAATTTAGATGCCAACTTAGCAATCCAACTGTCCTTTTGATGCAAAAGAAGCGCTCGGCTTGGCTTTGATACAAATTAGTGTGAGTAAAAGATTTGGAAAATTGTATTGGAGGTTGTATCGAAAAAGTGAATGATTGGATATTCTGTAATGAAATTGTGGTTTAATTATAGCTTAGTTGTTTCATATCTCTAGAATCGTCTATAAATTTATATTCTGGTAATTAATTTTTCTGATCGGATCGTCGGCTCATATAATATCTCAAAGTCTGTGGACCCCTGCGAACTTGATTGATTCCCAACAAACTTCAAACACACAAATGACTTTGTGCATAATTCATATGACTGGAATTGAAACTCAAATTCATTCTTTAAATTCATGAAACAAACGACCTCTAAAATCTAGATAGTTAGATCATAGCACGCCCTAGTTTTGACATAAACAAATTTTACTCTTGTAAATTACATGTTTTGTGCAACTAACTTGCCTATATTGATTAATTATTGTCCTATATGATGTTTAATCCGATCCATTATTAGAGAAAAAGAAGTCCAAATTGCGATTAGTTATATCAGTTGTTGCTCAAGTACGCTGTTTTTCTTAAACACTTTCTGTCCATTTTGGCTTTCCCTTTCCCATGATTTCATTTACAAGATCCTCTGCCTAGCTAGCTAGAAAAAAGGTTCTCCACCCAGTAGACTTTTACCCTTAAGTATCATTTAATTTAACTAATAAGATGTTGCTTAAGTATATATGTCCTTGTTTGATGATATATATCACTTTCATTCTCTATTTTCAAGTCGTCACAACCCACCACCATGCATAAATAAATATCATGGTTTATGTATGCATAATAAAGAAAGCACTGCAACTTGGCATTTTTAAGTCATATGTAGTGTCATTTCCATCTTGCCTATACCAGGATCAATTAGAGGAGCATTTTCCAAATCAATTCGTTTATGTGTTGAAGGAAATCCAAGCCAGCCTCCTGATTATGGATTTGGTGTCTTAGCTCACAATGCATGCCTTGATTTCTGAAGGTAATTCTCTTTGTGAAAAGGAAGATTGACGAGTCAGCTTTGGTGACGGTCATCAGAGATTTGTATTACAAATTTACAATCGCTCTTCATAATAAGCAACCATTGTAGATGAAGGATTCACGGATAGTCACCCTCTCGTGTCAGTTCGATAAGTTTATTTTTTGTTGATAGTGCTTTGACTAATTTAGGAAGCAAGCATTAAATATGTACCTTATAAGCTGTGTAAAAATTTAGACGTAGGAGAACCTCGTCTAACTTGCATGTGCTTACAACTTTCCAATAGAACAATGGTTACTCATAGGACATTGTCGAGGACGTTTTTCCATGTTGATTTTGTGGTGTTGGACATGGAAGAAGATAATGAATTTATGCATCATTCCTTGCCGAACATGTTAGCAACTTTCTATGGTTCTTATAGATGTTATAGAAGGCAAACTTATGAAACTTGAAAAGTAGTATTTTTCTTGCCTCATTCTATACCAAATCCATATATAATTGATGCGGTCTTAGAGTTTTTTACGATGAAAATGTCAACTATTTGTCTAAAGTGCAATTCATAGACCTTGTACTATTTTATGCCATTTTGGGTATAATTTTTTTAGTAATTTTTAGATATAGGCAACTTTAGAACTAGATGGACCAAAATGAAGCAAAACCAGCAGACCAAGAGAAGAGCATCGACAAAAGTTTCAACCAAATCAGAGAACGACGGTCGATCCCTCTGTTGACCCCACCACTCTCAGAATTAGCCCAAATTTGAGTGAGAGAGAGTAAAACAAGTGCTAACGAGAGTAGCGGCAGGGAAAAGTAGAACAAGCTAGAATAAATAATTCGATCTAGAGAGAGTGTGTAATCTATTTTCAGAGTAAGTAATGAAGCTGGATATATAAGGTGATCCACGCGATTCTAAGGACTGGCGCTGACGGGAGTATGCGGTAGGGCGGCAAGCAGAGAGCAGGAAAATATTTTCCTCTCTTTCTTCTCTCTCTCCCTCACTTCTCTTTACTTATCATTCAATTGTTACTAAGTAAATTGAAAATTCTCATCCAAGAAAACAGAAAATCCTCAATTTGACGTGATGCTCAGGCAAGGTTCAAGAAAGCATTAAGCGTAAGGCGAGCGTTGGAGCTCTGCCTAGCGCCTAAGCGTCGCCTAGGCGCGACTAGGTGTTGGAAACAAAAAATAGTTATTTTTTAATAAATGATGAATGAATTAGCAATATTGAAGTACTTCCGCACTTTGACATTAATAACTTAATTAACACTTAACAACAAACAATATGATAATTGAAATAGTACTTAACAAATAATTTTTATATGTATATTCATTTCTCAATTATAAATTGCTAACATAATATTACTGATTCCCAATGTTTAAACATACCGTTAGAAAGAAGAAGACGACGTTGGGTAAGCAAGGAGCGACAATCAGGGAGGCAGGAAATATTTTCTCCCTCTTGACTTTCTCTCTCTCTTTCACTCACTCTCTCTACTCTCTCTCTATATATATATATATTTGAAAAAAAATTAGTAAAAAATGTTGGGGGAAAGAATAAAACTTTTTTTGTTGCGACCTGTTATTTATATTCCCCAAATAAAAGTCGAAAAGAAAAGGAAAGGAAAATGTTTGTTATTCCAAAAATATGATCCAATTTTATGGTAAAACAATGTTTTTAGCCCTAGTTTCATAGTTTTATTGTTATTTTTGTTACCGTAAAAAAAACTTATATGAATCATATAAGAGGACCGTACACTTTCCAAAACTAACATAATTGATGAAAGTGGTCATACAAGTTTGGTCATGTAAGAAAATAGTCATAACGGTTTCGATAGAAATAAAAAGATTATGTATGTAATACAATATAACAAGAATGTGATTTGGTTTCTTTTCATCCATATTTTAAAAAAAAATCTGCATTTGTCTTGCTTACTCCCTTCAAAAACTAATATATAAAAATATTAAGTTTCTAACAAACCCTTAAACGTACTTCTTATTCAGAGCAAGGTAACCGGATATTTTGGATGGAAATACTTATAGAAAATAAGAATGATTGTTTTGTTGTAATGTAATACATATGTGATTTTTTTTGTTACATTTATAATGCTTGTAATGTTTTTGTTGTTGGACCAAACCTATGTAACCACTTTTATCAATTAACTCAAAACTTAGAAAATAAAATCTTTGTAATGCTAAGATTAGTAGACGGGCTCAACCTTAGTGTGATGATTGTAGTTTTATATAATAATTGCAATAAATGCGGTGATAAGCTCAGTAGTTGGCTGGAACTTATGTGAATGTTTATAATAATTCACACAAAGAAGTAACGAATTCTCTAGTATCTTAGCAGCAAAAAAATATTCTAACAACAAAGAGAACCCATTAGTCTGCGGTGATTTAGGAATACAATTCATTCTCTTCACAAAGTAACTAATCCCTTAATGCATGATAAACATGGAAAGAGAAAAGAAAATGGAATGACACGAAACCATGCCTCCAATCGAAGCATTTTTAACTTAAAAACTGAAAATACCCACAACGAATCCGTTGCAAATCCAAATTCACTCTATAGACACTTGTTTACCTATCTACTCAAGAAACTGGAAATTATCAACACAGACAAGCATTGCCACATCCAAGTTCACTCATCTTATTCCTGGAATTCCAGAACGAGCAAATCTCACAAAACATGGGGTGTGAAAAATAGAAAGAAACAAAATCTTAGTTGAGTGAGAGTAAGTAACAATGTGATATGTGAGATTGGAGAGAGTAGGACAGCGAGTAGGGATTCAACAAAGAAACTGAAAATTATAAAGAACACAATGTTTTAGCCTTAGGGATGGTAGAATGAAAACTTCACTGTGAGAAGAAAATAGAAATCACAAGATAAAGAAACATGATCTTTCTGGGAACACAGAAAGAAGGAATATAAATCACGGTGAATAAACACAATGTTTTAGCCTTAGTTTCATAGTTTTATTATTATTGTTGTTATTATAAACAAAAAAAACTTGTATTAATCATCAAAGAGAACCGCACCCCTCCACTAAACTTGCATAATTGATGAAAGTTGTCATACAAGTTTGGCCATGTAAGAAAATAGTGACGAACATTTCAAGTGAAATAGTAAAATTATATTTGTAACACTATATAATAAGAATGTGATTTTGTTTCTTTTCATCCACATTTATAAAATATGTTCATTATCTTGCTGACTCACTTAAAAATTACTATAAAAATATCAAACTTCTAACAAACCCTTAGACCTACTTCTTATCCGGAGAAAAGTAACCAAATATTTTGGATATAAATACATATAAAAATACACAAAATGATTGTTTTGTTGTAAAGTAATACATATATGATATTTTTGTCGCATTTCTAATGTTGGAAAATGGATCTGACCTTTTCAACTTGATTATGAGGGCTCTGGAGTATCGCCGTGAATAAGGGAGTAAAAGTATGTAGTAGCAGTAGTTACGCATGAAGTAGGTGGTTTTCCACTTGCAGACGACGGAGAAGTTGCAGATGATCAACATTATTATAGAGGGACGAGCAAGAATTTTTCCCGCGCGCTTATTTCACTTCCTTTCTTTTCTCTCACTCCCTCTCTATATTCGCTCACTAACTAAAGCAGTGGAAGAGAGATATTTATTAGGGGGCGAATTGACTGCACAGTGCGTATTACAGCCCACCACTGCTCCCATCTAGATCGCACATCATCATTAGTTTCAATATATTTACGAGAGAAACATATGTTTTAGGTGATTTGTAATATGTGACTTAATACCTAAGTAGTTTGGTCTTCATACATGAAAGGAAATAAACTCTGAAATAAGGCATAAACCGTCCCACCAATGATAGGTTAGCTAGCACTTACTTCTCCACTTGATTCGGTCCTTGAGTGCCATAGTCCGCCCATCAACAAGCTTAGACAACTCCTGCCGCTTATTCCAATCCAGCTTCAGGTCTAGCTTGAATACATTTTTGCAGTCAACGCCCCTATAGTATGTGCGAAGATTACCAGTAGCAATGACGTCCCTGACCTGCTAAAGGTAGATGCACTGGTACTTCAACATCACCTCGGCACGTTTAGATGCTCGTGCTTGACATCGTTAATGCTTGAAGTGGTTTGTTAGAGCAGTTATGACAAACTCCAGATGAGTATCATGGAACTTTCTCAATGTCTCATATGACTCAAAGATCTTTGGTGTCATTCCTGAGAAAATTGCTAATTGGGAGAGAAGCGGTTTGACATCGCCAATTTAGATCCAGGGGCGAAGGGGGTGAATGGTGGAGATGAGAGGGTTTTGTTTTACATTTTTATTTATTTGCTTAAGGGATATGAGAAAAAGTAATCAAAATTGAAATTTTAATTGATTTTTAAGGTGAATGTTGATGTGGAATGCTGAGGGGGAGCACCATTAGAAAATAGTTAACGGTAACAATACGATATATTATACTTTTTGTGTGTTACAAAATGTTTGACTAATTATTAGTATTTCAACGGGTTTGGCTAATAAAAAAGAATCGAAAAAGGTTTGACTAATAAATATTCATTACTCATAATATAATATTATACATAATTTATTTTGATCCTTCATTTGATATTGACATATATTGAGTTGCAGTAATATGTACAATAGAATCTATCTACAGTTAGTTTAAATGGATGGAATCTAAAATTTCAATAACATAATGTCAATTGAATTAAGTTTAGTATGATTATTTTGTAGTAAGAATCTTGCGTTGACCCTTTCCTGAACCAGAACAGGGGGTGAGAAAAAAAAAGAGAATTAAAATGTCCCTAAAAAAAGTGAGGTCGGGACCTTGGCTGCCCCCTCCCTTATTCCCCCCCCCCCCCCCCCCCCTCATTTTCAATAAAAAAGTCCCGCTCCCTAAGGAGTCCCTCTCTAATAAGGAAAGAAACGAAATAAGTTTCATTTTACGACAAATCCGGTCTAATGACTCTTCTCCACTATCCACAAGAATATAGAGACTCTTTATTTCATCTTCGATGCCATTACTGGAGTGATGGGGCCGACACATGCTTTTCGGTACTGATAGGTAGAGCAACACAAATAATATATTCATCTTAAATGAATTTTTTTCCAAATGACCAACAGTAATTAGGAGTTGATTTTAAATATTAAAACCCCAATGAGTGTCGAGTGTTATCGTAACCTACCCTTAATCCGACCTATTCATTTGTTACTGGTCAAACCTAAACACAAATGTTGAGGTGTTACATTTCCTCCCCACTTAAAAAATATCAAGGTTTAAAACATGGTCTTGCTTAGTTTCTTAACATGGCATAACTTATGCTCGTTTGGCATAATTTTTCCACACAGTTGGAACATATAAATCAACTTACTTAAAGCATAACATGCTCTCCTTGTCTTGAAACATGACTTCTTGATGCAATGCAATGATGTATTGGTGAAACTTAAGAACTTAACAAAACACCATAACGTAAAAGCGTATATGTGCATAACTAACGTAAACGTAAAGACTGAGTATTGTAGACACCATATTTTGTCCAGGACAAACACTCTAGATAAGAACCCAAAAAGGGGACATATATATGAGGATAAATTGAAAAGAAAAACAAAACTTCGAAAGAATTGGTCTAGACTAGCAATGGCAAGTCAATAAACACCAAAGATTTCAAAACTTTGAAAGAATTGGTTGAGACTAGCAATGACAAGTCAATAAGGACCAAAGTTTACCAAGTTTGCTGCTATATAAATTCTAGAATGGATGTTGATTGAGATTGACGGTGCCGAAACTAAAACATATCCACAAGGTTTGCTTGTAGTTTAACTAATACATTAATCGTGAGCTTAGCATATGGAATTTAGTAAATTAGTACATGAGAGGTCGATCGAGATTGGAATTTGAATTCAATTTATGATATATGGAAGGGGGGCTAGATTTGATTAGAGGGAATATGAGACTTATCATTGAGCTTTTGCAATATACATTGCAAGCATTAATAACATATCTAATGAAGGCAATGACTGCAATTAATTATACAACTTTGTATCAATAATTACAAAAGTGAAAATGAAAAAGAAAATGGTGATCGAGTTTATTGGATTTGAGTCATTGGTCCCTTTGGCTCATCGCTTGGCCCAAAACCAAGCATAGATACCTGGAAAAAAAAGATCAATTAATCTAGAGCTCATTTGAAGTTCAAATTCAAGCCCAATTCAGGTCCTCAATTTCATCTCATCTCAACTCAATTAGGGTCAATCCAAAGCTGTCATTCTAGCCGAAAGGGCAAGCAAAAATTACTGTCGTCAACAGAAAATCAACCAAACATATCACTTTACACAGTTCCAGGTTGGTGTTTCTTTGAACCATCTTAATCATATACGCATATTGATCATCCATACATACCATTAGTTTATCAAATAAGGTGGATTTGATGGGGGTCTTAGTTTCATAATCCATAGTTGATGATTTCATATATGTATGTAAATATGTCATTTGAAGCACAGTTTTTATCTTGCTTATCTAGTGTTTTCCGACGAGGAAAATCTAGTGTTTGAATTCACTGTCATCTTGGTGGCTTAGCATCAGGCTTGATGAGTTTAGGTGAGCTCCGTCTTGTCGCCTCATCCTAACTAGAAGGGGTTAGGGCTTCCTTGTCTTGCCTCCATCATATTGGCACTCCCATCGAGCCTCCTTGACGATCCCAACATGATGATTCCATACTTATCTCCTTTAAATCGACTTAATAATCTTTGTCTCCTTACCTAGCATGCCTTGCCATCCTTGTCTTGTTAGCTAGGCCTTATTTCCCAAGCTTGTCTCATCAGCATGATAATTGATATCCCCTGCTACCAAGCCCACCCTATCGGCCTAGTCTCCACACTTGGTTTTTAGAATATCAGCAAATTGGTACCTTCCCACCCTGCCTGCTTGGTAACCCAGTTAGGAGCCACCAAACCCGTCTTGAGACTTAGTATCTATATGGTTCCCTGAGGGATTCTACGCCAAGTCATTATCAAATTGAAAATCTCTTAGCTCGGCATCCTCGGCGACCAGCCCCCACCATGGTCCATGGTGGCTTGGTTTCCAATCAGGCGACCATCTCATCTAGCAACTTTGTCACCTCATAGGGTTGGCACCCTGCCAATTTGATCTCCATACTTAGTTTTTGGAGATTTAGTAACTTGATACCAAACTTGTCTTGCCGGCTGGGTACCCCCTTGGTTGGCTACCAAGTATGTTTTACCAACTTGTTATCTAGACTTAGTCAAATTTTCATATCTAGGTACTAGAGTTGCCTTGTCGACTTGATACCCTGTTGGTGTCTTGGTAGTTGGTACCAAGCCTGTCTTGACAGCCTCGTACCTTATTTGCTCCATACTTGGTCAATTTTCATGTTTTGGTACCTAGTATGTCTTGTCCGCTTGGTACCCTCTTGGCTGGCTACCAAGTATGCATTGTTTCCAGACTTAGTTTTTTAGAGTCGTATTTCATGCCAAGAGTGAGAGGTTGTTGACCATGGAGGCCAGGGAGACGGGTCGGTCATCGTGTATGCGAGAAGAAACTTGGCCACTTAGGCCCAAAAATCCAACTTGATAATGCTCAGCTAGCTCCTTTAATGATTAATGATGAACTGACCTTCTAAATCCACTAAATCCCTTGTAATTAAACGATGCGGTACAAATTTATTAGTATGGGTACACACCTAGGTTTTATTAATTCTATCGAAGTTAACGAGGCATCCTACATAAACATAATGATTGATTTGCACAAGTTTTGCCTTTTCATTAAAGTAACATAGCATAACAAATCTCATAAACTCACCAAGTTCATAGGAATATGGTTTGCTTATGCTTTTATACCCCGCCGCCACCATGAGTCCAGAGTCATCGGGAACCTGTATCATATTGAAAAAGCTTCTCGTCAACTGTCCGTCTCCAACTCACTACTTCTTTGTTGGTATCTGCTATATATAGTCGCTTTGTTTTTTGTTCCGAGGCTTTATTGCGGCTTCTATATAGCCTGTATTCTTGGATCCGTGAAGTTTGGTATACGGTGTGCTTTTCGATTTTTTGGGCCAAAGTAAAGGAATCAACTATTAGTTGGTTGCTTTGCTTCGCTTGATTAGTTGTAGTGGAGATCAAAGAAGTGATTTACCGTCATCGCAAACTGGGTGTAGTTTATTTTGTCACGTGAGTTCAGGTTGAAGTAATTTGATTGGTTGGTCATGGGGGAGATTGCAAAAGTTTTTCGGCTGGGGTCGTTCAATCTCGTCTTTGTTTGGTGCAACCATAGGTTTCTTCCTTTTGGTTCTTTTATTACTAATTTTGTAGGTGTTGTTCGGAGCACCTTAGTTTTGGGTCTGCGCGCCAACGAATACCCCATGTTCTGCATCACCGTCGGCAGTGCTAGCAACTGTCTTCTTTAGCAGTTGGGGAGGGCGTCGCAGGAAGGGAGAGGAATACGGCAGCGGCAACGCCTTTCTTCAGGTGGAGAATGAGCCCAGACGACATCTGTCCCTCCGTAATCTCATTTCTCTTCTTCATCTCCGGAATCGACCATCAATCACTCCCCAAAAGCGATTGGCATCCTCTGGTGAAGTTGACCAACGAGTGGAGGCAGGCGAGTGAAGGTTTGATCGTTGGTGAAATTGGAGGCGAAGTTGACCAGCAACTAGCATCCTCTTCTCTCTGTTTCATCTCCTACAGGAATCGATTGTTGGCTAGCTATGCTTTGTTGGCTTTGCAGCCGTGGGTAGGGGTGTACATGAGTCGGGTGGTTTGTGTTTAGTCATTTTAATCACCTGACCCATGCACTACGGTTTGGGAAATATCAAACCCAAACCCACCCAAAAAAATTTAAACACTAGGTTTGTTTCTAATTGGGTTGGGTCGGGTTGGCGATATTTTTAAGTAAAAACCCAACCCAACATAAAATATATAATTATTCTACATCATAAAAATATTTTATAACTAATTAAAATTTCAAACGAATGAACCAAAGTGAAAGGTATCAAAATTCACAAATGTTATTTAAATTTTAGTAAAATGTGATTTACTCCAACATATGTCTTGTTTTTTTCACGATATTTGTTGAAATATGCTATAAATGTTATAATCAAACGCATCCATCATATGTTATTCTATTAAAATTGTATACAAGAAAAGGGATTATGTGAATCATAACTATATTCAATTTATGTCTAAACTTTAAGTCGAAAAATGCATTAGATTAGGGAGACCATGAGAGAAAACATGGCGAAATATCTTAATTTTCTCATAAGTATATGACTATATACAACATAAATATTTTTTAGATCCGAACTCATACTAATAGTTGGAACACGGGTTGGGTCGGGTTCTACGGGTTGTGTAATCCAAACCAAACCCAAAAGAGGCGGGTTGTACAAAAGAAAACCTTCACCCAACCCAAAACCTTCGTTTTAGCGATAAATACGGGTGGGTTGGGTCGGGTTGGACGGGTGGGTCGGTTTGCGGGTGTATTTGCTCACCCCTAGCTGTGGGGATTGGCTTTACCCTCTCTAGGGATATCTGGAAGTTGCTCCGGAGAACACACCATCGGTTGGGGTGTGGGAGCTGGTATGGTGGGGGAGGATGACAGTGGGGTGATTCGAGAAGAGGGCAGAAGGCTTATCGGAGAAAGGAAGAAGCGGTGAGGGTAGGTTTTGGAAAAATTAAAACAAGAATGAGGGATTTAGAAATAGTTGATGGGGATCAACTATTTCAAAAACTCCAATTTGAGAGTTTCTGAAATTCCTAAATCCTAATTACGAAAACTCTCATGTTGTCGAACGCATGATTGTTTTAAATTACTGCACGATGAGATATTGTTTTAAAATCTCTCACAAATCCCTCACTACAATCTCTAATCCAAACGGTCCCTTTAGTGTCACCGAATGGTGACGGTGATAGATATCCATTCATTTATTATTGGTCCAACCTAAACTCAAATGTCGGGGTGTTACATTTATGGTTGTTTCATAACAAAAAAAGGGCAAAAACTGTATTAGAATTGTGTGTCCATTTTCCTCTAGGTAACTAATAATATGGGTCCAATTTATACCCTAACTAAAATGTTGGGTATGAATTTACATAAAAAATAGAATTAACCAAATCTAAGTTGACCCATAATAATTTCTGTTTGGGCAATACTCAAGTATTAAATGTTTTTGTCGTCATATTCGAAATGTGTTATACAAATCAAGATTGAGGATTTGTCATGATATGGCCTATAGTGATACTAGATGGGATACATGAGAAGTATGGCTGGATAGAGCGTCAACTACTTGACTAGTTACGACTAGAGTATGTAACCATTGTTCCGAATTAATATATCTAAGTAGGTTACCCATAAAGAAGAAGGAAAAAAAAAAAAAAAAAGGATTGGCCATGATAGAGGAGTACCACACCTAGTTGTCAATGGTTGAATTTGAATTACAGGTGCCAATTTTCAATCCAATCTACAAATTCATCCACTTATATATCTTACTAATCCAATTTATTATATCTAAATCCAATTGGATTGATAGATTGATAAATATTTGATTAATTACACTTTAGTACCATACTTTTTATACTTTACATTTTAACTCCTAAATTTTAATTTTGTAACGTTAAATATCAATGAAAAATTATATTTTGATATCTAAATTTTTTTTATAACAATTTAGTACCTAAAATTTTATAGATCCACATGTGGGTCCAAATGTTTATATGTCACTTGAATTCATAATCCAATTCACCAATCATGTTCCACCAATTCATTTTGATCCAATCCAATCCTATTCATTTGCCACCTATGATTTGAATCAATTAGGAGTTTGTTTAACAATTCGTGTCGAAACTTACAATCTCCTGGAGAATATGTTGAAGTTTGAGCATTGAGTTCACAAGTTCGTACATACCAAAGGCTAGACTAGTTCTATCACTTGCTAAATTTTGTTTATTTTGGGATTACTTAACTTAATATTGTTTTATCAAACATGTCCCTCTACAATTTTTTACATCAAACATGCCTCTATACGTTTGAAAATGGTCAAACATGCCCTTCTGTTAAATTTTTCATACAAAAACAGTCAACCACGGTTGAATCGAGATATTCTTTGTGTTGACTGGACTCTTCATACAAAAAATCGGTATATTCACTTAACACATTTGAAATATTCATACAATATAATTGGTATATTTTAGTTGCGTGGGTACTCCTAATGTGTTGTGTAAATAAATATTTGGGTAATGTCTATTTTTTATCCAAACTTTTTTCAGATTCTTTTATATTATCCAAACCTATCGAAATACTAAGAATTAATCAAATGTTAACTTTCAGTTAGCAATTTTGTTAGTAATATTGACTTGGCAATATGATACTGATTTGGAAGAGACACATGAAGGTCAACATTACAAAATTTTCGTAATTTAACTATGAAAAGAATTACAAAATTATTAACGATAATGTAAAAATGGCTAATATTTTGATGCATTACGAAAGATTTGGGTAATTAATAGCATTTTAATAGGTTTGGATAATATAAAATAATCTGAAAAAATATTTGGATAAAAATAGACATTACCCTAAATATTTCAAAAAAAAAACTTTCTAAGAAGTGTATCAAGTATATAAAAATTGGCCTTGTTATAGTCATGAAAACAAATTAAGAAGCCTTTGTTAGAATTTTTCAAATAAATCCATAATCCAACACAAATGTAATGTTTGAGAAATCGTATCGTACTAGCCTATTGAACCGTAAATATCGAATAACAGACCCAAAATGATAGACAATTTTAACAATAAAAAATACTTTGACCGCAATTTTGATACAAACATTCGGTACCGTTTCACAATTCTGGTCCACTGATATCCTCCTCTTTTGTCAAACAACTCTAATAAAGAAGAGGAAATTAAAGAAAGCAAACTATAGTAATGGATAAATTAAAATGAGATGCACAGAAATGAGGGAATGAGCTATGACAACGGTCAACCCACATCACATGGACCTTATTCAACCAAAAAAAATAAATTGTCATGAACAGTTAGAACTTTTCAGTTCTCAGTTTTCAAAAAGTTAGGGGATGAAGTCAAGTCAACAGAAGAAAAGAAAAATCCAAACGAGTGCTGAGGATGAGAAGTTGAAAAGACCGGGTCCATCAAAGGCCCATTGAACTTTGGGTTGACCCACTCTTCAACCTCTATATATTTATCTACAAGGTGGTTGAGCCCACTGTGAGAGCCTGGTCAATTCTCTGGCTCTTCTGTTTGACCTTCTCTTCTTCCGCTTGATAGGGCCAAATTTTGACACTAAATGGAACGACTTTGTCTGAAATAGGGATAGCAAATGGCCTGGTTTGGAGAGGGTTCTCCATACAATTTCATTTCCAAAAATCCAAAGTCACATATGTTCAATTGGTGGAGAAGTTTTGCAACTCCGTTTTCATATTCGTTTATTTATACTTGTGGATAATACTCGTACTGTATATTTATTATTATAATACAAATTTTCACATTTATAAACTGTTGTCAGCGGCGGATCCAGGATAAGATAGAACACCGGACCGAATTTAAACAGAAAATTAGATACCATAAACCAGGTCGAAGCCAGGATTTTGGCGTGGTAGTAGCGTAGCCACATCTAGGGATGGCAATGGGTCGGGTTGGGGCGGGTTTTGTCAAACCCAAACCCATGGATTTATCCGCCAAAAAAACCCGGGGTAAAACCCGTTGGGTTTGAGAAACTCAAACCCAACCCAACCCGCTGGGTACCCGTGGGTTTTTGCGGTAAAAAATTTACAACAACAAGTTTCTTTCAAAATAAAAGTTTAACATCAATTTTCTCATACAAATTAATCATACAAAAAATACCAATCTAGAGCATACAAGCAAACCGCAAATGATCAATACAAATTGTTCAAAATTAAAGATAAACGTCTATAAACAATAAGATTAATTGAAAGCTTCTTCCTCGTCAACTAGGTTTATTCACTCTCCACTTCATAATATCAACTTCATTCTAAACAATTAGAAAGAACAAATTATACGTGTCTCCACAAAACATAAAGAATATTAGTTATTTAAGAAAGATATATTATTTAGAATATTAAATATACCGGAAAAGTAATTATATGTGTGGGCGGGTACCCATGAGGCGGGTTTGCCTAAACCCAAACCCAACCCGACCCGGTGAATAGTGTAGCAGGTTTAAACCCGAACCCGGCCCAAAACTCGTCAACACGGGTTTTACCCGCATTGACCGGATTGGGTCGGGTGTGTACCGGTGGGTTCGGGTTTTGTTGTCATCCCTAGCCACATCCATGTATAATGTGTTCCCCTTTCCATTTATGGGCCTAAAATTGCGAGCCACGTAGGCCTCCTGGGCCTAGCACCGAGCCCATTTCATTTTTTGTCACGTGGGCTAGTTGCTTGGCCCCAACCTTCCTGCATTCCCCTTTTTCTTCTCTTTTCCTTCTTTTGGTTGACAACTTCCGGCAGAAACTGAAGACATTAATTCGACACTTCGTTACAACCACCCAGTTGCAAAACAGAACGTTACAGTTAATGACCTGTGACTTGTAGTTGTATTTTTGTACACTTGAACCGAAAACTCGTCAAATTGCTAGCTAAAGAGCAAAAGAGAAGCTACCAAAATGTTAACTTTTGGGTCTTCAGTTCACTCGTTGTTCCCGTAAACAAAGCTGCTGCTGCGGGGTTGTACAACGCATCAGCAATTGACTTGCCTTGGCTTGGGGTGGCCCAATTAAGTTCTCGAAGTGGCCACAAATGAACAAACCAGGAGGAAACATTCAAACTTCTATAAACAAACCAGGAAACGGGCCTACAAATCCCTTACTTAATCTCAATCATCCAATCATCATCCACTAATTAGCCTCCTCACGTAAAACAAAATGAACGAAATATATATATATATGGCGAGTTCTATGGTACTTTGGGTGAAATCTGGGGTACCGAATACCATGAGTAAGAAAACGCTATCCAGAACTTGAATTGACTAATCTTTCGGACATGATACTATACTCTAACTCTTAAAGATCAACATCTAGGTCTTAATTATCTAAATCTTATACCCGAAGATCAATTTAATTAGAAACAATAATCGACCGTTATGATTCGTCCAAATATAGGCAAAAAAATCAATGCACCATTTTAGGGTTTATAGTTTATGATTTAGATAATTAGGACCTAGGGTTCACTCATTAAGGGTTAGGGTATAATATCATGCCCAAAAATCCTGCTAATTCGAGGTCTAGATAGCGTTTTCATACTCAAGGTATGCGGTACCCTGGATTTCACCCGGGGTACCGTAGAAGGCACCATATATATATATATATATACATATTATATTCCAACAACTCGAGTTTTTTCGATTAAATGGTATGTCTGTTAACATAGTATCAGAAGTTTTGACGAGAGATCACGGTTTTGAATCCTTATGATGACCTCCAAAATACAAACAACAATTTAACACAAGGGATGATGATGTTCAACCTGCACAAACTAAATATCACAAGTCAATTTTTCGTTTGAGAAGACGTGAAAAAGATTTGTTCATTAACGCCTCCCAATCAGATCGATTATTTACTTTCTCTTGGTTTACCGCTACGTACACAAGGCCCCAATCTCTCTTGGCTCCAAATTTAATTTACAATACGAGTTCTGAGATGAATGGTTTTGAATTCTTGTAAGAAATCTAAAATTAAATGTCCTTAGTGTGGAGCCGTGCAAGATGGGTGACCTCTCAGAAAGATCATGATACCCCAACAGGTAGCAAAATCCTGTAGATAATATCAAAGTGAACAATATCTTGATCAAACAAGTCGAGATTTTATATTTCAGATGTCATTGTTTTTTAGAATGTGCCTAATATGTCTGTTGATTGAGAATGACCAGAACAAAGGGGATAAAAATTTTAATGGATTATTGAAGGAAGTTTTGATATTATGATAAATGCAACTTTGCGATGATTATAGTCACTCAAAATAAGATATAAACTAAAAAATTATAACATGGTAGTTTCAATACATATTAGAAAAGCAATAAACAAATTATTTAACATTTTAATTTTTTTCTATACCACATCTTATCTTCATGATTGAAACATGAATGTTGTGTCCTACTCCTACTTTTGCGCTAAGTCTTTGTCTCAATGACTGCTAAATCTCTTCCTTGGCTTAGTATAACTCCTCAAGATATTTTTATACATTCCGCTAGCTCTTCTTTAACAGAAGCTATAGACTTCCCCGTGTTTTGCATATTATGACGAATTTTCACTCAAAATAAAATTTAAAGTAAAATATTTCTACCATGACAAGTTTAATATATATTAGCAAAGAAATAAACAGATTAATAATGCATTTTTCCCGTTTAATCAGTTACTTTTATTGCCCAAGAAAGAAACTTATACAACGAAGCAAGATCACAATGGATCCCACACAATACAACTCTCTTCTACCATCTTGCCTATCTATAACTACTTACCGTAAATAAAGTCAAAGAAAATTATAAGTTGCCTAGCTTTGCAACTGCATCTTGCATCCCTCTATTGCCATAAGATATAAACTACAAATTAACCTTTAATAACTCAGCAACCTTCTCTGGGTCACGACAAGGCGAGCCATGAATCACCCCACACCTTTTCTTCCACACAAATGTCAAAATCATGCACCATATTAAAGCATGTCAGGTTCCATCTCAAGAGTTTCTGTAGATTGTGCCACTAGTAACTTGTAGCATTGTATCCCAGTCTCTGTGCATCAACATTCAGCATGCACCAAGGAGGCAAGCCTGCAAGTAAAAGAGCAGTGGAGAAAAGGGTGATCCCTAGTCTCCACAACCTTACCACATAAAGAACATGAAGCATCCTTGATTTTCCCCCATTTCAACAGCTTGTCCCGTGTGACAATGACATTCTTGACCAGGATCCAAGCAATCAGACTTTATCTTGGAGGACAAGATTTGTTCCAAACAAGCTTGTGCCATGGAACCTCTTGAGTTTTTGTCCTCAACGTGTCCCACACTCTGCGAACTGAATAGACCATCATCTTCTTAGAGTCCCAGTATATTTCATTATGTTGCTTCTATAGTCAGGGTCGAATAAGAGGCCTCGTTTTGAGCAGCCTGCGCCAAACCCATGAGCTAGTGTACTAAACCTTCAATGACCATAAATTGTCCATCCTACACTTGTATTCATGCATCCAGGCCACCCACAATGTTCCTGAATTCAATAGAAACATCCAGAGCATTCGAATAGTACAAACATGATTCCAAGCTCGCAAACCTTTTACCCCCCAACCCACTCTCCTTCTTTGGAAGCGCTATAGAGTCTCATGCCACCTTAGCTCTGCCTTCATTAGTGCCATACCATAAAAACCGAGAACAAACTTTCTGAACTCGCTTAAGAACCTGCTTTGGCAGAACAAAGAGTTGCATCCAGTATTGAACTCCTAAAAGCACTGAATTTAGCAGTTGCAATTTCCCTACATAAGTCAACTTCTTTGATAGCATGATTTAATCCTCTTGGTGATCTTATCAACCAAAATATCAACTTCCTTCGACGATAATTTACCACTTAACAAGGGCAGGACCAGGTATCTTACTGGCAATGTACCTTCTTGGAATCCAGAGAAAATCAGAGCATTGCTCTTGTATTTTATGGACTCTCCTCCAAGGTAAATTTCACACTTAGCAGGATTACTTCTAATTCCAGACAATTGATAAAACCGTTGCAGCACCGCCTTGACCTAAAGAATAGCTTGAGCAGACCTAGTGGTAAACACAAGAATGTCATTAAATCACATGTGTTTTGAAGATGATATTCTTCTACATTGTGGGTGGAATGGAATTAACCCTGATTGGCTAGCTTGTAACAACATGGTGGACAACCTTCCATGGCGATGGTGAAGAGGTATGGTGACAACGGATCACCCTATCGTACCCCTTTTCTAACCCTAAAGAAACCACATAAACTGTCATTGATATTGATACTATAATGAGCCGTTTGTATGCAACACTAAATCCACTTCATAAACCTCTTAGGGAACCCCATTGCATTCATCACAAGGAAGAGATACGTCCAGTTAACAGAATGAACGCTTTCATAATATCGATTTTAATAGCACATCGAAAAGACAATCCAGATCTATGTTATCCACTAACCAGTTCCTGAGCTAGAAGAATATTATCTATAATACTCCTTCCCTCGATGAAAGCAGATTGTGTATTACTAATGTCCAGGGGCAAAACTTCTCTAGTTCTCCTAGCAAGAATCTTAGCCACTATTTTGTACAAAGATTCACACAAGAAATAGGCCTAAAATGCTTTAAGGTGTCAGCATTATAAGTTTTGGGAATCAGAGACACAACTGTGGAGTTAACCCCACTAGGAATAGTACCTGATCTGAAGAAATCAAGGACCCCTCTAGTTAATAATGCATTATAGTATGGTGTAATCCATCATATTGTAAGAATTAAAAAATAATGTCTACTTTATATTAGTATTTAAAAAACATTTTATTCATCATATGTCCAAAAGTATCTTTAAGTATTTGTAAGTCCTACAAAAAAAATGTAAGTTGAAGAACTTAGATAATTTTGTTTTAGATTAAAGGATTTAAGAGAAAAAAATGTATACAAGTTGAGAATCGGTGTTGAAATTTGTTCAACAATATTAAAACTCATATTTTGAAATAAAATAAAGGATTTAGAAAACCCTTTGACCAATTTTGTCACCACCATATTAAAACTCATATGTTGAATTTTGTTACATTGTACACATTAAACAGTTTTATAGCTTATTATACGAAAGTTTCAACATCCTCATAAAGTTTATACGTAAAATTTGAAATTCTCAAGGGTCGAAACTCCTCAAAACTAGTTGTATGTTGCTAGAGGTTTCTATTTACTAGCCAAACAAATGAATATAGTATTTAAATGGAATGAAAGACTCCAAATCCATTAACATATTCGAGCTCTCTTGAATCTATAGCCCATTAGCTTGGCACGAGATTAGCAATGATAATGAGTCGATTTGTTAGATAATTTAACCTAATTGTCATTATCTATGCAAGATTAGGTCGATTCTAAATGGATCTATATACAGTTTTTATGGTTTTGAGTTTTGATTTAGTTCAATATAGTTAAGGTCATTTGGATCCTATCAAAGTTGGTATTTGGGTTGAGATGACTGTACACACAAAAAGATAATATTAGCCATCCCATTAACAACCTTCAACCTAACTAGACCTCTATTATCGGTGTTTCGACATTTTGTTTGTTTCATTAAAAAAAAAAGGAAAAATTGCTTTAGAATTGGATATCCATTTTTCTTCTATATACCTAATACTATCTAGTTTATACCCAATATAAAACTTTGTGTATGAATTTGCCCCAAAAATAAACTTACTGAAGGCTAATTTGACCTATAAAATTTGGGTTTGGCAAATAGGCAAATATTTGATTTTTTTGCATGCCTCATTTGTCACTAGTTGAATTTGGATCAATTAGGACTCTGTTTAACAATCCTGTCTTCAGAAATTGAAACTTACAATGTCCTTCTCAAGAACATTTTAAAGTTCGAGTATTGGATTCATAAGTTGGTATTTACCAAAGGCTAGACTAGTTCTATCACTTGCTAAATATATTTTTTTTCTTTGGATTACTTAGCTTAATCTTGTTTATGAACCTAAGATGGAAACTTCCATTAAAGTTTAAACTCGAGAAAGAGTGACTTGGTTCCTCCCCATTTATTTATTGAAGAAAATCCCTTTCGGCAATTTTCCCCTTTGACTTAGCTCTCCCTCTCCTCTCGTCTCCTCCACCCTTTATATTTTACTACACAACAATTATGCTTCTTCGCTTTTCCTCCTCCAACTCCTCATCACCTCCACCACCGTCTCTCCTCGTCCTCGCCGCCGTCCAGCTGGTGGCGCAGCCGCTTCTTCTTCCCCTTCCCTTTTCCCCCATGGACTCATCCGACTTCCCCGTCGCCAGATCCCCTCGGAAGGAGCTCCAGGGTCCCCGCCCGCCGGCGCTCAAAGTCCGCAAAGATTCCCACAAAATCAAGAAGCCTCCCATCGCTCCCAACCCGAATCCGAACCCAAACCCGACCCAGCACCACCAGTCGCAGCCGCCGCGCGCCCCGGTCATAATCTACACGGTTTCCCCCAAAGTGATTCACACCAATCCCGGCGATTTCATGAACCTAGTCCAACGCCTCACCGGCTCCTCTTCGTCCTCCGCCGCCGCCACCACCTCCTCCTCCTCCTCGAATCCGTTCAACGACGACCCCGGCGCGATGTCTCCGGCGGCCAGGTACGCGACGATTGAGAAAGCGAATTCACCAAAAGATAAGGGGAAGGGGAATTCGTTGATTTATCCACAGAGTGGAAATGGAGATTTGGGGGATTTCTTCATGGAAGGGGTGGAGATGGGTCAACTGATGGGTGGATCTCAACAGGGTTTGCCGCCGGGGATACTGTCGCCCGGGCCGGCTTCCCTGCCGCCGATCTCTCCGAGCTTCTTCTTCCCTCCGCCGTCGTCGACGCCATCGGCGGATCCGAGCTCGTTAGGGTTCTTCCACGACCTTGTGAGCCCCGCGGGGCAACTGCACAGCAGCAGCCCGTCGAACTTCGTCGCCGGATTCTCCCCTCAAGCGAACTTCGTCGCCGGATTCTCCCCCCACACGAACTTCGTCACCGGGTTCTCGCCGCACGCGAATTCGCCGTTCCCGTCGATTGACCTCTTCAACAATTTCAACTCCGGCAACTTTGACTTCTGATCGTAGATGAAAATTCATTTTTCTTTTTCTATTTTCTTCAATTTTGGTTTTTTTTTTCTGGTTCACAATTTATCGTAGCGCTCATCTCATGGATGACGGAAGCTGATTCAGATTCCCAGGGGTAGAAACGGAAATTGACAGCGACTAGGAGGGGTAGATTGGACATTTGTATGGGGGATTTTGTTTTTTTAATAATTTGGGTAGGTTAGCTAGTTGGGACTTTGAAGGAGGTTATTTAATGGCTTTTAGGAAGAAGAGAAGAAAAACAAATTGAGAATGGTGGGCCAAGTTGATAGGCAATTTAAGCTTCATTTACTCATCATTTTCTTCTTGTTTTGTTTTTCTTTGTTTTGTTTTCCCCACAATTTTCTTGTATGTGTAGTAAATTGAAAATTTGTTTATGAGAATGTACCAAATTTATTCTTCTTTCATGTACTCAATAGGCATGGACTTGGGAAGCAATAAAGGAAAAAAGTGTCGGGTAAGTACCTGTTTTTTTATCGGATATTCTCGTTCGTTTTCTTGTGTTTTTGAATGATGATTGCTACGTTATTTTTCGGAGAAAATTAGCAGCGAGTTCATGACAATATGGAATCAAGACGAAGTTATGACTTCATTCTGACACTAGTGTTAGGTTAGCATATCAATTACATTATTCACTTGAATTGGAAGTACTTTTAATTATGAAAGCAATTCCATTAGATTTGTTCTTCTTTTTGTTGTTTATTGTTTTCTCATATCCTTTTAATTGTTATTATCGAGTTTGTAAGTATGCTGAGATGGGGAGCCGATTGCAATGCTAATTGGAAACATTTGGGCAAAGAGAGTTTTGAAGAGTTCAAAGGTGTGGAAAGAAGTAAAGAAGTGGTGGGTGATTGATTGTTGCATGCCTTTGGAAGCTTTACAAGTATTTTTTTTTTTTTAAATGTTGTTTGTACCCTTCATTTTGTTATTCATTTCCCTTTTCCCTTGGTGGTGGATTAGGGATCACAATGAGGATAATAAGGTGTGTGAAAGGACTAAATAGAAAAGGGCAAAAGGTTAGGAAATGGCATTGCAAACATCGATAGAGAGGGTAGAGTTTGAGAATATTTGGATGGAGGGTTTTAATTGTTGGATTATTATTATTATTATTATTATTATTATTATTGGGACTGTTGGGTCGATTATGGTTTATTCAGTTTTATTCGAAATCAAGCAGATAAGAAGATTAATGGTTTTGATTGCCGATTTCAAAATTGTGTTAGTATTTTAATGGCTTTGATTTCGGTTAAAATAAAAAATTCAATAATAAACCTGGTAACATTTTAACTAAATCAATATACGGTCAACAACCCATGTAGTCACCAACTTATTGAGGTGAGTATCGGTACGATCGAACCACCTCTTCAAACAAAACGAATAAGTTAGCGGGACTTAATTGCAGTCTGCTCTAAAACCCGTCAGCGGTTACGCGATCGGTCAATCCAAAACCATGCCGTTGCTATTCGAAACCGCAAACCGCTAAGGTTTCCTTTTGAGTTACACCTCTATAAGGTTTCTTGATCTCCATTTGACTTATCAATGAGACTGTCTATCTTTCATCCACTAGTCACCTTCCTAATTACCTCTGAAGTCTTTTCCTTCCCTCGCTAATTTTTTTTTTTTTTTTTGTGTCAACGGTGACTCATGTTTTTAATAATAATGCAAAATTAAAAGGCTACAAATGGTGCATTGTGCTATATCTCCACTGCTATAAATATGGTTGGTTTCCAGCAGCACCAGCCATCTATCTTCGTCTGTTAAGACAGAAACATAGTGAGTCTCAATCGTTCATCTCGTTATCCTTGCCTTCGTGTTTTCTGGTTCTTGTCCTGATATTAGACGTGTCATCAGTGTCATAAACCAACCTTCAGCAGTTTCGGGATCTATTACATGATGTGGAGACGGCAAACAAGACGGGGAAACAACAGTCCGGATAACGATACGACTGGCGGGTTTTCTTCAAAATTGTGAACAACAAGAGTAATTTCCGAGCGACAAATAGCAACTAAATTTGTTTACCAGTACATGGTCATTACTCTACTACATCTACCCATCGACATTGCCTTTCAATTGTCTCGTTAAATGTTGACATAAAACGTAAAAATGGGGGGTGAGTGTCGCAGAAACTCCAGGGTTTAAGAGGGTCAAAACTCAAGCATAAGGAAGTACAAAGTTCAGGGGCTCAAATGGAAACGTCCTAAAGTTTAGGCATTTCCTCTCCAGGAGCTAGAAAAAACAAAAGAAACCCAATAGACATTTCGCTGACACAAGCATGAGTGACTGATAACGTACTAAACTGCCAAAAAAGGGTGATGGGAATTGCTAATTGTGTACACAAGTTAGTCAAGAACACAGGGCCAAGAAACTGGTCAGAAGTTCACAAGAAACCAAGCAACAACAGAACAAGCAACAAAACCCAGTAAAGTAAAGGAAGCCCGTTAAGTTTCTTCTTAATTAATGCATGCGCGGAAGCTGATGTCAATGTGATCACACAATGATTCACTACTTAGTAGTCTAATAAGGCCAAACTCCCACCCAAAAGAGGAAAAGTATTGCTGTAAAACTCTGCCGGCGGGGAGACGACTTCATATCTAAGAAAGAGTGATTAGTGCGGTTAACCTGGATATCATTTACACCAAACCCAACCAACCCCTTTGTTTTTCAATTCGCAGAGAGGCCATGAAAGTCAAACAAATGCATATACTAAGGGAGACAAAACACAAAATTAAACAGTTAAACCCACTGATTGAACATCTTTTACTTCCTACAGAGGATAAAGCTAATGACTTGGTTCTGGGATTACCCAATAAACCACCTAGATTAGTTTTGGTCATGTCAACGTAAGACTCAAGATCAGTCCAAGAGTGATTCAGGAAAACGATAGAAAGAACAGCTTATTTTCACATACATTGACAGGCTAAGATAGGCTTATGCTAGAACAGGCAAAGACAAGACTTCTGCTAATATACACTGGAGCCCTAACCATCACAAGGCACTGCCGTTGCTTAAAGGACTAACCGGGCTGCGGCTGTTCTGGGCATGGCTTTTCTCATCAGTAACACCACTAGCTGCACTCGACGATGGTTGCTTCCCTCTGAAAACTCCCCACAAATAGACTTTCTTCTGGAACACTGTAAGAAAGTGAAGATGTAAGATCTCAATCTTGCTTCAAAAAACAATATTAGGCATCAGTTTCTTGTGACAAAAAGTATTTGGCCTTACTCCAGTACTCCACTGGCAACACTTTCGAAGTGAAAATTAACAGCTCTGCATCTTCAAGCACCGATTTTATCCCAAGGTCTTGATCCATCATGCGTTTCACTAGCTTATCAAATATCTTCTCATCACTAGACAGTAGAGATATGCAGACGGCCAAGAAGAAGAAAAAATGTGAGGAGAGAATTACGTTTCAAAACCAATAGAAGATGCCAAAGCAAGTTTGTGAAACCAGTACCATTCCCTGTTGTGGAAAAAGTAGAGGGCAATGCTGTTTCCACTGGGCCTACACTTTTGGAAACCCTTTGGCCATATATCTAGCCTTGGAAACAGATCTGTGGAAAGCAGTTCCGGTAATGCTTTTGTAGCCTCTGTTACTCTAGGGCATGCTAAATTAGAGAGATGAGCAACGAGTCGAGTTGAAGTCCCGAAAACCCGCTCGAAGATGCTCAAACTTCCCCTGCAAGGTCAACCCAACACCGAACTGTCACATCTTTGCCCACATAGTAAGTTCATTTCAGATACTAAGAATTCTATAAGGAAGAAGAGGGGGTAAAGAGCTTGCCTCCAACTTGGATCTTTTATTGGCAAAGCACAAACATCATGCAACTGTTCAGCTGAAGCATCAGTAACAGCCAGTTGAATATTTGGACTGTTATTACGGTCATCATCTTTATTTTGATTGTCTTCTTTGAGTACATTCTCTGTCTCTATACCCTCACCGACAAGTATTTGAAGGGGCTTTTCACAGAGAATCGCCTTCGGATCTCTGCTTGGAAGAGGTTCAGCCTGTTCGACTTCCAATTTCTCTTCATCCTGCTCTCTCACCCTGGAGCAATTAACCTCAAGAGGTGCAATATCACAAAGGGGAGCCTCAACCATTGCATCTTCTTTCAATATCTTCTTCTGTTGTTTTTCCTTTGCTTTAATTGCTCGCTTCTTCTTCCGTTTACTTGGTTCTCCGACACCATGAAAAGCCGAATCAATAGGTAAATTTTCAACAGGAGTCCTACTTTCATCTTTCTGTATCAGAGGCTCAACATCTACCGTTTGCATTTCAACTTTGGTTGAGGGAGAAGCTGCTTCAACCATTGCATCTTCTTTCAATATCTTCTTGTGTTGTTTTTGCTTTGCTTTTTGCACTCGCTTCTTCTCCCGTTCACTTTGTTCTCTGACACCATGAAAAGCCGAATCAATTGGTAAATTTTCAACAGGAGTCCTACTTTCATCTTTCTGTATAAGAGGCTCCACATCGACCATTTGCACTTCAACTTTGCTTGAGGGGGAAGCTGCTTCAACCATTGCATCTTCTGTCAATACCTTCTGTTGTTTTTGCTTTGCTTTCTTCACTCGCTTCTTCTTCCGTTTACTTGTTTCTCCGACACCATGAAAAGCCGAATCAATTGGTAAATTTTCAACAGGAGTCCTACTTTCATCTTTCTGTATCAGAGGCTTCGAATCGACCGTTTTCACTTCAACTTTGGTTGAGGGGGAAGCTACTTCAACCATAGCATCTTCTTTCAGTAGCTTCTTCTGTTGTTTTTGCTTTGCTTTTTTCACTCGCTTCCTCTGTTTTCTTAGTTCTCCGACACCATTGGAAGCCGGATCAATTTGTAAATTTTCAACAGAAGTCCTACTTTCATCTTTCAGTATCAGAGGCTCCACATCCACCGTTTGCACTTCGACTTTAGTTGAGGGGGAAGCTGCTTTTTCTTTTTTCTGAGATTTCCGTTTCGAACCTTTTGACCAGAGCCGTCTTTTCACTCTGCGCTTTCTTTTCTTCACAGGCATCTGTTCTAATATCGCATAGTCACTTCCTTTGACAACGATGGGATATTTATCAGATTTCGATAGCCTTATGAACTTTGGCTGACAATCCTCGCAAAACCACAGCACAATGTCATCGAAACCCGGAAATGGGTGTAAGCAATATCTGGGACAAAAAATAAACAAGTGAAGCAAGTCAGAAAATCATCAAGTAACTTCTCTTAATTCTTCAGACTTATGTATATCAGTATCTATTAGTATGTGAATCAAATCCATGATACTAACACAAATTGCAGCAAGTGAAACTACTCCATTCTCTTCATGCAATGATACAATATTTTACACAAGGAAAGAAACTTTCATCTCGTGATGCAAAACGAGTAAAGCAGTTCAATAGTAAGTTACCGGTGGATCAAATGTAGGTCACACCCGTGACAATTAATCAAAGCCACAGAAAATCCTACATCGCCACATTGCAAACAAACATTTACCTGCAAAACGGATGGGTGTAGAATTAGTGTAAAACAATTTGTTTCATCAAAGAATATACAAAACAAAGACCAGTTAACTTGATCTGGATAAGAACATACAATACACGAAGAGTATACAATGACTAAATCCCTGTAAATTGGTCAAGACAGGTATCCATGAAACAGAACATCCGTCCCTGTCCAGTAGGCTCCATTCATAAGAGCTCAAAAATCTTTACACACCAGTAGCTGTTTCACAATTCAATTTTCTGCTCCACATACGTAATCCAGTGCTGCACTTTCTTTTGTTGGTCAAGAAGAAAACAGTTGGGGGTAATCCTATGATTCTAGCTAAACATTGAGCACCCGTCTGCATATAGATCACAACTCCGGCAGCGGGTGCTCTATGAAACCCTAACGCCGGAAAGTTCACTCGGTTCAAAAGAAGCGGCAAACACACAATGCATCAAAATTGCAGGGCAATAGCCAATAGAGAATGCATTCCACAGAAAGAAACCACTTAGTAGAGTTGTACACTCGATCCGTCGGTAAAGTCACAAATTTCGCGATAACCAGATTCCAAACCTCGAGGAAAGTAAGGAAAACTACGAGAAAGCAGACGGAAGAGAATTGGGCATGCGTTAAGAAAAAGAACTAACCATCAGGAAGAGACTGGACGCGGTCCAAGATAAAATCTTTCTAACTCTGTTAACTTGCCGGCCGGCGGCGGGTGAAGAGAGGGAGAGGGTGCAAGAGGAATGCGTAATCTGGCGGTCTCGCGCACCGCGCTGGCGCTAAAGGAAGGACACGGTGGTCAAAGATTTAAAATCGCTGCTGCTGCTGCTGCGGCGTGGGAGGCGGGAAGAAACTCGCCGGTTTAGCGGCGGTGGGGGATCGGTTGTTGGGTTTCATTCTTTTTTTTTTTCTTTGCGTTGTGTTATTACCCAGTAGGGCTACTGCGGCAGCGAGGGTGGTGACCTCCCCACTGTTTATATCTTTCCCTCTTTGACTCTTACTCCTATGCTATCTTGACTTTAATACGTTGCTTTCTCTCTTATTAGCTGGTTAGCCAGTTTGTAGTTACAAGAAATAACAAGGGTTCTTACAAGATCTCATTTTTATTTATTCTCTACTACAACAATGATCACCTTACAACAAAGCAACAATGATGTCAAACCCTCTATACACAATTCTTCCACTCCAGTATTCCACTGTACAACCACTCTAGCCACAAACAACAAACAACGGTTTAAGAAGTTTCATCCAAAATGGCTCCTGGGAGTCATCCACATCATCTCATCAGGGCTCTGATCTCCTTGCTGACTCACAGCCATCCCACCACCATCCTCTTCAGTCACACCATACTGAAACCCAACTTTGGGCTTCCTCGGCGGCAAGACAGGCAATGGAGCTTCCCCTCTCAGAACCCTAGCAGCATGTTGAACACTCGGCCTCCTCTCCGGATTCGGATGAACACAAGCCACTCCAATGATCAGCACCCTTTCCATCTCCACAACACTAAACTCACCTTTCAGCTTCTCATCAGCAGCTTCCATCAACTTCCCTCTCTCCCAACACCCCCACACCCAATCCACCAGAACGAATTTCCCACCTTCATCCACGGGCCTTCTTCCTGTAGCCACTTCCAGAATCACCACTCCATAGCTGTACACATCTGTCTTCTGTGTAGGAATACCACAGTAGACATACTCGGGTGCGAGGTAACCCATTGTCCCAGCTGGGATGGTTGATTCCCTCGTGATCGAGCTATGCTCGTAGACTTCTGCCAGCCCGAAATCTCCAAGCTTGGCATTGAACTCGGAATCGAGGAGAATGTTGCATGACTTCACGTCCCTGTGAATGATCTGCCTCTCGCATTCCTCATGCAAGTACGAGAGACCTGAAGCGACTCCCAGCAGTATGTTCATCCTTTGCTTCCACGACAGAATAACAGCTGGTGATGGTGATGATGATGAAGCTGAAGTTGTTCCATGGAGGACTCTGTCTAGGCTTCCATTAGGAAAGTACTCATAAACTAAGGCCAGTTCAGTTCCTTCACAGCACCATCCTTGAAGCTGGACTAAATTCTTGTGCTTTAAGCAACCAGCCATTGTAGCAAATTCAGTGACGAATGGGTTACGAATGGAATCGATACTCTCGGCTCTATTGAACCGCTTGATAGCTACTGCAGCACCTGAAGAAGGTAGAGAGCCTTTGTAGACAGTTGCAGAAGCTCCTTCACCTACAATTCTAGCACTACTGAATCCCATTGTGGCAGTTGTTATCTCGGAGATCGATAGTCTAGAAGGAACAGAATCGACTTTGGTGCCATGAATCAATGTTGTTCTTCTAACTTTTCTCTTCTTTCGACTAAGCAAGCATCGAAAGCTCACAGCCAGAACCAAGATCATGGATATGGCTAAAGCACCTAACCCTGCTACACCCAGAAAGACTTCTACTTTGCCTGGCCTCTTTCCATCTACGCGATTGGTGATTACAGTCGATGGGTGATCGTAATCAGAAGAGGAGCAAATGATGCAGTTATTACCTTGCTCGAAGGCTGAGGAAAGGTAGCCATTGGTATTGAGCCTCCAATGGCTGACAAGGTGAACGGCGGAGCCGCCGCGGCCGTTGGAAGCAGAGAACCCTACAAACATGAACTCCTTGAAATGTTCTCCGAGATCGAGCTTGGCCACAAGGATTGGATTCGGCGGCCTGCTCTGCGAATAACTCAGCCATACTTGGACCGATTTCTCCGGATCCGAATATTCAATCCACGCCGTGATTTCCTTCCCGCTTCTCAGATCGATGCCTCCACTGGCGGCGGGGGCAGTGGCGGAGGAGACGACGGAGTTGATGTCAACCCCAATGTGGTTGTCGGAAGGGTCATGGAGAGAGGCGTCGTAGTGGGTGTCGAATTCGACGGCGACGAAGGAGTCTCTAGGGTTTAAGGCCGGGCCGGGGAGCCCCATGAATCCAGGGGAGAGGCTGAAGGAATTAGGGCTGGAAGTGATCAAGAAGGCGAGGCCGTCGGAGGCGGGAGGGCAGAGAGGCGATTGGTGGATGATGGAAAAGATGAATCGGGTGGAGAAAGAAGCGGAGGTGTTGGTCTTGGGATCCAGGAAGCGGAACGGCCGGGAATAGAGAGCTCTGCCCACGTCGGCGGCGGCGGAGGGAGAGGGTGACCTAGAAGAAGAGCAAAGGCGGCGGTCTTGAGTGAGGCTAATGGCGCCGTTTCTGAAATGGGCTTCGCCGTAGAAAGTGAGATTGTGGGAAGGGAAGAGAGGAGAAGGAAGGGGGGTTAAGGAATTGGAGACGGCGGCGAACCAGAGAAAGGGAAGGAGAAGAGCGATTGAATGCATTGGAGCATTAGGGATTTGCAGGAGTAGTGTTCTTGTGGCGGAGGGTGGTCTGATTTTTTAGTTAAGGGGAAGTTTTTGGAGTTGTTTCCATTCTCGGCGATTCTTCAGTTCTTGAAAGCTTCGGTGGCGGCGGTGGTGATCGGAGTGAAGTTGGAGTGGTCGGGAAAGACGGAGCAGCGGAGCCGGAGAAAGTGGGAGGTTTTGGAGGGAAGAAAGAAAGAGGCGGAAATATGCGGATTGGGCTTTCCCTCACGAATATTGATGAAAAGATGGAATAAAAGAGTGGGCCTCCATTTCGAATACCAGACGCAAAATCGGCCCAAATTGAAATCTCTCAGACGTCTGTGCTAAATTGGGCCTCCATTTAGATTATTCCTCTTATCATAATTATCTTATAATTGTTCATTAGGGAAGCCTAAACCACTGATTGCAGGATAAAGGCATGCGCCATAGCGCCATTACCAATTTATCACCACCCAAGTCACAACCCATGCCGTCTCCTCAATCAAATTTAATAAACGGCTCAATGACATAAATGGTCATTATACTTTGAGATTAGCAACAGATTGGTAATGAAAGTTTGATATAACTACGACAATGATCACTCTATCATATTCGTCAAATTTTCTCATTATATGAGTCCAGTTTAGCGTGCCACTGCCAGTCCATCCAGAATAATAGTAAAAAAATCCACGACATCGACCCTTCAATTCTAGTTTTACGTGTGAGGGATGGAGGAGTTAAGCCATTAGAGTTGCTTCAAGTAATCGTGAGTTGCAATTGCAACTTAATCACACAACGTATTGAGTTTTGAATGAATACGAGAATGAGTTGTCCATATAAGAACAACCAGGTGTTTATCTGGCCTTTCCATCATCTAGTTGTATATGAGTTGACTGACTAATATCGATTAACTTAGGACTATATTAAAAAAAAATGTAGGACATGATAAAATGGAGATACGAAATAGTGATTGTAATGCCATTTGTTGCAAACTTTAGTGACGAGTTTGTTAAATTGAGATTTCAATGTACCAATTCGTTAGTGACCTAAAGTTCAGCTCCCATTTCTAAAATTGACTCGAACCAAACCACTTCCAGTTCCAGAGCCAAACGGTTTTTAAACGACCTCTTCGGCCGTCGTCTTCAATTTCAAGCACACAATGGGCCGTTACAGCAGTCCATCAATGGAGTCCAATCTCTCTGCCTCCCTCGGCCTCCCGGCTCCCGACCACCACCGTGAAATCGCCGCCGATTTCCCCAATCTCTTCCCCCAATTCGCCTCCCTGCTCATTTCCCAACAAAAACCCATCCCTAAAACCCTCCCTTTCGCCTCCAATTCCATCTCCTTATCCACATCACAACAACCACCCTCCTCCCACCACCGAATCGCCCTCGTCAGCACCCCGGCCAAGCTTAAATCCCTAATCAGCAACCTCTCCGTCTTCGAGCGGGCCCTAATCGGCGCCGGCGGGGGCGGACTCGCCGGTGCCTTCACCAACTTCTGCCTCCTCCCTCTCGACGCCGTCAAGACCAAGCTTCAGACCAAAGGGGCGTCCCAGATCTACGCCAGCACCCTCGACGCCGTCGTCAAGACATTCCACGACAAGGGCATCCTAGGGTTCTACCGCGGCGCCTCCGCGGTAATCGTCGGATCCGCCGCCTCCTCCGCGGTCTACTTCGGCACCTGTGAGTTCGGCAAATCGGTTCTCGCCAAGCTCGACGACTTCCCTCCTCTGCTCATCCCTCCCACCGCCGGGGCCATGGGGAACATCGTCTCCTCTGCAATCATGGTCCCTAAAGAGCTGATCACTCAGCGGATGCAGGCGGGGGCGAAGGGGAGGTCGTGGGAAGTTCTGGTGAGGATACTGGAGAAGGACGGCGTGTTGGGTCTTTACGCCGGGTACTCGGCCACATTGCTGAGGAATTTGCCTGCTGGGGTGTTGAGTTACTCCTCGTTCGAGTACTTGAAAGCGGCGGTGCTGAGCAAGGCCAAGAAGGCGCAATTGCAGCCGATTGAGAGCGTGGTCTGTGGAGCGCTGGCGGGGGCGATCTCGGCTTCTTTGACGACTCCTCTCGATGTCGTGAAGACGAGGTTGATGACTCAGGTGGGCAGAGAAGCCATGGGAGGGGTTGGAGATACTGTGAAGCAGATTTTGATGGAGGAAGGGTGGGTTGGATTCAGTAGGGGAATGGGTCCGAGAGTGCTTCACAGTGCTTGCTTCTCGGCAATGGGGTATTTCGCGTTCGAGACTGCTCGGCTCGCGATATTGGATCGGTATTTGAAGCACAAGGAGTTGCAGCAGGAATTGGATGATGTTGTTCCAACTTGAAGGTGAAGTTTTGTTCTTGGTGGTGATCAATTCTTACCCTTGTCTTTATATATTGAAAAGTTGTTATCTTTTTCTACGTTTATTGTGTTTCCTTACTTCACAAATCACAATGGTTGTTTATAGGACCAAAGAATGAGCGGCTTTATATCTCCATCTGTCTATGACTGAGATTTCGGTGTGAACTATGTATGAAGCATTTTTAGTTTGAGTGGTAATGATAGATTCGGATGAAAGTGTAGTTGAGCAAAATTCAACAGTTGAATAAAATTCTTGTCATCTCGGGTTATCTATTGGTGATATTTTCCTCCTAAGCGGTCTTGTTGTTCTGAGGTGTGAACTGTGATGGCTTTCCTAAATGATGCATTGCTTTAAAATTCTTGCCATTGATCAAAGTAGATGATGATGTTAACAGATTATGTTATGGACCCACATCTGTCTATAAGCGGATGGCTTTCTTCAGACACAGTGCTCATGCAGAAATTGAGGGCTGCTGACCTCTGAGTTTTAGACTCCAGGAGGGCAAGGACAGGGGATGGGATGAATCGGAAGGAAGGAAGAGGGTTGTATGGCACAATCTGTGGGAGACCCAAGAAGTCCGACATGCTGCAACTGTCTTCCAGCATCGATATCAAGTTTTATTCCTCTTGACAATCCCCTCAGCAATTCCCTTGATATAAGCAAATCGGGCAACCAGAATTGAGTAAAAAGTAGCCTTCGCGTTGGAGAATTTTGACAGCAGACTCTGGATTGATTTCCGCCCTGGGGATAGAAACTCCTTCAGCTCTTCTTCCTTCGTTGTCGGGTTATCGGGTTTCAGGGTATCATTATAGTTTCCGATTGCTTCCGATATATCATGTATGTATCATATTGAATTTTGACGGAATACAGTTTATTTCATAATGGAACTTAGCGGCCCGGTAGACACAATGGAAGAACGATCGATCCATTTGAAAGAAAAAACAGCGAAGTTCATTAAGAATGCCTCCTCAATTCAATATGCTCAATTCATAAACTCTGTGTGCAAGTCAACATTTTTTGTTATACAAAAGGAACCCAAGAAAAGGCAACCCCAAAAATCCAAACCCCGTAAAAAAAAAAAAAAAATTGTATGTTTGTCTATAAATTTTGCTTTTCTTTTTTTTAACAATTCAGTAGCTAATACATAATTATGTGCGTCGGTTCAATGATACCAAAGAATTTCTCAACTAGTTGACGAAGTTGAATAAGCACACCCATAAGTTGAGGCTTGTATTGGACAAAATAGATCCAACACAACTTACTAAAATGATCATAGAATAGAATGTAATAAGACTGATTATCATAATAGAGAACAGTAGCAGGGCCCCAAACATCACTGCATATATATAAGTTCTGAAGGAGCAGTAGCATGAAATTGAGAGGGAGAAAAGGGGAGTTTAATGGATCTTGCTAAGAGAACAACCATGGCATAGGGAGGAAGATTCTTTAGCATATTTTATTTGATTATGAGATAAAAATATGTTGATCAGCTCGTAAATTGGCATAACTAAGGCGTTGGTGTCAGAGATCAAAGGAAGCAACAAAAGCACGTGGAGGAATTCGATTGGTGATGTGGAAGGTAGTGAGTAAAGAACATCAGTAACATGGCTGCGAAACAGTTCACGCTTCGTGTGTCGATCCTTGATAAAAAAAAAATAAGAATCGAAAAATTCCATAAAAATAGGATTACGAATAAGAGAACTCACCAAAATAAGGTTATGAGGAGCATGGCGAACACGAAAAATATTATCAGAAGAAAGGGAGCAATCAGAAATGAGTGTTTTTAAGAACCAGAGTGAGAGAATGGAAGAGTTTTGCTATTACCAAAGGTGACTTGGTATGTGCCATTATATTTTGCATTATAAGCCTAATTGTCAAGATCTGATCTCAAGTGAAGATTAGCCCCAGAGTCCATGAGTCATTGTTGAGGAAAAGAGACTGGACTAGGTGAGAGGATGGGTCAGAGGAATAAAAAGGAATTGGCTAGTTGGGTCTGATATGGCATTTCCCCACAGTTGGGCCAATACTATAGTGTCGCACGTAAAAATGCAGCACCGGTGTCACCATTTTTTATTGGTCTACATAGGACTGACGTGAAACGGGTTAAGTTTATTAAATCCAGCCTAGACCCGATGACCAAGAATCGACCCAACCCTCATTTCCCCCCACAGTTGGGCCAATACTACAGTGCCGCACGTAAAAATGCAGCACCGGTGCCGCCATTTCTTATTGGTCCACGTAGGACCTACGTTGAATGGGTTAAGTTTATTAAATCCAGCCTAGACCCGATGAACAAGAATCGACCCAAACCTCCATTAAGTGTAATGTGCCATTTTCCCAAAATCTCTCGTGCTTCGACGGACGGTGATAAACAGTTTTGGCGAACTTCTCGGTCGCTGATTCATTTTCCAGTCTCTACCATTAGCGTCAACTGAACTCCACCGTGTTCCTCCTCCATTTATTCTGTTGAACAAAAACGAACGATCCCTATTATTATGTGTTTGTGTGTGTGTTTTTATTTTTCATTTTTACATTATATAGTTTGCAGTATTGGGCCGAGAAGATTTGGCCGAGAAGCCCAGCTCCATGCATCCGGTCGCAGCACATGTGTTTACCATGCAAAACCTATTATCTACATGTACTCTCCCATATACGTGTAGGAATAAAACTAATGCCCTAGTAGAAAGCTGTAAAGGGTATAAATATAGTGGTAATTGGCCGAGCAGCCATAACCACAAGCAGAAATAAAATCAAGCATATTCTTCGGTGGACGTAAGCCTCCGCAATGCGAGGCTGAACCACGTTAGCTCGTCGTCTCTTTTATTTCCGCAATCTCATAATTTTCATGCAGTGCAGGTTACAGTTCGCAGAGGATCTCGATCTCTTTCTGGTGCAGATTCTCACCAGTGTACAATTCTTGTGAATTCTATCTCAATTCAGCTCTCTTTGTACTCCGAACTAAGATTCAAGAGCATTAACAATTGATTTCTAGTTTTACAATTCGCAACAATAAAGTTAAATAATTTGGATTCCATTTCCATGTAGAGTTTCAGTTAAGCATGCATAGCATGAGACTGGAGATAGGATTACCGGTGGAGAAGCTCGCCGGATCAGTTTGTTGCTTTCGTCGTCAGCCATTGCGGGAGATGAAGGAAGAGACCCTGCGTAGATGACAAGACATAAGCTAATACTCTGTCACTTTGGGCCAATATCGATTTGGGATTTATTTTTGGCCATCAGGTTTGAGCTGGGTTTCCAAACCCAATCAATGCCAGTTCACATCCAGGTGGACCAATTAAAAATCGCGACACCAGTGTCACATTTTTTTACAGCGGCACTATAGTATTGGTCCCACAGTTGCGGTAGATTAGTGTTGATGGGCCCGGAGGCCCAGCTCCAAGTACACCTGCATTTCAGAATTATTAGTATAGTTGTGGGGCCAGGAAATGAAATTGGTTCATGAGCTATTTGTGGCTTGAGAGGAGTGGCTAGGGTACTATATAATATATGGATTGCATGGAAGTTTCTCTGTACAAGCGGATTTGAAGGAGGATTGGGTTTTCGTGAGTTTGACTGTTCCAATCAAGCTTTGCTTACTAAGGTGGCATGGAGGATTTACATGGAGCTGAATTCTCTGCTTGCTCTTATTTATAATGGCAGACAGGTACTAAAGTTCTCATGTCACCATTTTAGATGCTTCTCATAGTTCCAATCCGTCGTGGGGGTGGCGCAGCATTCTTCACGAACGAGATTTGTTACTACAAGGTATTCGGTGGCAGGTGGGGGATGGTATGTCGATCCGGGCGTTGGCTGATCCTTGGCTGCCAACATCACCACCATCAATTCCTATTAGGAGACCAAACGTTCCTTTGGCTTCTCCCTATGTGGCGACTTTCATTGAATCCGGTTCCCACTCATGGAAATTGGCTTATTTGCGTCTTTTCTTCACTGAGGAAAGCATTGCTGGGATTACTTCAATTCCACATCATCGGTGCCCAATCAGCGATCCGTTGATCTGGCATTATGAGTCTTCGGGAGAGTTAAAGGTGAAGTCTGCATACATGCATTTATCTTTCTCCATCTTTCTCCATTTTCGCTCTGCAGGTTGTCTCCCTCCTCTGGCGGATTTGGAAGAACAGATGTGTTGCTCTCTTCCACATGAAGCAAGTACGGGTGGACACCCTCGCCCGACAATGGGCTCATCAGGTGGTCGAAATTGATAATGTTCTTTTTCAACTGACGTTAATCGCTGCTTCTTCTCAAGCAGATCTTACTGCAAGGTTCACCACCCCGTCCAATCCGGCGTCAGAGTGGTTGGGGTTCTTTGATGCTGCGACAAGGTCAAATGCTTTGGGATCGGCTGTTTTTGTTCTGTGTGATGGTGGGAGGAATATTATTTATTCTTGGCAAAATACATTTAGGTAGCCAAAATTTTGACGGTTTGACTAAATATAGTCACTTTTGACGAAATACCAAAAATAGCCACTTCCGTCTAATTCCTTGACGGTGTTAACCAAATAGCTGACTAGACTAACGGAAAGATTGAGTTGGCAACAATTAGTCAATTAAAATGTGAGGTGGAAAATAAATATAAACTAATTAAATATTTCTTTATTTTCTCTCTCCTACCACTTCAATTTAATATCAACACTACGGCGACTCATCTTATTTCTCTCCAGCCGACCGCTTTAGCGGAGCAGAGGGTGGCGGTTCGTCTTCTTCTCCGACTGGTGTGAGACCAAGATTGGAAGGCCTCGTCGGAGGAAGGTTGTCGGCGATCAGCGGTGGCGGTTATGGCAATAGGTAAGTGGAGGAGAGGGGCACCAGGACTGGTCGTCTTCTTCTCTTTCTCCGCTTCCGCCCGGAACCCATGCCTCCGACCTGCCCTTCTCTTTACATTCGTCCAATAGATCTATCTTAATATGGCTCCTCCACTCTCCAAAACCCTAACCCGCCACCCAAATCCCCTACTTCCTAATCATTTCTTCCACTTTGAGCCCACCTCCCTGTCAAGATTTGCTTGGTGGGTTTAGTGGACAAGGAACGAATTTGTACTTGTTCTCCGGTTGGTTGAGTTTTGGGGCAAAAATGAGTTTTGTGGAGGATCAAGCCGATTCTGGGTTTCTTCCTGTTGGATCTGCTTCCAATTAAGGTGTATCTCATTCCTCTTTCTTTCTCTCTTCCCGTGTTTCTGTTGTCGCTTTGATTTTGTTTATTCCCCATCTGGGTATTAATGGGTATGGGTTGGATTTCTCAGATGTCTGGCGACAAACGGGGATGTGACGACTTGGGGGAGGAGGAGCAGGAAGTTTGCGCAAGCGGGTGAAAATGAGAAATCTTGATCCGGTATTGAGGGTTCAAGGTTGGTTGCTTCGTATCCCTGATTTTTGCAGCTCAAAGTATGGACCTTGCGACACCCGACCAGTTGCAGAAGACGCCGACGGCGGTGTGAGAGGAGAGAAGACGACAACATCGAGTGTGAGAGGAGAGAGGATGAGAATTTTTTTTATTTTATTTTTAAATTAAAATATGACATGGCATCCATGTGTTAAGTGTTGTTGAGTTGGTGATGATGTGTCAGATGAGTTGGCAGTCAGGTAAGCATTCCGTTAATTGGATTAACGGTGTCACTGGCGCCGTTAAAATATGTAACGGAAATGGCTATATTTGTCATGAAATTTTCAAAATTTTGACTATATTTGGTATTTCGCCAAAAATGGCTATTATTGTCACAAACGTAAAAGTTTTGGCTATACAGATGAATTTTGCCTTTATTCTTCAATGAAGGTGTATAATGGGATCAAGGATGCTCATGTGCTCAAAACTTTCGCTCTCTGTGATTTTTGATAAGTGTCGGCATGGTGTTTTTCATGATGCTCGTGTCAGAGCTATCCTTTGCGAGATTTTTTCTCTTTTGGATTCAGGAATGGACGTTGGTCTTAGGTTTGTTGGTTGTCAAGGTAACTGGGAGGCTTATTTAGTGGCCCGTCATGCCTTGTCACCGCTACTTTTGTCGGGGGTTCGACTTTGTTTCGTGGCTTTGTTCTAGGTAGGCTCCTTTGATTGAGTCTTTGTAATAATCTTATCATTCCCTCTTTTTATAGTGATTGAATGGGGAAAAAAGGGGTGATAAACCTCATCGAGTCCATCAAGAACGGCGTCGACAAGTTTTTCCTGCTTGACTGGATCACCTAGAGCAGCGAGCTTATCGGTGATACCTTTGGCACGCTGTAGGTACTCATGGGCAGATTCGGAGTCCTAAGTCAGGTGATTGAGGGAGCTGCGGAGTTGAAAAACAATCACATGTGAGGCAGGGGCACAAACATGGGCCAACGTATCCCAAGCAGCACGAGCATAATTTTTATTGATAATGATAGGCATCACTACTTCCGATGAAGAAAGGGTTATCCAAGTAAGTACTAATTGGTCACGTTCGTACCACTTAGTGAATGCCGAATTTGGTTGTGCGTCAATCATCTCTCGAGGTGGAGAAGAAGTTCCGTTGACATCGCCAATAAGTTGATGACACCGAAGAAGAGGCTGAAGTTGTGTCTTCCGCAAGAGGTAATTGGTCGGAGTAAGCTTCACTGTCAATGGGATATTGAAAGAGTCAGCAACTAGGTACATGTTCCATTAGAGGAAGGAGAGTAAGAAGAAAGTAGAGTGGTACACTAGATCCTAACCGTTCTTTCCGATATTTTGATGAAACAAATATTTACAAACTTGTTCAAGAGTTTTGTCTTGAGACTTTGAAGGCTATGTGATGCATTTTTTGGAGAATGATTACGATATTATGCCACTCGTGTGAGGAATATGAAGTTTCTTCCCTTGGAAAATTACTAGAGAAGCTAACGGAAATAGGGATGGACATACGATACAAATTGATTTGATTCGTCTAGTGTTGACCTTGCCCGTTTCAAAGGCTATCGCGGAGATAACACTTTCAGCAATAGTACATGTGAAAACTGATTTGTGCAACAAAATGAGCGATGAATTTTTTGTTGATTGCTTAGCTATTTTCTTTGAGAGAGAGTATGCTATTGGTATAGATGGAGATTCTATTATTGATGGATTCGCTAAATTAAAAGACATTCTTGTACAATTGGCATTGTAATGAAAACTATAGTTATTATATATTTTTGTTTACAATATGTAATATTCTATTCAAATGCCGCCAATGCAGTCAAAGTCTAGCTTCTAGGTAAAAGTGGAAGTGCAAAAGCGAAGCGTGAAATATTCAACATAACTTGTATTATGCAAAATATGAACAGAGAGATGAACTAGCTCATATTTAACATATTACTCTCATCAACATAAATTATATCAATAGGCCTTTAACCAAGAATTCACCACGTTCCTCTTGCTTTCTAGAAAAAATATGAGAAAAGGAAACCGACAACAAATGATGAAGCTAGAAGGGTTATAGACAAGCTGCACTAATATTTGAAAGCGGCGTCAAATATGAGGCTGAAGGAGATGAGCTTTGACGACAACATAGTCATAGGGGTGGGATAGGAGTTATAGGGATGGGTAGGATTGATGCATCGAGTGAAGATGTCCAAGTTATTGTAGCACTGGGGGCCTACTAAGAGGAAGTTGGATGCACATTGCTGGAAACTAAGGGAAAAGCGTTGGAAGCAGGACTTTGGATGTGACATGTGGTTTTGGAGGCAGAGAAAATATGAGAATGTGGAAAAGTGGAGGTGAATTAGGGATGATAAATTTATAAAAGCAAAGACTGAAAGGATAACCCGACTAGAAAACAAATAAGACTGCATCATTTTTCTCTTTTGTCCAAAAAGTTGAACCAAAAACACGACCAAATATGATCATCATACTCGGATATCAAAAGCATAGAGAAGCGGTCAAAAGCTAGCTTCTAAGGCTTTTACTAGGCTTGAGGGCTTTTACTTGGACTTTTGATGCAAAAGACTTTTTGAACAAAAGCTACAATATTTGGGGTTCCAAAGCGTGGGTTTTTAGGATTTAAAGCTAGCTTTTGACTACATTAAATGCGGCCCCAGTGCTTTACTATCTCCTGGAATCGCCATTGAGTAATACCATAACAAAATTAACTTAAAAATGAAACGCTTTCATCACTTGATGAGAGGCCGATGAAACCAATGCACATCCTTGAGAATTCTTTGTGGCCCCATCAAATTAGACCTTCGTCAGAGCATGTTATATCTATTACCAAACGACATCCATTGTATTGCTAGAGATCTCTATCTCAAGAGATTAAAGTATGCACTTGAACATATACTCAATAACCGAATATACAACATCAATGGTATATTTTATTCTTCCATCAAGGGTAACTTTAATTCATGTCAATATTGTCCGGTAGAAAGGAATTAATCATTAATCTACCCCAAGTTAATTCGAATGGTAAAACACAACTAGAGAAGCAGTCATTATCGTAATAATAACTCGATGACAGCTGAATTACATAACAATAACCGAAAGATAATAGTAGTAATAATGAGTTAATAACATAGGCAAAAGATAAGCCCTAATTTATGAAGCCAAAGCACTGTTAGGAATATTGTAGAGAGAGTTTGTTATAGAAACTGACGTGATCTGTATTGATATCTCTGTCAACTAATATACATGTACAAGGAGAGTTTGTAGCTAACAATATGACCCACGTTCCTAGAGTATAAGAACAGAATGTAAGTGGGGAATAGGAGACGTGGGAAAGAGGACTAAAAAATAAAATTCTTTTATGACTTTTCTCTAATACGCCCCCGCAAGACGGAGGAGGTATCAACGACGCCGATCTTGGATCGAAGCATATGAAAGCGAGTCGATGGTAGAGGTTTGGTGAGTGCATCGGCGAGCTGATGTGACGTGGGAACGTATTGGACGCACAGGCGACCATCCTGCACCAGTTGACGAACAAAATGATAGTCCAAGGCCAAGTGCTTCATGCGGGAGTGGAACACCGGGTTGGAGCTGAAGTAGGTGGCACCGAGATTGTCTGAATAGATGAGCGGTGTACGAGGCAGAGGATGATGTAGCTCAAGAAGGAGGTTGCGCACCCATTCTAACTCAGCAGCAGTGTGGGCAATGGCCCTGTATTCAGCCTCTGTACTTGAGCGGGCAACTGTTCGCTGTTTTTGTGATCGCCAGGAGATGAGGGTGGACACCAAGTAGATAAGATAGCCGGAGGTGGAGGAGCGGTCGTCAAGATTCCCTGCCCAGTCGGAGTCGGCGAATGCCACTAGTGGTAAGGAGGTGGTGTCGCGACGTATAGCCAGACCATATGTAGTAGACCCAGCAATGTAGCGTAGGAGGCGCTTGACACACTGCCAGTGATATGTAGAGGGGCATGCATATACTGGGAGAGCTTATTGACAGAATAAGCAATATCGGGACGAGTGTAGACAAGATACTGAAGGGCCCCAATAGCCTGACGATAGCGAGTAGCATCACTGGGTGCAGTGCCATCCTGTAGAGTGAGAGAAGTCGTGGAAGCTAATGGTGTATCAGCAGCCTTTGCCTCATTCATCAGGAATCGCTGAAGCACATCCACCATGTATTTATGTTGGGAAAGTATATAGCCAGTGGAAGAGGGAATGACCTCGATACCCAGGAAATAATTAACATCGCCGAGGGCCTTGAGCGAGAAGCGAGCAGAAAGAGCCGCTTGAAATTTGTGAAGTACGGCTGGATCGTTGCCGGTGAGGAGAAGATCGTCCACTTAGACGAGAAAGTATAGCAGAGTGGATCCATGAGAGTAAACGAACAGAGAGGCATCAGAGTGTGTCTTCGTGAACCCAAACTCGACGAGGAAAGAGCTCAACTCGGTATACCAGGCTCGAGGCGCCTGTCGCAGCCCATAGATAGCACGACGGAGGCGACAGACGTGATGAGGACGCTCGGGGTCAACAAAGCCTGGTGGTTGCACCATATAATTGACATTGAATTGAGCGATAGACCAACCTTGAGAAAGGGCCAAGGTGAAGACTGTCCGTACAGTAACTGGTTTCACGACCGGACTAAATGTATCTATGAAATCAAGGCCAGGACGCTGATTAAACCCTTTCGCAACCAGGGGAGTTTTGAACCGCTCAATGGACCCATTAGGATTATATTTAACCCTGAATAACCAGCGATTACCAAGTACATTGTAATGAGGAAGCCGAGGGACCAAATCCCAAGTATAATTGGCCAATAAGGCCTGATTTTCAGCCGAGAGAGCATCAGACCACTCCTTGTAACATAAAGCCTGTTGCACATTAAGAGGTTGTAAAGGCGGTGGGCCAGACTGAGTTACCGTGTGGAACAGCCGCTTTTTGGGCTTAAAAATTCCATCCTGAGCCCGTGTGCGCATGTTGTGTGTGCGATGAGGAGGTGGAGGCGGGCCAGAGGCCGCCACGGGCCCAGAAGCAGGCGTGACTGGATCCGCGGTGGAAGTGGAGGATGTGGAGGTGGACGGCCCAAGTTGTGAGGAATCCTGCTGGGAGGACGCGAGCACCGAGGGGGGAATGGGCCAAAGTCGGCCCAGCCGGTGAAGTGAAGGGGGACGGGCTGCCTGGAAGTGTCGAAATGGTGGGGGATAAATCATGAAGCCAAGATGCCGCCAAAGGAGGTGGAGGGGGGGTTGGATGTCGAAATCCCTGGAAATTGTGTTCCAATAAAGACCACATGGCGAGACAAATAGATACGTTGGGTGAGTGGGTCAAAGCATCTATAGGCACTACGTTGCGGACAATATCCAAGGAAAAGACAAGGCTTGGAGCGAGGATCAAGTTTATGTGATGAATAAGGGTGAAGCCAAGGATAACAGAGACACCCAAAGATACGGAGTTTGTGATAATTAGGGGACAGATTGAAGAGAAGAGTGTAGGGAATTTTACCACGTAGAGCGGAGGAAGGCAAGCAATTGATGAGATAAACGGCTGTGGAGAAGGCGAAAGACCAAAAAACCGTAGGAAGTTTGGCATGATGCAGAAGTGTGATGCCCGTTTCGACAAGATGACGATGTTTCCGTTCAGCCAGACCATTATGTTCAGGGGTATGGGGAGGAGTGAGAAGATGAGTTATGCCATTTTGACATAAATCCATATGCAATTTCTGAAATTCACCACCACCATCCGTATAGAGCCGACGAATGGTAGTGGAAAAGTAATTTTCCACCATTTTGCGAAAGTCAAGAAAGATTTGAAGAACATCATATTTGTTGCGCAATGGATAAAACCAGGTATAACGAGTAAAATGGTCAATAATAACCAGATAATAGCGATAACCATCGATAGAGGAAACAGGAGCAGGGCCCCAAACGTCAGTGTACAAAAGATCAAATGGACGGCTGCTAGATAACGAGGAAACAGAGAAGGGCAGTTTATGACTTTTATTGGAAAGGCAAGCATCACAATGAGAACATGCAAGGGAAGTCGAAACAGGAAGGGAAAAAGACCGAATAAGGCTCGCAAGGGAGGAGTGGGAAGGATGGCCAAGGCGGGCGTGCCAAGAAGGCGCAGAAGTACGAGTGGTGACAAGAGCCAGGCGAACGTCCTTCACTTCACTAGGTAATTCATAGACATCACCGTTGTTTTCCCCCCTCAGCAGCTGCGCCCCCGTGCGAAGATCCTTCACAACAAAATGAGTAGCAAAAAATTCCATAGAGACCGGATTAGCTTGACATAATTTAGCTACCGAAATTAGATGCTTCTTAATGGTTGGCACACACAATATATCACGCAAATATAGATTATTGGATCCAAGAGATAATGTGGAAGAGCCAATATGAGATATTTTCAAACCTGATCCATCACCCACAGTAATTTCATCAGGGCCTGCGTAATCAGAATATAATGAGAGTTGGCCCAAGTCAACTGTAACATGGTGGGAGGCCGCTGAATCCATCAGCCACGGCCCAGGAGAAGAGGCAGTTGTGGCATGGTCCTGGGCAGACCGTGTGGGAACATGGGCCGAAGGGGCAGACTGCAGCTGATTGTAATTCTGACGGGCCTGAGGAAAGAGGCGGAAGCACTGGCGGACTACATGGCCGGGCCGCTCACAGTACTGACACACGAACTGGGCTCGGCGTGCTCTTGCGGGCTCAGGGGAATAAACACGGCGGCCTGGACTGATGGGCTGAGAAGAGTCAGGCCCAAACCCTGTGCCTTGCCCATACACAGACCCTATGCCCTGTTGTTGTTGACGGGAAGGAAAGCCGCCGCCACGGGGAGAAGAAGGGCTGCCGCTGCTGCTGAAGCTGCCACGACAAGTCTGCCCTGTGTAGAACGCAGTGGGTACGGCGGTGGACTGCTGGGCTTTCAGATCAGCCTCATACTCCACGAGGGAGTCAACAAGATCTTCGAGGGTGAGTCCGGGGCCACGAGCGCCAACGGCCGCCGAGAAGGACTGATAGGCCTCCCCCAGCCCTCGAAGGCAATGCACCACAAGATCAATATCCTTCACAGGCTCGCCTATGAGTGCGAGTTCAGCTGCTGTTTCCTTAAGATCATTAACAAAAGTAAGAATATCCTGATTTCCTTTGACTGATTTGGCAAGCTTCCCCTTAAGATGAATGATACGCGATTGAGCATTACTCGCATATAGCTTCTCGAGAATTAACCAAGCCTCTCGAGAGGTTGAAGCAGCAGAAACAAATGAATATATGGATTCATCAATTGAGCACCGCAGGGCATGGAGGATAAGTTTATCTTGCCTGAACCAGTTGTGATAAGAAGGATTCGGGACTGTGGCATCATCCACAATCATTGTTTTGGAAGGAGCTGCTGCCGATCCATCGATGTAGCTGATTAAATCCAGTCCCATGAGAAGAGTCTCCAGTTGTGATCGCCAGGAAGCAAAGTTTGTTGGGGTAAGCTTCAGGGGAAGCTGGGCAGCAGGATTGAAGGTGATAATTTGAGGATCAGAAGGTTTGGATCCAGTGCTAGAATCAGAGGCTGTTGCGTCGCCTGCCATGATGAGTAGTTGACAGAGAAAGAAACTGGGAGTGTTTAACACGAAGAGGCAAGAAAGAAAAAAAACTTGGGAACGAAAGTGATGAGGTATGGATCGAATTCTAGCTGATCGTTGCTAGCTCTGATACCATGTTAGGAATATTGTAGAGAGAGTTTGTTGTAGAAACTGACGTGATCTGTATTGATATCTCTGTCAACTAATATACATGTACAAGGAGAGTTTGTAGCTAACAATATGACCCACGTTCCTAGAGTATAGGAACACAATGTAAGTGGGGAATAGGAGACGTGGGAAAGAGGACTAAAAAATAAAATTCTTTTATGACTTTTCTCTAATAAGCACTCGGCTAACACTAATCCTATTTTTGGTCCGACTTATAGAAGTATTTTTTTTTAAAGATCAAGCAAGATCAAACACTTCGACTGTTGTAAAGGTTAAAAGTGCATTGCTATAACATAAAAGCAGAAGGTCCAATTTAAAAATATTACATTTTGACTAATATAATATAAATCTAACTATACATTTTTATTCAAATTTTATATTAAAAATATTTTTAGTCATTTTACACAACCTCTTATATTAAAAACACTTTTAATCATTTTTCAACAAACCAGTCAATTGCTTTTTTTGAAAAGTATTTTTGTGAAAGCTCTAACCAGAAGTTGTTTCTGCAAAAACTATAACAGGGCTAAACTACGAAAATGTTAATATGCTAATTTAAAGATTCGTTAGCATATATTAACTGATATCCAAAATACTTGAACTAGTATCTAAGTACTAAAGTATCTAGAGAGCACAGACTAGTATTCAAGATTTGGTAACTGATATCCACCAAGAAACAACTACTATGAACTATCCCAAATCCACAAACTAATATCTGGACAACACAGAATAGTCTCCATACAGCACATAATTAATATATGGATACTAGTTTTGTGATGTTTTGAATACTAGTCTGTGTTATCTAGATACTTTAGTAAAATCAGTAGATTTGGATACTAATTCACACATTTTAGATATTAATTAGTATATACTATCAACTTATGCAGTTAGCAGAATAACTCTATTGGCCAAACTAGCCCTAAATGTTTTGAAAAACCAAAATTTAGAAATATAAATTATGGAAAGGAACTATACAAATAATTCAAAACAAAGAATTTGATTGAGATCTACTCGATTCCCCTACTTACTTGATTACCAAAAGAATAATATTAAAACATAAACCTGGCAAATCACGACCCAATCCATTGACCCGAACCCGTCCAGAAATGAAAAATGGGTTGAAGTTTTTATATCCCAAAACCCAAATGACCCAAAATTAATTAACCTGTATTATTTTGGGTGGGGTTGGATGGGTTACCGGGTGAAAATTTGTGTTCCTTAAATGACCCTAGTCCCGATCCGAAACCCGATAGATTAGATCAACATTTGACCCAAAATCTGCCGACCCAACATGACCCAACCCATGACGACTCCTAACTTGAATTTCCTAATCCAAAATTACCCAACCCAACACAAGTACACAACCCAACTCAATTGCCAGATCTACTGAAGACGAACAAGGTTACCGGAAAATCTATTAAGCAATAAAGGGAAGATATTAATTAACCGATGAAGCACATTAAGCGGCTCTCAAAGTTTATAGTAATTGCAACTGAGGGGGAAAAAATAATAATTAATATATCATAATTTCGTTAATCATTATACTGAACTCACAATCTGGTTTCCACATCGTTGTCGCTCTCCTTCCCCATCGCAACCTCAAATCCCTAGATTCGTCGTACGACAGGCCATAATCGGACGATCGATTGGAGGAGGAACGCCGCCTCCAACGTCAGATTCGTGAGCTGCCGGCAGTAGAGTAGAGTGTACCGAAGGAGAAGTAGCAGATGGAGAAGAGAGAGATATATGTTATGGAGGAGATCGAGAGAGAGTGCAGCTAGGGATTTAAAATTCTGTATTTTAATTTTATTAATTTTTAGTTGTTTTATGTTTTTAGTTACCCCTGGTGTTGTTATAGTTATAGTATCCGCAGCCATCCCACAGTAATTAAAACACTAAAATGGCTTGCCTTCATTCATTAGTCATAACCATGGACATCAACAAAGTGATTAGCTTTAAATACATCTTTACATCATCATATGATGAGCTTCCCGGTCGAAAGGGGGCTGATAACATTAACATATGATCCCGTCATTTTCCAAGTTTGTTCATCACAATTATACAGATACCGCACGAATCGTAATTAACTTGAAACGAAATATTGAGAAGGAATCCAATCATGTTTGTTTGTGTGTTTGTCACTAACTAACTCATGCTTATTCTACTGAACTGTAAACTTATGTGCGCTTTCCTATAACATTTGCAAGGGAGAAGAACCTCAGCTGCAGAATATACTGCCTTCATCTTATGGAGGTCCTCAAGGTTTCGCAACTTTGAAACTTGCTGTAAGATCAACATAACCAATAGAATTGTAGGGATTCTAAGGAATGAAGGAAGGGATTTTTAGCCGTTTAGTGAATATCTTTGGGATACCTTCATGGCGGAACTGCTGATAGATTGGCTGATTTCTCACCATCTGGCAGATCCCGCTGCAACCATGGAAGAAAATAGCACTTCTGACAGTTAGTACTCTCAAGGGAAGCTAAGAGCGGCCTGTAACTGCAAAAAAATGAAGTACAACAATAAGTTAGATGCGTCCAATGCAGACCAATGATGCTGACAAGCAAACAAACAGAAGTAAATCAAGCAGAGGACAGTAACCGAATCCTGATTTTAGATATATGCTGAATCATATGGTGTAACTGCTGATGAATTGACGATACCGACAGAGACGAAGTGCCATCTGTACTCGAAACGATCCTAAAAAGAATCTACTAATGACCTTCCTCCAGTTATCACTCTTTTATGATTTATCTATTAACTGAAATCAAGCACTACGTTCCAGGACTGCTGAGCTTTAAGTACAGACTGAGTGACCAAGTCCAACCTACCCAAGAAGTTCCAGAATCAAGCAGTCACTTCAAAGAATTTACAAATTTACAGCTTTTGTTTGGAACTTGACCATGAATCTAAGAGCCAACTAACCAAAAAACCAGCAAACTTGAACTCAATTTCTCCCCAATCCAAGAGCTGAAACACTTACCATGGATAAATCGGAAATGCAATCGAAACACTGAAGCTGTTGTTTCCTCCTAGTCAAGCCTTAATAGGAGCATTTCTCAGCCTCTACAAATCAACAATAACATCAGCAGCCAGTTGATCACTCTAAAATGAAGAAATTTGAAGCACTCTATTACGCAATTGGGAGACAATCAAACTCTATAATTTCTGGAATGGAGCTGACCAAAATGATCACTAACCAGTCTAGAGATTAAAAAACAAGCTATACATGAAATCCTGTTTCCCCCATGCGACTGGCAGGGATAGTCAGGTCCACAATGTATTTGTGAATTCACAACCTACACCACCACCAGATAAACACTGATCAAGGAACAACATCCTAGAGTAATAGTCAACATCATTGCTGTTGTTGAGGAGAACATTGAAATTCAGAAGGCATGATATAGATATGGTGTTAGAAGAGAAGGAGGAGAGTAAGATACCTATCACTTCTTCATGGGTTTTCCTCGGGCGTAGTTGTCTTGCCATGGAAGTGGCCGGCGAATCCCTCTTGCAATCTGCCAATTTGAAAACAGAGAGACGAACAGAGAGAAAATCATGATTTCGCTTTTCAAATCGCTCATCGAAGACAGAGAGTGCACCAGTCGTCGAGATTGTCAGGACTGTCATTGGAGGTTTCTTTTTGATTCAAACTTCCACAGCAGCAGACGAAATCGCTGCCGCCGAGATGGGAGAGTTTTGGAAAACCTCAGGATCTCCAGCCTTGGGAGAGTTTTGCAAAACACTGCCAGCGGCGGAGGTGGAGGGAGGCTGGGAGCAGGAAGCCTATGAATACATCGCTAAAGCTCCCATTACTTTTTCCCGGCCATTAACAGCAAACCCTGTGAGGATTGAGATTTTAATAGAGATTTTGCAATCAAGAGACCTGCCAACCACTTCAGGCAGTCGGAGGACACTAAAAAACAAACACTCTGAGGTTTCATATACCTGTGAAAGTTGCATAAGCATTGAACTACTTCACAATGAAGCTCCAACGCCAACGATTCATAGGGGTGTCAAGTCTGCAAATATTCTCTTTCAGATGAATTGGAACTACCGGTAAATCAATCACCGTATAGTTAAAAAGATGAAACATTTTCACCTCACTTGATGTACAAAGACTTTGGAAAAGGGATTGGGATTCCCCAAGGAAGAGGGGAGGGATTTACCACTCGACTGCTTAAAAGAGGAATGATTCACCAGCCAGGGATGACAAATAATGAATTTTCATCATAGAATTGAATTCGATTGACATTTCATAACCATGATATCCAGCACGACACGCCCCTAAACTAAAACTAATGGCTGCAATCTTAAATAGATAATACACAAAGAAGTCCTCTCGACCGAGTTTCCTTATATAGCCTATGCATACAGAGCAACCACTGGAGATAATTTTATTTTACCGCTCTAAGGGCACATGCTGCTGCCTTTTGCCGCCTTCTGCTTCCTTTGAACGGAACACTTGGAGTTTGATGCTGCTGCTGATCTGTTGTCCTTCCTCTTACGACCAACCTGTTCAACCAAGGGCTGCACTCTTTTGCTGGCTCAACAAACAAACAAACAAACCCACAACATAAATGAGATTGGATGCAAAATATTAGAAAAGAAATGGAGAGAACAATCGTAGCTTTCATCATACATACCTCGCAAGTGTTGTTGTACTGCTGCTCTGAACCCAGCAATCGTAGCTTCCATCATACATACCTCGCAAGTCCTCGTAGCTTGGAATTGGAGTGGGCCAGCAAGAGACTCTGGGGTGCAATGCCCTCCAACCAGGTTCATAGCATTTTAGGTTCACTGCAGAGAAGAACTCTGGCTCTCCTGTGCCAGTCCTCAAATTGCAGGAGAAGACACAATCATTCAAGTATTTAAAGAAGACAACTTCCGGCTTCTCCGGATGCAAATCAAGCACAGAACACTTGTTCAGTTCATAGTCGCCCCATAATGATGATGATGATGATGTCGTCGTCTTCAACACCAGTTCATATTGTAGGTTCCAATTCCCAGTATCTTCTTCCAGCCTCCAAACAGTCAAGGCATCCCTTGAAAAATCACCAACGCTTTCAACTTCTAGTATCACTATGTGAAAAGCACCTTGTGATACTGAAAAATTCCCACATCCCTTGCACAATGCGCTCCACAATATAGAAGGCACATGCATAAACTCGGGGGCGATATCAAGGCGGAAAGGATCATATGCAGCAAGCTTTTTACACAAGGAGATGTAATGAAGATGCATCCAAAACATCCTCCCGTTCCACCAGGTTACATTGGTCCACGCCCTTTTCACGGCATGCTTGAAAAAAACCTTGGTCCATTTCCTAGACTCGGAACAAAACACATACAGCATCATATTATCGCAACACTGAAAATGACACACCACGCGGAAACGATACTCAGAATAAACAAAGGCGGGTTCTGGTTCTGCTTCGTCCCCTAGCTGCTGCACAAAATTATATTTACTACTACTAGTAGTTCGGGGTTGACAAGCTAACACTACCGCAGATCCATTGTACCCTCCTTCTGGCTGTTTAGGCGCCAAAGGAAGGGCAATCCACTGATTGGTAAACGGATTGCAAATCAAGTAGGATCTGCCCAATTCGCCAAATAAGTCAGCAAACCCGCATAAAAGCAAGTCCTTGAAGCAATCAAAGGCTCTCAAAGCCGGTAGAGCTTCATTAGGCACGGGAGAAAGCTGAGTATCGACCGGGGGTCGTGTGAGGGAAGAAACAGCGCTGCTGGTTGGTACCTTCTCTGGTGATGAGCAATGAAACGGAGATTGAAGGTGGTATCCGAGATGAGGGATCTCCACCTCTTGCAGACGGCTTTGCATTGACAGGTGGATAGAGGGTTGGGGAGGCGAATCAGAATCTCTATGAGGAGATCGTCTACCAGTTTGGTGAATGGATTCAGGGGAGGAGGAGGGTTTCCCAGTGGGCAGATCGGGCGCGGCTCGGAAGGGACGTAGAGTGAGCTTGGCGGTAGATCCGAACCCCAACTGAAATTATCGGTCTTGGTCATGGCACTTGATCGACCAGCAGCCGGATTGAAACAAGACACTCCGCTGGTGAAGGAGGTCATAAATTTATAGACAGAACAAGGAGGTCGTAAACTTATAGACAGAACAAGGAACAGCGGATGAGAAGAATGAGAGAGAGAGAGAGAGAGAAGCAGCAACGCCCCTAAATCCTGATGTAGTTTTTTGTTTTACATTTTAAGGAAAAGTTCTCTTTGTCTCTGGCTCTCTACAAACAAAATATCTAAAACCAATCTATTTAACATATTTTTAAGTATTCTTCTCACAACAACAAAAAAAACATATTTTTAAGTATTCATTTATCCATTTAATCTTTATTTATTCACATAAGAGGGTAAGTCGTAAATGAAAAATTAGACTTTTTTCCTACACAATAACATCTATTTTGATATATTTAAAAGTTTAAATTTGATTTTACAACTTCATGGAAAGATAACAATTGCGTGAATAAAAATAGGTTGCGTGACTAAACAATATTGATTCGTAAATAACTAACACTCTTACGTGAATAATGTGATGTGAATAAGTCCAACTTTACGTTAATAAATAAATAAAATGTGGGGATTAGATGTTTTGTCTTTAGAAGCACCAAAGACTAGATTCAAAGTCGAAAACTAAATCATATCGTTAGCAGTGCAGTCCAAATCACGTTTTAAGTCGTAAAAACGTACATTTTCACATATATAAATCACCAAAACGTTTCAGTTTCCACCTAAAAACGTTTTGCTAGTAAAATCGCTCAAAAACGTTGGTGGAAATGGCCAAATTGGCGTTCCAATATAAATAAAAAAATTGTGGAAGGGAGTATCGCATCGGGCTATCAGTCGGGCTTCTCCCCAACCTAACATTTCAATCCCTAATTGAGGACTACGAGCAGGGCAAGGCGAGGGAGACCCGCGACCAGTCTCCACCGTCGCCGCATATATGCGGGTGCGGCTGCTTCCTTCGTCTCCGAAGACACTCAGTAGTCAGTAGACCTCCATCGTGTGAGACAAGTCAGTGGTGATAGCTAGCTTCCTTCCGTCTCCGAGCGGTCTCCATCGTCTCCAGCAGACCCGGCATCCAAAGTCACCAACTGCAGCTCGGTGCCTGAAAAATAAAAGGAATCGCCTACTTCTGGTATACCCGATACTGTTATTTCATTTTCATCAGTTTTGGATCTTGGCAGCCAGCTCCTAGTCCCTGTTTTTGTTTCGTTTTCATTGGATCGGTTCCTTTAATGGAACACACTTATAATTCATTAATCATTACTATTATCTAGAGTTCTAGGCAACAACTAGAATTAGGGGTGGAAGTTTGGGTTGCGGGTTGTGGATAATCCGCAAACCGCACCTATTGTGGGTAGCCATACCCACAAGTTATGGGTAGTGGGTTGGGTGTGGGTAGTAAAATAACGATTTTTGTGGTTAGCGGTTATCCACTAGCCACCGCGGATAGCCCACAAAATCTACAATAACCACACTAATTATATTTATTTAGTGAATTAACTTTATAATATAATAGTATGTGAAAAGTGCGAGGATAAAAATTAAAGTAGCCATCAAATAAAAAAGACACACCTAATCAGTTTTATGTAAGAATTTTTTAGTTTATAAAACACTATAATCGATAGAGTGGAGAATAATCAATTCATTAAAAGTGAACACCTTTTGTAACTTTTATCAGTAACTTTTTGCTTTTGTGTGAAAAAATATAAGATCATATTTAATTGTCATATTTCTCCCCTAGTCGGGGAAATATGAAATTACGGCTCTTTGGCACAAAAGTTGAATATCAAACTCAAAAAGAAAAAGGCTCCACGTTGAGTAAGATCGATGTACAAAATTGTATCTCCACGAACAACACAAGTGTATATCACTATAATTTAGTTACGAACAACAAATACGTTGAGACTTCTCGGCCGAGTGCACTTTTCCTCGGCCGAGTGCACAGCCGAGGTGCACACTTGGCCGAGACTTCTCGGCCGAGTGCACTTTTCCTCGGCCGAGTGCACAGCCGAGGTGCACACCTGGCCGAGACTTCTGTATTAATAGGGCTGAAAATTGGCCCGACCCGCCCCTGACCCTGTCTTGACCCTGTCTGACCCGCCCCTGAAGGGTCAAGATGTATAACTGACCCGCCCCGACCCTGTTTCTTTCATGACCCTGTCTGACCCTTTAGGGTCGGGGCGGGTCAGGAAGGGTCGGGTCGGTGGGTCGACCCTGATAAATAGACTACTTTTCTAAAAATTACAATTTGGTACCCGAATTTATTTTTTCTTACATTTTAGTACCTAAATTTTATTTTTTTTACAAATAAGTCCCTAAAATTTGATGGTAAAATTACATTTTGGTACCCAAAATTTTTAATTTTTACAATTTAGTACCTAAACTTATAAAATTTTACAAATAGGTCCCACATGTTTGTATGATGCTAAGGGTCATAGGGTCAAAAAGTGACCCGACCCTAAATTGACCCGACCCTATCAGACCCTGACCCAACCCTAAGCCGACCCGACCCTAAATTGACCCTATAGACAAACTGACCCAGCCCGACCCTGAGGGTCGGGGCGGGTCTGGGCGGGTCAGTGGATTTTAAAGGTCAAACTTACACCCCTAGCAATGGGTAGGATACGGGGCGGGTACCCCATATCCATTGTCCGTCCTTTATGCCCGCGTGCAAAACCCGTGACTAGTGATGGCAATGGGTTGGGTCGGGTTTTGCCAAACCCAAACCCATGGGTTTATTCGTGAAAAAACCTGGGGTCAAGCCCAACCCAACCTGCTGGGTATCCGCGGGTTCATGCCTTCATGGGTACCCATGGGTTTTTGTCGTAAAAAATTTACAATAACAAGTTCCTATCAAAATAAAAGTCAAAAAGCAATCTCTCAATACAAATTATCCATATATAAAACACCATTCTAGTAAATTCAAGTAAATCACAAATTAACCATATAAATTGTTCAACACCAATCTAGAAAACTGGAGAAAATTAAAGCAAATCACAAATTATCCATAAACAAAATGATTAATTGAAAGGTTCTTTCTCCTTGTCAATTAAGCTTCTCCACTCTCCACTCGATAATATCAACTTCATTCTACACAATTAGAAAGAAAAAATTAGACATGTCTCCACAACATAAAGAAGATGAGTTGTTTAGAATATTAAATATACCATAAAAATAATTATATAGGTGTGGGCGGGTACCCATTGGGCGGGTTTAACTAAACCCAAACTCAACCCAACCCGTTGAATAATGAACGGGTTTAAACCCGAACCCGACCCAAAACTCGTCAACACGGGTTTTACCCCCATTGACCGGGTTAGGTCGGGTAGGGTACTAGTGGGTTCGGGTTTTGTAGTCATCCCTACCCGCGACTGCCCCATTAAGCTTCACGGGCAAACAAATTGGACCAAGCCCACGTTCAAGCGGGTATCGATGAACCCGCGGGTCATTGGTTACCCGTGACCCGCCAAGAAAAAGCAAGCTAACAAAAATCCTGAAACATAACTAAGCATGATCTGATTTACTGGAAACCAAGTTATTATAACATTCAACAAGTAACCATGAACTAAAAGCCCCGAAACTTGTCTCAAATCCAACAATATAACCATAAATAAACCCGCTTAGTGAAAGAGGTGGACCGTTTTCTCCAAGTCATGGTAACTTGTAAGTCACTGTAGCAAAATCATATATTACATTATAATTATTAGAAGAGAGATACTTTTTAAATCGGCCTAATACGAATAAAGGATTCATAGTTATGTTTTATGTCAATTTTGTCTCTATGTTTTTTATATAATAGTTGTGTACTATAACATTAAGGTCTGACATCAGGGTTAATTCCTTAAATTTTTTTTTTAAATTACCACGAATATAGTGTTTTGAAAAGTATTTACAAGAATATTGTGTTTTTTTATATGTTTAAAGCGCCGAAGCCTTAGACTCAGGCGCTGCCGCTGGATGCTTTTTTAACTAAAAAAACACAGCGGCGCCGCCCCAGACTGGGGCTTTGTCGCTTTTAAGAAGGTAAAAGCGTCGGCGCCCCAGACTGGGGCTTTGTCGCTGCCATTTTGTTCCACTCCTGCACCATCCATCACCATATATACTGCACCTTTCCTTCGGTTCTTCATCACCAAAAAACTGAAAGAAGTTTTGAAAGAAACTCTGGTGTTGCTGTCTAGTTGCTGGGAAGATGGCTAATAACAGGTAAGAGTCGTATTTATTTTTTTCATGTATTCATCATAATGATTTTGTCCAGTTAGTAATTAGTGAGTTTGTTTTTTATGTAGTGGTTTTAGAAGATTTGAAATAGCTGTTCGGTGGCGATCAGAGAAAGTAGAAGACAATTTGGGTGTCCATTTTGTTGGTGGTCTAAGTTTCCAGATGACTATTCCATCCAGGGTGAACTACCAGAAACTTTGTGATCATCTAATTCGGAGAATACGGATTAGAGACGAAACAGTACAAGATAGTGTTGTGATTACAGGTTTCACCTACTGTCTTCCAGAATGGCAGAATGGTGTTTTATTTCATTATGCAATGCCTATTGTCGATGATGATAGCTTAAATGTGCTTTGGAATTTTATGGCACAAAATCCTTATTGTTTGGGTGCTGAGATACATGCTGAGCTCAGTGAGGATCGGGGTGGAGAGGAAGACGATGATGACGGTGATGACACATGGAGCATGCCATCCGATCATGATTATGATGACGGTGATGAGGAAGACGATGATGAGGAGGAGGAGGAGGACGACGACGGGGAGGGAGGGAGGAGAACAACCTAATTATCCTCCATATTTTTACTTGCATGGTAATGAAGAGGACGAGGAATTATCATATGGCGTAATTCCAGGGTCTACTGTTGGTGGTTTTGATGGAGAATTCTACAAGGGGCAAATATTTCACTCTAAACAAGCTGCACAGGTGGCGATGAAATACTATGCACTACAACGCAACTTTCAGTATAACGTGGTGGAGTCGTCACCTTCAATCTGGAAGATCAGATGTTTGATGCACAAGGAGGACAAATGTCCTTGGATGGTGCGGTTTGGATGTCGAGAAATGGGAGGCGATTGGAGCGTGAGAAAGGTCGAGTTGGTGCATACTTGTAGCAGTATGACTCAACCGACGGATCATCGCCATCTTGATGTCGACGTGATATCTGAGGCCGTCAAACACTTGGTACGTGCCCAACCAAATCTGAGTGTTCTAACTGTTCAGGCCGAGTTGAAAGATAAGTTTAATATGCAAGTTACTTACAAGAAGGCTTGGTATGGGAAACAAAGAGCATTGGAGAAGTTGCATGGAAATTGGGAAGAATCCTATGATTTTTTGCAAACATTCTTGCGGGTGGTCAAGAGAAAAATGCCAACATCGGTGATTGATTGGGTAAGAGTTCCTTCGACTCAACCAGGTCATTCAATATTTCAGCGAGTATTCTGGGCTTATGGACCTTGTATAGATGGATTCAAGAATTGTCCAGGCGTTATGGTTGTTGATGGAACATTTCTTACTGGGAAGTATAAAGGAGTGCTACTCATGGCGAGCTCATTTGATGGATGGAAGAAGATTTTTCCAATTGCATTTGCCATAGTGGAGAGTGAGAATACTGATAGTTGGCCATGGTTCATAAGTCACGTTCAGGGTTTGACTGATCGAAATGATGTATGCATCATCTCAGATAGACATGCAGGACTCTATGAAGCCACGAATAACATCGGAAGAGGTTGGGAGTGGAGGTGGTGCATGCGACACTATGCAAGCAATTTGCAAAGGAAGACTAAAAGCAAAATTATGTATAATCAACTATTTCGAGTCGGTAAGCTTTCTTCATATAATTTTGTTACTTGTTTTCATGTAATTTTGTCTTGAATTTATCTAACCCGTGTGGTGGTTTATTTTATTTTGTTAGCCGGAGAAAAACGGTTGGAGAAGTTTGATCGTCAAGTTGAGCAATTTAAGAAGGTGGCCGCTGATAGAAATATTTCATGTGATAACTGGGTGGATCAACATCAGATTCGTTGGAGTTTAGCACACGATAACTACAATGGTGGGCGTCGTTGGTCTATCCTGACATCCAACATGGCAGAAAGCGTCAATGGTATTTTCAAAGGTATTCGGGCACTTCCTATAGCTTCTCTTGTGCAACATACCTATTGGCAATTGGTGGAGAAATTCGATAAGTACAGGTTGGGGACAGGAGCAGAAATTAGAAGTGGTCCTTCACAGTACTCCACCAAGTGCGAAGAGCTGATGAAGGCGTGGTCACAAAAGGCAGTTGGACATTCTGTGACAGCTCTTGATCGACGTCAAGGCATCTATGTAGTTCAGACTCCTCCCAACAATTTCAACATGACAGGGTCAAACACACTCACAGTGCACTTTGACGACCCCAACCGGACGGGATTTTGCACATGTGGTAAATTTCAAGGAAATAAAATTCCTTGCTCTCATGCCATTGCAGCTTGCAACCGAATGGGTGCTAATGCGTATAGGTTTGTCAACAATGTCTACAAGCTGGAAACAGTGATGGCTTGTTATGGGACAAGTTTCGCACCTCTTGGTGAACCTAAGGGTTGGAAGAAGCATAATGACCCTACTCTCCATCCTAATCTGGACATGATTAGAAAGTCGGGGAGGCCAAGATCAACACGAATTCACAACGAGATGGATTGGCCAAGGGAGGGTTCATCACAGCAAGTGTGTAGCAACTGTAACCAAGCGGGACATAATGCATCAACCTGTGGTGGCCAAGCAAGTGGGAGTGGGAGCAACCGAAGAGGGAGTGGTGGCCAACGAAGTGCGAGAGGTGGTAGAAGAGGAGGAAGTAGAGGGAATAGACGTGGCTGAGAAGTTAGTTCGAATGTAGCAGTTGTTGTTTTTCTTTCGATTTATCTCGCAGAAGTTGTTGTTTGGACTTTTATGAACTGAACTAGTTGTTGATGTTTGTTGGTTTTATATTTAAGTCTCAATTTAGACAATAGCACTAACATGAATTAGTCCGCATGAGATTAAAAATAGTCCAAAATAAGTACATAACAATAAATAGTCTCAAGGAAGTACATAATAATAATGCATAGTCACAAAGAACATAATAATAGTCTCAAGGAATTACATAATAATAATAATGCATAGTCGCGCCTACATTTTGTGGGTACCCACACCCACAAATTTACAATTATGTTACCCACAACCCCCACTGCAGTGGTTAGTGGGTAACCACTACCCACTGTGGGTTTGTGCGGGTTGGGTGTGGTTACCCGCAAAAATCCATATTTGCAAGCATAGAGTTCTACTCGCCACTAACGTATTTGTTGTTCGTAACTAAATTATAGTGATATACACTTGTGTTGTTCGTGGAGATACAATTTTGTACATCGATCTTACTCAACGTGGAGCCTTTTTCTTTTTGAGTTTGATATTCAACTTTTGTGCCAAAGAGCCGTAATTTCATATTTCCCCGACTAGGGGAGAAATATGACAATTAAATATGATCTTATATTTTTTCACACAAAAGCAAAAAGTTACTGATAAAAGTTACAAAAGGTGTTCACTTTTAATGAATTGATTATTCTCCACTCTATCGATTATAGTGTTTTATAAACTAAAAAATTCTTACATAAAACTGATTAGGTGTGTCTTTTTTATTTGATGGCTACTTTAATTTTTATCCTCGCACTTTTCACATACTATTATATTATAAAGTTAATTCACTAAATAAATATAATTAGTGTGGTTATTGTAGATTTTGTGGGCTATCCGCGGTGGCTAGTGGATAACCGCTAACCACAAAAATCGTTATTTTACTACCCACACCCAACCCACTACCCATAACTTGTGGGTATGGCTACCCACAATAGGTGCGGTTTGCGGATTATCCACAACCCGCAACCCAAACTTCCACCCCTAATTCTAGTTGTTGCCTAGAACTCTAGATAATAGTAATGATTAATGAATTATAAGTGTGTTCCATTAAAGGAACCGATCCAATGAAAACGAAACAAAAACAGGGACTAGGAGCTGGCTGCCAAGATCCAAAACTGATGAAAATGAAATAACAGTATCGGGTATACCAGAAGTAGGCGATTCCTTTTATTTTTCAGGCACCGAGCTGCAGTTGGTGACTTTGGATGCCGGGTCTGCTGGAGACGATGGAGACCGCTCGGAGACGGAAGGAAGCTAGCTATCACCACTGACTTGTCTCACACGATGGAGGTCTACTGACTACTGAGTGTCTTCGGAGACGAAGGAAGCAGCCGCACCCGCATATATGCGGCGACGGTGGAGACTGGTCGCGGGTCTCCCTCGCCTTGCCCTGCTCGTAGTCCTCAATTAGGGATTGAAATGTTAGGTTGGGGAGAAGCCCGACTGATAGCCCGATGCGATACTCCCTTCCACAATTTTTTTATTTATATTGGAACGCCAATTTGGCCATTTCCACCAACGTTTTTGAGCGATTTTACTAGCAAAACGTTTTTAGGTGGAAACTGAAACGTTTTGGTGATTTATATATGTGAAAATGTACGTTTTTACGACTTAAAACGTGATTTGGACTGCACTGCTAACGATATGATTTAGTTTTCGACTTTGAATCTAGTCTTTGGTGCTTCTAAAGACAAAACATCTAATCCCCACATTTTATTTATTTATTAACGTAAAGTTGGACTTATTCACATCACATTATTCACGTAAGAGTGTTAGTTATTTACGAATCAATATTGTTTAGTCACGCAACCTATTTTTATTCACGCAATTGTTATCTTTCCATGAAGTTGTAAAATCAAATTTAAACTTTTAAATATATCAAAATAGATGTTATTGTGTAGGAAAAAAGTCTAATTTTTCATTTACGACTTACCCTCTTATGTGAATAAATAAAGATTAAATGGATAAATGAATACTTAAAAATATGTTTTTTTTGTTGTTGTGAGAAGAATACTTAAAAATATGTTAAATAGATTGGTTTTAGATATTTTGTTTGTAGAGAGCCAGAGACAAAGAGAACTTTTCCTTAAAATGTAAAACAAAAAACTACATCAGGATTTAGGGGCGTTGCTGCTTCTCTCTCTCTCTCTCTCTCATTCTTCTCATCCGCTGTTCCTTGTTCTGTCTATAAGTTTACGACCTCCTTGTTCTGTCTATAAATTTATGACCTCCTTCACCAGCGGAGTGTCTTGTTTCAATCCGGCTGCTGGTCGATCAAGTGCCATGACCAAGACCGATAATTTCAGTTGGGGTTCGGATCTACCGCCAAGCTCACTCTACGTCCCTTCCGAGCCGCGCCCGATCTGCCCACTGGGAAACCCTCCTCCTCCCCTGAATCCATTCACCAAACTGGTAGACGATCTCCTCATAGAGATTCTGATTCGCCTCCCCAACCCTCTATCCACCTGTCAATGCAAAGCCGTCTGCAAGAGGTGGAGATCCCTCATCTCGGATACCACCTTCAATCTCCGTTTCATTGCTCATCACCAGAGAAGGTACCAACCAGCAGCGCTGTTTCTTCCCTCACACGACCCCCGGTCGATACTCAGCTTTCTCCCGTGCCTAATGAAGCTCTACCGGCTTTGAGAGCCTTTGATTGCTTCAAGGACTTGCTTTTATGCGGGTTTGCTGACTTATTTGGCGAATTGGGCAGATCCTACTTGATTTGCAATCCGTTTACCAATCAGTGGATTGCCCTTCCTTTGGCGCCTAAACAGCCAGAAGGAGGGTACAATGGATCTGCGGTAGTGTTAGCTTGTCAACCCCGAACTACTAGTAGTAGTAAATATAATTTTGTGCAGCAGCTAGGGGACGAAGCAGAACCAGAACCCGCCTTTGTTTATTCTGAGTATCGTTTCCGCGTGGTGTGTCATTTTCAGTGTTGCGATAATATGATGCTGTATGTGTTTTGTTCCGAGTCTAGGAAATGGACCAAGGTTTTTTTCAAGCATGCCGTGAAAAGGGCGTGGACCAATGTAACCTGGTGGAACGGGAGGATGTTTTGGATGCATCTTCATTACATCTCCTTGTGTAAAAAGCTTGCTGCATATGATCCTTTCCGCCTTGATATCGCCCCCGAGTTTATGCATGTGCCTTCTATATTGTGGAGCGCATTGTGCAAGGGATGTGGGAATTTTTCAGTATCACAAGGTGCTTTTCACATAGTGATACTAGAAGTTGAAAGCGTTGGTGATTTTTCAAGGGATGCCTTGACTGTTTGGAGGCTGGAAGAAGATACTGGGAATTGGAACCTACAATATGAACTGGTGTTGAAGACGACGACATCATCATCATCATCATTATGGGGCGACTATGAACTGAACAAGTGTTCTGTGCTTGATTTGCATCCGGAGAAGCCGGAAGTTGTCTTCTTTAAATACTTGAATGATTGTGTCTTCTCCTGCAATTTGAGGACTGGCACAGGAGAGCCAGAGTTCTTCTCTGCAGTGAACCTAAAATGCTATGAACCTGGTTGGAGGGCATTGCACCCCAGAGTCTCTTGCTGGCCCACTCCAATTCCAAGCTACGAGGACTTGCGAGGTATGTATGATGGAAGCTACGATTGCTGGGTTCAGAGCAGCAGTACAACAACACTTGCGAGGTATGTATGATGAAAGCTACGATTGTTCTCTCCATTTCTTTTCTAATGTTTTGCATCCAATCTCATTTATGTTGTGGGTTTGTTTGTTTGTTTGTTTGTTTGTTTGTTGAGCCAGCAAAAGAGTGCAGCCCTTGGTTGAACAGGTTGGTCGTAAGAGGAAGGACAACAGATCAGCAGCAGCATCAAACTCCAAGTGTTCCGTTCAAAGGAAGCAGAAGGCGGCAAAAGGCAGCAGCATGTGCCCTTAGAGCGGTAAAATAAAATTATCTCCAGTGGTTGCTCTGTATGCATAGGCTATATAAGGAAACTCGGTCGAGAGGACTTCTTTGTGTATTATCTATTTAAGATTGCAGCCATCAGTTTTAGTTTAGGGGCGGGTCGTGCTGGATATCATGGTTATGAAATGTCAATCGAATTCAATTCTATGATGAAAATTCATTATTTGTATATCAAATTAGGTGAAATTGTTTCATCTTTTTAACTATACGGGGATTGATTTGCCAGTAGTTCCAATTCATCTGAAAGAGAATATTTGCAGGCTTGACACCCCTATGAATCGTTGGCGTTGGAGCTTCATTGTGAAGCAGTTCAATGCTTATGCAACTTTCACAGGTATATGAAACCTCAGAGTGTTTGTTTTTTAGTGTCCTCCGACTGCCTGAAGTGGTTGGCAGGTCTCTTGATTGCAAAATCTCTATTAAAATCTCAATCCTCACAGGGTTTGCTGTTAATGGCCGGGAAAAGGTAATGGGAGCTTTAGCAATGTATTCATAGGCTTCCTGCTCCCAGCCTCCCTCCACCTCCGCCGCTGGCAGTGTTTTGCAAAACTCTCCCAAGGCTGGAGATCCTGAGGTTTTCCAAAACTCTCCCATCTCGGCGGCAGCGATTTCGTCTGCTGCTGTGGAAGTTTGAATCAAAAAGAAACCTCCAATGACAGTCCTGACAATCTCGACGACTGGTGCACTCTCTGTCTTCGATGAGCGATTTGAAAAGCGAAAATCATGATTTTCCCTCTGTTCGTCTCTCTGTTTTCAAATTGGCAGATTGCAAGAGGGATTCGCCGGCCACTTCCATGGCAAGACAACTACGCCCGAGGAAAACCCATGAAGAAGTGATAGGTATCTTACTCTCCTCCTTCTCTTCTAACACCATATCTATATCATGCCTTCTGAATTTCAATGTTCTCCTCAACAACAGCAATGATGTTGACTATTACTCTAGGATGTTGTTCCTGTGAAGTGTAAACCTTTTCCTTGATCAGTGTTTATCTGGTGGTGGTGTAGGTTGTGAATTCACAAATGCATTGTGGACCTGACTATCCCTGCCAGTCGCATGGGGGAAACAGGATTTCATGTATAGCTTGTTTTTTAATCTCTAGACTGGTTAGTGATCATTTTGGTCAGCTCCATTCCAGAAATTATAGAGTTTGATTGTCTCCCAATTGCGTAATAGAGTGCTTCGAATTTCTTCATTTTAGAGTGATCAACTGGCTGCTGATGTTATTGTTGATTTGTAGAGGCCGAAAAATGCTCCTATTAAGGCTTGACTAGGAGGAAACAACAGCTTCAGTGTTTCGATTGCATTTCCGATTTATCCATGGTAAGTGTTTCAGCTCTTGGATTGGGGAGAAATTGAGTTCAAGTTTGCTGGTTTTTTGGTTAGTTGGCTCTTAGATTCATGGTCAAGTTCCAAACAAAAGCTGTAAATTTGTAAATTCTTTGAAGTGACTGCTTGATTCTGCAACTTCTTGGGTAGGTTGGACTTGGTCACTCAGTCTGTACTTAAAGCTCAGCAGTCCTGGAACGTAGTGCTTGATTTCAGTTAATAGATAAAAGAGTGATAACTGGAGGAAGGTCATTAGTAGATTCTTTTTAGGATCGTTTCGAGTACAGATGGCACTTCGTCTCTGTCGGTATCGTCAATTCATCAGCAGTTACACCATATGATTCAGCATATATCTAAAATCAGGATTCGGTTACTGTCCTCTGCTTGATTTACTTCTGTTTGTTTGCTTGTCAGCATCATTGGTCTGCATTGGACGCATCTAACTTATTGTTGTACTTCATCTTTTGCAGTTACAGGCCGCTCTTAGCTTTCCCTTGAGAGTGCTAACTGTCAGAAGTGCTATTTTCTTCCATGGTTGCAGCGGGATCTGCCAGATGGTGAGAAGCCAGCCAATCTATCAGCAGTTCCGCCATGAAGGTATCCCAAAGATATTCACTAAACGGCTAAAAATCCCTTCCTTCATTCCTTAGAATCCCTACAATTCTATTGGTTATGTTGATCTTACAGCAAGTTTCAAAGTTGCGAAACCTTGAGGACCTCCATAAGATGAAGGCAGTATATTCTGCAGCTGAGGTTCTTCTCCCTTGCAAATGTTATAGGAAAGCGCACATAAGTTTACAGTTCAGTAGAATAAGCAAGAGTTAGTTAGTGACAAACACACAAACAAACATGATTGGATTCCTTCTCAATATTTCGTTTCAAGTTAATTACATAATTGTGATGAACAAACTTGGAAAATGACGGGATCATATGTTAATGTTATCAGCCCCCTTTCGACCGGGAAGCTCATCATATGATGATGTAAAGATGCATTTAAAGCTAATCACTTTGTTGATGTTCATGGTTATGACTAATGAACCAACCCGAAATTATCCAACTCAACCCGATTGTGAGGACTAATCGGGAATTTGGGGTGTGAGTTTTTCCACAATCCCAAGTTTGGGAAGTACTTCAAGAGAGAGATGTGGGATTTTGGCCATGTGGATTATGAAAATTCATAGTGTAGGCTTTTTAAATACTAGCCCCCAGTATGTTGGAACCCCACATTTTTTGCCCACTCTTTCCCAACTTACGGCCCTTTAATCTTCTTCTTCCTCAATCCCTTCTCATCCCAATCCCATCAAACTCAGGCCAAATACGACCGACCCATCTCTCTCTCCAACGATCGACGTTGTCAATCCCACCCCTTTCGCTACCATCTCTGACTAACTCATCTCTCTTTCTAGACAATCATGAACGGCCATCGTCGTCAACTGTGGCGGAGCAAGAAATCTAAACAAGGAAAGACTAAAGATCTACGTTCAGAAAACTCAAACTGATGAGGGAGCTAAAACCTTACCAATTACTATATTTCTCAAAAAAAAAATATCAAATTTATATGTAAGTTTACGTGATTTTGCGAGTCGAGGGTCAATCCGAGCCCCTCAACCCAAATGACGTATCTCTTGCCAATAAACTCTCGCCAACTCCAACAAACACCAACCCTTGCTACTCTCCAACAACCACCTCTCCGTTTAGCCACCACGAGAAATTCCCTTCTTCCTCCGAACGCTTCCTCGACGCTTTCTTCTCCAACTCCTTATGCCAAGGACGATAACCACCCACATGTAAAAAACCTAGGTTTGATATGAGTTTTGGGCTCAAATCCGACAAACTCAAAAACTGCATCCAAACGACCCCTTAGTCTACGCTTGTTCCTATGTTTTTATATTACAATTGTATTCCAAAATTTCATATTCATTAATTTTGACTATTAGTAGCAACGATCATTTGATTTGAGTTTTCTTGCAACATCAAATTGAAAAATACATTTTCCCCATATTATTAATTAAAATATTTATATGTAAATAACATATAATATTTATTTTTCTTTGAATTTATTATTCATTTTTTATATGTTTAAACTAACCGTTTTTTCCATGCAAAGGTGGTGTATTATTGGCGTCATGTCATAACGATTTAAACAAGATTTGACAATCGTTGGTCAACCATTAAATCTAACGGTCAACAGAAAGGCATAAGTGATGTCAGACCTTAATGTTATAGTACACAATTATTATATAAAAAACATAGAGACTAAATTGACATAAAACATAACTATGAATCCTTTATTCGTATTAGGCCGATTTTAAAAGTATCTCTCTTCTAATAATTATAATGTAATATAGGATTTTGCTACAGTGACTTACAAGTTACCATGATTTGGAGAAAACGGTCCACCTCTTTCATTAAGCTGGTTTATTTATGGTTATATTGTTGGATTTGAGACAAGTTTCGGGGTTTTTAGTTCATGGTTACTTGTTGAATGTTATAATAACTTGGTTTTCAGTAAATCAGATCATGCTTAGTTATGTTTTAGGATTTTTGTTAGCTTGCTTTTTCTTGGCGGGTCACGAGTAACCAATGACCCGCGGGTTCATCGATACCCGCTTGAACTTGGGCTTGGTCCAATTTGTTTGCCCGTGAAGCTTAATGGGGCAGTCACGGGTAGGGATGACTACAAAACCCGAACCCACTAGTACCCTACCCGACCTAACCCGGTCAATGCGGGTAAAACCCGTGTTGACGAGTTTTGGGCCGGGTTCAGGTTTAAACCCGTTCATTATTCACCGGGTTGGGTTGGGTTTGGGTTTAGTTGAACCCGCTCCATGGGTACCCACCCACACCTATATAATTTATTTTTCTGGTATATTTAATATTCTAAACAACTCATCTTCTTTATGTTGTGGAGACATGTCTAATTTCTTTTTTCTAATTGTGTAGAATGAAGTTGATATTATCGAGTGGAGAGTGGAGAAGGTTAATTGACAAGGAGAAAGAACCTTTCAATTAATCATTTTGTTTATGGATAATTTGTGATTTGCTTTAATTTTTTCGAGTTTTCTAGATGGTGTTGAACAATTTATATGGTTAATTTGTGATTTACTTGAATTTACTAGAATTGTGTTTTATATATGGATAATTTGTATTGAGAGATTGATATTTGACTTTTATTTTGATATGAATTTGTTATTGTAAATTTTTTACGACAAAAACCCATGGGTACCCATGAAGGCATGAACCCGCGGATACCCAGCGGGTTGGGTTGGGTTTGACCCTAGGTTTTTTCACTAATAAACCCGTGGGTTTGGGTTTGGCAAAACCCGACCCAACCCGACCCATTGCCATCACTAGTTACGGGTTTTGCACGCGTGCATAAAGGACGTACAATGGATATGGGGTACTCGCCCCGTATCCTAGGGCTGGGAAACGGTGCGGTCTGGTCCAGACCAGACCATATATACGGTTTATGGTCCGGACCGAGAGGCTGAAGTATAGAACACAGACCAGACCACAGATTATACGGTCCGGTCCAGACCACGCATGTGCGGTCTGGTTTGGTCTGGTCCAGATAGACCATACTCAAAGAAAAATGAATAATTTGTTTAGTCAACCACACAAAAATTTGAACCAATAACCAAGAAAAATAATTGTTATTTTCCTTAAAACATTAATCCTAACATGCATGAATAATTTTGATATCCTAAATCTTAGAAATAACAAAAATACAAAGTAAAAGCATACAAACTTGCACCATAACGTTATAAACATTAACATAATGTCATATGGAGACACGATTATCTCTACTCTCTGATTAAATGTGGTTGTGAACGAAGGAGGGACGAGATTCTCAAAATTAAGGTTGAGATTTGGGTGTCGTTGTGTGAGTTGGGAGGGTGATCGAATGGGCTATTAACACGTATTGACAAGTCGGTTGGGTCCACGGTTTGGTCCGGTAAACCGCGGTCTAGACCAGACCAGACCAAGAGATCAAAACATAAAATAAACCATACCATGGACCAGACCAGACCATACTTAACGGTCTACGATCCAGACCAAACTGTGCCGTACGGTTTGAACCACGGTTTTTCTAACGGTCTGGTCTATTTTCCCAGCCCTACCGTATCCGACCCATTGCCATCTCTAGAAGAAAAAATCTGATTTTTCATTTACGTGAATAGCTTACACTTTTATGTGAATAAATAAAGATTAAATGGGTAAATGAATACTTAAAAATATGTTTTTTTTGTTGTTGTTGTGAGAATACTTAAAAATATGTTAAATAAATTGGTTTTAGATATTTTGTTTGTAGAGACAAAGAGAACTTTTCCTTCCTTAAATGTAAAACAAAAAACTACATCAGGATTTAGGGGCGTTGCTGCTTCTCTCTCTCTCTCACTCACTCATTCTTCTCATCCGCTGTTCCTCCATGTTATGTCTATAAATATATGACCTCCTTCACCAGCGGAGTGTCTTGCTTCAATCCGGCTGTTGGTCGATTCGATCTAGTGCCATGACCAAGACCGAGAATTTCAGTTGGGGTTCGGATCTACCGCCAAGCTCACTCTACGTCCCTTCCGAGCCGCGCCCGATCTGCCCACAGGGAAACCCTCCTCCTCCCCTGAATCCATTCACCAAACTGGTAGACGATCTCCTCATAGAGATTCTGATTCGCCTCCCCAACCCTCTATCCACCTGTCAATGCAAAGCGGTCTGCAAGAGGTGGAGATCCCTCATCTCGGATACCACCTTCAATCTCCGTTTTATATCTCATCACCAGAGAAGGTACCAACCAGCAGCTCTGTTTCTTCCCTCACACGACCCCAGGTCGATACTCAGCTTTCTCCCCCTGCCTGATGAAGCTCTACCGGCTTTGAGAGCCTTTGATTGCTTCAAGGACTTGCTTTTATGCGGGTTTGCTGACTTATTTGGCGAATTGGGCAGATCCTACTTGATTTGCAATCCGTTTACCAATCAGTGGATTGCCCTTCCTTTGGCGCCTAAACAGCCAGGGTACAATGGATCTGCGGTAGTGTTAGTTTGTCAACCCCGAACTAGTAGTAGTAGTAAGTATAATTTTGTGCAGCAGCTAAGGGACGAACCAGAACCAGAACCCGAACCCGCCTTTGTTTATTCTGAGTATCGTTTCCGCGTGGTGTGTCATTTTCAGTGTTGCGATGATATGGTGCTGCATGTTTTTTGTTCCGAGTCTAGGAAATGGACCAAGGTTGTTTTCAAGCAAGCCGTGAAAAGGGCGTGGACCAATGAAACCTGGTGGAACGGGAGGATGTTTTGGATGCATCTTCAATTCACCTCCTTGTGCCCAAAGCTTGCTGCATATGATCCTTTCCGCCTTGATATCGCCCCCGAGTTTATGCATGTGCCTTCTATATTGTGGAGCGCATTGTGCAAGGGATGTGGGAATTTTTCAGTATCACAAGGTGCTTTTCACATAGTGGTACTAGAAGTTGAAAGCGTTGGTGATTTTTTAAGGGATGCATTGACTGTTTGGAGACTGGAAGACGGTACTGGGAATTGGAACCTACAATATGAACTGGTGTTGAAGACGACGACATCATCATCATCATCATCATCATCATTATGGGGCGACTATGAACTGAACAAGTGTTCTGTGCTTGATTTGCATCCGGAGAAGCCGGAAGTTGTCTTCTTTAAATACTTGAATGACTGTGTCTTCTCCTGCAATTTGAGGACTGGCACAGGAGAGCCAGAGTTCTTCTCTGCAGTGAACCTAAAATGCTATGAACCTGGTTGGAGGGCATTGCACCCCAGAGTCTCTTGCTGGCCCACTCCAATTCCAAGCTACGAGGACTTGCGAGGTATGTATGATGGAAACTACGATTGCTGGGTTCAGAGCAGCAGTACAACAACACTTGCGAGGTATGTATGATGAAAGCTACGATTGTTCTCTCCATTTCTTTTCTAATATTTTGCATCCAATCTCATTTATGTTGTCGGTTTGTTTGTTTGTTTGTTGAGCCAGCAAAAGAGTGCAGCCCTTGGTCCAACAGGTTGGTCGTAAGAGGAAGGACAACAGATCAGCTGCAGCAGCATCAAACTCCAAGTGTTCCGTTCAAAGGAAGCAGAAGGCGGCAAAAGGCAGCAGCATGTGCCCTTAGAGCGGTAAAATAAAACTATCTCCAATGGTTGCTCTGTATGCATAGGCTATATAAGGAAACTCGGTCGAGAGGACTTCTTTGTGTATTATCTATTTAAGATTGCAGCCATCAGTTTTAGTTTAGGGGCGGGTCGTGCTGGATATCATGGTTATGAAATGTCAATCGAATTCAATTCTATGATGAAAATTCATTATTTGTATATCAAGTGAGGTGAAAATGTTTCATCTTTTTAACTATACGGTGATTGATTTACCGGTAGTTCCAATTCATCTGAAAGAGAATATTTGCAGACTTGACACCCCTATGAATCGTTGGCGTTGGAGCTTCATTGTGAACTAGTTCAATGCTTATGCAACTTTCACAGCTATATGAAACCTCAGAGTGTTTGTTTTTTAGTTTTTATCATGGAGGTTCTCTTCAAAGCCGCCTCACCTCTGACCGAAATGGGTCACTGCAGCTGATGATTCATCATCATCAACCGGCTTCCCATCGAGTTCTCCATTTTCTCTTCTCTTCCTCTTTTGTGTCCTCCGACTGCCTGAAGTGGTTGGCAGGTCTCTTGATTGCAAAATCTCTACTAAAATCTCAATCCTCACAGGGTTTGCTGTTAATGGCCGGGAAAAAGTAATGGGAGCTTTAGCGATGTATTCATAGGCTTCCTGCTCCCAGCCTCCCTCCACCTCCGCCGCTGGCAGTGTTTTGCCAATGCTGGTGTGCCAGTCTTTATTGGCTGGAGCTCTCGCTGCTGGAACCAGCATTGGGCTGATCGATCTACTGCAAAAATACTATAAGGGCGCCGGCTCTCTGCTTCACAGGCAAAAGGGGAGGAATTTCCTTTCCATTATATTTCTGTTTCAATTTTGTAATCTATGTTAAGCATACCATGCATATTCCACTCTGACCACTGTCCGACGGCTTTATGCTTTCTTTGTGATGGTGACAAGGCGGGGTCCAAAGCCGGAGATCGCGAGGTTATCCAAAACTCTCTCATCTCGGCGGCAGTGATTTCTTCTGCTGCGGTGGAAGTTTGAATCCAAAAGAATCCAGCGATGACAGTCCTGACAATCACGGCGGCTGGTGCACTCTCTGTCTCCGATGAGCGATTTGAAAAGCAAAAACCACGCTTTTCCCTCTGTTCGACTCTCTGTTTTCAAATTGGCAGATTGGGAGAGGGATTCGCCTGGGACTTCCTCAGTAAGACAACTATGCCCGAGGAAAACCCATGAAGAAGTGATAGGTATCTTACTCTCCTCCTTCCCTTCTAAAACCATATCTATATCATGCCTTCTGAATTTCAATGTTCTGCTCCTCAACAACAGCAATGATGTTGAATATTACTCTAGAATGTTGCTGCTGCCTGTAAAGTGCAAACCTTTTCCTTGATCAGTGTTTATCTGGTGGTGGTGTAGGTTGTGGATTCACATATGCATTGTGGTTTGTGGACCTGACTATCCCTGCCAGCTAATGGGGGAAACAGGATTTCATGTATAGTTTTTTTTTTATATATATATATATATCTAGACTGGTTACTAATAATTTTGGTCAGCTCCATTCCAGAAATTATAGAGTTTGATTGTCTCCCAATAGCGTAATAGAGTGCTTCTACCTCTACTTACAAAAGGTGTTGAATTTCTTCATTTTAGAGTGATCGTTTGGCTGCTGATGTTTTTGTTGATTTGTAGAGGCTGAGAAGTGCTCCTATTAAGGCTTGACTAGGAGGAAACAATAGCTTCAATGTTTCGATTGCAGCTCCGATTGATCCATGGTAAGTGTTTCAGCTCTTGGATTGGGGAGAAATTGAGTTCAAGTTTGCTGTTTTTTTGGTTAATTGGCTCTTAGATTCATGGTCAAGTTCCAAACCAAAGCTGTAAATTTGTTAATTCTTTGAAGTGATTGCTTGATTCTGGAACTTCTTGGATTTGTTGGACTTGGTCACTCGGTCTGTACTGAAAGCTCAGCAGTCCTGGAACATAGCGCTTGATTTCAGTTAATAGATAAAAGAGTGATAACTAGAGGAAGGTCATTAGTAGATTCTTTTTAGGATCGTTTCGAGTACAAATGGCGCTTCGTCTCTGTCGGTATCGTCAATTAATTAGCAGCTCCAACCATATGATTCAGCATATATCTAAAATCAGGATTCAGTTGCTGTGCTCTGCTTGATTTACTTCTGTTTGTTTGCTTGTCTGCATCATTGGTCTGCATTGGACGGCATCTAACTTACCTTTTTTTTTTTGCAGTTACAAGCCACTCTTAGCTTCTCTTGAGAGTGATAACTGTCAGAAGTGCTATTTTCTTCCATGGTTGCAGCGCGACTATGTGTGGCGCATTGTTAGTTTGATTGGCAACGTTAGAATCGGATGAAAGTGTAGTTTGAGCCAAATTCAACAGTTGAATAAAATTCTTTTCATCTCGAGTTATCGGTAGCGAATTGGTGACAGTTTTCCTCCTAAGTGGTCTTTGTTGTTGTGAGGTGTGAACTGTGATGCATTCACTAGAAATTTTCAATGGAGCTTCCGGTGGACAGAAGGGAAGAACGATTGATCCATGTTCGTCAATTCAATATGCTTATGCTCAAACTCACAAAATAATCTTTCCCTGTGTGTATGTCAACATTTTTTGTTAAACAAATGGGATCCCAAGGAAAAGGGAAACCCAGAAAAACCCTGTCAAAAAAATTGTATGTTTGTATGATTCAGTAACTAATACGGCATGATGTGCGTTGTTTTGGTGTCATAGCTCTCGACGACGAATCCGTCACCGCTGCTGCCGGCGCCGGCGCAGCCGTTCCCCCTGTATCCGGCCCTGAGAGCCTTCACCAGCTCCCTGCACATCGACCTGACGTTGCCTTCACCTTCACTCTGCATCACCAGAAGCACCTTCGTCACGCCGTGATTCCTCACCGCCTTCTCCGCCACGGTGCCGTCCTTGAACAAGCAGCACATCCCCCACAGCACCGCCACCGCGTCCTCCGTCGCCGGCTTCGACACCTTCATCAGCCGCTCCACGATCCCACCCACGCAATTCGGGTCCCCGCTGATCGCCGCTCGGCCCTCCGGACACGTCGACAGCAGCGAGAGCAGCTTCAGCGACTTCTCCGCCAGGGGAACGGCGGCGGCGCTGCGGTCGGAGACCGTTCGCGAGAGGAATCCGACGAGCCCCAGCTCCACGAGTCGGATCCTGACGGAGCGGGTCACTGCGATCGAGATCAGGAGCGACAGAACGGCCGCGTGGAGATGATTCGGGTCGGGTCCCGGCCGGAGGAGCAGGGAGAGGAGGACGGGGACGAGATCCTCTGTTTCCGCGACGAAACGTTTCGATTCGTTGTCGATTGAGATCGAGTCCAGAATTCTCACCGCCTCGATCTTGGAGCTCGAATTCTCCGCCTCCCGGAGAGTGGAAGTCAACGGCGACAGCCGATTCCGATCGCCGCTCTGGAGAATCAACAACCTGTGCAATTTCTCCTTGACGCCGTTCTCCCCGGAGACCAGCGCCAAAACCCTAACCGCCATCTCCGACTCCCCAATCTTCCCCACAATCGTTTCGACAAAACCCTCGATTCCGACCAGAACCCGCCGGTTGTAATCGGAGCAGCCGGCGTATTCGGCGACATGAGATAGAAACGAGAGACACTCTTCCTTCCTCTCGCCGGCGCTCCGGATTTTGTGAATCCAAACCCGGACCTGGTCCTCGGACGCGGCGGAATCGGGGCGGCGGGAGGAAGAGGATTGATTCCACAGGTTGATGAGACGGAGGAGGGTGAGGTTGGGGACGAAATCCTTGGACGGGAGGATCTGCATGGTGGCCGGACACGTGTCGTGGCCGGTCTCGAGCCATTTCTGGATGCTGGACCGGTCGTATGTGACGCCGGTGGTGAGGCTGACCGGAGATTTCATGACGTCGAGGGAGATCGGGCAGCGGAAGAGATTGGGTACCGTTATGTACAGTCCATCCCTTTCTCTTCCCATTTTTTTGCTCGATTTTCCGGCGGTTGGAAATTTGATCGGAGAGTGGAGAAGAGAACAGAGGGGAGAAGAAGACTGGGAGTTTAGAGAGAGAGAGACGTGGATTCGATGTTTTGTAGAGAGGAGTCAAATTGGAGGACTACAGACCGACGTCGTATTTGGGGCGGAGTTTAGTAGGTTTACAGTTTGCTTCACGGAAACGCACCTGGTCCGGTCAAAGATTTTGTATTTTTCGTAAATTAAATGAAATACAGCAAAAATTATGTATTATTATTTATAATTAAATGATTAATGAAGTTGTTAGATTGGCTGTGCGTGTACTGGAAATGAACAAGAAGCAAAGTAGGACTTTTTTGTATTATTTTCAACTTAATTAAAAAGAAAAGGTTGGAAATTGGAATATTCAAAAGAACAAAAGAAAAAGAAAGAAAAGAAGTTGGACTTGTCTAGGCAGTTGTCGGTTAGCTCCGCGTGAAATGTGGGAGGGGCACGTGGTCCCCAGTCTGGCCGAATCCGGGTCTAGCACTCGTTGTTTCAACCGGCTGACCGCTTTGGCTCCCTTTGTGGCTTTTCATGGCTGCAGGCTGCAGCCAACAGTTGTACGGCCGAACCACCGATATGCCAATTGGCCTTTGGAATTGAGATTGAGTAGGTCATTTTTAGTTTGAATAGTTTTAGTGGAATATTTGCATTATTATTTAGAGTATTTTTTTTATATACCCACAATACACCTATTGTTTACTTTTTTTTTTATAAGTTTACAATAAAAAAAAATTTAGCTTGAATCATACAATATATGTATATATTAATATGTGAAGACAATTAATATAACCAAGACGATAAATACAAATTAAAAAGTTGAAGTTCTAAATCGGTACAGTTAAGATGACAAATTATAAATAAATATAAAAATTAACTTAAAACTTTGATAATGTAAAAAAGACTGAAAACATCAATGTAATTTATTTCCTTTAGTAACTCTATTTAGTGATCAATGGGGGAATTTTTTTTAAGAAAAAAAGTAACAACTGATCAAAAATGAAAATACATCCAAAATGCTACGTTCAAACTCTGGCCAAGGGAGAAGGAAAGAGCATCAAATGTGCTAACCGCTGGACTGGAAGACGCTTAATATTCATATTTGCACACAAAAATAATTATAACGACCCTTCTATTTATACGTAATTGCCAAATTTCGTAAAAATTTATACGTAGGTTTTAAAATTCTCGCCCCCCCCCCCCCCACTCTCGAGGCCTCACCTAGCTCCGCCCCTGCTACACTACACACGGTAGTTCCGCCTCTCTCAATCCATATTCGCCATATTCTAATACATCATTTCAATATGTATGGTGATCATTAGTGGTGTAGCAATTTCATGGTATTCGAAACTCCCAATCACTAGTTGAGATTTTGAGTCCACAAGGGGATCGGTTAGCTTGACTACCCCTAAAGGGGTAGTGATTTTTGACACCCCCTTTATGATTGGCCAATTTTATTTCCAATCATTGGCAAGTATTAATTAAACTGGTTTTTTATTTTTTTTAATCTTGTAATTTGGGGTCTCTCACCACATTGGAAAAGAGAAAGAATCTGGGGAAAAACGAAATCACCCCCATTAATTATATAATTAATTTCTCTCACTGGTACATTAATTACACGTACCACTCTACTGGTACACGTACCACTCCACTGGTACACGTACCAGTGGAGTGGTACGTGTACCAGTGGAGTGGTATTTGTATCATTGAAGTGGTACTGCATTGTTGCTCCGTTATTGTTTATCATTGTTATGAAAAATATCATTGCACTGGTATTGTTCTCACTCTAACCTACCTTGTGGATTGCTCGCACCAGTGGAGTGGTACGTGTACCAGTGGAGTGGTACGTGTACCAGTGGAGTGGTACGTGTACCAGTGGAGTGGTACGTGTACCAGTAGAGTGGTACGTGTAATTAATGTACCAGTGAGAGAAATTAATTATGTAATTAATGGGGGTGATTTCGTTTTTCCCCAGATTCTTTCTCTTTTCCAATGTGGTGAGAGACCCCAAATTACAAGATTAAAAAAAATAAAAAACCAGTTTAATTAATACTTGCCAATGATTGGAAATAAAATTGGCCAATCATAAAGGGGGTGTCAAAAATCACTACCCCTTTAGGGATTAGCATAGTATCCTACCCTGTCCACAAGACACAGAGAAGTATTATTATCTTTCTAATAATTAGTCATCTGTATCAATAATGGTCTTAGAATTTTTAATTACCCACCAAATACTTAGGATTGTCATTTAAGACAGGGATGGACCATCCACCCTTTTCTGTAGTCTTGGCAAAGTCCACCATATAATTTAATTAACCAAATTAGTTAGCTTGTTCCCTGTTATTATTCATTATTATTATTATTATATGCCATGTGGATTGGCAATTGTTGGTTTGCAATTTGTAATTTTGTAATTTGGGATTATGCAGGTTTGATTCCCATCTGTAGAATACAGACTGCTGGGCCGGTCAAGATTGGATCGGCCTCCTCTCCATAAACTAAGAAGTGTCGCCTTCCTAGTTCCTACAAATTCACAGCTCACAGCTTGTGTCAATTAGGAATTTTCAGGATTAATAATAGGAATAACGTCAAAAGGTAAGCCACCTTTGAGCCGAGATGTAAAGCCATAGGACCGTATTCGGCTGATAAAACATCATGTTTACATGTGTCTCTTCCTACTCTTCTCTACTGTTTGTGGGCATCTCAACTGGAACATTACCTTGAAGGTTGATCAAGATGACTCGATAAGGGCCAATCCCCAGCTCGTAATATATTTGGGCTCGAGCGACGGATCGAGCCCAACACTGTAGTCCAGATGTCCAGTTTTTCTATTTCTCATGTTTATTTATCTTATTCTATTAGATTACTTGTTTGCAACTCGTACTCTACAGTAAGATGATAAAACCATAAGATTTTAATAATAAAATTGAGATTTTGACCGCATTACCTGAGATTAAACCAAAGAAATTTAATGGGTGAAAGTAGGGGTGGACAACCAGTTTGGTAAACTCGAACTGAACCAAATTAAACCAAATTGAAACCAAAATAATGCTATTTGGTTCGGAATTCGGAAGGGAAATATGAATATTACGGAAATCAAGGTTCTTTCAACCGAACCGAAACTCCGAAAAACCGAATTACTATAAGTGCAAGCTCCAAAATCCAAAGGTGGATTTTTATATTTGTAGTTGTTTAAAGACTTAAATATTTGAATCATGTTAGTGTTTTATGACTTATGTGTTGAAATGTTTGATTTTTTCATTGATGATGCATATAATTACATATTTATTGTTTATATTAAGGGTGAAAATAATTTAAAAAGGAAAAGATATAAGTAGCCTCACAAATTTGGGGACCCGATATTCATAATTTTAATGAAATTCGGTTTGAGAATTGATGGAATTTAATTCGGAGACCCGGTATTCATAAATTCGGTTCGGTCTCGACCGAACCGACCGAATGGCTACCCCTAAGCGAAATTGACTTCGTGACAACATCACCATGATAAACTAACATGTTGGTAAAGATAAATCTAGATTATACTGTGGTGTAACCTTAAGGAGAAAACACTATAAACAAAATTTTAATGAGTCAATTTGAGGTCCAGAATTTCTAATTTATAAATTCTAAACCCTCTGATAAAATCGTTGATTATTGCTTTTAATAGAGTTAATGTTATGGTATAGGATTGAAATAAATAACATCTGAAATTTTACACATTATATTTTAGAGTATATATATAATATCATACTTGAATTTGATTAATTCAAATATAAATGTTATTTTCTTACTAAGAATATACAATGCCCTTAAATTTATCATTTGTACTATAAAACTACCTATACGTGGAGGACTGGTCGGGTCGGTTATAACCGAAAACCGAAGGGTCGGTTGCCGGTTAACAGAACCACCTCCCAACTCTACCGACCACCGACTAAAAGAGGGTTTTAAGGCCTCGATTATCTCGGTTTCGGTTAACCGAATCGCCTCCCAAGATCAAAACCATCTCGCCCAGCCTGCGAACACCAACCGACTTTCGGTTATCTCGGTTCTCGATTAGTAGATATATAACCAGCCAATTTCGATCGTAACCGACCGATTAACCGCTAACCGATTGTCCCGCCCTAAAAAATTACCGATCTTCGAAGAGAAGACCGGGATAAATTTCTTTCGTTGAATTCAAGATGAAATAAACTAATCTTTGCCTTTCTTTATGCTTCAAGCTCCATTATTTTGTAGGGCTCCCGACTCGTAATCGGCAACAAGGCCAAAAAAAAGGAGAGACTAACCTAAATCGGCTCATCATACATGGTTGCCGTCTCTCTCTCTCTCTCGTGGCCTAGGAGTTTCGAGTTTTAAGAGGAGGAACTAATTACATTCCGCACTTGTTACCTTCTACCTCCTCTGTATGCCCAAATCGAATCTTCAGCCAGGTTTTCCATAACTCCAAATCAAGATATCCCCAATAGAAGAAGAGAGTTGGAAGGAACGTTTTTGTATAGTTGTTATCGATCGACCGACTTCCCCTGTTAGTAAACGGTATATGATTTATGATTGAACCTCTCCCAACAACTCGAGTTATTAGGATCAACTGGTTCTTGACACCCATGTCACTTTGCATTCAGTAACCACTATTATAAATAGTTTTATGTACTACTCGTACTACATCTAACACAGCAAAAGTTGTATGCAACCAACACAACAACAAAAAACCAGCCATGGCACCCACCATACTCCTTGTGGTTGTACTTGTTTTTATGTCTTCCCCCTCGCCGGTCGTCGTTGGCGCCGCCGAATCGGCTCAGCGTACGTGCGATTGCGCTGCTTTCACGACGGGCTGCGGGCAGTGCGAGGCAGGACGCTGTTGCAGCAACTGGGGCTTCTGTGGGAACTCGACCGGTTACTGTACGCCTTGTTATTGCAAAGGTGCCGATGGAAATAAAATTTGCGACCCTTGTCATTGCGTCGGCCGTTGTCCTGCGCCTAAGGAGAACCAGCAGCAGCAGCAGCAGCAGCTGCCGCCATCATCGGCTGGTTCCGGTACGAATAACCAGAATGGCACGTATAATGCTTAGTCATGTGGCTGATAAAAGCAATGGCGAGAATCGACGCAAGCAGTAATATATATGGAGATCTGCGAATCAAGTTACTGTTACGTAAAATGTGTCGATCGATGATTAGTATGTGATAAGTACTATTCCCAGAGCTTTAGATTCTAACCATCGATCTAAGGAAAAACTGGTATCCTTTTTTGTATTAGCGGTGTTGATGAGGCTGAAGCCTCTCGAAGTTGTGCTTTTGTCTGGTCTGATTTATAGATGCATTTTTTTTGGATGACTATTTGGTTCGATGGTAATGCTACCAATTAAATCCCAGAGTTTTAGCATTATATTCTTATAATATTGGGTACAAGCCCAATGTCAAATGAGGCTTCAATTATTCAAAGGGTCATTTAGACATTTACAATAGTCCATTAACAATAGTACGTTTTGTTTGAAATTAATTTCCTTCATCTTTGTGAATTGTTGTCATGATTTTCCACTTGTATAATGTAAGTATACGTGTGGATGTTTAACATGTTGGTTGCAAGTTATAAAGAAAATTATCCATGATAACCACGAATACCGCCGAAAGGATATGTGAATGGTTTTGATTTTCTACCCGATTCTCATATGAGTATGAATATGAATAAAACATGAACTAATTTAAATCAAACATGTGCATTGAGTTGGAACAACATGCTTTTTATATCACGGATTGTTGTCATCACGATTATCTTTTACAATTAACATACTATACATGTATTGGTATTGGTCCATTCCCAATTTGATAGCAATGTTTGTTTGATGGTTTTGGTGATGGATTTGGATCTATGATGGCGATATGATAATATGTTAAGTGATGTAGACATACTTGATTTGAATGAATGGTTTTGATAGATTTGTAAATTTGGGTTTCAACCATAATGTCGAGGGATTGGAGAATGGCTCGAGCGAGTGTCATAGCAAGAATTTTACTCATGAGGTGCATTAAAGTAATTTTTCAACAATGACCCATGATGTGATCTCATGTTTGATATTATCAAATTTTTAAAAATTACATAATTGTCCAAACTATTAAGCTTTCGCTCTTAATAGTATTTTAACAAATAATCATTTACAATTTCTCTTCACTTGATTCGAAGACTAGTCAACCATTTCATTGCAGAAAACGTTATCACATCATGCATGTGTATAGTTATGTTTTTCATTGTTAGTAGAGTCTTAGAATTAGGCTTTGGTATCCTATTTAAAGGCATCGGCCGAATTGTAACATGAGTTTATTTTTTTTAGAATTGAATTTTATCCTAGTTCATCAAGTTTCTGGCTTGTGAATTGTGATCTCTTCGTTGGTGGACTCGAATCGCATCGAGTGAAAACTTTATCAATCATACATCCATCTTGATTATGGTTGAGCTTCTACACTATCTTGATTGTGGTTGAACTCTTCTTCCATGATAATATGCATGAGATAGTTTGTCCCAAATTTCGAAATGTATAAGTAGTTGGATGGCAATCAAGGCACGCTGGGACTGTGCTTGGTAAATGAATAATTAGACCTGGCAAATTACAATTCGACCCGTTGATCCGACCCGAAACTGCTAAAAAACTAGAAATTTTTGTAACCCGAAATCCAAATGACCCGAATCCGATAATCCGTGATTTTTTGGGTCGAGTCGGGTGGGTTAGCGGGTCGACCCGTTAGACCCGTTCCATTTAATATATTACTCCCAAAATATGATAAAATTACTCATAAATTGGTGAGATGTTTAAAAAAAACACAAGGATTTGATTGATATTGTTTGGAATTTAAGAATAATCAAATATCATGTGTTTCTTGTAGTAATATTACTCTTGTGATTGTTTTTTTGAAGATTGGCGCAATTTATATTTCATTTCATTAGCGTGGGAGGATTTGAGAATATGTTAATTGACATGTGTTATGTAAACTATTGTCATGCATATGTGAAAATCTGTGTTCTTTAAGAAAATATGAAGAATGTTTCATATTTGTGTTCTTTAAGAAAATATGAAGAATGTTTGATATTGTTTCTGAGAACGTTCATAACCCGAAATGACCTGTAACCCGACCCGAAACCGAATGGATTGGGTCAATATTTGACCCGAAATAAGTCAACCAAACATGACCCGACCCGTAATCAAAGTTCCCAACCCGACCCGATTGCCAGGTCTATGAATAATCGTGGAATATTATATTCACAAATACTGATGAAAATTGAATTTGGAATAATATAAAGTCCGAGCTAACAAATTCATTTGTCAAAATACAAAAGGAATCACACAAACTTCATGGCGAACTACGTAACGTACTACTAACATAAATTACGCTCGGTACTTTTTTTTTCTATATATCATCCTTTCCTAGGAGTCTTGAGTTTTAAGAGGAGCAACTAATTACGTTCGGCAGTACTTGTCATCTCATCACTCATCAGTACGCCCAAATCGAATCTTAGCCAGCAGGTTTTATCCATAAGTCCAAAAAATTAAGAAACCACACTAATTAACCACTATAAAAAAGCTTCTACCCAACCCCACTAATGTAGCAAATCAAACAACGTACGTCACACACAAAAAAAAAAAAAAAAATCAGCTAGCAGCAAGGTCGACCTAACGATTATCGATCGATGAAACGTGCTGCATCCCAAGTGACAGTACTGATCATTATTGTTCTTATGTCGCCGCCGCCGGCCGTCGCGGCCGTCGAATCGGACGACCATACGTGCGCATGCCAACCTATGACGACGGGCTGTGCGCAGTGTGGTGCAGGACGATGTTGCAGTGACTTTGGCTACTGTGGGAGCGCGGTCGGTTACTGCACGCCTTGTAATTGTGCAAATGATGACGGAACAACTCACGTTTGCAACCCTTGTTATTGCCTGGGCGGTTGTCCTGAGCCTGAGCCTGAGCCTGAGCCGCCTGAGCCTGATCATGATCGTGACGACGAAAAAATGTTGCTAATCGACGCCACCTACGACCCAAACCTGGACAATAAGGCTTCATCGTCCGACGTGGTCGCAGGCCGGCGGCACAGTGTTTATGATGATCATCAGTATGGCTATGCTGCAGTACGTGGACCGCCGCCGTCGAATGTTTCAACCCATAATAATATTGTTGCCGGTCAATGCCTGCTGGTAAAGTAACGTTAATCGTTCGTTCTGCTAAGGTTTTTAGATTTTGTCATTTTGATGCACTCATCGTACATTGCGTGCCGCCTTATGGTTTTATGTGTGGTTGTACGTATGTAGGTGACTAATTCCGCAAATGGGAAACAAGCAATGGTGAGGATTATTAGAAGTACAACGTACTGCAAGGGCACAGGTGGTAATTTGGCTTTGGATTACCATGTTTTTCGACAGCTCGATGCGGGCGGCGATGGCAATCCACGAGGTCGTCGACTTCGAATCAGTTACAGTTACGTAAAATGTATCGATGATTAGTATGTGATCAAATGCTTTTATGATCAACCTATTCTCAAAAGTTTAGATGATTCTGTCATCGATGATCTAAACAACCGGTAACCTTTACAATATTGCTCATTTCTCTTGTGAACTTTCCAGAATAATATGAAAGCAACCATAAATAAGATGGGACTTAATTAGCCATATGGGGACTACTTGATTACTTTTTACATTTTTGTTTCAGTTTGGCATACAAATAATTAGTCCATGACCTATATTCTCGTCCATTCGGCATTACTTTTTATAAGAGTGATATAAGTTTTTTTATAATTAAGATATTAATTATGAGATTCGAATCTCGAATATCCAGGTTATAGGCTAGTGGTATTACTACTAGGCCTCTTCATTATTATTTGGATGTCCTCTTTTTCCTCAATTTTTAAATTGGTAAATAAGATTGAACAAGGGATATTTTTGGACGAAAAATATAAAAACATGAGATAGGGCCGACTATTGGAATGTGCAGGGAGGTCCCGAGTCTCGAGCCTCTACCATGTATATAGCTAATTATTATTAGAGTAAATACAATTTATTAATAAAATCTTTCAAAATTTTTATTTCGAAATTCAAATAATTAGTCGAATATTTTATAAAGCATAAAAATAAGGACTTTGCTTCGGTGACTTGACTTGGACAAAATGGTTGACCTGTTTATTGATGAGGTCGACCTATTTGGACAAAACGATCGACCTCTTCACTGATATGGTCGACCTATTTGGAAAAATGGTCGCTCTCATTGTTGGAATGGTCGAATAGATGTACTATTTTTCATTTTGGTATGGTCAACAAACGATCAACCTCTTCCACTAAAAGGCACTATACAAAAAAATGGTCTATCAATTCCATCAAGTGGTCTATCTTTTTTCCCAAGCGGTCCACCTCTTTCAATAATTTATCCACCCGATGAACCATTCCTAGTGATATCATCATAAATAATTAGAGTCCAACAACAATGATATGCTTGCTAGTAAGAGATTTAAAATTAGTACAAAGACTGCAAGCATAGGTGACAAGTTTCTTGACTGATTGTTCTCCTGTAGATTTGAATAATGTTCCGCATATTTATTTCTTACTTTCAAACTGCCATGGAGACTGACGAAAGGTGGGATATGTGACTTACTTTATAGAGATTTTCATCTTTCCTTCAAATTCCAAGTTTTCTTGTTTCTATCCTATAGTTGTCTTGTGATAGATCAACTTTAATTAATTTGTTGCTATTATTGTATGAAGATGCTCAAAAAGTAGAGTATATTCGTTATACAATTGTGCCATCTTCAACGTCAATAAATCATTAAATCTCATATCATCGCTTTTGTGTATTTTTATTCCAGAAGAGTTAAAAGAGGGTGTTTCTTTTTGTCTTAGCCTATAATCTGCGTAGGGATTTGGTTGCCCACAATTGATAGGATGTTGCGCGACTACAAAAATAATTTTATATTGTTGGTCTTCTATTGTCCATTATTTTTCTAATGTAAGTATAAGGTAACTGTGTTATCTGGTCGACTGTTCGCCGAAAGTGGAGATCATTTGCCGAAAGAGATAAGCAAACCATTTTGCCGAATCAGTAGGCTTTTTGGCGGAAGCGATCCACCTCCTCCAACAAGAAGTTGTAAGTTGAAGGTAAGTGTGTCACAGGTCGACCCATTGCCAGAAGCGGTAGACCGGCTGCCTCGAGTGGGGGATGAGTTCAGGTCCTTAAGTCTATTCCACTGCGTAGAGATCAAATAGAGGAATTCAGTTTTTCTTTTCAGCAATAACATGATAAGAGCATCCCTTTCATAAAAACCTACAGATCCCTCCACTGCCACTTCAGCACCTTTTGATCTTCTCAAAGATCATTACGAGCCCTCTCCTAGAATGTTTTTGTAGATTTAGAAAATTCCATGGTGGATCAGGACGATCCAAGAAAGCTTCTCCTCTTAAACAGCAATGGTGTGTGACACTCTGTTTTAAGGGTAAAGGTGGGCCGAGACTGTAGACGACGACGCTGAGGCTGAACTTCTCTTTCCTTTCAAGGTCCCAGCTCGGATTGGAGATTCCAACTATGTAGTAAATAGCTTGCCTGAGGCGGCGCCGGGGTCCTATCGATCTCACCCTTCCCTTGGGACTGACTGATGGACCGAATGGCACTGACTAATGCCTTAGACTAATAGGGGACAGAAACTAAGGGCTCTGGTCAGGCTGTTACTGTGGATTCTTACTCGCTCTGATCCAGCTACCCCTCATGCTTCGCCAGTGCGGAATTATAGAGATAAAGATTTTTTCAGTTCTAAAGTGTAAATCAAGAGGCTAAACCCGATCTATCTTTCCGGCTTAGCCAAACTCCTCACCTGGGGTTACTGAAGGTATTAAAGTATTTTAAAACTAATTAAAGGAGAGTGGGCGAATTTTAAGGAGTTAATTACGTTGAGTTTGGTTTGTGCTATTGGGGCTGCTTTTTATTTTAGTCAATGACATCCTTTCTCTTTTTTTAGTTATTATTAATATTTATAAACAAAACTTGTTCCCTTTGGATATCATTAATATTTTCAGTATATTTATAAACAAAACTCATATCATTATTAAACGGTGTCGTATTGTATGTCGGTATTAATATTTTACATCATAGTTATTAATACCGTTAACAATCATTGTTAACATTATTTTTCAGTTTTTAATGGATACAACTTTGCTTTTTTACGATTTAAAGGTATTTGATACTTAACATTGAATTCAAACATTATTAATGATTTTGTATTGGTTTCAATGAAATTCAATTTCCTGATCAATGACTTGGTCATTCGTTATTAACGATTTTTCATATCAATATTAACGACTTGACATCATTTTTAATGTTGAAGCCTATCAATTTTCTCAACTTCTTTACCAACACGACACTTATTAATGTGTGACATCTCATTATCTGTTTTCATTATTAACGTATCTACACCCATTCTTAATATTATCAACTATATTATCAATTTTCTCAAGGTCATTATCAATTTGTTAATCATGTTCTTCAGGAGGGGAGATTGGAGACAAAGGAGTCAATCGTGCAGGGTTTGATGTTGCTAAGTTCATTATCAGTTTTAATAATATTTAATCACGTTATCAACCCATAATAATATACATTTTTAACCGACCATACAATTATTATTAATTATATTATTGCAATTATTAACAGAAAACTAAATTGCTATCACAATGTATATTTCAAATTTCCCCCCTCCTTTGTTAACATTTTCACGTTGCACTATTAATATTATTTTCAAGTTCGGCACGTTGTCAACCCATATAATAATATATGTATACTTCTTACTCATGTTCATGGCCTTCTTGTCTTACGACCATGGACCTCTTGAGACATAGTCACTAGTGATATAGTGCTCCATCACCACGCCCTTCTTATTTGTGTCCATCGCTCCTCTCATGAGGCGACATGGACCTCTCAATTGTGCACATGGCCCCTCTTGTGAGTCAGCATGACCTTCCCAAACTTAGTATTTTTCAATCGTGTCTAATGCTTCTTGATTCGTGTCCATGGCCATCACATGACACGGCCATGGACCTCTTAATCATGCACATGGCCCTTCTCGTGAGGCGATTTGGCCTTCTCAGACTTAGAATATTTTGGGTCGTTCGATATTGGTCATGAGGCGGCATGACCTCTTCATTCGTGACCATGGACTTCTCATACTTAATATTTTTCAACCGTGCCTAGGGCCTCTTTTCTCACGTCTATGCCCCTTCTCATCACTTGGTATGGACGTCTCATCTTGTCTCGCGTCCATGCCCCTTCTCGTGAAGCGGCATGGACCTCTCAGACTTAGTCATTTTTTGTCTCCTTTGAGAGATGCTTCTCGCGTGGCATGACCTCTTGACTCCGAGAATTCTTCCCACATCCATGGTCCCTCTTGTTGAAGTGACACATATTGCTAGATTTTTTACGGACATGGCCCTCCTCGTTGAAGTGGCACGTGCTTCTCCTTTGAAGCGACATGTACCTCTTCCAGACTTAGTTTATTTTCCAGTCATTCGGTCTTAGTCTTGGGGCTGCATGTGCTCCTCAATTTCTAGACAGACATGGTCCGCTTTGGGAAGTGGCACATCCCTCTAGCTTTTAGACGGACATGGTCCTTCTCGTTGAAGGGGCACGCCCCTCCCAAGACTTAGTGGCTTGGGCTTAAAATCAATATCCATAAGGTCCAACTTAAATAACATTAGTTGATATAATTCATGTGGCTTTATAAAGACAGGAGACAGCTAATGCCTTGTAAATAATCAATGTGGTACAAGGTTATTTTTTGGGTGTAAACAACTCCATAATGGTATGCTCCTGCTCTCTTGCCTTACATTGCCTCCTCCCTTAGAGACTTCTGGCGCCAACATCATTCTTCTTTCTAAAGAGTGCTTCCTCATCATTAACACTGTCTTTAGGCAACTGCTTGTCTAAAGCTTCTTGATTTGCTAGAGTATTCTCTAACTCCTCCAACATTGGCGCTTTAGCCCATCCACGTATTGCCGTAATGAGTTCATTAAACTCGGGACGTAACCCATGGACTATAATTTTCTTCATCCTAGTCTCGCTTACACGATTTTTAAGTCCAACTTCGAGATATCTTCACACAAGGTTTTACCTTAGATAGTAATCACTCGCTATTATATCTCGCTGTGAGTTTGATATTAGCTCATTGTTGAGCACCTGTAGCTTTGCGTCATTAGTGCGAGCACACACTTCAGCTAATGACGTTCACACCTCCGTTGGTGTCTTAGCTTTCTTGATAGTTTGCAACATGATATCATCCATAGCAACAGCTAGAGCATAGAATGCTCTTCCAGCTTTGACATTCCATTTATGGAGACTCCCGGCTTCATTAGTTGGTGTTGTTTGGCTCCCGTCCAACGATCTCTCACAAATCTTGTCTAAGCAGACAGAACTCCATTCGAGTACTTCATGTATTGTAGTTGTAGTTGTTAAGCATCTCGATGCTACTAACTCATGCAACCATATCCGCCATAGTGACTTTTTGATTTTTCTATATCAACAAAGTAAGCTTGATCTCAGATCAATAAGCTTAGTAGTCCAGGACTACGCACCAACGACACCTCCACGTAACTTGGTTTCTAACCAAGCAACTCGTATGTCGATCCCAAACCGACTACTCTGCCTCAACGTATGTATCACAAGCCCAAGAAAACTTTTCCGATGTGCAAAATCAAACTTAATTGGAACCACAAACCATACTCAGCATAACCTCAACTCGAATATCACTTGTCGAGTTTTACTGAATCGGGTAAGTGCTCTGAAATAGTAGTTACAGAATGTGATGAACTAAACTTACAACTTAAGCTTATTCTCACTACTATAGACTCACCACACACTAACAATTCTTTCAACCTCACCTTTACATTCTATACGTCACCACAATCAATCCTCTCACCACTATACTTAGGTGTGGAAGTTTGGGTTGCGGGTTGTGGATAATCAGAAAACCGCACCAACCCGCACCTATTGTGGGTAACCATACCCACAATTTGTGGGTAGTGGGTTGGGTGTGGATAGTAAAATAACGATTTTTGTGGTTAGTGGTTATCCACTACCCACCGCGGATAACCCACAAAATCCACAATAACCACACTAATTATATTTATTTAGTGAATTAACTTTATAATATAATAGTATGCGAAAAGTGCGAGGATAAAAATTAAAGTATCCACCAAATAAGAAAGACACACCTAATCAGTTTTATGTAAGAATTTTTTAGTTTATAAAACACTATAATCGATAGAGTGGAGAATAATCAATTCATTAAAAGTGAACACCTTTTATAACTTTTATCAGTATGTTTTTTTCTTTTGTGCGAAAAAATACAAGATCATATTTAATTGTCATATTTCACCCCTAGTTGGGGAAATATGAAATCACAGCTCTCTGACACAAAAGTTGAATACCAAACTCAAAAGAAAAAATCTCCACGTTGAGTAAGATCTATGTACAAAACTGTATATCCACGAACAACACAAGTGTATGTCACTATAATCTAGTTACGAACAACAAATACGTTAGTGGCGACTAGAACTTAATGCTTGCAAAGATGGATTTTTGCGGTAACCACACCCAACCTGCACAAAGCCACAGTAGATAGTGGTTACCAACTAACCACTACGGTACGAGTTTTGAGTAGCATAATTGTAAATTTGTGGGGTGTGGGTACCCGCAAAATGTGGAGCGGGTAACCACACCCGCCCCAATTTCCACCCCTAACCATGGACCAGGAAACCGGATCATACCGGTCGGTTCGACCGGTAAAACCGGGAACCGGACCAGGGACGATACGGCAGGCTGGCTGCGAGAAGATTACCGTGCCGCCCGGTTTTGCTGGTTTAACCGGCACAAAACAAAAAACCGCCCGGTTTTGGTCTAACCGGCGGTAAGCTGTATGACCAAACACTACGTCGTTTTTGGCACATAAAAAAAAAAAAAAATCGGCCGCAAGCCAAATCCCCAAAAACCTAATGTATCGAGAATTTGCCTTTCCTGGTTCTTTCTTCTCCAGAGGCAGAGGACACGCAGCCCCGCTCCTCATCTCATCTGGCCGCCTGTAACCGGCGACCCGAGATCGGCGCGCGAAAGTGACACCCGCAACTGGCGCGCGTTCATCTTCACTGGCGAGTGGCGACCAGGTCTCCGAAATTTGCTTCTTTGTTTGCTTGCTGTTCTTGAATAGTAGAGTACGGCAAGAGCAGAAGCGACGCCATGGATGAACCCCTTTTCGTTTCCCCCTTTTCCTTATAGAATCCGTGTAGATCTCGCGGAAGAGATCCGGCTTGTTAGTGGCGGATGACTGTTGAATTTTTTTTGGGAGCAAATTGTAACAGTTGCTGTTTGTTGCTATCTGATTTCCCCCTTTTTTCTACCCTTGCCTTTCGGTTTCCCGGTTCGTATGTGGATCAGCTTGGCTGAGTCTTTTTCTTTTCTTGCTTTTTGGCTCTGCTGTTTGTTAATTGCTTTTTCCGTGAGGGGAAATGGATTCGTGAAACTTGTTTGGTAAGAGTATTCAATGGATGTTTGGCAGATTCTCTTGTATTCCGGCTTTTATCCGGTATATTCCGGTTTTATTCCGAAACGGTATCTCGAATCTTCGGGTACGGTGTTTTAACGAAAAATATTATTTAATTACAAAAACGGTATTTTACCGGTACACAACGATTGAACCATGGTAGTACCACAAAATACCCTACCACTGGCGAATCCGATATGACCTCCGATACAGTTTCCTTTACCATGCCCCTAACTACACTACAATACATCACAATCTCACGTCTCTCTTTTCACTTCACTCTTTTCGTTGTTTGCCTGCCCACTTGCATAAGATGGGAATAATAAAAAAACAGAATCACACAAACCCCGAAACCCGTAAGGGCCATATCCCCCTTTTTATAATTTATACCATTCCCTACATACTCAAATAATTTCTTAGATGTTTTTTTTCTAATTCTGGGTTTCTCTTCCATTTCCTGCTCCTAAATTTTTCTTTCTCCCTCATATATCTTAGTTCTAGAATTTTCTTTTCTTTCTTCTTCTGGACGTAGAAAACTCCATAGAGTTGGAGTTGAAACTTCAATAGTAAACGACCCATCCAATCGATCAATAGGAGGAAAAAAATTATTGTATATACAATTATTGATGGACAATTGGCCATGTGAGATGTTTTTAGACATTAATTGTTTGAATTAACGAATTTCTGTCATTTTGGTAATAAATATTATTTAAGCGTAGCCCAATAAAGCTCGCCATAGCTTCGCACCTGCCCCCAGCGCCAGCAACTTGTTGCTGATATGGCAAACCCCGTTGTGAGGATCTTGTCTTCATCACTTCACTACCATATACATGGAACAATTTGAGCCTGTAAACCATTCATGAATAACAAGTTGTTGTTTCGGTGATTAAACTGAGCTACGTACTAGGGATGTGACTCCATCCAATTATAGTCCATCCATTACATATTTGGGTGGATGTAATGGGTGGTTGTGAATCATTGATTTTTTCAACCACTAAATATGGGTGGATGGTGGTTGGGTAGCAGGGGCGGAGCTACATTGATTGTGGGGTGGGCGTGATCCCCCTGAAAAATGGTCTCTGCCTCCAAGACCTTAACGATAATAAGTAAGAATATAAGTTTACGTGTTCAGTATATTGTGACATGTAACAACCATGTAGTTTGGTGGTAGTCAAGTTTATTTCTATCCTAAAAGATGCAGGTTCAATTACTAGTGTTTATATTTTTACTTCATCTTTTTAATTCCCGTCTATATAATTTCTTAAAATCAAACGAAACCCAATTTTAAGACATCATTATTTTAATTCACATCTATATTTCCTTAAACCAAACAACGAAAAAATTGTCCCTTCCGTACTTTTTATTATCCTCAAGATTTTTCAGAAGAGGAAATCGGTATATTAGAGTTCAAATTGAGAATTTTCTTATTTGAAATTCTTAATCATTCTTCTTTACATAAGCTTTGGTCTATTTATAACTAGGTTAGGGTTTAATAATGACAAGACTATCAACACAATTCGATTTTGTTGATAGGCAGATTTATCTTCTACTGACCCTTCCAGTTTTAACTGCTATAGGTGAACATGTATTTTCGATAATGAAGTAGGTGAAGAATAGACTACGAAACAAAATGAATGATGAGTTTCATGCTGATAGTTTAGTTATTTATACCGAATAAACATAGCTAAAAGTTTTAGTTTACATACTATTTTGAGTGATGATTTGTCATATATAATAATTATTATTCTTTAGCATTAATTATTTTACGGCCCACCCGTTTTTGAAATCCTAGCTCCGTCCCTGTTGGGTAGCGGGTGAGTCATTACCCACAAAATCACATGATATATTAAGTCGTTAGTGCACATTCTATGATTAAACATATTTTTATCTTATTTCAAAATTTTAATCGTGATTGATTCAATGAAATTGCTGTTAGCTAGTATCGAACGCCCTTAATTACGTATACGAAAACAAAGAAGGAATAGAGACACACGATTTACGTGGTTTCCCCGAGATCGGGACTAGTCCACGGGAGAGATAGAACTCTCCGAGCTGATCGTATTATTTAGGTTTTTCCTTAGTTCAGCTTACAAGAGTCGTGGTACATATGTACAGCCTGCTAACCCTAGCTCTACTCAAGCTACGCCTAGGGTTATTTACGTCCCCATAACTTGTACATGCAAGTACTCTAATTGGGCCGAGCCCAATATCACTAACAGCCTCCCCCAAATTGATGCTGGTCCCGAAGCATCAATTTGTCCGATAGTGACATATGACGAGAATGATGGAAGGGCTTCGTGAATAAGTCAGCTAGCTGGTCAGCTGATGAAACATGACGAACCACAAGGAAACCTTCATGAACTAGATAGCGAACATAGTGGACGTGAACCTCGATATGTTTTGTTCGATCATGAAGGACAGGGTTGACTGCAATCTGAATTGCACTGGTGTTGTCGACATGAAGAGTGATCGGAGATGGACAAGATACGCCTAAGTCAAGAAGTAACCGCTGCATCCACACAAGCTCTGAGGCTACATCTGACATGGCACGATATTCAGCTTCAGTGGAGGATTTGGAGACTTTATCTTGCTTCTTACACCGCCAGTTAACAAAAGCTCCACCAAGCTGAACACACCAACCGGTAGTCGACCGGCGAGTATCAACACATCCCGCATAATCAAAATCTGAGTAAGCCTGTAAACGAAAATCACCAGTAGCCGGTTAGAAGAGTCCAACCTCGCGAGTACCCTGCAAATACCTGAGTATCCGATGAACTGCAGCCAAATGATCCACCCGCGGATCCGACATAAACTGACTGACGACATGAACCGCGAATGATATGTCGGGCCTAGTATGAGTAAGATAAATTAAGCTACCAACCAAATGACGATACTGGGACGGATTCACTAGTGGAACACCGGACTCACGAGCAAGATGGAGATTGACCTCCATGGGGGTAGAAACCGGAATACAATCACCGAACTGAGCAGACGAGAGTAAATCGGCGATATATTTCCGCTGACTGAGGAGAATACCACGAGACGATCTAGTAATTTCCAAACCGAGAAAATAAGACAAGGAACCCAACTCCTTCAGTGTAAACGAGGCATGGAGGCCTTCCTTCAGACGAGTTATCCCGGATGCATCATCCCCAGTAATGATCATGTCGTCCACGTATAAAAGAAGAGCAATTATACCCGCCGAAGAAGATCTCAAGAACAGGGACGGATCATTAGTACTTTGCTGAAACCCAAGAGCAAGAACAGTAGACTGAAATTTCTCAAACCAAGCACGGGGTGCTTGTTTGAGCCCATATAAAGAACGCCTGAGTCGACAAACCTGATCTTCTCGGCCAACAGTATACCCAGGAGGCCTCTTCATGTAGACGACCTCCTTCAAATCTCCATGCAGAAACGCATTTTTAACGTTTAACTGAAATAACGGCCATCCACGAACAGCAGCAACAGCAAGAAGTGTGCGTACGGTTTGTATTTTAGCCACCGGCGCGAACGTCTCGTCATAATCAAGGCCATATTCTTGACCAAACCCCTGTACCACAAGCCGAGCCCGAAACCTTTCAAGTGTCCCATCTGCCTTGACTTTCACAGCATATACCCACCTATTTTCGAGAATGGTGACCGGTTCCGGAGGGCGATCAACAACTTCCCACGTACCAGTGGCATGCAGAGCATCAAACTCCGTCTGCATGGCGTTATTCCAGTTGGGGTCGAGCATGGCCTGCTTATACGAGGTGGGAATGGTGAAAGCATCAACATGATATGAAACAAAATCATGATACCTAATGGCCAGCTGCCCCTTTGTGGCTCGAAGTGACCGCCGAGGAGCTGGCGGCGTCGAAGGCGGAGAAGCAGAACCATCCGCGGCAGAAGAGGAGCTGCTGGAAGTCGATGAAGACGCCGACGCGGGAGAGCTATCACTGGACACCGTCGGGGCAGGCGAGTCGGGGGGGAGTGAGAGGATATCATCAACCTCATCATCGTCGTCGAACATGGGTAGTCGGGTCACCTCAGACACGAATATAGAAGTATCAGGAGGACTAGAGTAGAACATAAGCCTCTCAAAGAAAACGACATCACAAGATATACGGAGACGTTGAACCGAGGGATCGTAACAAAGATACCCTTTATGGATGTCACTATAGCCAAGGAAGACACAGCGAGAAGTTTTGGAGGACAACTTAGACCGATCTTTTCTAGGAAGAAGAACGAAACAAGTGCAGCCGAATACCCGAAGACGAGAATAATCAGGATGCTTTTTGAACAAAGCATAGTGAGGACTAAGCTGACCAAGAACAGGAGTAATTTGGTAGTTTATTAGTCGAACAGCAGTGGTTACAGCTTCAGGCCAAAATCTAGCGGGAACATGAGAGGCTAATAACATGGCTCTAGTCAACTCTACGACATGACGATTCTTACGCTCTACAAGACCATTTTGTTGGGAGACACCAGGACAAGATTTTTTAGTTAAAATACCCTGAGAACGAAATAGACGATCTAACGGATTAGAACCGAACTCCCCACCCGGATCAGATCTAACTATACGAACGGTTTGACCAAATTGAGTCTGAATCATTTTTAAAAAATCAGTGGCAACAGAATAAAGATTAGACTTGAGGAGAAGAAAATACACCCAAGTAAAACGAGTGGCATGATCAACGAATAACGCGAAATACTTGTAACCATGTCTCGAATCAGTGGGAGCTGGACCCCAAAGGTCGGTATGAACAATGTGAAATGGTTCTGAGATAATCGTAGTACTAGAGGGAAATGAACTACGAGTTGATTTTGCTTCAACACAGCTAGTACTCCGAAAATCACCTGAAGAAATATCAACATTCTTATTCCCAAAAAGTTGCTGTTTAAACATGGTTACAAGCCGACTCGAATGAGGGTGACCAAGACGAGAATGCCACAAATCAAACTCATTATGGTTCAAACTAGAAAAGACAGGAGACGAACTAGACTCAAGACTAGAAGAAAGATGACCCGATGAAGGTTGACCCGACAGTTCTTCAAGCTGAAAAACACGCCCATGCTTACTCCCCCTTCCGATCTGCCTCCCCGTCTTCAGATCCTGAACCACACAACCAGAGGCATCGAACACAACACGACAATTTTGCTCAGTAAGTTGCCCAACCGACACCAAATTAGGAACAAGATTTGGAACGCATAAGGTATTAGACAAATTCATGTTAGGTGTCTCAATGGTACCAACACCTTTAACAGATAACCTTTGGCCATTCGCCACCTGAATTGAACTTGTAGCAGCTGAACTTAATTGCTTAAACAATTTAGAGTGACCTGTCATATGATTGAAACAGGCTGAATCCAAAAGCCAAGGAAGAGACGTACCAGCTTTCTGAAGCGTAGCAAATGCACTAGTAATTGCCGTGGGCAAGGAACGCTGAAGGGCAGAGTGGACGAGCTGCTCGACAGCTTCTGAGGTCATGTACTGTCCTGTCGGTGGAGTGGAAGCTTGGACAGCAGCTGGTTGGACAGCGTACGCACCCCCAGTAGCAGAAGAAGCCGGCATATGCGAGCTGGAACCAGACTGACGAGGCTGAATGAGGCGGCAATCAGTGATGATATGCCCTTTCTTTTTGCAGTACACGCAAAAGTTCTTTTGCCTACAGAACTTCTGAAGATGACCAGCTTGACGACAATGGTGGCAAATAATCTCAGAGGTACGACGTTGAAATTGAGGTCGATTTACAGCAAAAACCTCATCTACACTTCCTGGCGTTGTTGACCTTCGTTGTCCAGAACCCGCGGCCGCCAGTGAGTCTGCTACCGCCGCGAAAACAGCTTCCCCAGCCCCTGGCCGAAGATCCAGCTGCGCCTGCGTCCGTAGACGTGTTTATTCTCGAACAAGAGCGGCTAAAATACCATCCAGCTTCAGATTTTCGCGCTGCAACAGATTTGCGCGAACAGACTCGAACTCCGGCTTGAGACGGCTGAGGAACTGCATCATCCTAGTTCGCTGGCGATCTTGAATCACCTCGGCTGAGGCAGTAGCAGAGCACAAGGCCGCGGTCAGCAAATCTTGTTCCGTCCACAATAATTGCGCCGCATTGTAATACGATGTCACATCCATATCTCCCTGTTCAAGACGCGCCAATTCAAAGGTAATTTCAAATTGACGCGCCGGATCCGTTGTGGTATATGTTTGGGCGAGATGAACCCAGATGTCCCTCGCCAATCGAAGCAAACGAAGACCCAAACAAATGGTTGGATCGATAGTGGCCAGCAGATAGGCCTTCACCCTTGCATCAGTCTGCGTCCACCTCATCAGCTCTTCGGCAGTTGACGGTGGAACAATTGGCCGTGCCGATGTACCATCCAGAAACGAAAGAAGACCCTTGCCTTCAATAAAGATGCGAACCTGGAACTCTCATAGCGCATAATTCTTGGAGTTCAACCGAACAGCAATCCTATCAGAATCCATAGACGATAGCTCTGATACCATATTAGCTAGTATCAAACGCCCTTAATTACGTATACGAAAACAAAGAAGGAACAGAGACACACGATTTACGTGGTTTCCCCGAGATCGGGACTAATCCACGGGAGAGATAGAACTCTCCGAGCTGATCGTATTATTTAGGTTTTTCCTTAGTTCAGCTTACAAGAGTCGTGATACATATATACAGCCTGCTAACCCTAGCTCTACTCAAGCTACGCCTAGGGTTATTTACGTCCCCATAACTTGTACATGCAAGTACTCTAATTGGGCCGAGCCCAATATCACTAACAATTGCAATGATCTTTTATAAAATTTACTTGATTTATAAAATAAAATTAATTATTTTAAAATACGATTGACTATCAATAAAAATATTTGTGTTCGCAAATCAAATCATTGGTGTTAGCAACTCCTATGGGGACAGCGACCCTTCTTCTCCTAGCGGCACGTTCTCGGATCAGTGCAGCAACTTGCGTTCTTCGTCCGGTAGCGGTGGCTCATCTAGTCACAGCAGCTCCTCCTCCGATACTTCACCTTCACCTCGCCGATCCACTAGAGTGACACGAGGTCAGCCATCCTCTCATTATAGTGATTATGTTGCATTTTCAGGGTAGTTGCTCAGGGTTTATTCACGAATATGGGATCCATTACGATGAGACCTTTTCTTCAGTAGCTAAGTTGCAGGCGGGTGGGATGTGTTCTGACATAGCCTATGTAGTACAAGCGGTGAGTCAATAAATGGGGATTGGAAGGTCACTTTGGATGCAATTCACAGGATTCTTTGATATTTACAGGGCACACAGGATGTGGGACTTTTCTTTCCTTGTCAAGGGGAACCAGTTCTAGAGGCCTCTGCAGATGCAGACTTTGTAGGATGTGTGGACACTAGGCGATCTACCTCTGGTTGGTGTGTTCAGTTTGGGAGAGAATTTGTATCTTGGCATTGTAAGAAACAGGAAAGATCGTCTTCCAAGTCATCTATAGAAGCGGAATATAGATCTATGTTTGATGTGAGCTATGAGTTGGTACAATTACAACGGCTGCTAGGAGACCTGGGCGTTACATGTAAAGTTCCCATATACGATATATACGAAGCTTTATGGGGATAATACTAGTCCAACCCGGATAGCAACCAATCTTGTATTGCATGATCTAACAAAGCATATTGAGACTCACGTTCACTACATTAGAGAGCTGGTTTCAGACGGGGTTATTAAGCTAAGTTATTTTTCATCAGATGATCAGACTGCAAACTTGTTGACAAAGATTGTGGGCTCAAGTCGTCATTACTCATTAGTATTTGTCTAACAAACTAATGTTGCGAAAGCAACATCCGTTTGAGGGAGGGTGTTAAAATGATGACTTAGTCTTATTTAGGTAGCTTTTGGTAAATATACATTATTACGGGAGTTACCTAGATAGACTAGCTAGGGTTGTATTATAGCCGAGCCACAACATATATATTGTATCTCTGTTGTACAGAAAACCTAAACCGAATAAGATTGACTCTGGACAGTTCTACCTCTCCCGTGTACTAGTTTTGAATCTAAGGAAAACCACGTAAAAAATTGGGTGTTCTTGTATCTTTGATTTTCGGTTTCTTATCATTATAATGACACCCAATTGGATGAGTATATTTTTCCCAACGATGCTTGAGAAAATGAAGTCGGCATATGCTTCCAAAGAGGCGGGTCATCAAACTTTGCACTAGATTGCCCCGGACTTCCGTCGCTATATATAAACCCGTTAATTATACATGCCATGCACAAGAACAACCAATTACCCAGTTCTCCTACAGAGAAATAAAAAGAAAGAAAAAAAAGAGATCAAGAATGGTTCTAACGATTCCATCATCACTTGTTGTTCCATTCAGCCACCGCATCTCCTCTAATGGTGCTACTCCTATCGACTCATCATCACCAGCAGAAATAATGGCAGTCGACGAAGAGATTCCGACGATCGACTACTTCGCCCTCTTCTCCGCCGACCCTTCCCAGTGTTCCACGGCCATGGAGCGCCTCTCCATAGCTTGTGAACATTACGGCTTCTTCAACGTGCGTAATTCCTTGCATGTCTGTATAAATATCTATATGATTTGTTTAGGGTTTCAGCAACGTGATTAGTGTCTGTAAGCTCGTACCGAACGAAAAATTCTCCTACCGGAGCGATAAGAAGTTTTTAACGGTTGTATCACGATTAAACTATAGTTTCGACATAAAATGTGCTACCACTTATTTTTCCGGTACAACATCCTGTGCGGTTTTACGATTCTTCCTATACTAAAAATGAAGACATGTTCATGTATGTCCATGCAGCTGGTGAACCATGGGATAGCGGATGGAGTGATGGAAGGCGCGTTGAGGGGAGTATCGGATTTCGTGGGGCAGACGGCGGTGGAGGAGAAGAGCAAGTACAGGGAAGCGCATCCAGGGGCTAAGATTCTTTGGGATTCCAATTGTCACGCCGGTGAGAATAGGGAATATCTCAAGGTCGTTGCTCGTCCACAATTCCATTGCCCGCCTAATCCTCCATCCTTCAGGTATATGTATTTTTTTTGAAAATAATAGCTATATAGTTAAAAACAAAAACAAAACAGTTATCTAGTTGGGACATATTTTTCTAGAAGTTTACACATATCACTCCCTATTCTATTGCCCATTTCGCAAGCGACGCGATAAATGAGTAATACAAGCTTTATATTTAAACATTCTCAATAACACGAGTTATTGAGATAGATTGGCTCTTTATTTCGTATTAGTTAGGGACTTTCACTCAAATATTATACTAAAATCTAAATAGCTCTCGGTATATCGACGGTTGATTTAAAGACAATATATGACAGAGAAGTGGAGGAGCTAGCTAGCTAGGTTGAAGCCTGGAGTGGTTATAGTTCCCCGAAAATTGGAAGCCTTTGCACATATTGTCTATCTGACCATACACTAGTTCACGTATAGACATATATATGGCCCATGCATGCAAGAAACAAACTAATAACCCACTCCATCTCTCTACCATTTGCTCGTAAATGAGAATAGAAACATGATGTTCAATATTATGGCCCATGCATTATTGTCAGAGCTGCAAGTTGATCCCATTGTTGATTTTAACTAGAAGACAACCGCACTTTTTGTAGCGGGGCGCTAGAGCCTAGAGGCCTATATTGGAAAAAGAAAAGCCCGGAGCTCATTACTTATTGGAAGAAGTTGAAATTAGTACAAAATCAAAGAGCTATGGAGGGTACAAAACCTCGAACTGCAAAATCTGGTCGTATCATCGTATATCACGACATGGTGATACAATGCTTTGATGATACAATCAGAGAGTTTTGCATGATTTTGCAGGCAAGAATTTTGTACCGGGACTCAAACCCTGTAGATAAATATACAATAATATATGATAATAAGTCAATAACAATATTGTTTTCGTTCCCCTTAAATTTTTAATTCGTTACTCTTCCTTCCTAGTACATATACATTTTGCTTTATCTCGTTATTTTCTCCAAGCCGCTGAGGAAATTGAGCGCCACACATCTACTGGGTCGACCCACATCAAGGTTTCCGGGCTAGAGGTCACACCGAATCATTTTTCTCTTCGGTTTTTGCATTGCGCCACTTTTTTATTTTTCTATTCGCCTATGAGATACACAATAAGAAAAACTTAACAACCCAAACAATGAGAAACTTATCAAATTCAACGAAAAAAAAAACAAGAGAAACTTATCAACCCAAACAAATTGAATTAGTGAAATGATTATAATAAATATTATTTTCCTTAGTGAACAGTAATGAGGATTGAGCTTTATATATAGTAATAATAACTTGTTCCAGCGCAAGCTTCAACACATGATGTTAAATAATGCAATATTTTCTTAGCTTTCTCTTCTGTCAAAGCGATTCAAGTTGATTCATGATTTTAACTTCTTCCGACCGCCGTCAGCTTTACTGTCCGCAATCCGCATAATTATATGATTGTTGTTCCAACTTGGGATGACACCCTTTTTTGTGGAAAAAATCCCAAGTTACACATGTTTTTAAAAAAAATTCTCAAAATACACACGTTATGAAAATAATTCCCAATCTACGTTAGTTTGAGCCATCACCGCTGTCGACGAAGACAGTGATTGCATCACTGTTGTCGACGAAGACAGTGATTGCATCACTGTTGTCGACGAAGACAGTGATTGCATCACCGCTGTCGACGAAGACAGTGATTGCATCACTGCAGTACACGGCCGCGGTGAAGGCCTGACCTGCATCGAAACTTTAAACAAACGTAACTTTGTGCTCGGTTATCCGATCGTAGCAATTTTTTTTTATTCCGCATAATTTTTCGAGATCTTGCAAGCCACAAATGGCCATAGGCGGTTTGGTCCCGCCTTCGTCTCGAAAATATGTCGTTTGCTACCCCGAACGAGCCTTTTTTCGATTTCGTCAAACTTTGAATGACCATAACTTTGTGCTCCACAATCCGAAAATCATGATTTTTTTTTATTTCGCATAACATTTTAAGGACTACAATTTTTATCATAGACATATTTTCGGAATGTACTTGGATTCCTGAAAAGGAAGGTAAAGTTATTCCCAAAACCCCTTATATCCATAAATAATTCATTTTTTGAAAATTCTCTCCTACTAAATATTTTAGTCCTTAAAAATTTATGCGAAATCAAAAAAAAATTCATGATTTTCGGATTGTGGAGCACAAAGTTATGGTCATTCAAAGTTTGACGAAATCGAAAAAAGGCTCGTTCGGGGTAGCAAACGACATATTTTCGAGACGAAGGCGGGACCAAACCTCCTATGGCCATTTGCGACTTGCAAGATCTCGAAAAATTATGCGGAATCAAAAAAAATTTTGCTACGATCGGATAACCGAGCACAAAGTTACGTTTGTTTCAAGTTTCGACGCAGGTCAGGCCTTCACCGCGGCCGTGTACTGCAGTGATGCAATCACTGTCTTCGTCGAAAGCGGTGATGCAATCACTGTCTTCGTCGACAACAGTGATGCAATCACTGTCTTCGTCGACAACAGTGATGCAATCACTGTCTTCGTCGACAGCGGTGATGGCCCAAACTAACGTAGATTGGGAATTATTTTCATAACGTGTGTATTTTGAGATTTTTTTTTAAAAAGATGTGTAACTTGGGATTTTTTCCCTTTTTTGTTCCGAACTTTAACGTAAAAGACGATTTTGTCCTGTCAAATGAAATAGTTTTGTTCTAATTTTTGCTTAATGTGACAGGACAAAATTTACCCATTTCTTTCAGACAAACAGTTTTTTTTGTTTCCTTCTTAAAGTTCAGGACAAAATTGGTATTGTCCCTTCCAACTTATGGCATATGGATGTATATGTTTTCTATCGCATCTGCAGTCAGTGAGTAGTGAAAAGTAAATTTATTTCGTACTTTTTTCATCTTTACTTATCCTCACGTTTTGTTGAATATGTACAGAGAGGCTTTGGGGGAGTACCAGACCAAATTCCACGATGTGAAACTGGGCTTGGCTAGGGCCATGTCCCTAAACCTAGGGCAAGAAGTGTCCTATATCGAGAATGCTTTCAGTCTGGAGTCAGGTCTCGACGTCGCTGCTATGAATTTTTATCCACCAAACTTGAATTCGAAGGGCACCATCCGGCTGGCTGACCACACCGATCCTGGCTTCATCATCTCCCTCGTCCAAAACTTGGACGGTGGCCTTCAAATCCTAACCCATCAAGGAAAATGGGTTAACGTCCACATCCCTCCCAACGCCATCCTAATCCAAGTTGGGGAACATTTGGAGGTATATATTATACAGTAGTAGTAGTATACGACCAAATCATTAAGTATGAAAACCCCAAAACCAAACCGTTAAGGATCTAATAAATATCACCATTATATAAAATTAAAAAAAAAACTTTCCCTTGGATGCACCTAGGGGTGTCAGTTCGGGTCGGGTTCGGTTACCCGAAACCCGAAAACCCAAAACCGAAAACCATTAAAACGGAACCCGAACCCGATAAGGACTTGCGGGTTCCGGTTACCCGAAATCCGAAAATTCCTTATCGGGTTCGGGTTCGGTTAAATCAAAACCGAAACCCGAAAACCCGAACGTCTAAGAATATGGGTTGAGTTCTATTCATTGGAGGTTTTTAGCCGGAACCCGAAAAACCGATAAGCAAAACCAAACCTGAAACCGAAAAACCCCGAACCCGAAATGAACCCGAACTTGAAAAACCGAAAATGTATATAATCGGGTCGGTTTCGGGTAAACCCGAAAAACCGAACCCGAATGGACACCTCTAGATGCACCTTTCATTTATAAGAAAAAAGAATGTTGTCTTACGTTTACCTATCAGAAAAGCATGTAATAATTAATGAGCTTATTTCAGAACTCATGAACTTTTCAATTTACAGGTTCTAACAAATGGCAAGTACAAGAGTCGCATCCATCATGTGACGGGCAACTACAAGGCAAAAAGGGTCACCCTGGTCACACTTCATGGGCCATCTGCAGACAAATTTGTTGCTCCGGCGCAAGAATTTGTGGACGATTCCCACCCGCTGGCTTACCGTGGAATGACATACTCGGATGGGTTGAAATCCAATGATAATCATGAGATTGAAGTTCAATCATGCATCGCACAACACAGAATTCTTCTACCCTACTGAATGCTTTATGTGTATGGTATATATCATCACCATGTCATTTATACCAACTCCAGGGGTTCATATATATATATTTTATATGTATTTGATTTGGGTTATATGTATAATATGCCCTTTTACTATGTCGTTTTCATCAAACATGTCGCTTTACTACATTTTACATCAAACATGCCCCTGTACTTTGAAAAAATGATCAAACATACCCTTCTGTTAAAATTTTCATTAAAAAAATCGTCAACCACGGTTGAACCGAGATTTAGACGACCCGACATCGGTAAATGGGAGGGAAAATATCAGTTTTGTCCCCCAATTTATCTCTCTAGATCCCGTTAAAGTAAATTATTAGAGATATTTGGCTCTAAAAAGAACCAAACAATTCTAAAGTGAAATTATCAAGGATATTTTAGACATTTGCGTCACTCATACCAAGATTCATTCGTGGTTGACGATTTTTGAATGAAACTTTTAATAAAATGGCATATTTGATAATTTTCCCAAAATAGAGAGGCATATTTGATAAAATGACATAGTAAAAGAGCATATTACACATATAACCCATTTGATATTTATCGATGGTTGCTTGTTTGTTTAGTAATGTTCACCATAACTTCTACGGAGAAATTAACTAGTCATGCTGCGCTCTATAGGTCAACTACATTGCATGCGCCAATCAATCAATCAATTATATTAAATCCTAAGTGATTCAACTGTTCCTTACGATTTTTAGCAAACCATCTTAATTTCAGGATTACTGTTCATGGGATGTGTTATGGTGTGACAACACCCACAATTTTGCGGCGGTCCATTCCCTTATTAACCCAACCCCTTTTCCGTGTTCGCATATTTAATTTGACTGTTCCAACCCAGTAATGGCTTTGGGGGAATAAGAAATTTGGTTGCCTCAAGTTTTGAGAATGCAGACAGTTTGGAAGAGGTTAACTAATAATATGTGTTAGTTGTACGAAAGTACTTAGCATGTATTGTAAAATCGTAATATATGTTAGTTGGAAGAGGTAATTAAATCCTTAGTATTAACTATTAAGCATCGACCATATGCATGTTTTCATGATCAAACATGGCTACGTTAAGATCTCCTACAATCAGACGAACAAGGACTTGGTCTAGTAATACTACTAGTCTAGAACCTGGAGGTCCCGGGTTCGAATCCCTTAAATAGTACTTAATGAACAAAATGAACCTATATCACCCTTATAAAAAAAAATCTCAAAACAGACCACCTAATTTTTTACACAAGGTTCGAATTCCTTAAATAGTACCTTAATGAACAAAATGAACCTATACCACCCTTATAAAAAAAATCTCAAAACAGACCACCTAATTTTTCACACAGCTTGTCATCGCAGTATATAGTTTCTTGCACGGGTTAGCCATACCCCCTACAATTCATCATCTCATGTTTACTTTAGAAAATTTTATTTTTCTAAATATCAAAGTTACTCATATCACTAATTAAAAGATCATTTCCATATTTTAATCGTTAGATTTTTGTATATTAAGACTAGGAGGGGGTTAGCCACTTGACTAACGACCCTCCCTTAATCACCAGTTCCTCCATTTCCAATCTCAGCCATACATTATGGCTTTGTAGTACTGAAAAACTATATTGTTTTGTACCCTGAACCAAACCATTAACATCAATCTATAAAACAAAAGTTAAACCTAATTATGAAAAGAAGTTTCATAGAATTGCTCAAAATCCAAAAAAAAAAAAATAACGCAGTGAAAAATGCTTTCCATTTCACTATATACGTTGCACGTATTATTCTTTAGTGATGTCACCGGATGTTGGCACATCCTGCAAGTGCGGCAGCACATGGTCGTAGAGGAAACGACAGCCACCTACCTGACATTTCCCGGTATAACCTAGCTAGGCCTAGGAGTTTTGAGTTCAATTTGGAGGAGAAAACAAATTGTATTGAATTTAATCACTGTGGGTATCTTCTAGAACTCATGATCTCTCCACTATAAATAGATTGTGCATTTACACAAAAAAAGCCACACAAACAAAACCCACTAAAAAGTGACCAGAAATCAAGAAAAAGAGCTATATTTCGCTGGCCAGGGAACTTGCCCTGTTGTTACCGACGAAAACCCGCAGTATCGTTATGCAAATTCCACGTACACCGGCGTCGTGCCCGATCTTGGTGACGACGACGACGACGACAGTATGATTATGGTTGCCACCTGCGATAATGACCGCAACCTTAACAGTGGCAGTACTACTTCCTCATGGCGTCAAGATTATCGCTATGGCTCGGCTGCAATATGTGAACCGTCGTCATCATCATCATCAAATACTACTGCTTTAACCAAGAATACTACTATTGTTCCCGGCCAATGCCTACAGGTAATATACACATATTGTGAGCTATAACATATGTATACAGTATGCATGTTTGCATGATCTTGTACTTAAATTTTGTTCTGTAATCTGGTAGGTGACGAATCTCGAGAATGGGAGACGATCGAGCAACTGTGAAAATTACGTCGGATGAACAGTGTAGCAGCAACGGTACAAGTTTGGTGCTGGATTATGATGTTTTTCAACATCTCGACACCAGCGATTACAAGAGAAATGTAGGAGGCAACTTGACAATTACCTACAAGCATGTGGGTTGTATTCGCAACTAGTATGATAACTACATGTACTATGAAGCATGATATCTAAATGCTTTGCCCTATCCGACTCCGATGTAGTTCTCCTAAATTTTCCTAAAAATTTTATTTTGGTGTCTAGTAGATTTGGTATTAGAGACGATACTATTCATTTATCCTCCTAAATAAGTCTAGCTCATTATGTTTTTCCACCACAAAAATATCGAGGTAACAGCTCAGGCGAACGCAATGTTCGTAAAATTGCACGCAATCTTCCATGACGAATTCTACAAGTGTTGGAGCACTCAAATGGAGACAATTATCATTGCTAAAGACTTGTGAAATATCATGCAAGAAGGTTATGAGAAAATTACGTACGACGAGCGGAGTGAGACTCTCACAAGGGCTGCAGAAGTAAAACCAAAGCAATACAAGGATAATATCCGGAGGAATGCCAACGCCTTGCGAATAATTCGACACAAAATTAGCAAAACTATCTTTACTCTATTTTTTAGTCTATTTTATAAGTGATTTACCGTTGTCAACATACTTTCCCATTTTGAAAACAAAGACATTTATAGTTTTCTTTTGGGTTATAGGAATAATATGCCCCTCTACTATGACGTTTTATCAAACATGCCCCTCTACTATTTTTCACATCAAATATGCCCTTGTACTTTGAAAAAATTATCAAACATGCCCTTCTTTTAAAATTTCCATTGAAAAAATCGGCAATCATGGTTGAATTGAGATTTAGACGACCCGACATCGGCAAATGGGAGGTAAAATGTCAGTTTTGTCCACTGTTTTATTTCCCTGAGTTTTTTCAAAGTGAAATTATTTGAATGATTTGATTATACAAAAGAACCAAAAAAAATCTAAAGTGAATTTATTAGGGATATTTTAGTCATTTGTGTTGCCCAAACTAAAGTTCAGCCATGCTTAACGGTTTTTGGATGAAAATTTTAACAAAAGGGCATGTTTGATCATTTTTACAAAGTACAGGGGCATGTTTAATATAAAAAATAGTAGAGGGGTATGTTTGATAAAACGTCATAGTAGAGGGGCATATTATACCTATAACCCTTTTCTTTTTATTAATGCATTTGAAATCTTATTGATCTGAAATATGATTCATACAATCAGCAATTAACTTAGATATTAGAAAGATAGGGTTGTCTTTAAGGCTGGGAAACGGTGCGGTCTGGTCCAGACCAGACCATATATACGGTCTATGGTCCAGATCGAAAGGCTGAAGTATAGACCACAGACCAGATCACAGAATATACGGTCCGGTCCAGACCACGCTTGTGCGGTCTAGTTCGGTCTTGTCTGGTCTGGTCCAGATAGACCATACTCAACGAAAAATGAACAATTTGTTTAGTCAACCACACAAACAATTGAACTAATAATCAAGAAAAATAATTTTATTTGCCTTAAAACTTTAATCCTAACATGCATGAATAAATTTGATACCCTAAATCGTAGTACATAACAAAGATATCAAGTAAAAGCATCCCAACTTGCTCCATAACGTTATAAACATTAATATAATGTCATATGGAGACACGATTATCTTTACTCTGCGGTTAAGTGTGGTTCTGAATGAAGGAGGGACGAGATTCACAAAATTAAGGTTGAGACTTGGGTGTCGTTGTGGGAGTTGGAGAGTGGTCGAATAGGCTGTTAACACGTATTGACAAGGCGATTGGGTCCACCGTTTGGTCCGGTAAACCGCGGTCTAGACCAGACCAGACCAAGAGATCAAAACATAAAATAATACAGACCATGGACCAAACCAGACCATACTTAACGGTCTACGGTCCGGACCAAACTATGCGGTACGGTTTGGACCACGGTTTTTCTAATGGTCTGGTCTATTTTCCCAACCCTAGTTGTCTTGCTTTCTGCAGAGTCTCAGAGTTTTCTTATATATGCAGACAAGTACTCTAAAGCCTATCGGTTTCTAGACTTAGAATAAAATGTGGTTGTGGAATCAAGGGATGTTCAGTTCTGTGAGAACAAATTCGGACGCGATTCTGCAAATGTAGAACCATGTCGAGTTACATATTCAAATTTCCGTGTGATTTTATGTACTTTTGACATTGGTTCTATAGTAGTAAAAGGTTGTTAGATGATCTTGTTGCTATTGGGCCAAGAAGAAGTCAAAGGGCTAGAAAAGAACCGAGTTTTTTTGTGCATCTTTTTATTGATCCTCAAGTTATATTCTTTCTTGTAGAGGGTGATAGATTAAATAAAGATTACAAGAAAGATATCAATTTTGTTTCATGTGCAAGATGGTCCAAAAATCTTATAAGAAGCACCGGCCTCTAGAGATTCTATCTTTCTGTGCTTGGTGCTTGGGTACACACTTTGTTAAGCTCTAGTTCAAAGCTGAGTCCATATATTGGCCAAAAAAGAAGCATGTATTGTTCTCTAGTGATGTCACCGGACATTAGCACATCAAACAAATGCGGCAGCACATGGTCGGAGGGGAAACGACATCAAACTACGTGACATCTCTCGCTGTTATATTATTAGGTGTACTTCCGTTCGCCGATATAACCTAGCTAGGAAGGAGCACGTAAATGTTATCGATCGATCACCGACTTCCCCCAGGACACTTTGCGTACAGTAACCACTATAAATAAGAGCTTCTACTCGTTCGTTCTCACTAATAATGCAGCAAAAGTTGTATCATATACATATGCAAACCAAACAACGTACGTACGTATCTCGATCACCAAAAAATCAGATCGATGATGAAACGAGCCGTCGCTATTGCATCCCTTGCGGCAGTACTAGTTGTAATTATTACGTCGTCGTCGCTCCATCCCGTCGAATCGGCTTATCGTAGATGCCAATGCGAACCTTTCACGGCTGGGTGTGAGCAGTGTGGCGCAGGACAATGTTGCAGTAACTGGGGCTACTGCGGGTACGCGGCCGGTTACTGCACGGCTTGTGTATGTGCTGGTGACGATGGTAGAGCTATTGTTTGCGATCCTTGTCATTGCCTGCTCACTTGTTCTGCGCCTGATGAAAACCAACAGCTTCTGCTGCGGCCATCAGCTGCTGGTAATTCCGGTGCGAAACAGAACGGCACCTATGCTAGTCATGATGTGCTTGATACAATGTTCATAGTCGACGCCACCTACGACCCAAACCTGGATAAAATGGTTTCACCGTCCGACGTCGTCGTTGCAAGCCGGCGGCACAGGGCTTATGGTGATCAATTTGGCTCCGCTGCAGTATGTGGACCGCCGCCATCGAATGTTTCAACGACCCATAATAATATTGTTGCCGGCCAATGCCTACTGGTAATAAGTAACAATCATTCATTCTGTGCTAGGGTTTTATGTGATAATGAGGAAATATATATATATATATTACTGCAAGCATCTGACTCTTGGGGTTGTTTGTAGGTGACTAATTCCGCAAATGGGAAACAAGCAATGGTGAGGATTAGAAACGGGACATATTATTGCAGCGACAGCAGTTTGGGTTTGGATGACCATGTTTTTCGACAGCTCGACGCAAGCAGCAATGGAAATTCACGATGTCGTCGTCGTCTTCGAATCGGTTACAGTTATGTAAAATGTATCGATAATTAGTATGTGATCAGATGGCTTTTATCATCGATCTAAAGAACATGTGTATCCTTTACCATGCTCATTTCTCTCTTGTGAACTTTTCCAGAACAATATATGTAAAAGCAACCATAAATAAGATGGTCACCATATGCGGACTACTTGATTACTTTTTACATATTTTATTTAAGTTATACGTATAATTTGAAGAATTTTGCATAAGTAGTAGTAAAATAGATATTGATTCACGACGTGTGGAACGCTTATGATTCAACCGATATCAGAGGTCCGATGAGATGGAGAACTTTAAACGATTATCATGAGTAGAACAATCACGAACTATCTGTGTATCAATAAAAAAATTTAGTGCATCATTAAGAGTGAGAGCGACCCACGCCGCTCGTAGAGGGAAATTAGTTCGGTCAAATCGGAACCATATCGTTTAAATCAGTTTATAGTTGCAACTGAAAATCGAGTTACCCTTGATCCAATCCAGATTCCATTTACGATAGGAGAAAGAAAAGTCAACCCGATATGGTTCAGTTAAAAACCATATCGTTTAAATCATGTATGTGCTTCTTGTCAAATATGACAAGAGCACTATTTTTTAGGTAATGTACCATAAAGTGACGTATTAACTTTGATATTACATTTTAACAAATACAAAAATGGCTAATCCAAAATTGTTTCTTCAATTGCATAAATAGATAAACTCATGTCGAGTCAATATTGTCTCGTTTGGTTTAGTTCATGTTTACTTTTATTTAAAAAAAAAATATTATCGAACGGGTTCGTTTAATTAATTAGAATTATATATGTGTGACAACATACAAAGAATGGAAAATTGTTTAAGTGATCAAATCCGTACAAATTTCCAACCTATTATTACCGTTGACCTGGTCTTCAAAGAGAAGAAAGGAAGACTCTTCGTTCTTGTGCTAGTCGTTGAGTGTACGGGCCACGATCCACGAGACGGACGAAGCGACGAAAAGTTGGGCTCGCTCGCTGCAAAGTATGGGCTTCACATAAAAAAACAGATAAATCCAAGGCCCGGCCCATCCTATTATCCGGCCGGAGGCCTGAAAATTCGAGCGATCTAGCGAGCGTCCCGGCCTTTCTTCTGTCTCTTCTCCCTCGTTTCCGCGTCGGAGATCTTCTCTCTCTCAGTCTCGGTCTCAGTCTGACGACGTATCATCCCCGTAAAAAATAAAAATTCGTCAATCCCTCGCCCCAAATCTCTACTCCGGCTTCAAAGAATCACGCCCACTAATTGGTTCCGCCATTTGAGATCTTCACATCTCCTCATCCATACTCCCTGACCTCCCTCCTCACTTCCAGTCCAGGTTCTCAACTTCTGTCTGTTTCCTTCTCTTGTCTCCTTTGCTTGAAATCTGGATGGGAAATTTCTAGCTTTCTTTCAGGGAATGGGTTCCTTTTCATGGTTCCATGATTGCCCATTTCTGTGCTGCATTTCTATTGTGAAATTTCGGTCCTTTCTTGGCGGGATCTGATTGTTACCGTGAGCTTTACACCACCATAATGTCGTAATATTGAAGTAATCCTTTCTTGGCTGGATCTGATTGTTAGCGTGAGCTTCGCATTATCATAATGTCGTACTAGTAAATGGCTTAGCGATTATCAAGTTGGTTTTATCTGGCTGCCAAAAGGCTTCTTCCTGTTCCCTTTTGCTCATCTTTCTTAACTCGCTTCAGAAATTTACTGTGGATAGGAAGGAAGGCATGGCTGCAAGGAAGCCTGGGTTGATTGCTCTGTTCGACGTTGATGGGACTCTCACTGCTCCAAGAAAGGCGCGGTTCAGCTCCTCTTCCCATGATCTAACTTTTTGATTCTTTAGGCTCTAGTTAGTTGTGTCTCATTTTACAAATTTCCATCTCCTCCGACTAATTACTCGTTGTGATTTGGTTATCTCGAATTCTATATATAGGAGGTTACTCCAAAGATGTTCAAGTTTATGCAAGAACTCCGAAAGGTATGGACTTGTTCATACAATTCGTCCCTCTCTTTCACATGCCAGATCTTCCAAATTATTTTGGAACTATCCTGCCTCGAATGTACTTCGTTTCCACCAAGTTGGCTGCGAGCAAACTTTCTTATGATCTTCACTTTGATTGCAGGTAGTTACAGTTGGGGTGGTTGGTGGATCCGATCTCAGTAAGATATCAGAGCAGCTCGGAAAGACAGGTTCAGTCCATCACCATTTATATTTATTTTCCATGGGAGAGTGCAACGGATGGACAAGTAGCTAAGCTCTTGTGGTTTGTGTTTGCAGTCATCACCGATTATGATTATGTCTTCTCCGAGAATGGCCTTGTAGCTCATAAAGCTGGAGATCTCATTGGCACCCAGGTGTGAATCAAAGTCTTTACTCATTGTGTTTGCCCTGACAGTCGTATTACCTAAAGTGAAAATAGTATTTGAGACATTGTCTACCCCCTGAAATTGACATGTTATGTAATTTTATGTTCAGAGCTTGAAGTCATTTCTTGGAGATGGACAGCTCAAGGTAAGATCTTTCACCGGAATGTATGGTGGTTCTTTATCAATTTTGGATGTTTGTGCATAAAGGTTTAGAAGAGCACAATCATAATCAGTTGACCAGCAACTTTTAACAATGGTTACTTTGCCCTGAGGCAGACTAGATTATTTGATAGCTACCTGTGATTTTTGCTTGATCGATAACTGGGGTGCGATCGATCATAATCACTCAAGCAGTCTTCTGGGTGTGTCATCTTCCAGTATATTAATCAAAGATACTGAATGCTTTTCATTTCAGGAGTTCATAAATTTCACATTGCATTACATTGCCGACTTGGATATCCCCATAAAACGGCAAGTCCAGTTCAGATCATAAAAGTCAATCCGCATACATCTCGTTCCATCACTACTTGAAAGTCATCTAACCTTCAAATGGTTTGTGCAGGGGAACTTTTATAGAGTTCAGAAGCGGTATGCTGAATGTATCTCCGATTGGGCGAAACTGCAGCCAAGAGGAAAGGGACGACTTTGAAAAATATGACAAGGTATAGAAAGATGTTCTTGGCAGACACAAAGCTTATCTTATAATTTACTCCTTCTGTAATTTGGATTTGTTGGCTGGTTGGTGTAAATGACAATAAATATTACTTGTGCTTATGGTTTCAGGTTCAGAATATACGCCCAAAGATGGTATCGGTGCTGCGTGAGAAATTCGCTCACCTTAACTTGACATTTTCTATAGGAGGGCAAATAAGCTTTGATGTAGGTGCATGCTATCGTGCTTGTTACACTTAGGTAGGCTAATAATTTGCAATCCTGCTTACAGTGGTAGTAATGTTTCTAACAGGTTTTCCCCCAAGGCTGGGACAAGACATACTGCTTGAGGTATCTTGATGAGTTTTCTGAAATCCACTTCTTCGGTGACAAAACTTACAAGGTTGGGGGGCTTGAATTAGTTTTCTGTTTTGTTGTTTACATCTTCCTATCGCCCAACTCATTGCCCTGCCCCTGCTTATGATTTCTCTTATAACTGCTTCTCGATTGTTTTTTGTTTAGTGTTAGCATAACTTCTAGTTAGGAGTACTTCAGGTTTGATTAGTTCACTGAGTTGGTATTGAAAGTAGTCTAGCAACTAAGCAGACTTTGAAATCTAGAGTTGTCATATGTTCGTCAAATGTTGAAAGAAAAGACTGCTTATTGCTTATTGTTGTTAGAAGTTACAACTACTTTTGATATGAGAGAACCTGCTGTTTTCGGTGTGGTTACTTAGCATTCATGTTTGGAGTCTTAGGCTACCCATCTCTGTCATATATCAATTCTCACTTCACTATTCTTATATTTGCAGGGAGGAAACGATCATGAAATATATGAATCAGAACGGACCGTGGGACACACTGGTGAGCAAATCTATTTTATGCTTTTATCCTTTAGGTTTCAGATTTCCTGTGCAAGTCCATTTTGATAGTATTCTCCATTATCAAAATAGCCCTGAAATGTGTTGAAACAGTAAGCATAAGATAGGAATTAGTACCCATTTCCACATAGACTATGCACTTCAAAGGTTCCGGTTTTTCTTCCTTCGTCTTGTACTATCTGAATAATGGTGTTTTTTGTTTGATGCAGTGACCAGTCCTGATGATACAATGGAGAAATGTCGAGCTCTGTTCCTTGATGGCCAGTGATCTTTTGATCTTAACGAAACTGCTGCCTCTTTGAGTCATTTGTTGTGCCTTAAAAGTGTACTCTCATTTTGTATTCTTAATACAATATACAAACCAGAATAAGTAGAGTCCAGCTTGAGTGGTTGCTGGCGTCGAAGAGGATATTTGGAGATCATTTTGTGATTCAGGAGTGGCGCCGCGGCGGCATGTAAGTTGTAAAATGTAATTCTTAACCGATTATCTGATTGAGAAACCATGAGACATATATATTATTATTACAAGCTGCAGAATTGAATCGCTGTTATATGTATCAACTGTAGATCTGCACTTCTGTTGTCCATTTCTTCTGACAATTCAAGAGCCTAAGATGCCCAATCGGTTTACAAGGACTGATAACAAGTAGTGACACCATCATATAGATGCATAGGTACAACCCCTAATTCAGCTTGAGAATTCGAATCGAAAAATAAGAGTAAACTAAGAAGTAAGAACCCGCTGTGTTAATCAGTAACTGGACAAGTTAAGGAAGTCTAAGAATGAAGTTTATATCATTCGTCCATCAGATTGACCTGCCGCGAACTGGCCTTCGAGCAGGATCAGCGAATGAACTTGAAGCTAGGACAAGCTCATCAATGTTGTATATCATGATTCCAACACGTGACCTTCAAGGTGAAAGGAAGCTCTAACACGAACTAATTCATCCTGAAACGATTCAACGAAATTATATACACGCTCTCCACAAAGTATAAACATACACCAAACATGTTCTGAAAATTATAACTATGCAGACATGAATTGTATCCTAATACTTCTACGACTGCAGCTTAGTCTACCCAAAAAAATATACACAAATGACACACATCTATCAGGACCTCCCCATGCATAATTGAGTTAGCTTCGCCTACGAATACTTCGTTTAATTCTAAATTGAACAGAGGTCTCCCAACTAGGAGTACGTACCCGTTATTGAGAGAGTTGTTGTTTTGCTGCTCTGGACCCAGCAACTGTAGCTCCCATTGTAGAGGAGTTTCAATTCCTCATATCTTCGAATTGGAGAAGGACTACAAGAGACCTTGGGCTGGAACACCGCCCAACGAAGTGAACGTGCTCTAAAGTAAGAGAAGAACTCCAGCTCTCCCCTCGTCAAATCGCAAGACAAGATAACACACTGAGGAGCAATTGAAAAACAATGGAAGAAGACAATTTCCGGGTTATCTGGATGCAACGAAGGGAAAATAATGGCATCAACTTCATAGTTAGGCGTTGATGTCTTTTGTTCACGGGCAGCCTTCTCACAATGTTCAATGTCAGCCATCTCTCGGTGCATACACCTTGGAGTTGTCTTCACCGCCCCTTCACGTACCTTCCTCCATGTTTTAGGGTCTTCTTGCAGTTTCCAAACAGTCAAAGCAGCCATTGAACAATCAGGTGTGCGTTCCTCTTCTAATAGAATTACGTGCAGAGCACCTTGCGATACCGCAATATCCCACTTTGGCGTCACAAGAAGTTCACGAGCATCAAGGTAAGTGGGACGCATATCAAGGCGGAAAGGGTTAATCACAGCAATCAAAGGATAAACATCACCATCTTCATCCTCATACAAATCCACGAAGAACAACTCCCCGTTGCAGGAAAGTACATTTTTCATTTGGATTAGATAATCACCATCAAGAACAACAGCCTCCTTCGTCCATTCTCCAGTCTCGGAACAAAACACATATAGTTTGATACACAGACTACATTGACATATGCAGACCACCCGAAATCGATACTCCGAATAACAAACAGATGCTTCGCCATCTCCCATATCAAGATTGTTAAAAATAGCAGGCTCGCAAACTAACCTTGGAACCACTGCCACGCATCCCGGTGGAATTTCAGGCGCCAAAGGAAGTGCGATCCATTGCTTCGTGAACACATTGCATACGAAGTACGATCTGCTGAATTCCGCATCGATGTCCTCTGGGAATGTAACCCCGCATAGAAGCAAGTCCTCGAAGGAATCCAAGACGGAGAAACGCAGTCCGTCGACATCAGTTGGCACGGGGAGAATGGTCGGGATGATCGATTGTGGGTCGTTGGAGGGAAGAAGCAGGGGAGGTCGCTGGTGGTGAGAAACGAAACGACGATTGAAGCTGGGATCGGAGATCAAGAAGCTCCACCGCTTGCTGACGGATTTACAGCGGCAGGCCGATCTAGGGTTCGGGAGGCGGATCAAAATCTCCAAGAGGAGATCGTCTCCCAGTTTGCTGATCATCGCAGGAAACAAGAAGATAACGTCCCCGCCGGAGGAGAAAGGGATGCGGTGGTTATGCCGGCTGCTTTCTACCAAACCTCTACTCCCTAATCGGAAATCCGCCGGAGAAGCCGAGAGTACGAACAGATCGAAACCCCTAAACCACTAATCACCTACAGAAAAATTGTACAGCGGGCGCTTCATGCTACACATTCCTCGTCGGATTAATCTGCCGAGCCGTATGAGTTTTTATTTTATTTTTTATTTCTTAAATTTCCTCATGCTTTGGGCCTTAGTATTTAGCAGGCCGTGTTGATTGGGCTTTGAGCTGCTAAAAGAGACCCATGAAGCAATTTATCTTCACTCTGGCCCAGTTATTTATTGCTGTGACAAATCCATGGTTAGGGGTTAGTCACTGATATTGGAAGCAGATTTGTTGGTTATAAATAATAAACATAGATTCTTTTTTTTGCGCAAAATATAGTTGGAATCTGGATTAACCACAAGGTTGTAATATTGTGGTCGATTGGTTTATCATAATCCTTATTTAAAAGAGAATGAGCCTCACTCTGTGGTCATCCATTGGACGATCTATGCGATCACTAGTATTAGAGATATGTAATTATTATAGCTAATGATGAATGCACTAGTAATACACAAAAAGGAAAAGTGAGAAAAAGCCCAATAAACCTAAAGATTATGATTCAAGCGCGTCATATATCAATCAATATATGCTCCAACTCGAATTTATTCTATCCACGTACCTAATAGACATACACTTCCCATAAAAATATACACATACACAAAACAACATTCTCTGAAAAATTAATACAATCATGCAGCTAGGCATCGTGTGAAGTGCATAATGTGAAGAGAATTGAAGGCTTAGAAGATACTTTAATATATAGCTCCAAATAAATGCATTCTAACACTTTTGTAGACCTAAAATATAATACCTGAAAAAGAAAAAAACACAAAAAAAAAAGAGAATTAAAATAAATGGGAAGGCAGACAGGACACACAACCATACCCCTGCACTAAATTATACATCCACGTGTTCCCTCGGCTTCCTGCTTCTGGCTCCCTCTACAGTTCCATTTTTATAAATTATTGAAAGGTAGCTTCACCTACGCATATATGTCCATATCTCTAATAAATAATAATATATCTATCTATATGTGTATATTTTCTTCACTTGTGGTACAAGTCACCTCTCTCACATCAATTGACTTGTATTTATACTTCCTTATTGACTTATTATATGAGTTATGATGAGGTATTTTATGTCCTGAAACTTATAAATATATATGTTTTATTTGTAAGTGGTATATGATTCACAACTTAACTTATTCCAATAACTCTGAATTATAGAAACCAACTGATTCATGACACGGTATTAGATCCTTATATGACTGGGAGAGTTTTTTTTTATTCGAATCACGATGACCCCCATTTGCTGAGCACGTGGTATGTATTGATGCATGTGCAAACTTCAAGCCCTTCTGACTTGGCTTTCATTTGAGGGGGGGGGGGGGGTAATATTAATAAGTGACATATGATTCATAACTGAATCTCTTCCAACACCTCGGATTATCGAGACTAACTGGTTCTTCACATTATATCAATCTTGATACGAATCATATAACCCTATGATATATGATCATCAGAGATCACGGTGATAATGATTTGTATCGGTTTTTAATAAATCAACGACGAGACTTTACAAGTTTTGTTGTTCTGAGTTTTGTATCCCCATCATTTCCTTTATTGTATAACCAAAATCCAAATAAAAATAACTAATTGTAATACCTTCAGTACATTCAGTCATCATCCAGTTGCAAATCTCATATACAAACACATACTTATCCCTAATTCAAACAAACCAAATCTATACGTATTGACTAAACATGACACAACAAGGCGTACCAAATCATGCCTTTTTTTTTTCTTCTCATTCTTGTATAATGCAGCAACTTTCAACCCCATAACTATAACCAATAATTAATGTATACTTAACTCGGCAGCCGAATAAATAACCAATTATCAATATTCTGCTGAGATCTCCCCTCTCTCTCTCTCTCTCTCTCTCTCTCTCTCTCTCGTCTCTGAGAAATTCCATATCCATTTCCGATTCATATTACACAAACACAACAATGCCCACCTTCCCTTCTTTTATTAGCTCACCAACTCTCTCTCTCTCTGACTTATGAACGAGAAGAAAGAAGCTCGCGCAGAAAGAGATTGAGGGAGAGCTTTCATTTCCTTTTTCCCTTTGGCTTCTCATCTTCTCAAATTAAATGGGAGTGATGTTATTAGTAAGCGGGAGGCGTACGGCCTTGGTAGCTCTTATCGTCGTCGTTTTATGCATCATGGTTTCTTTCCTTCCCTCGTATGTTTCTTCTTCTTCTTCTTCTTTGTCTCCGTACCAACAACGTCATCACTCGCCAAGACACAGTAGTAGTATTAATGGTGGTCGCAGTGGTAAGGCCGCCACGGTGATGAGGGTGCCGCCGAGGTATCGCCGGCGGCGGCGGGGAAGGAGGCAGCCGGTGCCGCCGCGCACGTTCATGGGGTTTCTGCCTAAAGGGATGCCCATACCGCCCTCCGCTCCTTCCAGGCAGCACAACAGTATTGGTCCTCAGAGCACCGCCACCAGCGGCGGCGGCGGCTGATCGGCCGGCCACCGCTTTCTTCTAGAAGATATACCTCATCAGTTCGATGAATATAGTATTATACTATGAATGGAATCCGCAGTGTAAGCAGGCACGTATGTATGTATGTCATAAAAAAAAAAAGTTAGATAATTGCATTCTTTAATTTTGCACGTCCAGTTTAATGCATTATTATCGATCGTTTCGGCACGTCTTTTTTTCGGGTCTCTCCAAAGTTGTTACTCCTTGGTTACCGTTTGGGGTTTGGGTAATTAAATTAATAATTACCTTGTTCTGGAGAATTGGGAGGTGATTTTGGAAAAAGAAGAGGGCTAGAGAACAGAGAAATGATGTAAAGGTGACGTGAAATAATGTTCTTTGGTGTTTCAACACTATTCAATGATGTAAAAGGTTACTTGTGCCGGTTGCCAAAGCCCTTAAATTATTTAATTATAGTGCGCGCCAAGAGAAAGAAAAAAAAATTTAACTACCAAAACGAAAGGTCAACAACTAAAACATACAAAATGCATATTTTGCATTCTACTCAAATTTTCTAATTTATGTGGTGAATTTCTTTGATACATGCTCGTCGTGACTAAAAGTACCGTGGCCAAAGTTAGTCAAACATTTTCTTACGATAGTTGGACATTAAGTCATTAACAATATATAGCTTCTGTCATGAAGATATGGAGATGGAAGTTCACATGAAATTGGATATCCCGCCTACTAAAGGTTTCAATGTTGTTTTCAAATTGCAAAACAACATTGTTACATGCTCAAACAATTAGTCAGTAGGTCACCAATGGTTTGTGAAATTTAGTACATTTCCTTGATCTTGTTTGACTTCAGACATTGTCGTTCGGATCCAGTAGATCGTCATTCTCTTGAAGGTACTCTAATTTGGTTAGTATGTTTTAGTAACTAATTGATGAATTTTCAGGATTAAAATTTATGATATCGAATAGGGGTGGCAATTCGGTTACCGGTTATCGATTAACTGACCGGTTAAATTGATAACCGGAAGGTTATCCACTAACCGGTAACCGAAGTAACCAAACTTCGGTCGGTTATCGGAGGCTGGACGAAATGATTTTTGTCTTAAAAGTGATTCGGGTAACTGATAACCTAGATAACCGAGAAATCGAAGCCTACTTCGGTCGGTGTTCGGTAGGGAGGATGGTTATTTCGGTTAACCGATAACCAACCGATCGGTTACCGGTTATAACCGAACTGCCACCCCTAATATCGAACGAGAGAAAAAAATACTTGATTTTACATGAGGTATTGAGTGACTGGTAAGACCCGTTGACCTAATTACAAATGGTGTAATATGACCGAGCCACTTCAACAGTAGACATCCCAAAATTAAGTTTAGAGATCAGGTTGTCACATAATTATAGTTTGTATATATATATAGTATTAATTAATATCTTCATCCATCATGTTTTTTCAGAAGTTGTTGTGATAGATAGAATAATCAAATAACCTTGGCATCGGATTCGAATTTGACTTCGTAAAAATGGAGGAGCAAGGTCAGGTGTTGGGGAAAAATTGTGGGGGGAGAAGAGGTCAAATTCCTCCAAGTATGTCAGGCCTCACAAGTCAATAATGGTTTGTTAAGGTTCCTTTCAAATTGCATTGATTTAGGAGTGAAAAATAAGGTACCATTTTGGCCTAGTGCAAGGGGAAAACCAACAGGTTAGAAACTCTATCGTACCGGTGGATCGGTTTGGAAATACCATATATTGGATATCAAACGAGAGACTGTTTTAGCTTTGCAAAATAGGTCAACCACGATTTTAATATGATGATAATGTTAACAGACACTTCTTTGGAAGAGAATTGAGATGAAGGAACAGGGAACAGATTTGGAGTATTTCATCCATTTATAATTGCAAATATTGTTTATTCGAATGGTCGAATATGCTATACTCATTGTCATTTTGTATGCTCATTAATTACGAGTTGAAACAAATTTAGAGATGAGGTTGGGTCAGGTTCTTCTCGTCCCAACCCCCAACTGGTGCACCATTAAAAAAATCTCGGTAAAATATTCATTGAGTTTTAGAAATAAAAACTCAACTCGAAATGTACTAATTATATATAGGTCTATGAGTACCCCATGAGCTCACAAAAGTAATCGTACATTGTTTCTCCGAAAACCCATATTGCAATGTTATCGAAATTTTTCCTACAAATATATCTTCCTAAACACTACTGACATTCACGTACAAATTATCCATATTATTATGTTTATATTGCCACAAAATGTAATTAATTTCATAAATTATTCATATTATTTTCTGTTAGATACCCAATGCAATAACGTCGTTTTATTTTATAAATGCGGGTCAGTTGAAAAGGGTGTTGCATTTTGACAAAATCCGAACTCGACCATGTCCGTCTATTTCACAAGCAGATAAAACCCGCACAGGCCAAAAACTCATTAACACAAAATTTTACCCGCTCTGATCAAATTGGTTCGGAGTGAAAAATCCGTGAGTTCGGTACAATTGTTGTTCCTGAACACATTAATTAAGGCGCCGACAAGTGTAATTGGTTGAATTGCAAGAAAACTGTACTAGTTGTTGATTTGACACCCTTAAAGTGAGACCAACCCCAGAAACTTTGGAGGCAGTTTAGACCTGGTTAATCATGATTCTCTAATTAACAGCCAGTAGACACGCTAATTATGTTCCCAAAAAGTCCATCATATATGATCACATTTCAGTACTCAAAAACCTCACTGGAACACGTACACCAATCTTCACTTTGCTTTCTTCTTCCTCCTTAAACCCTGTGTTTCTGTTTTACTCATTTAATTTCTTGCATCCCAAAAGTTCAACAAAACTTCACTTTTTTCCGGAACTGTACCTTCTTCCCCCATGACTTTCCTGGTAAGGACTAAGGATAGAGAGACGCAAAATCAAACACAGAAGGCGGTGGGGGATTCTAAGTCGTGGTGGAGCTCCTTTATGACCTTTTCAACTTTTATAATACGAAATTGTTTTGTAGTAATGGAACATTCTCAGTCGTTCGGAGGTAGGGCCGCAAATGAGCCGAGTCCGAGCTAAGCCTTCGGCAGCTCGACTCGGTAGCTTATTGAGCTCAACTCGCGAGCTGACTCGTTTGGGGCTAGAGAGCCAACTCGATTACCAAGTTATCAGCGACTCGAACTAATAAGTTCGATTTTGATAATTTATAGGATTGTTGAATTATATATCTCGCCCTATGTGAAAGTTAACACTTAGATTATGTGTGAAAATATGTCTTATTTAATATTAAAAGTTAATTTTGTATTATAGATTGCTTCGATACTATTAAATAACATAATTTTGACTAGTTAAAATTTATTAACTAAATAATATGATACCACAAAGTGTAACATGAGATTATTTAATATTGAACCCTTAATTATTTTTATTATTTTCATCTTGACATTAATCTCATATATCATACGAGTCAAGATTTTAATAAACAAGTCAACTCGAACTCGGCTCGACTCGTTAATAATACGTAAGAGGCCAATAATGACACCCTACTTGCAGTTCCGTTAGTAAACAAGCTGGCTGCTTTTGCTAGCTTATTCCTTAAACAGTCGGCTACCTGTCGGCCTGTCTCCCCGCCACATTTATTGCCCTCTTCTTCATTCCTGTTCTGGCATAATTGAAACTCTCCATTCTGCAGATCAAAATAAACAAACAGGGAGTTTGACTGCTGGATAATGCCCTAAACTGTCAGGAGTGCTACACCTTGTTGATCATACTGCAAATTTAAAAATCTCTTTCGTTGACTTTATATAAATAAATAAATAACATACTCTGTTGAATGTTAATCGTCCTTAGTAGCTGACCTAACACACTTGGATTACGAGACTTTGAGGGTAGGGGCGGCTTTGCCAAAAGTAACAGTAAAGGGGAAGGGCAGAGACTCAGAGAGCAAGCTGCAGCAACTCGAATCAACCACTTCGAGTCGGATATCAATTGATGACGAGAATATTCGTGTCGAGAGTACGATACAATTCACGACGAAAATGCTGATTGAACCTGGCTTGATGTTCTCAAACACTAGCCTGCACATTACCCTAATCAACTCAACTCAACGATTAGATTAGAATTAGATACATTACACTCAATTCATGCATTACCATAGAATCTGTGGCCAACTTCTCCCTGTAAGACGTGGGTGCTTGCTTGTGAACAGACAGGAAGGAAATAATTGATGCCTTTGCCTATATACACTACAATACAGCAGATATAGCCAGTTTCTGTAAATTAAAGACAAAAAGAATAATAAACTTTTACCACAGCTGAAGGAGAAGAGGGGGGGGGGGGGGGGGGGGAGCAGAAAGAACGTGAACACAAAAGAGGTGTTGTTGATTTTGTACTTCCATCTCACTGAGCCTCGATGACAATGCCTTCACCTGGTGAAGATTTGCAAAAATTTTGTTGCCGACTTCCTTTCTGTTGTGCTGCAAAAGGTTAGGAAGCCGATGACACGGAACCTTCTGATCTTCGAGCAGCCTGAGAAGGAACCGAAGATTTGTCCGATCCACGCACGTTGTATTTCTCGTATACTTTCTCTCGGTTTTCCGACCACCACGTCTCTGCTTGATGCTCCCCAAATCTCCTCCGGCTGTTGTAGTCATCGGACAAACAATTGTAAATTTACAATGTGTGATTAATCATGTCTCTTGGGGTTCATTCCCAGCACCTTAAGATGACAGAGCCGAACCGTAGGAGGAAAAATACAAAGAATAGCAATTCCACTTTTGATTTCGTGATGGCCCTCAATTTTCAATATTTTGATCTAGTCCTACGCCGATTCGGGAACCAGACCACTTCTGAACACTAACTATGCTATGTTAAATGTCCACAATAAAATGGATCCTGTGAACCAAAACTATTCCCCCTAGTGAAATAGTCCACAGTACCTAGATGTAAAGACAATTCTCCTAGTTTCAAGCAATAAATGAAGTATTATGCTACATGCTGGCTTTTGGATCAGAAAAATGTACCTGAAGCGAACACGTTTGAGATCTCTAGTTCCATCACGGAGGGCCACGAGAGTTATGTATACACCGGGCTCATACTGTTCGATCCATTCAGCCTCAACATGATTACCGTCGCCAGGCAATGCTGCTGGATCTCGAGGTCTCAAACCGTTCTCGCCATCTTGAATGGGCCTAGACGATTCCTTTCCGTCAATGGACTCTGACATACTCCTACTTGAACGAGCCCCTGAGCCATTGGACAGCCTGGCATCTGAATGGTCTGCTCTGCTGCCATTGGGCCCCGATAGGTCACCAAACGATTGGATAGAACCCTGATGATTTCCATTCACTGAACTAAAATCAAGTGTAGTTGGAGATGACAGTGACACCCCACTGATTGAGTTGGATCTTGAATGTCGGTCTCCATTGGTGTCCGCATGATGAATACCGTTTGAATCCGAACCGTTTGGTAGGTAAGCGGGCTTCAAGCTCTCAGGGTCATAGACGCCAGGTGGCAGCCTTTCGGCTAATTCCTTAAGCTGTGGTTCATTATAGAAAATTATAATAAGTACACAAAATATTATACGTTGAACTAACAATAACCAAGAGTATCACATATTCTCAATCTTACATGATCGCACTGAAAAACATAGCTAGACAACCATAATGCAATTGATTTCATCTGGAATAAAGAGATTCAGTTTTATAAACTCCAAAATTCAATTCAACAAGACATGGTGTCACTTAACCCAGCGTTTGAATAGTTAGAGTCTAGAGTGCAACTGACAAGCTAACAAAGATTCCAATGGTGAAGTGCAGGGTAAAACCAACCTGTGCAGTGAGCGACTTTATAACATCTTTTGCAGCTCTAGATTTGGCTGATTCTTCTGCAGCCATTGCCATAGATTCTTGCATTTTCTTGGCTGACCTTTGAAGCTCCAATTCTTGGAAATCACACTTCTGTTTCAGGCCATCAACCTAATCCAGAACCATCAATCAGACAGAGGGAAAATAATATTTGTTCATCCACTCTAGACCAATATACATCAGAAACAAATAGTAACTTTATTTTGTAATAAAACATACCTGTGAACGCAACTTCATCACCTCCTGATTCAGAAGCTCATTTGTTTTCTTCAAACTATCAGCAATACTTTTCGAGAAGGAAAGCCCAGATGTCGTTGGGACAGGTGTTGCCGACCTAGGGGGGCTAGGTCTCCTTGAGAAAGGGGACACGGACCTCGAACTCACGGCAGACTGCGTAAGAACTGGTTTGGGAACCTTTGGTCTTAAATCAATCGCAGTGGACAAAACAACATCTCTTAGCTGCAATAAAGATGGCGTTTGAGGGGATCGAACCAAGGAGAATGTTTCTGCTTTCTTTCCTTGCTTTGCTGCTTTACTATCTAATTGTTTGATCAAATCTACATTAGAAGACAAAACAGCCTTGGATGACCTAATCTCGTACTTGTCCAGCCTGTCCTTGTTCTCGCCTGAAAGCCGGGGTACCGAGTTTCTCCTAATGTTATTAGATTCCGAGACCTTGCTTAGTTTAACATAACAGGAATCGCAGACACGATAGGGTTTCCCAGGATTGGGAGCCAACGCAGCTCTTATTGCTTTTCTTGAACTGCAAGAGTGGCAATGAACTAGTCCACAGTTATAGCAGTTATGTCTCTTTCGAGTAAAACCAAAAGCCTGTCTGCATGAAGAACACTGAGATTGCTCAGCACCAGATACCCATTTATGAAGACATATAGCAGCTGTGTAGTTTGCACCACAAGCAATGTATTTTACATTTCTATCCTTCAAGGCTTCAACCAGAATTGGTGTTTTACGATCTTCAACATCTCCATGCCCTAGCCTCCCATTTGCTCCCTTCCCCCATGTATAAACTTCATTCTTAGAAGTCAAAACCGCAACATGATATGAACCACACGCAATCTCTTCAACACATTCGCCAGAAAGATTATCTTCTACCAAACAAGGCAACTTTCCATCAGCCTGGGGACTTCCCAGTTGACCATAAACAGTACTTCCCATAGTGAACACATTTCCAGATGTTGTCAGACCAACGGTTAGACTATGCCCGCAGGCAATTTTATGGAAGTTGTACTCAATCAAGGCTGGAACACAGGTGGGTTTAAGCCGAGGTTCCTTGTCTCCATGTCCAAGACGGTTTTTATCTCCATCACCCCAGGTAAACAGTTTCCCAGAGGAAACACTTGAACTAGACTGTGTGACAATAACTTCCACCACAGCAGCAGTATGCCACACACCACATGCCACGGCTATGGTTCTTAAACCG